CACACTGCACAAGCCCACAAACGTAGATATATGCTGTACAAAAATAGAGCTCCGTCCGTGTCCTCTAATGTAGAGTAGCTCTTGGTAACTCTAACTGCTCAACCGCCCAATGGAAACCGCTACATACCGTACTCAGCCCATAGCCCTATGTACTCTGAGTACCTCCAAAAGAAAAAAAAAATAAACCAGAAACACTGTCCAGCGGTCAGTCACGCCACCACACACCGCCACCTGCTGCACGCTCTCTCTCCTGCACGCTCCTCTTCACTCTGCACGCAATTCACGTACGTGCACCCTGCCCTACCGTACAGTTCCGTAGGTACTCTACCTACCAGCAACAAGCACCCACGCGCCCACCCACGCGCCCCGCCACACCACAGGCACCCACCAGCCACGCCCAAAGCAGCCTCGCCGACGCACCCTCACACCCCGTTCCGGCTGTCCGAGCGTGCCGTGTGCGGACTAGCGGTGGGGGGGGGGGGGGGGGTGCAGTTCCTTTTTTGGCTTGCTGGCTGGTATGTGCGCGTGTTTGGCCAGTTCATGATCAGTTGGTGGTTGGTTCGCGATGGTTGGTTGATGGGGTTGGCTGGCTGGCTTATCGATATGGAGGAGGAAGAGGGGGGGGGGAAGGAGGGCACTCTCGGATATGGGGAGGGGTGGATGGGTGGATGGGTGGTACGCTAGCTAGCTAGCTGGTAGAGGAGGAGAGTGGCCCGCCCGCGCAGATGGGAGATAAGGCGCGCGACGAGGACGCGGGGATGGGCTAGGGGTAGGGTTTGTAGGGTTTGGAGAGTTTAGAGGATGTTGTAGGGCACGAAGGGGTTTGTAGGGCTTGTATGGTAGAAGGTATTTGAGGGTATTCTAGGGCAGAGAGGATGGATGAATACGTGGGGATTGGAACCGGGATGGGATGGGATGGCCATTGCCATGGGGTAATGTATGTAAGTACATGTAAGTACTCTAAGTTCGTGTTTTTTTTTTTTCTTCCTGCGCTGCGTGCTCTTCACCTGCTGTATTTCTTATACCTGCCTACCGGATAACTTATGGTGAGTTGTTCGCTGGTCCTGTTGGCGGTGGGCGGTAATATACATCACATCTACGGGATACCCTTTTTTTTTTCTTTTCGATGTACTACTAGCCCCTACAGCTACAGTTGAGTGTTGCTGCTGTAGGTGAGGTGCGGCGCGGCGCGGTGGTGGTGGTGGTGGTGGTGGTGGTGGTGGCAGGTGCTGTAAGTACGGTCGGTGGTGCTGCTGCTGCTGTACCCCTCATCATCATCACCATACGTTATGTACGTGACTCGGGACGGGAGTAGGGTTGTTCAGGCTGGAGCTTCTAAACACGGGCGGGTAGTTGCGAGCAGACGACAGTGGACGCGATGCGCCCGGGGGTGGAGGGGGAGGGGGAGGGGGGGGGGGGGGGGGGAAGGAACGATGGGCGCGCGTTTGATGCAGTCTCCGATGTTCATGTTCGAGCAGCGCAGGTAGGGTAGGCGGTAGGGTGAATGAATGTTCTGCTTCTCACGGAGGAGCCGGGGTCACGCACAGGACGCGTTTGTGGGTTAGAGTAGCTGTGGTTGCTTGGGTTGGGGGGTAATGGACCCATGGGATGGGGATGGGGATGGGGATGGTGGACAGATTGGGAATGGTGGATGCTGGGGGAGGGAAACGAAACGGGGGAGTGGGTGGGTGGCGGGCATACAGGCAGATATAGATATGTATGCGGGTGGTGGGGGTAGGGGAAGGAAAGGGAAGGGGGAATTGGGTGGTAAACAACGCGCTTAGTGGTGATATACTTGGAGTGGATATACTCAATCGATAGATACATGCACGTGTGGAGATGAAAATAATTATTTTTTTCTATTTTTTTCTAGTCGCGCGACAAGAGTGATTGGAGGGGGATAAGAGGAGGAGGAGGTGGTGGTGGTGGGGGAAGAGAGGGGAGGAGAGCCAGAGGAGGAGATGAGCCCGAGAGTATGATCAGGTGTTGACGACAGCATGATTGATATTGGGGGTCTCTATGGTCTGGTCAATCGAACAATGGAGACCTCCCTACGCATCTACATGTACATCCGTGATGAACATTGTGATTGTGGACTCGCTGTGGATGGGATGGGGGGCGATGGGCGGTTTTGTTGGCTGTCGTTCAATTGATCGATTGTATGGTTGTGATGGCAGCAGGCAATACTTACAACTAACTGGTGGAGCATGAAGGAGAGGAGGAGGAGATCCAGAGTATCTAGGGCTTAAGCTTCTAGAGGGAACAATTCTACCCTTTAGGAAAGGGAAGGAGAGAGAGAGAGCAGTTCTAAACCAGTCTCGTCGATGTTCTTCACTATGATCTCAGGATGTAGTTACTGTTCATAGAAACGGAGAAGGAAAAGCTCATGCTCATGCAGTGCTTGCATCGAATAATCCCTACGGAGATATGTTCTGCGGAGATGTCAGTAGGGTTAGGTGGGTGGATTGGGTGGGTGGACAGCTCGGCTAGCTAACCAGGGAGTGGTGCAACACAAGTGGTAAAGCGTACTCTAGGGGGAGGGAAAGGAAGGAAGGGGAAGCTGGGGAGGGGTGGGTTAAAGTGTGTCTAAACATCATGTCCTACTGAGCACATATCGTTCAAGGTGTTGTTGTCGATGCGTGAAGCGATGCACAGTTCTCTCTCTCTCTCACTTTCACAGTACAGCGTACCTACATGAAGGAGGAGGACTTGGCTGTTTTGTTCCCGTGTGTTCCCAGAAGAGTTGCTTCTTCATATCCGTCTCCATCGTAGAGTTGCCTTTTTTCCCCTTCTTTTCTTTTTCTCAACGAAGGGAGAGGTAGAACGCAGATAAGTGATTGAGAGTTGTTAGAGAGTGAAAGCAAGAGTGACCACTTGTTCAACAATTCTTTTACTTTAGAGACCGATTGTTCGTTCTCTCTCTCTCCCCCACCAACCCTACTCTATCTTCTCTATCCAACCAAGAAGGACACTTGCTCTCTTGATTGCTTCATTTCTCCCCGGGAGTTCCTAGCCTTTCACCACTAGTAACTCGACTACTCCCCACTTCGTTCCATTAACCTACTACCGGCACCCCACTTTCTTCGCTTCTTCCATCATCCCTTCTATCTACTTATCTCGGCCTCATTTCCCACTCGTTCAACCCTTTCACTTCTTATCCATTCCAACCCCCCGCCATATACTATTATCTTAGTTATTGCCTCCTGTTCTCATATATCCAGGGCTGGGCCAAGGAAATTAAAAAAAGGCGAGACCAAGAATTTTCAAGAACAAGAACAGGGCCGCTTTCTTGCTGTTAATTCTTTTTAATTATTTTTGTTGTGGTGTGGAGATAAAGTTGTTGAGAAAAGAGAAAGAGAAAGAGAACAGGGCTGTGTTTATCTATCAGTCAATAGGACCACAGGAACAGGAGCTCAACTGACCTCTTACCGCTACACACGGCAACCAACTAGCAAGTCAAGAGGTGAGCTCTTTTTTTTTTTTTACCCTCTCTTCTTAACCCAAAAGAGAGAGAGCCCTGAGGAGAACCAACAACGACCCCATTAGAGGAAAGAAACATGATTTGTGTTTTTTTTTTTGCTCTTTTCTATATACCTCTTTCTTCTCCTCTTCTTCATGTTCCGCTTTCTTCCGTGATCAGAACTTTCTAGCTGGTATCTTGCTAACGCAGCGGTACTTTGATGGTTTTCAGAGCTTTCGTGGAATTGATTTTCTCACCTCATCTCATCGCGACTCGTTGTTACAGAAGATCCAAGCTGCATCGTCTCATGGGTCTTTCAGCTGGTAATTATCTGAGCCCCCTCCACCCCCCCCCCCCTTCCCTTCTTCTTCCCCGCCCTTCTATGAGTCCATGACCATTCTCCACTCGGGAATCAAATCAAACACACACCCCGTAATTACACCTTGCTAACTAAGCAATTTCTATTGTTTGATTTTTACAGCCTCATTTCAGCTTCTCTTTTAAGGAACATTTTATTTTATTTGGGGGCATAGGCTTCTTTCACTTCTTAGTAGGAAAGCCACAGGTACTCCCTCGAATCAGCATTCTTCTGTGCAGGCAAATACCTAGTTTTATTTCATTCAGCCCACCTACCTTTTCGGGCACCGCCGCGCGGGGGAAAAAGAAAATTATTAAGGGGTGGGGAAACAAGAGCTATCCACTGGAATTTTTTTTTTTTTTAATATTTTTGGGAGAGGGGTGCTATTTTTCTCTGAGTGCTCTGAGCATTTTCTCGGTTGTGTGTGTGTTTCCTCCGTGTGTGAGTGTGTGAGCTTGTGTGTGAGTGTTTGTTATTGTTTGTTGAGAAAGCGGCAGCAAGTAACAGCAAGCAAGAGCAGTGCAAGCAAGCAAGCAAGCAAGCAGAAAGATCAAGAACGTTTGGTGGTTGTTGCGAAAGCAGCAGAAAAAGGGAAAGTGTCGACGAGTGTTTTGGTCGTCTCGGTTCGTCGGTCGCATTGAGCAAAAACCGGATCGGCAGCTGCACCGCACGGAGGACGTATCCGGGATCTGAAAATCTGAGGGGTGCCTTTGCTGCTTTCTTGGATTTCTCTTGGCTCATTGAGATCACTTGAAAGGTACAGTGAGCAGCCACAGCAATTTGCTGCGACCGCCCGCTTGGTTCGTCATTTACTACACTTTACTATTATTTCCCTTGGGGGCCTCGTTCCCTCTTCTCCCCGTCGTCTGCCCTGCTTGCTCCGCCTTTATTGTCGTCGTCAGTCAGCCAGGCTTCTTCAGTCAGTTCAGTCAGTCGGTCGCTTTCGAGGTTCTTGGTATTCATACAAACTCTGGGGCTCTCCTCCCCCTTCTGTCTACCTACATTATATTATCTGTGTGATTCCTTTATATTGTCGAAAACCTCCAACACCTTCAACAACCCCCACACAACAGCAGCAGCAGCACCACTACAACAGCAACAGCAACAACTACCCCAGCTGGAGCAGTCTGTAACAACAACAACAACAACAACTATATTCACAACAACCCTTCAACAATAACTATGTCGTCGTCTACTGTTCCTTCACATCAGTACCACCCCCCACGGCATCCGCACGCCATCTCGCCCACAACTGCGAAACCTCCTATAACCCCTCCGTCGTTTGCGACCGGTTACGTCTACCCCTCATCTGCTGTTCCCACAACAGCAGCTTATCGCTCGACTGGCCCACCTTCGATTATCTCAACATCATCCTCGCCCTCACCTCGCCTCAACCCTGGACTAGCTGCCGCCCGTCACGTCTCAAAGGCAGCCTCAAGACTGAAGCGCAGCCGATCAGACAATGCAAAAAAATCGACAGAGCAGCTGGCAGACGATGTTATCGACGAAGGGTTCTTCTCGGGCCCCGGCTCACCGCCTCTGGAGCAGTACTACCCCCACCATTCGGCAACCTCAGCTCACAAGGCACGTGGCAAGATAAAGCCACTGCTCAAGAAGGTCAGTGGCTCGTCGCGTGGGAACTCGCTGGATCTGTCAAGGTCGGATGGGGGGCTCCCAGGTGGCGTCGGATTGGGAATCTTTGACAACGCAGGCGACTCAAGCGGGGTTGACGAGGATTCGCCCTACTCCAACCGTCACAGACGCAACTTTTCCGGCACTAGCGGCAACTCGCCGTTGCTTGTTAATGCACCCTTTGCACACCCTAAGCGACAGGTCCCCCGTCGCGGTGCATACACGCCAGAGGTTTCACACTACAACACATCCAACGAGTCGAGCGACGAGTCTGATGATGAGAGCATAACCCGCCGCAACGTTCTGCAGGGAAGTGGTGGGGGCAGTAGGTCGATCAAGGCAGGTTTACAGCTGAACACGGGCGGACGCAGCACTCCAATGCTGCCCACTAGCAGCTTGACTGATCTGCACAATCGACGTATCAGCACTAGCACCCTGACTACACCTGTCTCTCCCGTCTCGCCATTGGAGCTTCCCCCATCAGATCATCGACCCTCGAGTCGGTCGTTACAATCCCCCAGCAACCATCGCCAACCGGCAGCAGAGCTCCTTCATTGATGAGGTCTCGCATCGGCCGCACATCATCCGAGACAACTCGCCGTGCAGTGCGCGATCCGTCACCGGGATTTGCAGCATCAGTTACAGCAGCCCGTCTGGCTTGGGAGGCCAAGGAGGAGAAGAAGGAGGAGAAGAGGGAACGCAAGCGTAGGCGTTCAGAGGCAAAGGGAGAGGAGAGATCACGTGCTACTTCTAGGTGTTCAGGCCGTGAAAGGGGCAACTCGGACGGCAGCAAGGGGACGGTCTGGGACGACGACGAATTGCCAAACAGCTTCCCCGAGAAGGTGCTTGAGGAGGACTGCACGGAGGAGCGTGGGAGGCCAAGAGTTCAGGGTGCGGGGACCGGGACAGGGGGGAAGAGGTGGAGTGTCGGGAAGGAGAGGAGGCCCGGTTTCAAGAAGCGGTGGCTGGGCTTCGTGGTGTGGGTCAGGATTGGCATGGTGCGGATGGGCAGGCGGCTAGGCTTCTAGACAACTGAAGCTTGGCTCGGAGGGTGGTGGAAGCTTTTTTTCTTTTCTTTTTTGTTTAAACCTCTACTTTCTTTTGTGAATATATACGATTTCTACGGAGACATGTCTACGGCGGACAATAGACTACTACACAGAAAAACAACAACAACCGGCGAAAGAAAAACGACCTCGAAAACAGAAAAAAAATTCAGAGAAAAAACATCATTTATGGGTTTTAAGGAATTTCCTTTGTCAACTTTTTTTTGTGCTATTTTTTTTAGTTCCCTTTTTTTTTCATTTTCTTTCTATGTTTATTCTTTCATTTTTTTTTGGTTTGATCTCGGGATTGGATTGGTCGGGGTTTTGCTTTTTTATTTTCTGACGCATTTTCTGCATGTGGTCGGCTTGCTATCCTTTTTTTTTTATTGGCTTCTTTTCATTCGTTACCGGGGGTCGGTTTGATTTTTTAAATTTTTTTGTTGTTCATGGGGGTTATTTCTATTTTATTTTATGAGCGATGCTTTTTCTTTGTTCATTTTATCTTGGGAGGGGGTTTTTTTTTTTTTTAATTTCCTTTGTAGTGTTTTTTTTCTCCTTATTTTTCCTTTTTTCCTTCTCTCCCCAAGGTTACTGTTTCTGCATCACGGATTCCAAGAGGACCGGAGGGATGCAGGCAGCGAGGGGATCGAGTATTAGATTGTGAAGATACATTTCCGTGTTTTCTTTTCTTTTCTTGGCTTTGCTTTACTTTGCTCTCTGGGAGTTGGGTTGTTGGTCGATATCATCTGTTTTAGGAAAATTGGCATATTTGTCGGTTATCAGATAGATAGACTACATTGGGGGGAGAGAGAGAGAGAGAGAGAGGACAGACAGAGAAAAGAGCTGGGGGGAGGTTGTATATGCTTTTCATGGATGAATTGAATCACGGAAAAAAAATTCAAATTGAAACCAAAATATCCTACACAGTACTGTACTGCAAGTAACAAGTAACAAAAAAAAATGATATGATACGTATATAGAGCACATACAATATATATGAAAAAAATACAAAGAAATCACAATAACGACCAGCCCCCAGGGGGGGAAAAAATGACGATATAACTGTTTTTCATTTGGGGCTACATGTACACTTGCAGCTGATCGAACGGGGGGGGAGAGAGAGTCGAAAAAAATAGAGGTTGAGTGAGGTGTCAATGAGCGATATGCACGCTATCTCCCAACAGGAGAATTAGACTCGCGATGAAGGCAGGGCCATCCGATCAGTCTGTGCTCAGGTGAACTGAAGCTAACTTCCTTGATCTGGCCTCGAGCACGATCATATGCACAACAACAACGACAGCGATAGCGACAGCAACAACAAAATCCCCAACCTCCATCATCATCACCACCACCAAGCGAGGGGAGGTGGTTTTTTTTGGGATGAAAAACCACCTATTTCTGGGTCTGACACCCCCCCCCCCCCCCCTTCGTGTCTCTGAACGAGTGGAGGAGCGTGGTTTGTGGGTACCGAGTGATGAATCATGAAGAAGGGCTGGCTAGCTGTACGTACTGTCTAGGTAGTTATTATTATTATACGAAGAGAGAGGAGAAGAAAAAAAATGTCATATTTTTTTTCAGGGCGTGCAGCTGTCATTTGCCTCATGAGCGTTTCGAACTGGATAAGGGGGATACCCTGAGTTTAAAATGTAGTCAGGCAGCTTGGATGATGTAGTTCATGTATGTACATGTGTACATAGCTCAGTAGTTCGGTGGTGGATCGGTTGAGGCTCTTCAGGCTGTACGCCTAGGTCTAGACTCTTCTGGAATGAGTGAGTGGCATGCCTCATTGTAACCCAAGGCATTTCATCATTCTGATGAAAGAAAGTGACAACCTCTCACAAGTGGGAGGGTTGAGAGGCTGCAGGTTCGAGGCGGACTGAGTTTTTCAGGGTTGCGTTGGGGATAATGAAGTGTTCATTCTGTAACTCTGCCCCCAGCTCGCTGGAAATTTTTAAGGTTCGTTAAGCACGAGAATTATAAAAAGGTATCAACTGGGTTGAATCTTCGGAGATTTTTTTTCGTAATCTTCCTGTGTTATGTTAGTGTGTGTGTGCGTGTTATGCTGGGTACATGTAGTTGGGTGCGGGTGAGAGAATCAGGTATAACCTCAACTGTGGGGCTGTACATCTCTGTCTGCCCGGCCTTCGATCATTGACCCCCCCTTCCACTCCTTCCATATGTGCATAACCGCGACCGTTGCGCGCGCCCATTTTTTTCCTCATTTTTTTTTTAGTCTTTCTCCCCAAACAGCACACGCTAGTAGTTACCTAGGTAGCAGGTTTTTTTTTTTATCTGAGACGTCCCCAATGAGCTCATGATCAATCAGCCCTGATGCCTATCACGTGCTGATGATGCGGCTCTGGGCTATGTTGTTGTGTGCCCGCCCCTCACTCACCGTACTTTTGAACGCGTCATGCCGCCGTCAAGAACGTACCCCCTCTTTTCTGTACTGCGGGGGAGTCTCCGTGTGTGTGAAGAACGTTTTGGTCGGTCGGTCAGCGATCATAACCCAGTATGTGTGGCTTAGACATATGAGGGTGTGGGTGGCTCTGAATATCAGCAACGCCACAACAGCCTTGTGTGCCATGCCATGGCATCGGGTGCTGCGAGATTGCCGAGGTGTGGTTTGAAATTGAAGAAGGTGTGGTGGGTTGTGTTTCGAAGTTCGTCCGATCAGCACGATGAGGCTCTGTGTGGTGGGGGAGGGAGGGAGAACACGAGGCGGGGTTGAGGGGGCGGGAGATGCCATGGGTTGGATGGATGATCAGAGGAGGTGGCCTTTTAGACTGGGCTGCATGGGGCTTTTCGAGTTTCATCTTCGCCGGTACTTTTTTTCTTTTCTTCTTTGGTCGGGGTAGTCTTTGCAGGCTGCTGAAGAACACCCTGCTGAGTGCCTACATATACATAGCCGGTCTCATAACTGCTCTAATACACCTGTGTTAGAGTATGCACAGTAAGAGAAAGTATGTATGTGGAGTATGGTGGCTACGAACCGGCTTATTATGGGCCGTTCGTCATGTCCGTCCCCGCGTTTACAGTAGAACGCCGTAAAGAAGAAGAAATTTCTGGCCTACTTATCGCAGCAGCGTATTTTACCGCATCAATCAATCGCGTCCGCGTGTTTTTAAGGAGTAAGCATGGTATGCAGCTATGCGCCCCACAAAGATTTTTTCTTCTGGGCGGGTGTAACTGCGCATGTTGAGTGTTGAATAGGTGCAAAATTATCCCCTCTATGATCGAATAGGAACTAGAAAAACTAACAGCGGCAGCAGTAGGCCTCTGCCTATCTACTCTACCCTCATCTAGCAAATGTTATCTGTTAATCATTGGGATTAGTGGTTGATTTACACCAGGGCTTTCTGAGCCGGTACCCGGTACTCTACTGTTAACCTGGGATTGTGGTGTTGTCTAACCAAAGTGCTTTAGTTGACGGCGTGGCAAGCTTCAGCTGGCAGATAGTAGGTTGGATAGTTGGGGGGGTTTCAGAATATTGGATGCGGAGGAGATCGATCAGAGGCGTTATTTAGAACCAGCCCGGATGGCTGGAAATTTTCTCGGTATGCCGCACGGTAATCAGTAATCGCCGGCGGCGCGGGATCGGCAGCATGGAGGGTTTAAAAGTTTCGGGAATGGGACGGGAAGGCCTGTACTGTTCCAAAGAAGTAATGTGGCTTCTACTGGATCGTCCTGCCTGAAGCGGGAGTGATGCTCTTAGCATTCCTGACCGATAACTACACGTCGCCCTTTAGAAAAGGCTGGGATAGTCGCATATAGTTAGCAGTCTGATAGGCAGGAGGCTTATAATTAATTATTACGGCGGTAATCACCAATATTCTTTATTTATCTCTGCTAATAATATATCGCTTGATCCAATGCCTAAATGAGTGATGCAAGCAGCAGTTTAGTTTCACGCACGGTAAATGTACTCACCAATTATCACTCGTTATTGGGAAACGGCGACTTACCTTACCGTCGAAACGCATACAATTTTGAGCCTTATTCAGTCGGCTTATCCAGATCGTAGTACAAAAATCCTTTTTTAAGCCTTATTTCATCCTTAAAACATGCTTAAATAATACTTATTTGAACCTTATTGGATTCATAAGGCTATTATGAGCCTACGATCTGGATAAGCCGACTGAATAAGGCTCAAAATTGTATGCGTTTCGACGGTAAGGTACCTATTCTTTTTTTTTTTTTTTGTTTAATTCATTAATTGCATGCGACTTACCTATTCCAAATAGCAGTCACTAGCATCAATCCATCCGGATCCGAGTCAATTAACCTCAGGGTGGGGAAAGAGATTGTACTGCAAGTTCCTTCCTGTCCCCGGGCAACTGCTTGTGGGGGCGGGATGAAGAGGTTTCATTATGAAACCATTTGTTGATCAAAAACACAAGCATCTGCTTCCACAAGTGCACAACGCGTATGCTTAGACTTAATATCTCATCTGGCTGCAAATCTCCACGCCCCGCATCGAGTATGATCAACAAGGCAGATCCTCTCGATTAGAGGATACTTGCAGGGCAGAAGTGTGGTATTAGATATCTGGGTAGATTTGATGGTACTGTATGTTGTGCCACTCAACCCAAATTAATAACTCATCACGTTTCAGCTCCACCTAAGCATGTGGTAGAAGTGACAGGGGCGGGAGTCTTTTGTGTTTGGTTACATCGCACGTTGCGTTTTGTTGTATGTACGTGTCGAATTCTTGGCTCCGTCTTTCATAAGTTATCACTCGGTACAGACTATTGTGCCGTGGCTTCGATCTGTTGGCATATCGCCACGCGCCATATCAACAATCAAGAATAAGAGTTGTGCAACAACATAGAAATAAAATAAATGTATAACTCTTGGAAAAATCCGGTGTTCGGTTACAGCGTAGTTTATCTCATCATGGGGTGATGATGTAAGTTTAACTAGCGATGGATGATACAAGACTTGGGCAGGTCTTACTATCTGAGATCCCGACTTTAAGATCCAGCACCCGCGATCAGTATTTCAAAATATCGAGCCTTCCTATTCAGAGAGAATAACTCACATTGGCATATGAATCCTGTGCTTCACCTTCCTCCCATCAATCTGGTCGACGCTTCTGGCATTCTTGTGATAAAATAGGAACAGAGTAAGAAAGAATAGGTGTCTAAGTAGTCGAATAACCCTCCATGCGAGTCAATAATACAAGAGAGAGGATTACTAGTGTGTTTCACTTATCGAGCCTTATCTCTAGACTTGTCGCGTTAAGTTTGCCTGATCTTGTCTTGCCCAGATCCTAGTTTCATCCACCCAAAGTTTCAAGACATCGTCTCGAGATGACCTACCTCGTGTCCATCGACTTTCAAGTGCCGGTACCGAGAAGACCAGATCTTCGATTTGAAAAGCCGATGTATCTGTACGATTGCTGTCATGGTAAGTTATTGTGGCTTGATATCCTCGAGGCCTTGTCTTTTACAGTTGGTTTCAGTGTAGATGTTCTCAAAACAGGGTTGAAGGAGATGATGTAGTGGAGAAAGGGGACGATGGTGTTGACGAGATGGCCTTCGGGGTTCTATATACGGTAGCATTAATGACGATGACACCGAACGTTGTCTTTTAGAGACCGTCCCTCACGGCGCCCTCCACGTGTCGTCTACAATGGAATCTCTTAGCGTACCGAAAATTACTGGGGGGTCGGAACAAGAGAAATCATAATGTATATGTATTTACATGTGTTATAGCTCGCTTGGTTTTGGTAATGAAAACTTGATGTGTATTCTGTTTCTGGACCCGCTACATGCATTTGTATCTAGAGCATATACCTACAATGTAAGTACTTATCCAGAGACTGGTTCACAAGGAACATATCTATCGTTACGGCGCACTAGATTCCTTTATCCGCTATAAACACAGTACCAAAAAGCGATTATATTCGGCGCTTTATTCAGTAGAATATCGTGAGATTGCGGGCCGGGTGGGAGAAGCGGGCCGAAGCAGCAACTCCTCCCACGGCCGATGTTACAGCTTGCAGACACTATCGATCAACCGGTCAACGTCGAGGCGAGAATAAATCTGCCATACATTCAAACAGCCCCCTATATAAAGTTCCCCCAAACTCTAGGTATCCCGTATTTAGCGAGTGAGCCCCACCGCTCATATTGAGAAAAACATAAATTATCGCTCATACATATATCGGCCGTTTTCTCGGGTTTCTCAGGAAACAGGACTCGGTGACAGTTACTTAGCCAGGATAAAGCCCAATTCAGAGGATTTACGTAGCTCTATACAAATGCACCCTCTCCTACCATGATATCGCGACCTAGTGTGTGAGAATAAGTAATTAAGTAAGCGTAGTGACCTTAGATCGAGTGATAATATGTGATGGAACGGCATGAAGATTTCGTCATGAGATCTCACTCGGTTTTTGGATTTGACTAAGGGTTTGATGATTAATTAATTCATTAAGTATATATAATCTAAAGGGTAATAAATGGTTGATCGGTTGATAATCTGTTTGTTATATTATTCAAGGGTCTAGCGAGGTTTCTCAAGGCTGGATCTCGAGTTAAAGTCATATGAGTGGTGTAAGAACCCAGAATATTGGTTCCCATTCCATCATATTCGTACTGGCTGTAGATCTTAAGTTAGAGCTCTTCATGTAATTGTCACGCAACGCAGCCTTTTCCAGGGTTTATTTGTAAAGTAATATATATTTCTAAAACCACATGTTTATTACAGCTTTTTCTAAATTGGATGAACATTAATAATATGAGAAGGCGTCGAGCCAAGTCTGGAAAATAATCATAAACATAAACGACGAGGAAACATCTATATAGGAGATCGCTCTATAACCGTTACCAAGCCCGCCAAACAATTTAATCGAGAGCAGCTTAACCAACATGTCCAGCCTCCAAGAACAATTTCTCTCTCTGTACACCACACATTGATTAGCACAAATCCAAACCTGATGCAAATTAAAGCTGATAATACATACCGGCATAAAGATCGACCCTACAGTCACCACAGCCCCCGCCACAATAACCAAGATGTAAGTCTTGCCCATCGCATCTATAATAGCATGAAGCACCTCGCCCCTCTTGCTCTCATCTAAACTTTCAAAGAATGCACTACCAGCCCCAGCAATGGCACCCTTGACTGTATCTCTCGGTACCCCCGGTAGGATCTCTGCCATACCTTTAAATGCCTCATTCAGGAACACCGACCCTGAGATTGCAAGCGCTATCACGATACCGAATGACTGTGCAAGGGATATGAAGCCGACGGTGAGCGGCACTTCATTGGGTTCTACTTTGGCCTGCGCGACGGAGAAACTAGCTTGAATAAAGCAGCCGGCGCCGAAGCCGATAAGGATAGTGTACCCATAGATTTCAGCAGTGCTGGTGGACTCGGAGACGACGACTGTAGGTTGAATGTTAGTGGGAAATAGAGAGAGGGAGCGGATAGAGGAAGGACTTACACATGAGGGCACCACCGATAACGACGCCAATGCCGCCGATGAGGTACCAGGGCATGTAGTACCCCGTTTTTGTCATCCCGGCACCGTTGACGATGCAGAAGAATACGAGGATCAAAATGAACGGGAGGAGACGCACTGCCGCGTCAAGGGGACTGTCGCCCCTTACGAATTGGAAGAAGAGTGGGATGTAGTATGTTGGAATCTATCACGTACCGTTAGAACGAACTCGGAGAAAAGCAGGGTCAATGATCGGCTTACAAAGATTGCAGTTCCAGCAGAAGCCATCATGGCAAACAAGAGACACATGAATGGCCTGGTTACAAACTGCACCGGGAACACCCTATCCTCTACAGTCGTAAACACACATAGTGTTTGCGTGATAGCAAACACAACAATCAACACACCACCGACAACAAACAATGCTATAATTTGACCACTATCCCAATCATACACTGTTCCGCCAAAGTTAACAGCCATGATGATACAGCACAGCCAGCCAATATTGAGAATAATGCCCAAGAAATCAAGTTTCTTGACACGGTCCATAACCGTGACCTGAGGGTGTGGGTCGATGCCTGGAAGAAGCATAAAATAGACGGGTGCAAAGGCGGCACCGATAAGGAGGTTGATGTAAAACGCCCATCTCCATGTCGCTGAGCTCTCTGCAAAAGCACCACCAACAACCGGGCCGAGGACAGTGCCAATACCCCACATAAGCCCTGTGAGACCGATATAGGTCGGCCTTTCGTGGACAGTAGTCGTGATGGTTAGGAGCGTTAATGTCCCAAGGTACATACCCGAACCGCCAACCCCGGCAATGGCTCTTCCAATAATTAGGGCGTTCATGTTGGGTGCACCACCACACAGGGCGCTGCCTCCCTCAAAGACAATAACGGAGCCGATGTAAAGCCATTTTGGATTGAAGGTGCCGTAGGCCTTGGACCAGGTGAGGATTGTAGAGCAACCAGCGAGGATGAAGGCGATACCCAGCCAGCTGAGCTTTTCAATCTCACCGAAGCGAGCAATAACTGAGGCTTGGATATCGGCGACTACGGTATTGTCGAGGGCGAAGAGAAAGGTCGAAGAGAGAACGGAAAGAACCAAGAGGAACCACTAGAGAATTCAAAGTTAGTATTAGACTCTCGAGGAAATGATACGTTTCTGCCGTACCTTTACTCCAGTTACAGTGCGAACTGGTGCCGGTGCTTCGATTTTGATGACACTTTCAGTGGTAGATGTTGCTGAGGACTCGATATCAGTAGGAGGCACGGACAATCGACCCGATGAGGGTGCCTTTTCGCCCAATTCGGGCGATAAGGTAGACATTTTGGTAGACTGGTGAAGTCGATGTTTTGTGGAATTAAGGTGGTATTTCTGTGAAGGCTTTGTGAATATATGCCTAGCTGTAATCTCTGGAGTGATGATCTGATGGATTCAGAGGCTTCAGAAACAGAGAGGGAGCCCGATATTTGTACTATTCATTACGCACAATGATTACCAAGTTGATATAGACGTACTGGCACATGATTAATCAGACGGATTAGGATCCTCAGAAAACCGGGGCTAGGATTATAGTACTAACTCACCAATTAGAGGTAGGTTGTAGTGTTGAACATAGTAGTAATGACTACTACATGCAAAATAAACTCCCCCAATTGCGTCAAGTGTAATATACGAGAGACATATTGACCCATAAGCTCGTACTGTAAGAGCTAGTTCTCATTTAGGTGGGTATTTCCAGCAGGAAATGGTAGGAGAATTTTTATTGCCCTTAATCCCGCAAAACCCGATCAGATATGCACCAAGAGAGGCTCAAATTAAGAAATTTTGGTGCGATAATTGGCGTATCGAAGAAAACAAAAAAAAAAAATCATCTTTTTGGGGAACAAAGAACTGGAATTGCAGCGGAGTGATTAATAATTTAATGAATACGATATGAGTTGACTAGCAGCCGCAGTCCAATGCAGCCCAGTAGATGGATTAATATGTAATGTAGCCTTGCAGAGGGAATTCACCTAGGATCTTTCTGTGGATAACCAAATGTTGATTATGAATCGGGCCCGTATGCGTATTCTTTCATTGCTTGTTTCTCTTCATAGGTTCCACAAAGAGAGTGTCTCAAATGGGATGTATGACTCGCGAGATACTCTATCTACACCTACACACATGGCCATCGGGTCAACTTCATTCCACCCGCCCAAACCAACGGCGAGTTATATCGCCGATTAACACTTTTCATCGTTAATTCCGTTATCTGCCAGGCTGAAGTCGGGGCGTGAAGGATCAAGTCTTGGAAGGAATGTCGATGTAGTCATTTTACCGATTGGCGTGCAATACTTCCCACGCAGACCCTTGAGTACCTATGTAACCCGGTCACCTTCCTGGCTACAATGATGTCGCAAGGCTTATAAGATTTAAGCATGAATGCATGCCTGACTGTAGCCGTTAGTAATGGCGGAGGATAGTTATACCGCTTTGGGTGGTTGAGACTCTCTTGGCGAGCCTATGCTAACGTCTGGTTGGCTTGAGTTAATCTGGTTTACAACCGACAAACGCACTAGGAGTAAAGACGGAGAATCTTATGCCCGGTTGGGTGGCCGTGCTAACCAGACCATGATCATGCAGGGCCCGTAAGGACTGTTACCGATAAACTCCCTTCATTCTAGAATCAATCAATACTGTGGGGCTGCCCGTATGCGAAGAATTTTATTTATTCGCTGCATGCTAAGATAATATTGGTAGTTTGGCTATCGTGTAGTATGCCTGTAGCCCCAGACCAGGCTTTGGTGAATAACGAACGGCGATGAAAGCCTAAGCAAAGATTTGTTAATAGGATAACAACAAATCAAACAATGGTCAATGCATGGAAGACGAGATCAAGAGATAACCGACTAGAGGATAAAAGCGAGAGCTGATCATATTACCGGCCAGATATTGAAAGTGTCCCCAAATAGGGATAGATTGCACCCAAGGTGTACATATCATTGATAAGATTGGTGAGATTTATTTTAAGCCACTTACACTCGGGAAAATACGGCATCAGCCACAACCGTCGAGTTACACGTTACGTGCAATTTTTACCTCTGTCATTGTAAGCCGATTCGACAAATAAAGGTCAAAAGTGAAAGTGCAAGACCTTCGAAAATGAGTACAAACATTCGATATTCCAAATAACTTAACTTTCGACCTCATACTCACTTATGTAAGTGTTTGCATAAATCCTTCCGTCTTGATTGGCCTTTCGGAAAGAAAAAAAATCCACGGTCCAGGTTAACGGCAAAATCTCCTTACAATACCACATTCCAGTTCATTGCGATCTACTTAACGCAGGGCAAGTGTCGTGTTTCTGGTGCCATAGCATGTATCTAGTACAACGAAGCACTAAAGCCCGGTGACTCTGATCATCCCTGCAACTCCCAGTAAATAAAATACCAATGAAACAATCTCGATCGTTGCGTAAGCCAGCTTTACTCCTAATAGAATGAGAATAAGCAGACTGTAAGTCTAGACGTGGCCTGTGATTGGCATGGACTGGGAGATTAAGTTGTGAGCCGAGGGAGATTAAGTGGTCAGCCGCCTAACTAGATAAGGATATTTGACAGCTCCATGGGCGGTTGTTTCGTTAAAGTTATTGGGCCAATGCATGCATGGCGTGCGGCGTGGTTTATGAATTGAGTGCTGAGCATTCCTGGGTATGTAGCTAGCGACGATTCTTCTACCCATATAGTCTCCCCCTCAATTGGTACCTTATATCTTGTTTTTAATAGGGCCATTTACCCTCACCGGAGCTCAATGGAATGCTCCAACGCATCGAGAACCGATAGAATGCAAGATGATCTACTGAGGCTGAACCCCCGACTCGGGTACTTTACGGGGATATCATAGCGTGTCATTCCAAGGCATATATGTGCATGTGCTGTCAACCCTGTGCTTGGCGTCCCACCAGTGGGTAGCAATTAACCTCGAGTTTTTGGTATGGAGCGTATAAAGGTCTTGTAGGCAGCATGCCAAATTTTCAGACTGCTGAAGGACTTGGTACCGAAGCTCACAAGACCGCCGCTCTAGTGAATCGGGATGTTCCTGGTAAGCTGGGGGTACCGGCCGTTCATGTTACTGGAAGTCTGGAACTTCCATCAATCACACATCTCTGGGTCGGTAAGATTCCGGAAGATGTAGTCCGTTACCTCCGAGTAAAACTGAGGCTTACTATATTAGATATCAGGCTATATCTCGATATCTATAGATTAGCATGAAATGAATTCAGTATATATCAAATTCAAATTGGTGGATCGTATACATTCGTACCCTATTTGGGAGATCTGATGATACCAGCTCTCGCCCTTTGCTTTGTGTGATATTGTAGTCTATACCTCCTTATTCTCTAGTTGATATCGGGCGGCTGTTAGATAGGAGTAGAAGTCGGCAAGAGACAACACCTAGGTCTCGCGGTATGAGTATTCAAAGCTTCACGAGGTTGGGACCATTCATCGTCGCCAAACCACCGCACATGTAGTACACTCAACGGGAGTGCGTATGTACATAATGTACATCCAGTCTCGTGCCCGGCCCGTGTCTCTGCACGAAGTGCGAAAACAAAAACAGTCCGAGAACAAGACTAACGTACATCGTACATGTACGTACATGATGTAGTGCGGTTGAGGTTGATGGGGAAATAAGGTTTCTGGCCTGTCTTGGCACCAGTTACTCAACTATCATTTTCGGACACTGCACCACAATGGCCAGTACGTACATGTAGTGTTAGCACCGGGTGATCTTAGAAGGTTCAGATTCGGATCTAAGGGGTAAGAGTACATGTCGTTTCTGTGAGATATTGCCTTTTCTTCTTTTTGTGTATAAACCGGCAACTAAATATTACTACATATACAAACGGCATGTTACTCAAGGTGCTGTTAGACATCTTAGTTCGTCGTCCAACCAGTTTCGCAGTTTCTATAACTACGGAATATATTGAGCTGCACGCCTATCCACTCAGATGTCCGTGTCTAGGTGTTAGACATGTTTCACCCAGGGAATGAATATATGCATATTTCTAGGTTAGGTTTATTGCGTCAACGCCACTACATACATATAATCATGATCATACCAGCATGCAAATATCTTTACATGATTCATACTAACTTGCTATTAGTTCTGCGCAAGCCCGGCCAGAGGCACCCCTAAGAACTTTTGCCCGACGCAAATTATTCAATATACCTAAACTCGGGATGTCTATACCCTAAGCCCCTCGCCTCTTCCTCGGTCAATCCCTGCAGCCGGTAGTCTCTGCCTCCCCTATTCCTCAGGCTGTTTTCCCACCTGATGTACAGGACTGCACAGATACTTATTGTCGCGGCAATAGCCTGGGCACCAAGGTTGATCGAGTGCCCCTTGATGTAGTTTGGCCCGTCTGAGGGGATGTAGGTCCATCTATCAGACATTGATTAGCACAGCAAAGGAGCTGAGGGAGAAGATAACATACGTTGCGAGAATAGCGCCCGCTGTCCCCACTGAGACCACATATCCTCCCGTGACCGCCCTGACCGAGGGCCCAGCGGCATTGTTCAAGCTCCAACTTAGAAACCCAGGACCAAGCGGGAAAGCACCACTTGCAGCAAAGAAGACAGCCATGTACTTGATATTCGGGCTGTCCACCGTGACCAACACAGCATACCCAATGATGGTCAACAAACTGCAAAAGCACAGATAGATACCTCTCCTGCGGTGCTTATCAGATAACCAAGCGATAAAGATAGAGAAGCAGCATGCAACCGCATACGGCGGCACAGTAAGCAGCTGCGCACGGGTGCTGGTCCAGCCAAGGGCTCTAAGGATGGTGGGGAGGAAGAGGGAGAAGGATTGTACGGTGACATTGATGAAGAAGAAGCCGAAGGCGCAGAAGAGGTTGTTGATGTTCAGGAGGGCGCGCTTGATGTGGTGGAGGGAGGTGGCCTCGGGGGCGGACTCTTTGTGGTCATGCGCGATGCGGAGAGTGGCAATGTGGGTTTGACGAGGGGTGAGAAATTTGCAAGCGGCTGGGGAAGAAGGCATGAGGAAGTAACCCATGATGGCGACGCAAACGGTGATCAGGCCTTCGAAGAAGAAGATGTTACGCCAGCTGAGATAGGTTGGATTAGCGTTGCATTGGGAGGGCTGGTTTGATATTGATAGTCATACCTGTGAATAGGGTCGCTATTTACCCCCCATGTGGGAATCTTTCTAAAGACATATATTGATCAGCATCTCTCACGGAGTATCTAAGAATACTGTTCTAACTCACGATAAACCTGTCGCCAATAGTCCACCAAAAGCGCCCGCCAAGGAAGAGGCAGACACAAAGATCCCAATTCTGAACAGTAGTTCATGACGCTTATAAAAGCAACTCAGCAGAAACGCAATACCAGGCATAGTACCGCCTTCCGCAATACCAAGGAATGCACGTGCGGTACATAGCCCAGCAAAGGATTGCACGAACGCAGTGCAGAGAGAAATTATACCAAAAGCGAAGATCAAAAACGGAACTAGAGATATATTCAGCGTGGTTGTTAAGAACGACAAATGTAAAACTCACTGTAAAATTTAGGGCCAATATGTTTTAGAAGGATATTGCTTGGAATTTCCACTCTGACCGCATGTTAGATTGAGTTTTCAATTGAAGGGGCTGGGGCCATACATGAGATAGAAGATGTAGAAGATTGTCAATGCCCAATTGAACTTCAACCCTTCAAGTCCCACATCATCCTGCATCCCTTGGATTCGAGCATTTCTAAGAGCAAGATCAGCGTCGTCGCGTTAGTCACGAGCGTAAATCAACCACGTTACTTAGCAAAAGCAAACATACCCAATATTCGATCTAGCGATCACAACCAGTCAGCGATTGAAGTTCCGTTATAACAAGCCGCTGCTAAGGACTTACCTATCAATGAAGCAAAGTAGATATAGCAATGTCACCAATGGCACAATTCTTATATCTAACGCCCTCACTAACGCCTTTTCCTCCTCTGGCGTCCAGTCCTCTTCTTCAAGATCCCAATTTGTCGCGATGGGCTTTTTTATGGACCCTTCAAACTGCTCTGCTCTAGCTTTCTCTGTATCGTGAGACATGATGGACAGTTGCAATGTTGGGTGTCTAAGGTTGTCTTGGATAGGTGGTTGGTGATGTAAAGTAGGTATAGATGTTCAAAAAGTAGCTTCTAAAAAAGTGATACCCCCTTACCTCGGCTACCGCTGGGCTGTTCAAAGTGTTCGAGATACAAGGACTCCCTTTGATGAGCTCAGCTTTATCAATATTATTTCTGCACTCTTTGATAGAAGATCGCTGCCAACAAATCACAGGCCAGATCCTTGCTGGCATCCAACACTTCGGGGGAGATTTCCCAGGCAGGTGGGTTTTGCGGGGTAGATAGCGAGGGAGGGTTTTTCTTTTTTCCACACTAGGGATATAAGCCTTGCAGAGAGTAGCGGATAAGACTATTACCGCTACCGCTCGGGTATCTAGCTCAGTTATGAGGTTAATATATGCATATTGTACCCGTACATATTGAAGTTTAGATTGGTGCATGATGTTATTATGTCTGCTCGGCAAGGCCCGAAACAAAAATTCAAGAATCATTATTGCAAAGTGAGGTTAGCTGGTTTATAGATCAGTACCTGAAGCTCTAATTGTGGTCGTAAGGTACTTGCATTCTGCTCACCATAAGCGAGGTGGTGAATATCAGGGTCTTGGCAGGAACTTGTTGAGTGCCAGTGCGTGGGCATCGAATCTTGGCACAAATTAGGTGATGTAAATAAGTACTGATAAGCAATAATGATAAGTTGATATTGCAGAATGGTTGAAACATCTGAATGTTAAACACCCCAACGTGGCAGGTTGATACGTACGAGTTACCACGAGTAAGGTAAACTGCACTTCTAGGAATCACAATATTCTTAGCTCCAAAGGCGTCTGTCATACAAGCTACGTGTACCTATTCGTAGTAGCTACATGTACCTAGTACTCAGAAAAAGAAATGGTTGTATGTATGTTAGCGGCCTTTACTTCTCTTGGGATTGTCTGAAATGGGCTTGATATACGCCGGTGCTACATGTACTCTACTCTACTCTACTTACTTTAGTGTATGCACGTACTTGCGACCCCACAAGATCTAACCGAAGTACCTATTTTCAATCAGCTGACGAGGCCACATCGAATAGAGTGATAGTTGATAGTTGATCATTGATCGGTCAAGGTGACGGCCGGAGGTGGTTTAATTGGGCAGTACCATGGTAAAGGCTCCACACCACTCGGCAGGTACCGAGGCACCGAGGCTCACATTAACTTTTGTAAATCGACTTATCAAGTACTGCTACCCCGGAGAGTTTAGTTCTATGGCTGTGTTGATTTGAGTGCAGTTAGCTGGCGGAAGCTTCGAGATGGTCCATGCATGAACGACAGTGATATACACCGCAGGGCACCTCCCAATAGCACTACCGACCTCAAAATACCATCCTATAAAGATCTCAGTAGATACATACGTAATATCTGTAATAGATATACTGACATGTCTACAAGTATCTATCAGAGTTTATTCTCTGGGTTATGTATACATATTCCTACTTATGTACGTACAGAGTGCACGTAATTGCAATATGTCAACTGCACTATAATTCTAACCATTTCACATTTCAAGTTGCTGGTGTGTCTTCAAGTCGCCAAGACACATTGGATGCACATTATTTGCGCTATATAAAGCACCAAGATACTTCACCCAGGAGATCTCTATAAAATCCTAGAGATAGTTATATTTCGTCATTTTTATTTACAATATCAAATCACAACGGGACACTCGCTCCATTCGCCCTCCAAAAGTCACACTTCTCCTTCAACTCTGCAAAGTTCCGAGTCCCAATCGGGGTCGATGAATTCGCCACCGCCCTACTTCCATCACCTAGTAGAAATAGCTTTCCTGTCCCCACCCCCGGATATACCACCGGTGTCAGGGAGTTTCGATTTGGATCTGCAGTTTGCGCAAATGATGCATATCCTCCTGCATAGGCTTGATAGATGTGAGGATATTGCTGCTGTGCTGGCTGAATTGTGTTCCACTAATATTCGTTATGAGCTTAGGAGCAGCCATCGGTTTAGTGTAGGGGAACTTACGAATTGCGTATCACTCGCATGTTTTGCCGTTCCCACGCCAAATTCAACCAGCCACCCCTTCCCGGCTGCCGAAGCGGCCCATAATGCCGGGCAGGCCAACACTGAGTCTCGATATACTGAAGCTGCCCTTAGGCTCGCACCTTCCTCGTCTAGATACAGTTTCTCCAATGCTTCAAACTGGGAGTCTGAAAAGCCAGGTAAATACTCTTTCATCCACTCGCCCCAATTGCTTACGGCTGATGGTACAAAGTTTTCGCCTTCGTGGGTGTTGTATACCATTAGTGCATATTTGTTATTGATACGCTTGGCTGCCGCAGCGACACTGAACCGCTCGGTGATAAGCTCACCATCAATGACTGGCGTCCAGGCGTGCGATAGGGTTTCGCCGTGAATTGTATCGACGGCAAGACTAGCATCTCGCAGGGTTTGCAGAGGAACCTTGCGGAGACAGCCTATTGCCTGGGACCGGATGGCGGAGCAGTTGGTATAGTTGAGGAAGGTGGTGAGAACTTGCTCGATCTGGGGCGCATTGTAGTGATATTGCTTCTGCACAAATGGTGACGACGCAACGGCACTACGGAAAAGCGGTTGAGCTACGGAATGTTAGTTAGACCTAGCTGTATATTCCTAGAAGCATGATATTAGGTGGGCATACAGCTTTTTGCAATTGTCTGGAAAAGTACGGATCCTGCACCAGCGCTCTGACCCCAGAGTGTTACTTTCGAAGGATCGCCGCCGAAGATGTGGATGTACTATGTTCAGCGTCTTGTCAATCTCACTTCTTTCAATGCGATAAAAGGTCATAAAAACCTTCTGCACCCACTGCAATGCCGCTCTCTGATCCAACAATCCCACATTCAGATCCGTCGTTGGATCTTCTTTTACTAGGTCCCCTGCCAGGAATCCAAAAGAGTTTACCCTGTAATTCGGTAAAACGACAATGAAGTCATTCTCACTCGACACATTCAGGGTCGGAAACACAAAGGGAGGCCAGGATATCGAGCCCCCGCCTTGGATGTATCCGCCTCCATATAGCCATACCTACACATGCATCGCTATTAGTTTGATAGGCCAACACCAGTACCGGCTTTCTTGCCGAAGATATGTGGCACTCACCACAACTGGCTTCTTCGCACCCTTGACGAAAGGCCGCCCATATATTTCAAGATACAGACAGTCCTCGCTCCCGTTGACAGTTCGCTGGACACAAAAGTCTTTTGTAACAGTCGCATCGAAGTCGTCTTTGTACCTCAATGGGGGCTGTGGAGCCCGATATCGTAGCTCTCCGACCGGGGGCGCCGCGAAAGGAATTGATTTAAAATACGAAATATCGTAGGTGGCGTTGTAGCCTCCAACAAAAGTCCCATAGTCGAGTACGGCCTTTGGGCTACTCCTACTTTCAATTGGATCGGATTTGCCATCAGAGCGAGGAAACGCCTGGGTGAACGGTAGCGCTAGAAATACCGCAAAAAGGACGACGACGGCGAGTGAGTCGAAGAACCGGGACATCGTGACGGTTGATCAACGGTGGGTCGGATACATCTTTGAGGATCCAGAGTTTTATAATTTGTAAACCAAGATTTTTTATTTTTTTGAGGGCTCGGTATATCGTGATGCCGAGATGCCTACATACAACTTACAGGCAGGGGCAAGGTCAGGGGGGAGCTTACCCCGGATTTTATCCCCAGGTTGAGTTTATTTAGTGCGCTAGCTGGAATGCCCTTAGTATGGTGTCGGTAAGTAAAGCGGTAGTAGATATACTCCATCCCACTATATAGCTACGGGCTTTTGCGAGCTTTGCTTGAGATGGAAACCCCCCTGGTATTTCGACTTTATGCGGCGCACGAAGGGAATTTTGCTCTTGGCTTGACTCGCCTAATTCACCTCCTCTAAACGCCAGATCAACAGTCGTGCGGCATGCGGTTGTTTTCACGGCTAGTTGAAACCTGTAGTCAGCGATTATTAGGCTGTCCGGATTGGGAAGGTTCTTACCGAAAGGCTTGGCAACAAACGCAGGGTCAATGATCAAATGTCAGTTTTTTTGTTGTAGTCAGTAATGTTTATGTAGATAAGAACATTGCCAAAGGGGATAAAAGAAGGGGGTAAGCGAGAAAAACCAATAAGATAATCAGCATCAACAACTAAAGAACGACAGAAAATGGCAGGAAGAATGGGGTCATGCTAAGATCATAAAGCGAGTGAACAATAATTGGATAGAAAATGTTGAATTTTTTTTTCTATGTGTTAATATATACATCTTAATACCATCTTCCATCTCTTCTCATACCTCATCCCAACCCGCACTCAATTCTCATCCTAACCGCAGAGGAATAAGCTTTACCAAAGAGAAAAGAGAAATGAAATCGTTAGGAAAAATTAGAAATAAAGAAAATTTATAACCGAACAAAATTATCTAATGCGCCCCTAACCGGCTTTTTATATCCCGTGCTCCCCCCGCTCATTCCTTATGCCTGAATATAAAGGTCGGTGGTAGGGTTGTATTTGCAGACAACGAACCCAACCTTAGCCGGAAGAGTGGCGGCCCCAGCTACAGCTCCGGCAGCGGCAGCAGCGCCCGCGGTTGAGTCGACGACCTGGCGCTTCTGGTTACCCTGCTGTTTACCGTAGTTCTTGCTGTTCTTCTTGTTCGACTTCGAGGCGCTGTTGTACTTTGTGTTCTTTGGCTGGCTGTTGTTCATCTTTCCCTGGGAGCCGACGTTGTTGATGTTCTTGGGTGTGTTCTGGTCGGAGATGCCGTTCCTGCTGGGCTGCGACATGGTGTTGTCCATGTACTGCCTCTTGTAGAATCCGCCGTAGCCGCCGTAGCCGCCGTAGCCACCATAGCCTCCGAAGCCGTTCCCGATCGCGTTTGTGTTGGTGTTGGCGTTGTTGTTGTTGTTGATGTTCTCGTTGCCGCCGTCATCGTCGTCGCCGCCCTCAGTGCCCTCGGCGCCCTCGAAGCCCTCGACGCCCTCCTCACCACGCTTGTAAAATCCGCCATAGCCACCGTAACCACCGTAACCGTCAAAGCCATTACCGAGGAAGTTGGCGTTGGTGTTGGTGTTGGCGTTGTTGTTGATGTTGACGTTCGAGTTGTCGCCGTCATCGCAGTTGCCCTCATAGCATCCACGGTCCTCGGCGGCACGGATATAACCACCACCAAAGCGGTTTCCGAACCCAAGACCGCCGAGACCGCCGAAGCCGGGTACGAAGCCGCCGAAGCGGGGTACGAAGCCGAAGCCATTGCCGAAGCCATAGCCGTTTCCGGAAAGACCAAAGTTATCGTTGGTGTTGGTGTTGGTATTTGTGTTTGTGTTTAGGTTGACGTTCGAGTTACCGACGCCGTCGAAGTCGTCGCCAAACAGATCACGCTTGAAGAAGCCGTTTCCGAATCTAAAGCCGGGCCTGAATCCTCCAAAGAAGGGGGAGAATCCAAACCCGCCAAATCCGCCAAATCCGTTTCCGAATCCCCCATTGAAGCCAAAGTTGTTGTTGTCATTGTTGTTGAGGTTCTGGTTGATGTTTGTGTTTTCGTTTTCATTGTCATCATCACCACCAAAGTCGCGATCGCGCTTCTGCATTGTGGCAGAGCTCTCGTCGCGCTTGAAGAACCCAAAGCCAAAAGGCGAGAACGCGCCAAACCTTCCGAACCCTCCAAAGCCATCACCACCAAAGTCGGCATTAGTGTTTTGGTTGTTGTTTATGTTCTGGTTGATGTTCTGGTTTTGCTCACGCTTGGTCAGAGCGTCAAGGTCGACGGCGCCCGCTTCGTTGACGACTGGAGGTACGGGGACTGCCACTTGGTTGGTGACGGGAGAGACACTCGGCACACCGGCTGGGATGAGTACCCCAGCGGTGCTGAAGGTGCAGTAACCAATATTGGGGCTAACAACAGCGGGAGCACCGCTAACAGCGGGAGCGCCGACAACAGCTGGAGCACCTGCAGTGGAACTACCGCTCGCACTTGCAGCTGCGGCAGCGTTTGCGTTGTCTAGGTTGCCAGCGGCGCTGCCGGCAGCAGCTGAACTGCTTGTAGCAGCATTATCGTCGACCTGAGGAGCCGGAGCTGCCATGGAAGAGACAGCGAGGAGGAGCACTGGGAGCGCAGAAAGTTTGACAAAGACCATCTACAGGGATGTTATTATCAAATCCTAATATATATATCATGATAAACTTAATAAGACTTACTTTGAGCGAAGGTAATAAGAGGTGATTAAACTCGAAAGCTGTTCAGGTTGCAAGAAGCGATTGAGAAGAGTGTTGATGGGTTGAGATGAGCTTTGATGGTAAGATGGTAAGATGTGATGAAGAGAAGAGAAGATGAATGGGTAGGAATTAGATGTCTTATATACCTTCAAGACCTCAAACAAGAGCAAACTATTCTCTCTAGCTCTGCTTGTCTGCTCCCTCACCGTGCGTATCTTCGTCTCTTTCCCATCTCACCCGTAAAACGCATACCCACTGCCTCTCTCCTCTCATGACTAATGATATCATACCACCACGAAAGGGCTTTCTCGCCGGGAATAAGCGATGAGGGTAGATCTAGAACTCCACATGGCGATATCTTTATGAGTATGTTCTCGAAGGATGAGAAGGAGGAGAAAGCATACTATGATTTCGGGGTGAATCTATTTTTAAAAGAGAAAGCTCCCGGGAACATGCTCTTCTCCACCTGGAACCGACCATTTTGTCTGAGGTCATGATATGTGAAGGCGAAAGGACATTGAGATGCAGTGTGTTCCTAAACATTAACAATGTCTTGGCACTCCAATAATATTTGTTGCTACTATCGCAGCGTTGCCGTTGTCGTCGTCGCCGAGCTCAACGATAGTAATGACGTAAGTAGTAGAGAACCCTCAATATCGCCGACGCCGCCGGTAAGCGCAGCGAAATTGATGTCAGCAAATGTTCACCCGCCACAAGGCCGAGAATTCGGCCTTCTTTCTGAGACGTCGAGTTCCTGTCATAGCATCGGGGTTGGCTGTGGGGCAGCGGCAGTTCGGTAGTCTCTGGCCGATGCCGTTGCCGTATCGTTTTGTTCGTTAAACCGAGAGAATGCTAGCACGGCTCCACAACGTGCAACGCCGTCCCGGTTGGCCCACAAGCTGCACGAAAATGATGTCAACGACCCTCATGTATCCCTGATAACCCTAATCCAACCCCCACCAACCTTATCGGAGAGTTCTCCCCGGTTGGGATACGTTCGATCCCTTCCTGACGTCCCTTGTTCAACTGGTGAGGGTCAGAGGTGTAATCTAAAATTAGAATTGCCCCTTTACTTCTTACCATCTCCCGTTTGCATATCTCTTACTCGGACAACTACGGAGTGATAGACTATGGCATTGTTAAGTGGGGCACCAGGTTGGATTGCAATGCCTAGTTTTTTCGTCCAAGACCTCAATGACCCGTATATCCGTATTTACGCTGGTGTTACGTTGGTTTTGAAAAGATTAGACTCAAAGGTTTATCCAAGCGGAAAACCATTGCACAAACGATTACCAAAACGCCATATCATGAGCAAGAAAAGTAGCCTGTGTATGCCTTCTTGAGAAAGGTCTGAGTCGGACTGGCACGTTGAAATAAGGGCTGTCCCCTAATCCGTCCCACCCGTTCGCGACTTTAGCCCCACGACTAAAGTTAGTGACATCGCTCTCTAAAGCGGTTTAAATACACTTAGAGGATTTCCCGAGTTGCCGAGACTTTGTAGCGAGTAGTAGTAGTCTAAAGGACCTTGAAAGCAGAGTAGTATGCAATTAATGAATTAAACAAAAAAAAAAAAAAAAGCAGAGTAGTGTTCGATCATGAGGTCTCACTCGGGCTCCTCGAGCTGACTTTTAACCCACTTTCTAGGATAAATATTAGCCTTGACAAGCTTCTCCGTATAAGAATTATCTATCACTTCAAATTAAAAGAAGACCAGCACAAGCAACCCAGTTCACTTAGCACCACACACCCCAATATTGTTCCGATATTGCCTAATGAGATAGCAAAGTAGTTAGCGGGGAAATGTTGTAAATTTGATATGTTGCAGGTTTGATCTCATCGATCTGTTAAACTTGTTAGTGTAGTCCCCACAAAGCTCTTGGATCACCGTACAAGATAAACCTAGAGACGTCTGACTCAAAACTTACAATGCCGATCAGTCATCCTAAAACATTTGAGTCACTTGCCAAGACCATTTCGTCTATGCCCCCTCACCCGGTATCTCCTTGAAGAGTTGAGTATCGGCTTCAATATATATCAAGGGTCTGCCTTTTAGTATGCAGCTGGATTCTAAGAAAAAATCTATTTGCCCGTGAGTATCTCTATGTTTCATTTGTTTCATTTTTCCCAGATATAGTTTTCATGAATAGTGTAGATATTACCAGTACATACTGAATTAGTCTCTTGGACGTAACAACAGTTAACTTGAATATGAGAAGGAGCAAACTTACCAAATCGAAGACAGTTCCCTGAGCTAAGCAAAGAGGAAGGCAATATCGAAGACACCTGATTAGTAGAGGTGATCGATGAGCTCTGAAATGACTCAAGAACTTATTCGCAGTGCCTTTTGCAATTTGCTCCTTGAGTCACCATCTCCAGCCAATAAATGACGAGCGGCGAATTCAATCACTAATCCTATATCTCTATTGGCATTGACGCTTGGCAATACATGAGTCAACCCCCCCCCATGTCGGTTCAGCCTTGGCGCTCTCTCTGTCCCCTATATAATCCTCCACAATCCCGCGCCCTTTTATGAAAAACCAGCTCTCTTTGCCAATGGCTTAGATCAAGTGTAGTATCTGTTCTTTTCAGTTTAAAAGCTGAAACCTGTTCTACGGAACGCGGTTTTCAAACCTTTAAACTCGTTTTTGGCCTACAGGGGACCAGGGGCTCTTTGCTCGCATATCCTTTGGTCCCCACTGTGTCGCTGGTATTACACTGTTTCCAGGTGATGCGAATGTTGTGCTTTTCATTGCTTCTCTGGCTGTATGCGAGAGGGTAAAGAAATGCGATTTTTCTATTTCACAGTGCAGAAATTAGCTAGTTGAATGAATAAATATTAATATTTGGAAGAGGCTATTTTGTTGGACGGTGAAAGGATCTATCTGAAGTGATGAAACGTTCGTTCGCAAGAGTGTATAGCCTAGTAGCTATAGATATATCTACTGAGCTCCCCAGAAGGGGCCTAATGTCGCGAAAGAACATAGTTAGCCTAAGCATTAACATACATGAAGGTGATTGGCACAAAAAAAAAAAAAAAAAACCTCAATCGAATCCCGACCCCCCATAACCAGCCAGCCTATCCGCCAACAACGTGAGCAACAGTACTACCTATAATTACCTTCAGTCTACTAATACCCCTATGCACTCAAGAACCGTAGATGGATGTACTCCTGAGCGGTCAACGACAAGGTAGTGGAAGGCAAACATGAAATGAGCAGAAAAAAAGAAATAGAGGCATCAATAACATACCATTAAGTAGAAGAGACTCGATTTGATAGTTGAAGCTGTGATAAGAAAGGTATGGGGGGATGGACGACCTTTATATCTAGAGTGGAAATGGCTACGGTAAGCCGACGTACGTACGCAATGCAATGTATTTAGGGCCCGTTCGGCCACAGTCCAAAACGTCATTTACAAGGGTAAAGACTCGGTTTCAACGAACTTTTTGTTAGGCATTGACCCTTGAAAACTCTGTTTTGCCTTGGGCCCTTACATTATGACCACATATCCTTAACCACATTTAGTGTAGAGAAGAGAACACATACACAAACGGAGTGAGTCTCACTATGACTGGAAGAATATTCCTGGTACTAGAGTTATCTAGTTGTACCACCAGGGAAGACTCTTCCACTTCACTCAAAGTTACCGCCCACAGTTCATGACCGAGTGATAGTGTATGATGCAATCTCAACCACAATAAATTCCAGTAGTGTTTGTATTTTGACTCTGAGCCGACAGAACATGCACTCACATGTATCATGATGTAATTAAATTTCTTCGCTTACGCGTCATTCCTTGACGACCTGGGGAGGCAGTACATGTAGCCTCTAGTAGAGTATTCAAGCCCAAACCTACTATCTGATAGGCCCTACCCCTGGTACAAACTTTATCCGTGAGTACTAGCTAGTTGCGTGTCTATTATTATGATCTGGGTGTTTTAGCTCAGCAATTTCCCAGAGAGTAAAAAGGGTATTGGGCCCAACTGAAATAGGCGGATAGGTGTCTTTCTGTCCAGCCTTCGTCCTCATGATCACTCCATTAGATCGCCACTCCTTAGCAGCCGGGTTCCTATTAGCATCACGCGTATTAATTCACCGCCTCTTGAATTTCAACTGGATAAATGATGTTGATTCCTACAACTCAGCAAAAGATTTAAAGTGACGTTCGCGCTAAGAAAACTGAAGAGGACCATGCATTCCGTTTAAGCCGATAAAGTTATCCCGTGTGTGATATAAGACACAAGACTTTAAGAGGCGCACTGAAACACGGGCAAAAACCAGATGCTGATATTTTTTCCACGTACCAGGGTTAGGGTTGCGAAAATGCCTCTATCTGGTGATAAGTACCGCAACAAAAAGTATGATGTTACTTTTTTTCTTCTGGAACACCCTGCGCTGCACGTAACGGAGCCTCTAAATATGCAAAGAAAGGGGTAGAATCGGAAAGAGCAGCCAGACTTGGCCAATGGCGGATGAGATGAGATCGAGTGATGTCTCCTGAGGTTCGGAGAATATAGGCGTCCAGGTCCTAGATTCAGATTTGCAGAACCGGGTTAGCTGTCGACTAGTCAGATCTATAGGTAACTACACACTTCTCTTTCTTTCAGTCCCATGTAGTATCGTGACGCTTATTTGAGCAGCGCGCTCTCGGAGTTGCCAAGTGGGGACGGGATAAGGACCACAACGCCGATGAAACAGCAAAACCACATTCGCACCCGTGCCACTGTTGCACGCTATCTCGAGTCAAATATGCATGTAAATGTCACCTGCTCGCGTAGATGCATTGTCGATACTTTAATCTTGATGAGTAAACACCTAAATCGCTTGAACCGCGGTCCGGGGACGTCTGGACCTTTACGCATTTTTAGAGGGGGTATGTTCTTGGAAAATAAAAATGTCGAGACATTTCGATCAACCAAATCCTATTTCTCTAGAGGCTAGAGGTATCCCTCGAACTGACTGGCCAGCCGTACCTTTGTTGCAGCTATGATGTATAGTTATTGCGGTCGAGTGAGTAAGTGTGATTGGCAACGCGTGAGCCCTTGGTAAATCAGTAATTGTCAACACGACGACAACAAGAACAGGATCTTCTCTAACTGTGTATGCTATGTCAGTCGGGAGCTGAGATTAAGCCCTCTCGTACGAACAGCGTAGGTATCTCCGAGATGCCTTTCGTCCGCCAAACTAATATACAGCTACAGCTACACTACACATTCTTTAATAATTTGAGATGCAAGACGTATATGAACCTACACCGTGTAACATTTCTGCCAGCATTGTAGAGCATGTATCTCAAACAATAGAAATATCATCTTCCTATTCTGACATGCCGAAAACCAAAGCCGTGGCAGTAAGTTCGTTTCATGATGTACCATTAGCCGGATGCCAAGACCCCGCCTATTGATCCCCACCGCCGCACTCCGACTCCGGTACCATATCAACAACCGGAAAATCCTTTCACCGCCCAACAACCTCTACACTACCATCTCAAGCTCTTTTCCAAGACCACTCGGCGCAAACAAGCTTCAAGCTTGAGGATAGTAACAAAAAGCAAAAAAACAAACACGAACACAACAAACACCACAGTGCAGTACCAAGGCGCTTGGTATTTAAAGCTCACGATTCGCTCTTCAGTAGCATCGGCAACCAGGTCAGATAGGAGAGACGCTCTTGTCTGATCACTGAATTCCAGAGATCTCGGAGTTGCAAAGTGGGGACCACTTGCATTGCCCCCCTACCAAAACTAACGCACGCCGCGCCGGACCCTCGGGAGAGACTAAGGCAACTTAAGTCTAAAATATATGTATTTGTTTAAGCACAGTAAATGCCTACTGTTCGCTGCACACACGGTCCCGAGTTCCGATATTTGTTCCTATTTCAGTATTCAACATTCTTGTTCGGGACTCTGCCTTCATTTGAAGCTTATTCCAGAGATATCCACGAACGGGAATATATGTATCGATGAGAATATCTATTCTCCCTCGTCTCCTATTGGTCACATTGGGAATAAATGAAAATGACCAATCTCAAGATCACGTATGGGGCTCGTGAGCGATTGCCACTGCCTATAGCTGCGGGCTTTTCTCTCTTGCTCTCTTTCCTTCCCTGCATGTGTGAGCGAATGGTGTGAAGTATATATACCGGGCTTTCGTCCCTCACATCTCGTGGAAATATCCTTATTCTCCATAGCATTTTATAGTACCTTACTACTTGCCATAAATCTCTTATTTGGTTTCAACACTACCCCTGGTAATCATTATACCAAACACGCCCTCAACAATGGCGGAATCCTCATTACCCTCGACGTCTTCGTCGATTTCAGATCATGAAGCAATCAAAATGTACCTTTCTAACCATCCATACCATATAACAATGTAAACAATATTAACACCGTTCTAGAGCCCCCGAGCCGCCTATGGATCTAACGCTGCCTTACCGTACTCTGACCGCCACGGCGGACATGACTGAGTACACCACTGAGACTGTAGAGGGACTTGTCCTCAAGAAAACCTTCTCCCGTAAATCAGGCGCTCTCGAAACCCACAAACTTGTTACTTTCACCATTAACGACCCCGAGAACCCTAAGAACTGGAGCAAAGCCTTTAAATGGTACTGCACGATGATTATCGCGTTAGTTTGCTTTATGGTGGCATTTGCATCCAGCGTTGTCACTGCCGACATCCATGGCGTCATGGAAGACCTGAATGCTAGTGAAGAGGTTGCCCTGCTGAGCATCACATTGTTTGTTGTCGGCTTTGGAATCGGGCCAATGGTGTTTGCACCCCTCAGTGAGGTGCTGGGGAGGAAGATTATCTATACGACGACTTTGGGTGTTGCGGTACTGTTTATTATCCCGGGAGCCGTAGCAAAGAATATTGAGACGTTACTGGTCGCAAGAATGATTGATGGGATTGCTTTCAGTGCGCCAATGACCCTTGTGGGTGGAAGTTTGGCGGACTTGTGGAGGACGGAGGAAAGAGGAATTCCAATGGCGGCGTTTAGTGCCGCGCCGTTCTTAGGACCTGCCATTGGTATGTTGTTTCTTCATAAACGCCTAGTTGGACGACCGATACTGACCATTTTTCTATAGGCCCCCTGGTTGGTGGATTTCTATCTGAACGCGGTGGCTGGCGTTGGCTTTACTGGATCCAACTGATCCTTTCTGCCGTCATCTACCTACTCATGGTCTTTACGGTCCCAGAAACCTACGCACCCGCCCTCCTTCTGGCCCGCGCCCGTAAGACCCGCGCCACTACCGGTGACCCCAGTTTCGTCACAGAACAAGAACTCGACACTCGTAGCTTTCTCGAGATTCTCACACTCTTCTTAGTCCGCCCATTCCAGCTACTCTTCGGCGAACTCATTGTCTTCTTGATCTCTGTGTATATGAGCGTTCTCTACGGGCTGCTGTACATGTTCTTCGTCGCCTTCCCAATCGTGTACCAGGAGGGAAAAGGCTACAGTGCTGGTATCACGGGGTTGATGTTCATCCCTCTTGCCATCGGTGTAGTGGCATCGGCATGCTGTGCGCCCTGGGTCAATAAGAGCTATTTGAAACGTGCGGAGAAGTTTGGTGGGAACCCGCCGCCGGAAGTGAGGTTGATTCCGATGATGTATAGTTGCTGGTGTATTCCAGTGGGGTTGTTTATTTTTGCATGGACAAGCTATCCCCGCTTGTCATGGGTTGGGCCGGCGTTGGGCGGATTTCCTATTGGGTTTGGGTTTATCTTTTTGTATAATTCGGCCAACAACTATCTTGGTTAGTAGTATCCCCTTCCGCTATCTCAACGGTACTTTCGATTTACTGACTTAAAACGACTAGTCGACTCGTATCAACACCAGGCCGCATCCGCTCTTGCGGCAAAGACATTCCTCAGGTCGTTCTGGGGTGCTGCGACGGTCTTATTTACGACGCAGATGTATCATCGCCTGGGTGATCAGTGGGCATCATCACTGCTGGCGTTCCTCGCATTGGGTTGCTGTGCAATCCCGTATTTATTCTATTACAAGGGTGCAGCGATTAGGAGGGGTGCCAAATACGCGTATTCGCCGAGCATGGATGAGAAGGTGGGGGACATTGAGAATAGAGGTTAAGGTAACAGTTGGTAGGAGAGATGGCGAGGTGATGTGAAGTTGTAGATGGCAAAAAGTTCAGCGCGATTTTCTTTAAGATGTATAGCTTCTCTATTTCATTTTTATTCCATTTTCTTTTGTTTATATGATACCATAAATTAGATTTCTTATTATGTAATTACTTAATAGATATGAAGGAGTAATTATGCTTTATGAAGCGTATGATGCATGTAGATTATTTGAATATCCTGTCAGAGAATCCGAATATCGATGATAATATTTTGATTAGATCCGGCCAATCGCAAGGAAAGCATCCCAGGTAACAGACGCCATTGCGCACGATGCTGTGAACAGAGGATGCAAATCACCGCAAACTCTAGCTCTACACTTACTCTTCGGTAGCTTAAATGGATTAAGGAGTGAAGAAAAGATTGGAACTCATCTTATAATACCACTGGGTCTTTTGCGTAAGACTTGAAATATTTTGTAAGACTGGTATTCTCATTATAATTAATTTTTGATGGATACATTGTATTTAAGATATATCAGAAACAGGAGCACATACATGGAAGTATATCGTCAGGCGATGACTTTTGGGAGTTAATTAGCCGAGTCCGGTCAAATTCTGGCAGGAATTGGCCATCCGGACAGAAGATCAGTGACTATTTCTCAAATCTCAGGAAGCATTGGTCAATAGGCAATATTTGGCTTGTTGGCCAATGTGATATACTCATGACTGGGACGGAACATATACACATACATGTATGCAAGACTTCTAGGTGTCTCTTTATTACCATCTATATAAAGTACTGAAGCCACTAATTGTACACCCCACCAGCTACAATCTATACAAGTTGACAACCGATTGTATCGAGACCAATCGAATCAATTAATAATCGGACTGACTGGATCTGAGTTTCATACAGTTATGCATGAAAGACCAGTCTCTGACCATGAACTGCCTTCGCTTAGGAATTATCCTAGGGTGGTACGGACAAACGGGGAGCCCGAGGCCTCGTCCACGAGCACTTGGTACTTGGTGCTATACTTGATATAGGGTCTCACTACAACGATGTACTACTTGGTACCGTTTATCAGGCTACTCAACTGCTGATCATATACATTGAGCTTGCGGGTCTTGGCTACTACCATCGAATATCTTCATTTGAATGTTTCACTAAACGAACCAATTATCAATCAACCTACATCTTTCGTGAGTGTAGCTACTCACACTAGCTTCTACGTAGGCTAGTAACAACTTATCTATACAACAACAACGTATGTAGCAATAAACAACCTCAATAATAATATAATGTTTTACCCAAATCCAGTCTTTATTTATTATCTATATAGATCCTATCCTACTCCAATTTAATAAGCAACAAATTAACCTACCATTATAACTTATACTAATTAACATGAGCTCCTTTCGCTCTTCTAGATTGTCTCCCCTTCCCCCTTTCCCAATACGCCTACTCCTCTGCTTACAACACTAGTGCCAATCTCTAACATTCCTCGAACCCTCTCCAATCCAACTTCTAACCGTGCGGCCGCGACTCTTACCATCTCCACGTCCAGAACCGAACCAGCACTTCGCGCCAAGGTTCCAGATTTCGATACGATCCCAAAAGCGGGGATGATGTCTTTTGTCGCATCGATGATCTTCTCGACATGGTGCAAGCTACTGGTGAGACCTGCCAGGATATTTTGGCAGGTCTTTGTGATGGGAGACTGCGTCTTCTCAAGGCTATTTTATTTGACGTTAGCAGGGCACAGATTATGAGTGGTGGAGAACAAACGTCGTCTCGAACTGCTTTGCTGCGGCTTTCATGTCCGTACCCGCCTTTGCACCAATAATTCCGTCATCCACCATCTTCTCCATAACACCCCTCACAGCCCTCTCTAACACCCTATCTCGCTCCGCAAGTACCATCTGCACGACCTCGTGACGTCTCTCGATCTCTACCCGCAGAGATAGTAGGCCCCTCAGCAACCTCTCAAGGACCCATACCCACACACCCACAGCACACCCGCCCCCCACTTCGCCACCTCCGACGAGTTCAAAGTAATGGTACATATTAGTTAGCCTTGTGACGCCCTCTTCAAGCTTGCTCCACATTTTTGCAAACACGGCTGAGAAGGCAGACTCAAATGTCGTGTTCATTGATTTAACTTTTGCAAATGTCTCCTTCTGGTGGAACGTTGTTTTCGTCTTGGCCATATCGCGGGAGGAACCTAGGGTGGTTGTGTGTAAGGCGGTGAGTGTTGAGCCAAGAGTATGATTGGCATTCAGACGGGATGGTGAAATAGCAGTGGTGCACCATTGTCGTGTCGATGGTTCGTTATAGATGCGTGTTAGTTCGGCAGTGAATGTATCAGAACTCCCAGTTCCCAATGCAAGGGCGGTTTTGTTGGTTGGTAACGAATTCGTTCGGGAGTGTGAGTGTGAGTGTGAAGTGGTGCTATAGGTGAGCTTCCTGCTAGGAAATGAGCGGGGTGTTGATGGTGGAGAGGGACGAGGGAGGAGGGTAGACGTTTTATTTGTGGGGAGAGAATGGGTACGGGCATGGAGTGGCCGCATTGACGCTGTAGGGTCCGTCTTGTGTCTTGGTGGTGGTGGTGGCCTTGATCCCCGCGATGGAGGCGGTCCCATGGCCGAAGAGGTCTTTAAGGGTGATGCGGACTTTACCCGTGGGGAGGACTTCATCGGCGAGCTTGAGATATAAGATGGCTGAGATCGTGGTAGAGGGGCTGAAGTTACAGTAGCTAACTGTTTCCTAGCACTCCTTTTAACTTCACTTGTGCCATTGGATATACTCGGAATAAGCAATTGGTCCACCGAATCCGGTTCCACTGCAGGAGAAGTTGTCCGTGACGATACATCCGAAGAAGCACTAGTAAGATACCTCTGCAGGATAGAGCTATCTTGGTACTTCGCCGATGCCGCTGTGGCCTCACATATCTCTTCTGCAAGTCGTTGTTCAATTTCTTTTGCTGTGGTCTCAATCATATTCGCAGTATCCTTTATTGCCGCAGGTTCAATGCTACCCGACCAAATCAGCTCCACCACCTCCACCAAAGGGCGAAACGAACTCACTCATTGGTCAGAACTAATGAAACTTTCAATGTAATCTTGTGTGCCTCCAGCTGCACCCTCAACGCTACGACTTCTTCGCCCTCGAATATCCTATTCCAGCACCTCCACTTTTTACACCACGTCTCATCGCTCTTACCCACACCGTACGCATTCACCAGCATCCGCAGCTGCACGAACTTGTCCATACAGCTCGCCAACACGTTTCGAAACTCAACCCCACCAAGCTCGGCATTGCCTCGGGTATGTGCAGCTTTAAGCTGCAGTAGAATGCTGCAGAGTTCGGATAGCTCGTGCAAGAGCGCAGCGATCTCGTTGGGAGAGTCGGGGGTAGAGGTAGTGAGGAACTCGGTGAGCTGGTGCGAGATTCGGGTACCGACAGTGATGAGACTGGAGAGTGAGGACTCGAGGGATAGTGGGTCGGTCATTTTGTTTTACTGCCCGCCTGCCTTGTACGCCTACCTGTGAATGGGAAGGGATGGGTATATTGCAGGAGAAGTGAGGGCTTGATGGGTTATCATCACAGGGGTGAGACATTTGGCTGCTGGGGCAACGGAACTAGCCACCCCAGTTCGTCTGCGCTGGAGTGCGCTGATTCGTGGAGACATTGGGACGTTGATGCACGAGCGCAGTGAGAGTTTTAATCGAGCTGTCTGGAGATGTCTGGAAATCGTGTAGCTTTGGGATCTAGAATTGGAACGAGTGACGTTCTGTGAGATTCTAACAAGCTATCCCTAGCTAATATCATGGGTCACATATGTTTCAGGGGCTTATCCGTCCTCGGTAAACAATTAACATCCCTGCATACCGAAGAATCCACGTTTGTGACGAGGGTATGATACTATCAAATATGCTACCATCGAGAACCTGGTATTATATCTCCTCCGATATTAATGCTTAATTTGACTCAAGCAACGCTAGAACGCCGCCTATATATGATCAAGCAGTTACAAGCCATACTATACCTCCTGTGCCATAGTGGCCAATTCGGCCAGATACTACAATACCAAGAGAGGCTATGGATTCACTACATTATTCCCGTTAATGCGCTAGTAATGCAGTAAGAATACAACATTGCTACGGTATTCGTTTCGTAATGCCGGTTTAATTCCATATTATTCACTGAATCCCGTAGTCATACTGTACTGATTTCACCCCGTTCTTTTCGTACTGTATGTAGATAAAAGAAGTCAGTCTTCACATTACAAAATATCTTGTGATGTACTGGAAACCCCTCTTTTACACCGGTCTCCGCCTAATCCCAGGAACGCCCTAGGAATGTGCATACAATCATGTAAAATTTGACTCCATTCTCGGACTTAATAGTGCTTGGTCTATCATCAAGCTTGGAGTGGTGGAGTCCAGTAAATGAGACACATTCACATGCTATCACTCGGATTGATACTATAGCCACAATACGAAATCTGGAGTGCAAGCTACACATGTTCAAATTTATGAGATAACATGCGCCGGCTAGCAGTACATTCATTTGTATAAGATCAACAGGCTTTGCCAAATTGGCTTTATTAACGAGTGGCCACAGTAGATCACTTGTATTTAATTGCTTCTTAAACCACATGAGCTTGCAAGAGAGGAGAGAACCAAACATTTCCATTCAGGCCAATTCATAGTTTGAGACGATCAAACTAATTCACGGGATCAGATTTGTGTGGCGGGTTAGAATCTAGAGGTGGGTTAATCTGAGACGACACTGCATTGATTAGTTGCTCACTGCCATCTCCCATCTCCTTTTTGAGCGTTTCGATCTGTCTCTTGATGACGGTTTCAAACGACTCCTCGTCTCCCTCATCTCCATCTTCCCCACCATAACCTTCTCTTGCCGCAATTATCAACAACGAGCTAACGAATGCTTCCTTCAAGTATGCAAAACTGAAGTCCTCTGTCCACTCGGCAATCTTGTCGACTAGACTATCCGGGAAATCGATTTTGTCACTTCCCTCTAATTTGTGCCTATACAATTTTTTAGTTTGCGTATCGCGAGAGCGAATGTCGTTTGAGACTATTGCTTACTTCCAATATTTGCAGTACGCCTTTCTCTCGTCCATTGATGGGAGTGGAAAGAAGTATTTTCTATCGAATCGCGAAGGGCGGCTTACAATACCCGGGTCCAGGAGATCCACTACAATAATGCCACATCAGCACTGTTTACAGCCCAAAATTTCAGAACACATATTCTTACAGTGATTGGTAGTCGCGAGGACCAATATCCCATCATTCTCTTCCAGCCCATCAACCTCATTCAGAAAGTAGGATCGATTATCTTTCGTGATCAAGCTGTCAATATCCTCCAAGATCAGCAAGCATGGAGCCATTGCCCTGGCTTTTTCAAATATCATCTTGATACCGGTCTCGTCGCCATTGTAGGTGTGGAATGATTTAACGTAAAGCGTGGGATGCTCAAGATTCTTCATCAATGCCTTGATGGAGATGGTTTTCCCGTTTCCGGGAGGTCCATGAAAGATCAAACCACGCTATTCCGTCCAAATATTAGCTTACTTGCACAAAATCATGGACACGGTATTACAGCACGAGCCTTCCACGGTACGCCGAGATTTTCATATGTGTCTCGCCCAGCAAAGAAGCTGCCAACATCATTGATGATCTCCTTCTTCATCTTCTCGTCCAAAATGACATCTTTCCACTTTGCCTTCTGGATTGCCTGCCAGAGCTTATGGTCCTTCATCCAGAAACTCTGGAAGATCAATATCTCATCGTGCAGTTCCACCGCCCAGCTACAGGCTTCAAGAATCAACTCCTGCACTGCAGCTTTGGAATCCAGATCATGCAGGAAGTAATTTGCAGCCTTCTGTTGGTAAGATTCCACGTAAGATGCGTAATAATGTATGAACTTGTGCCCGGACTTTGTGCACACATCAAAGCAGCCAAAATCCAAGCTAACTTGCATAGCCCCAGGCCCATCCGAGCGATGCTCAGAGGGTGCGAAAACCGACTGCGTCAGGAAGGGGATATCCTTGGGTTTCAAGTCCACTTTTCCGAGGGCAGCATAGGTGAGAATGTCGCAGTTGCGGTCGGCGCATACTGTCATGGCGAGGTGGGGATGGTGCTTCTTGATTGTCTCACGGAGGACCATGTCACAGTCTGTGGCAAGGCCCGTATGGTGCTGGAGGAACGTGCTTACGGGGGAACGAGGGTGATACGGGAAGTCCTTCGATACGAAGAGGAAGTCATCGCTGGGCTTCCCGCCGGTTGGGGTCAATGGAGAGGGCTGTGGTGGCTGGTCATCGGGGACGAATTGAGGGGCAATGATAGAGGAGATTGTTTGGCAGGGTCCATGCGGCTTTCGGCCGGCGGACACCGGTGCCATCATGCTCATGAGTAGATCTATGGTGGCGGTAGTTAAAGAGCTGGTGTAGGTGAAGTGAAGAAATATGTGAATCGAGAGGTTGGAAGGTAGCGAATGGAGATACGAAAGGAGATGCGGAGGAGGAGAGGAACAGATTAACGAGGCTATATAAAGAATACCCCTCCCCACCTATATGAATAGAGTTCAATTAACAACACCTTCTGACATGCACAGGCCACTCCTCTCGGTTGAGTCACATATCGTTGAAACTCCCCCCGGCCCCTACTGCATCGATCACTCGCTGTCCAGTGGCCTTCAGGCTGCGGCGCAGGTCAGTTTCAAGGGCTCTAACAAGTTAAAATCATAAACACGCCATTGCAGATATATGTCATTTCTACTATCATTTGATGCACGGGTGATAAGCTTGAGTGTATCCGTGGAGTACGCGTGTAGATCTACAGAAAACAAGGTATATACGTACAAGCTCTGTGCTTTTCTCCATCAAGGTGTTTCTTGGATGAGCATTGAGCTAAAAAGAAATGCATTGAATGTTATATAACAATTGCTTCTCGATCGATCGATGTTACTGGATGCCTTGGAGGCGAATACGTCCACTGCATAAACTGACAGTTTCTCGGCGTGGATAGGCAATGTGGAGAGACACTGGCAATGTGCTTAGTCGTTGGGATAGACCTCTAGAGTACCTACTTCCATAGAAACAATGTACCCGGTATATTACTGAACTAGATGTACCTATATACACCAGTGCTCTGCTTTCGTTCGCTTGTCGACGTTTGGGATCAAGGGAAATACATCATAGATGTATGTACGTACATACATAACCAACCTTCTTTTGCTGGTTGTGGGACGTTTAAAGCGATGCAGCTGCCTGGGTGTAAGAACTCGCAGCACATGAGCAGGTATCAAGTACATACATGTACTCTAGAGTAGAGTACATGTATTTAACTCTGTGTAACTTGTAAGTACCCGAAAAGCAACCGAGCCCGGTAGATCTGAAACGTCACCAGACGTACGTATGACTCGTATTCGAAAAAATAAGGCCTCGAATGAGCTAGGATATTGATTGGATGTCCACCGACGACTTAATCTTATCAGATCTTCGGAATCAGGGATATCTTGGCACGGTCCAACCCTTGTCCTTGTACCGGGTTATCCTTAGATTCCCGCACGCGGAATTCCATGGCACGGTGACCGCTGAGCGTTTCATAGTCGATCACTCGTAACAATCCCTTGGCGTAACGATCTCTTGGCGCCAAGACATAACGGTTTCAAAAACTGCAGGTTCTAGTCGCTCCTATCATAGTAGCCAGGCAGTTCTCAAAACCGGATTGCATGCACGTAAATCTAACCATCCTCAGTGATCAAAACCATAAAGTTTAGTCCCACGGAAAAAGTCATCATTGGCTAGACTTGACTACATGTACTTAAGATACAATATATTGGGATATTGTTTTTCTGGAGCTCACCCTAACGAACACAAAACTTATGATTCTAGGTTGTACAGGTCTGAGCTCGGTATATATAGGAGATCTAATGAATCTTGAAAAGAGGGTCCAGCGCTACGCCTATCGGGGCGAGTCTATTGACAGACGCCGTCATGCATTGCAACAATTCTCACTATCAGCAGACGTGCCCCGACAGGCGTGGTATATCCTTTTCCCAGTTTGGGAGCGGAAGAGAAAGTCCTAGAAGCCATGCAGCCAAGTAAATGCCTGAGGTTTAGGTAGAAAAAAGATAGCCTTAAGGGGTTAGTCTGAATTGCAATGGTAAAGAAACCAACCACATAATAGTGCACAATAGCAGTGTTCATCCCCAGCCTTTCATACCGTAATATTAACTGCCACACCATATAGACAGTGCCTCTAAGTGTAATTTGAAATAGCTAGAAGATTCAAGAATTAAAGGGTGATTCTTCGCAAATCTGCTTTTGGGGTCTAGACCGGAGGTGTAAAAGTCTTTCATGGATAATGCGCCTTACATGGAGAACATTCGTGGATAACCTGCCTTTATTAACATGATCGCCAACAAAGTCTCAGCGCTTACGTCTGTGCTAGTAGCCCGAAACTCTATACAGACACTTGTCATTTAACTATCGATCATTCATCACTAATGGAGTTACGATATAGATATTGTGAGTTTCTGCCAAGTAGGCCATTGATTGAGATGGTATAGGTTATTATCGTCATCACAGTGTTGTTCAGGATCCTACAAGACAAGACCTGATAGCCGATACCTATATTAGAAGTGCTTTACTGACGTTATTGGAAGGCTTTAGTTGATAAGGGTGGGATAAGTACTGTCTTCAATCATGAACTATCACTCGACCAGTGTTCTAGGCTTTGGTTCCTATCTCATAATGCTTCGAGGCGCATTCAATTGGAGTAGACGAGATATTTATTTAGTAAGGCTATCGAGGATTTTAGCAAGAAGGAGGCGATTTGTCGTTATTATACCTATTGCGTCGCATATAATCTACCGGCCTTTACAAGGATATATAGTACTCCACATTTTGGTATAGACTTACATATTAGAGACGTACGTACGGCGACGTTGAAAGCCAATCACATGACATGAGTGAATATCGCAATTGGTAAAACGGGAGACCTTGCGGCTCAACTACTTGTATCAGGTATTGCGAAACTTGCCGCACTCTTTTCTCTCAGCCTTGTGGCATTTTGTTGCATCTTGCTGATACAGCTTAACAAAGCTATGGCCAATGATAAATTTACAGTTGAAGATCAGATCAAAGTGTAGAAATATTGCCGTGTCAGTCTAGTTCAAAGCATCGCATTGCCATTTATGGGCTTTGCTAATAGTTACTGGCCACACGTTAAACGTGTACCTGGAAGCAAGGGCCCGTAGGGATATTACTCGCTGGTATATTATCTCTACTAATATGAACGGCACCGGGGGGGGGGGGGGGGTGGGAGCTTGATCCTCAAATCTGCATTTTTCTCGGCTGGCTGAGTTAGCAGCAAATTACATCACTCTCTAACAGATATTATATAAAATATCATTTTTTTAAAGTATGTATATTACATACAAGTGTATTTGCTATCCGGGTTTTCATTCCGGTAGTCACGATTTCTTTACCACTTTCATATGGGGTGCGCACATGGACACATGAATGGGCTGTTGTCCATGCACCACATGCCATACATACATTATTGTGCGAAATACATGAGCACATTCCAGCCAACAAATCATAGACCATTCTAAATCGGCTACAAAATAAAGAAATAAAGGAAAGACATACATAAAGAAAAAATAAACACGTACATATATCCCAGCCTTGCTTCGGCGTCTGTTATCGCTCCCTAACTTAGTAAGTACATATAGATTACTTAAGCCAGTACTACATCCCTACCCAACCCTAACCCTGCGATACCTTGATCACATGTCACCGTAGGGAAAAGGTGTTTGGGTACGCTCATAAGATCTAAAGTACTGTTCTTATTTATCTACGTCAAGGGCCGGATCCGCCCGTGGGAATTATAACAAAGTCGTCAGCTGGTGTATAATTATATAATAGCTTCACTTATAAGACATTGGCGCATCTCGTAAATATGATATTTGGGTGGTATCTAGAAATCGATCAGAGCGGAGAATGAAAATGCAGATAAATGTGTATACGAATACAAGACAATAGCCCCCCCCCCCCCCCCATCCAGCGATAACTTTAAACCGTAAAAAAGAAAGTTTAAAAATGTCGGACAATCTGGTAGTACATACATGAAATGAAGAAATGTGATATCCACGACCAGAGATACATGTATATATAGCAAAAGGCCCATGAGACCTGAGTTAACACTTAGAAGATTCCAGTAGACATTTGACTATTCGCCCACTCCGAGTCGCTTTCCTTAACCGCAATCGCAAGTGACATTGCAGACCCGAAGCATACTGCACAAGTGAGGCCAGACGAATATTCGATTGAATGGCATGAGTCTGCCATTAAGCTATCAGCCTGGGGCGTCTCTTCCCGAGTCTCCGATTCAAAGTTATTAGTGGTATCAAGCGACTGTAGTGCCTATTCTTAGCTATTAGCTACCTTCATAATATAAATAATTTCGTCGTTTAGAACGGGTACCCTATCAAGATCCTCCATGGGATCCTTCTCTTCAATTATGGGTTCCGGAGAGGGGCTTAATTGGGCGATTAACGATGATTCTGTACAAAATCGAAATGTAAGCATATATATACGTGGAATGAATAACTGTATGAGTAACTAGTATATAGTTCTTGTTGTACCTGAGTATTTACTAAAGGGCCCAAGGCCCAACACAGCCGACGCGGAACCTGCAGTAGGAGCAATGCGAGTACTGGAGTCCGAGAGTTTACCTTTCTTCTTCCTTCTCCAGCCCCACTCCCGCAGTTTACTACAGTACGACCTCCGACTAGACAAGAAAGAGTTATTAGATCTCATATACCCAGTATATAACGTGGTACCCATGTGCCAATCAACAGTTCCTTGAGCATGAGACATACCTTGCACGGAAACCATGCTCCCACATGAGTTGGGGAAGGTTATCCAGCGTGACCCCTTCGTCAAGATAGAATTTTCTGATGAGGTGTTGGACATGGGGCGACCAGTTTATTCTTTTTGTCCTTCCAGGCCCGCTTGCAGTCGTAAATTTTGGCATTGGCATAGTGAATTTAGGTGGTTGAGAGACGGTGTCAAGACTTAGATCGATCCCTTATCAGATATATATAGGGGCTAGCTATATATCTAAGAAGTAGCATGGTAACCCTCACAAGAGGAGGCTGAATTACAAGCAAAGGCTTAGTTATCATATCATAGGAATCTCGAGTCGCCTGACCAGGAACCCAAGCTTCCACTCGATCTCCATTCCTCACCGGCATTATGTCGGCCAGCTAGGCTCTGGAAATAAGAAAATTAGTAAATATGATGAAATGTAATACAATCACAAGGCGCTAGCTAGATCACAGATCACATGCGGGAGTTACACTGCGGCTTTAGGAAAGGCCTGCCTTCGTTTATCATAATCTGGGGGATCAAGCTTGGAAATGAAGGGAACGAAGGCATTATCCGAAAATTCGATCCGAAGAACACTTTGTCTTACATTGCCTTATATCCTTGAATACCAGTGACTCAATTTAACACATTTGACATATCTCAAAACGTAAAGTCACTTAAATCTGTCTCTCAAGAAAGCCCATTTGAGGATAGCATTACTGGGGTAAAGAAGAGTTGTATCTGATGTTACCCTCGAAGAAGTCCCGCGCCGGCCGGCCGCTAGGATTAGAGGCAAGGCCTGCATCAATGAACGCATATCTCGCATGAGCACGGCTCTCATGGTTCCCTTATCTCAACCACTCGGGGAATAAGATGACATGGTGCTTATATCAAGTTCTAGAAGACAATTATAGGTCAATCATACTATGAAACACTGGAAGTAGCGCCCATATAACACCAAAGCAAGCACAGGATAATGGCTGCAAGACACAAAGATAATATTATCTGTATAGGTTGGGGGTATTTAGAGAAGAGGTACCCGGAGGTTTAACCACGGTGTCCCCAAGCATACATTACCGGACTCGGTTTATTGCAGGGAGTGTGGACGTGGTACATACCATTGGACAATACATACGTTTGTGGCGAAAACGACGTGTGGTTGAAATACATGTGGGACGCCCTAGTTGTGTGGGCTCAATGCGTTAATTCAACCACACACACCAAAGGGCTGTGGCGCATTATACCTAAAATTCCGACAGGTATCTGCACCCCACATCCCACATAGAGTACATATATCCCTAAAGTATGGGGTATTATTTAATGGAGCACCGATATCGTCATCACGTCTTGCAGACCGCACATGCGATGTACTCTGTGCTCAGCACTAGGCCCCCAACCTCGAGTACGTCCCTTATCTACGCCCACGATACATCTCAAAGTTGTAATTATCGCGCGCATATGCAGCCGAACACATACGTGTACGTATGTACATTTCTATTGGCCCCAGTCGCCTCAGCCTATAATATAATTAAGTTCCTATGTTTATGGGCGTTCCAGAGTGCTATATTCTCTTGAAAGCCATTTCATATATCTTTTTCTACAATAATTAATAGATTTAGAAAAAGTGAAAGTGATCCACATATAAAGTGAGAGGTACTTGCGAGATGTATCCTTCATGCCTCATCACTCGTTACCCAGTAGAAATGATATTTTCAACCAGTTCACAGGGTTAGGGTTCCAGTTCTTATCAAACACACACCCGGCCCCTGACATTCCATCCCCGGATAATCTGAGGTGTCAGTTCCCGTCAAGGCTAGCATCTGTACCCGGTTTTCTGCATTTCAGATGAGCATGATCTGCGCGTGTTGAATTGGATTGGTAGGGTGTGCGGAGCGTACATGTGTGTTAGTGAATATAGTCATGTCAGTGAATATGGTCATGTCAGTGATTAAGGTGGTCGGAGAGTGTCTAGACCCCCTTAGCCTCGGGACCCCAACGCGGCTGCGTATAAAGCACTATTATCTGTAAGATTTGTACTAGTACTAGGGGGGAACATGTCATCACACGCTCGAGAAGGCGTCTATTAATTGTAAAAAGTGGCTATGCTAAGAAAATCACCACCTAATTGATTGATTCAATTAATCAATTAATTGATAATTCATTAATTTAAAAAAATTGCCACCTTAGCAATTAGAATATCATAGAAGCCTAGGTCATGTATTATGCCATTAGGACTTGTGGGAAGCGCGCGTAGGTAGATCGAGATGATAGCCAGGCACTGGACCGCCCAGCCATTGATATGAGGTGGGTATCTAGATCTGAAGTCCTGTGCTACGACCGCGTGTGTTTTCCGCACCCTGCGCGTGTATTTGATAGGACAAATTGCCCACCCCAAAAGCAATTGCTGGGATCCACCTCTCGGCGATCACATCCCGGCGTGAGAAGGGAAGCTTGACACCGAATTAGCTAATACCGGCCTTATATTAGAAAATTTTAGTTACTATCTCAAGATTCCAGACTCAGGTCGAAACTCCGCACGTCATCCGAGGCAAAATAACTGTGCAATGAGGCCACTTTCAATGCAATTACAAGGCGCAAAAGAATTGATCTCATGACTTGGGTTTTATATTTTAATTCATCTCATATGTGCATTGACCAGCCGTATCTGACGAAAGCACAGAAAATAAATGCACGGAGATAAAAGTGAAAGAATCTGATTCACAATGGAGTAAAACTAGTACACTTTAGAATACTTTGAAACCTAAAGAAAGATTGAAATAGGGCAAATAGTAGGTATCTGTGAAAAGAAATCTGGCAGATAAGAGGCCAGTGGCAAGCTTAAGAGTATCTCCTGCGCCTATCATGTCCACGCTCAGATCCACTATCATAATATTCCTCCCCACTTCCCTCTTCTTCTTCTTCTTCCCCGCTATACTCGCCGCGTTCATGCCTGCGGCGCGCTTCCTTCTCAAGTCTTTTCCTCTCCTTCCTCTCCTTCTTTTCCCTCTTTCGTCTCGCCTCCTCATCTTCCTCCTCCTCCTCCTCCTCCCCCTCTTCTTCCTCATCCTCATCCTCCTCTTCCTCGTGTCTCCTGGAGCGGTGTTTCTACCAACGATTTTCAGTATAAAATTCACCACCTCTCTCATCTCTAGAATCTTCTCTATATACCTTTTCAGAATGATCGTATTCCCCACCGTGGTGGCCGTGGTGCGAATGATGTTCGCCGTATGAGGAAGTCTGATGGGTCGTATGCGAGCTGTAGGAAACTTGGTGGCTGCTATATCCACCCATGTTAGCACTATAGCCACCTCCATATGCAGCCTGCCCATGATATCCGCCAGTATATCCTTGACCATAGCCCTCTTGCCCGTAATTCCCCTCTCCATACGGTCTGCCAGTACCAAAAGAATCAACTCTTCCATACCCAGATGTTCCATCTTGTGTATAACTCTCTTGGGCCACATAACCCCTTTGTCCATGGTTCCCCCCATGGCCATAGGACTCGTTCTCCCCGGATGCACCGTAGTACTGGCGGCCTTCTCCAGAACCATATGAATCGTGCTGGAGGTAAGCGGTATCACGAGGCACGGGTCGCTCGTAACTGGACTGTTGATAGGTCCCTACCCCACCACTCTGGTCGTATGATCGCTGGTACCCTGATTCCCGCTCACCATATCCACCTCCAAATCCTCTTTCCCTCACTTCTTCAAAACCACTCGAGCGACTTTCTCCCCCGCCACTACCACCTCCCATTTGCTGCGCCAGGTATCCTGTCACAGCTGCACCAGCAATTCCTCCAAATAATCCGCCCAAGCCCGAGCCTCCTCCGCCCTGGTTACCAGTAAATGCCTGCTCGAGAGCTGTTCCCATGGCAGCTCCCATGTCTCCCCCGACACCGAACTCACCACCCGAGTTTTTGGGTTTGACTCTGTGGATTGGCGCACCACATCCATGACCAGAATCGTGTTGGCCCTCTTTGTGGTTCTTGCCTTGTTCAACGCCCTCACGTGAAAGGCAATATCTCAAAAATTGCCTCTCATCCTCACTCTTTTCGCCCCACCATTGCTGAACGACGCCGAGCATCCGTTGTCTGCCCTCAATACCATCACGACCATCACCCCCATGGGCAAAGGCAGGGTGGTGGAATACACCGACAATGTCGTTGAGTAGGGGTTCAATGTCCATGTATTCATCATCCCAGGCATCCATGAGCTTTGGGACGACGTACTTGATAACTTCGCTTGCAATCTTTCCAGCGGGTTCATTCAAGCTACACGTTTGTTAAAAACTGGATTACACGTTTAAGGAAGGGAAAATACCAATTTGTGAAATGATCCTTCGATAGCATACTGTGTGTAGGGTTGCTAGAGTAATGGTCGTGAAACACAACAAACTGAAGGTTCTTACTACTTCCGATGACTTCACCGGAACCTGTAGAAAGTTCGATCTTTACTTGTTGAAGAATCGGCATAAGAAATGGTGCAATCAATGAAAATACAAAGATGCTGACTGCCTCGGAAAGCTTCTCGACAATCGTAGTGAGGCCTGGAATTGACTCCAATGCCTTGTTGATTGCCATCATGATCTTGTCATGCCATTCAAGGAATGGATAAATGTCTGTTCTCAGTTGTTCGCCATTTTTGATTCCGTAAGGCTCGCCACGTTCGGTTGCCTCGGCTTGCAACTTTGACTTCTCCTCGAGCTCTGTAGCCTGGGAATCGAGATCTGCTGCACCACCAATTGGGAGTTTTTTGAGAAGGTCACTGATGATAGAGTGTTGACCACCTTGCTCGTAAGCTGCATTGTTGATAGTGCCTTCGAGTTGCTCGATTTCAGATTGAGTCGCTTTGTCGGAAAACTCACCCAAAACCGAGTGAAGACTATTAAAGGATTAGCTTTGAAGTTTACTTGTGTGCGGGATAAGAGTTACAAATCGACGCCACCGAAGGTGCCAGTCACAAGAGGAAAGATCCTTCTTCCATTCACATCAAGCTCTGTATAAGAGCCAGTGTGCGGGAAAATCCCCCTCTCTCCCATTTCAATTAGGGCAAGCTCGATATAGTTAGAGTGTGCAGAGAAATCTATAGGTAGATTGTTAAAACCTGTCATCATATAGATAATTCTGACTTACCTTCAAGACAGTGTAAGCCAGTTCCCATCAACCTCAGAGCCTCATACTTGTCGGCCTTGTTTCCATCTCTTCCATATCTTCTACCGAGCTCGATACTGCGTCGGAAGAGATCACGTACAAGTCCAGCTGATTTTTCAAACATTGTCAGCTTTATATCCTTGCTGTGACTTTCATGAAAGAAACTTACCACTGGTGTACATCCTCTCGCCGTTATTGAGTTCGCGGATGTGCTCATTAGCGATGTAATTTTTCATGCCAGTCTGGGGATCTATGGCAAGTTCGACTTCTTCGTCGATTAAACCGCGGAGACGATGGTCATAGTCGCGAGCATCCAAGTTATCGGCATAGTCCTTTGGATTATCTGAAAGAGCCTATTAACATTATTGCTGCAATTGGAACCAGGTGGCTTGCATACCAATGTGTTCCTCAGGACGATAGCAGCCTAGTCTTTCTTCTGTAACTTCAAAAGCGCCAGTTCCGTACCCAAATGTCATGAATGAAAGCATCCAAAGCTGAAAATATTAGCCTTCCGATTATCAAATATCCCTCACAGATCTTACAAGAAGCCGGATGGTTGGTGCTTCAACATATTTGAGCGCGCCAACATCAATAGCTTGGGAGTAGTCCCTTAACCAGTTTCCAAAATAGATGCGCTTGATGGTCATGGAGTCAAACTTCTTCCCACCCAGAGCACGCGCCATCATTAGTTGAAGCAGAGTATCTTCGATATCTCCATGACGCCAGTTCATTCCTTCGATCTTGGAGATGGAAGCAATGTTACCAGCACCGAAAGCATAAGTTGGGAGTGCTGCATAGCAGAGAATCAAGAGAATAGGGAGAAATAGAGGTGGCAGAGATGAGCCCGCCATATTTGGAGATAGTTGAGGTTGTGATGATCTGTTTACGTGTGGTAGCCAGTTGATGGCGATGGGGATGGAGATGGAGATGACGAGCGAAAGAAAGAGATGAAGGGGGGACAGCTGATAGAGTTAATACAATACTGAGGTGAGTGAGCTACATGCGGTACACAAACAATGGAGGGGCATTAACGCCAAGAGGAGGGGCCGACATTCCGAGAATTACGCAAGCACATGGATTACGCCTGACCCACCAAAGGTTTCAGAAATACTCATCACTTTTGACCCAGGTAACGGTGAGATAATACCCCTCTATTGGCTTTTTAAAGATGGGACCTCCACCCTTGAGTAGGTAAAATCGCGGCACAAGAATGTCTCCAATGCATTCAAAGCTGAATAGCGTTACAACTTCCTAAACGATCATTTCTATGTTTTATTTCTCTCACATGACCCCCTTAGATATCCGGATGTGATGGTACTTTCTAAGATACTGCTAGGCACAGGCTTAGAACGTAATCTAAACACCAACCTTTTATGTCTTGGAGCTCGGCGGCGGTGGAGGCGTCTTGTGGAGGTTGACATGCCACAGAGCGTTTGCCAAGCCTCGCGATATCTCAACCAGAACTCTGCCAAGAATTATATACCCTAGCCCGGCCAAGTTCCTTACCTTCCTACCACAATCGTGGGATATCAAATTTGAATGGGAGATCATCTACTACCTGATAAGAGAGATAGCAAGATCTATTAGTAAAACCACGCTGAATTTACTTTTTGTCTGGCGGTCAGGATTTTACTCACGGTTTAAGGGATCTTTATCGGACCGAGCCAACAGCCACTTCCTCATGGGCCTTAAACGATTTTCACGTGGTTGACTTTAAAGCGCCATTTGTGATAAACATACAGATAGCCACGTTTCGGAGTGACACCAAGTACCGAGTGACATTCAATGATACAGCACAGTACGACACGTGGTGTGAGAAATGCGGAAGAGATTGGTTTGCTGAAACATCCATCCATCCACCTCACTCACTACCAGTCACGTTATCATCCCATATCATCCCATTTTACCATATCCACTGGAATTTAAATCTAGAGTAGAGTCGGCTTTAAAGCATTTATCCGATTTCGATTTTGAGTGACACCCCCTCGATCGGCCACTTAGGATTGTTCATCGCCATGCCTATTAAATACAACCGGAAGGGTCTTACTATTCTGCGAGAACACTGGCTAGATACCAGGCATTTCTGCGAGACAGCACGGAAGGCCATGGCCTGTCGTTATGGAGACTCTTCCATCTAGATGTTGAATATCCCAAGTTCCAAGTGTGTTTGACTCTTCAACTAACGTTTACTTGATGAGCTATATACTAACACTGGCGTTTTCATGCATTAGATAGGTGACATTTATCCCCTCGTGATCGCTAAGAAGGTGTAAAGGCTCAGGATAAAAATCTCAGGAGCCTCATCCTAGCAGAAAAGCCTCCTCGACCGAACCACCGGCCCCAAATAAACATTTAAACATACATAAATGCCTACAATCAAGCGTTCCAGGATTCTACAGCGGCACCATCCGATACGTCAGTCACATCGTCACACCGCAACATTCCCATCGATCCCAGGGCCCAGATTTATTTGTCACGCATAATAACCAGGTTAGGTACAAGGTTCATCCTCACCCTACGCACCAACACATGCCTAGCTTATCATTTTGGTCAAAACTGCCGGAAGAATTTGGACGGCTGTAATTTCTCCGCTCTAGGACCGGGCCCCTGATCTATTTCAGAGACGATCGAGTTAGCGAGGTGTTGTGGTCTAGAGTAGTCAGGGTCGATCCCTGTCAAAACGTAAAATGGGGTGGAGGCACGTTCCGTATAGATGACATCATAGAAAAGCCGAGAGGGTCTTCGGCGTCACCATGACATTTTCAAAATTCAATGTTTGTTTTCCGCAGTCCGGCGGGCTCGTAGTAGGTTTTCAAAAAGTTGTCGTCAGATGTTTAAATTCCTGCTTCACGAGCCCGCTGGTGTAGGGTTCTGTAGCAGTACTTAAGGGGTCCAAAATGAGCTTTCTCGCAGTCTCAAGGAGAGGTCTACCGTCGATATTCTACAAAAGAGCAGCCGTATACAACATATCAAGTACAACAACACCAAATATACGTGTAATAAGTAACCAGTTTGTCCGCAGTGCAATGTCGAAATCAGGGAAGGATGGAACGTTCAGGGCGGAGTTCCCCAAGCAGGAACAGAGTCTGCCAGGGTAAATAAACTCTATATTCATTCAATTGCAAGGAGTAAGGGAAGATTCGCTAATGATATGTATATATATATAATTCAGCCTTGAACGAGACATGAAGCCGTCGTCCGAAGTCACCAAGCTCGAAGGCCCGACGGCTTCATCGAGTACCGCGGCTCCGAGAAGCTGCTCGACCGCAAAGTCATCATTACCGGCGGTGACTCCGGCATCGGGCGTGCAGTAGCGGTCCAAATGGCCCGTGAGGGCGCCGATATCACCATAGTCTATCTGCCAGAGGAGCAGCCAGACGCCGAGGATACGAAAGCTATGGTTGAGAAGGAGGGTAGACAGTGCCTCTGCATTCCGTTCAACCTTGAGAATGTCAAAGAGTGTGGACAGATTATCGACCAGCACATGAAGAAGTTCGGCAAGCTGGACGTGCTGGTGAACAATGCGAGCAAGCAGGTGATGTGTAACGATATCGCAGATATAGATCTGGGTATTTGCCCTTTCCAATATATATCTCACGGGAGGTTTGTTTAATTTGTGTTCATTGAGCTGACCCGGTGATGATAATGTTTGTAGACGTGGTTAGTTCGACTTTCCAGTCAAACATCATACAGATGTTTGCTATGACAAAGTTTGCCGTTCCGCACATGAAGAAAGGAGGATCGTATGTTTCCCCGATTGCATTGTTGATATAGCCCATTATGCTAATACTCAATGTCCGCCCATCAGCATTATCAACACAACCTCCGTCGTTGCCTTCCGCGGTACCCCCGAGATGATAGACTACGCCGCCACCAAAGGTGCCATCGTCGCCTTCACCCGCGCACTCGCCAAAAACCTGACACCCAAGGGAATTAGAGTTAACGCAGTAGCGTAAGTTACTTTCCATCCTCATCGATATCCTGAACACTAGCTCGCTCCTAGTGTACTGCGATGCGACTTGGCGACAAAAAAACTAACCATACCGCGCGCGCCCCACAGTCCAGGACCAGTCCATACACCGCTCCAGCCAGCGTCGCGCCCGGCGGAACAGATGGAAGGATTCGGCCAGAAGTCGCAGATCGACCGTCCGGGGCAGCCGAGCGAGATCGCGCCGACTTATGTCTTCCTTGCGTCCGCGGAGGCATCGCTGTATTACGGCCAGATCATGCATCCGTATCCTATGGGGTGAGTACTTTGTCTCGGTCTCTTGTCTCTTTTACTACCCCCTTTCAAGGATTTCGCAATTAAAAAAGGAATACTAATGAGTGGCGGGGGGGTTGGTCATCTAGTGATTAAATAAATAATTATTTTATTTCTTTCTTTCTTTCTGTCTTCTTTTCAATCGAAACGTGGATATTAGCGATTGTTGCAATATTATTATGTATGCTATATTTAAAAGCCGTCAGATCAGGCGTACAGCGCGCGGGTGCCCGCGCGGCGGTCATCGTAATCTACAGTGCCATCAGCGAATCGTGAATCCCAATCTCTCCAGCCTAGGTAGCCTACATCCCAATGCCCCCCCCCCCCCCCCATTTTTACTCTGCTCTTCCCCCTGTGATTCCCGTTCCGGGGTTATGGTAGGTGGTTATTTTTCGCTCCCTTTTTCAGCAAGTATGTGCATGATGGCCGTCTCTCTTGCTCGTGTTGCTCCCCGCTGCAAGGGCTGCAAGGGCAACAACAACAAAAAAAAAAAAACTCAATTGGCAATTCGATGGATGGGATTGGATGGGGATTGGGTGTGCAGGGCAACGGAGACTTTTTTATACAGAAATATCGGGGGGCTGTTGTCTCATGCCTGTTTCACGGCGGGAACTCATTGGAAGGTTCTACATACCATACTTTACAAGTACATGTACTCTACCTACTCTACTTCTCCTCCACAGTCTACAAGTAGGTATTACAAAGGTATCAGGTACCTCCATGTAGGACAGACAACCCGAACTGCCGATCCCGAGCGCGCGAGCTGAGCATGCTGAACTCAACCCACACGTGCCTACCTGGTTGCCCTGGCTGGGTGCACGTCAATCAATCAATACTTAGCCGCCCTGTACATGCCAGCGAGCGCTGTAGGTAGTTCGTTGTCCGTTGTTCGTCTCACGAAACAAAGGGGATTTCTTCTTCTCCTGGCCATGGGGGTTTGTCGCACTTGCTCGTGTCGCGATGGACCTCAGTGGATGGAATAGGGTTTGAGTTTGGGGTGTAGTGGTGGAGGTGGAGGTGGAGGTGGAGGTGGAGGTGGAGGTATCGACTGGCTGGTTGTGGTTGTGATTTTCGGCAAGCTAGCGAGAAGAGTCAATGTTTAATCCAACACCCACCCCCTTTACAAAGCCTAAATTCAACCACGATTACTCATGAATCATGAATAATCGGCCATAAGTTATGAGTGATGTGGGGTTGAATACATACGGTACTGTAGGTTCAATAGGCACAAAGAGACACAAAGGCACAAAAGGGAAGATAAAGCATGCAACGAGTGAGGCTTACGGCTTTCCCCGGCACGATCGCTAGGATCCTGGAGGAATAGGCAAGCTAAGCGAATGATAGTCTACCCAGGATGGATGATGGGGCCAGGGTAGAGACTACCTACAGCTACTTTGCGATACCTAGCTGGGTAGAGGAGCTGCAAGGCCTGAAGGTACCAAAGCTAGAATAGAGTAGCTACATACCTGCTCTCTACTCTATGAGCAATAGCTAGACAAACACCCCCCCCCCCCCCCCAAACCTGCGCAGAAAGAGTGCTCTCTAGAGAAATCTACAGCTATCTACCCAGCCTCTAGATACTTACTCTACGCACTCTAAATACCGTAACCTACATGTATCCACCGTACCAACAATTCACAAGGCATCACTCGGCACTCACCCACTCACCATCATCACCATCCAATTACCAACCCATCACACCCTCCCTTCATGCACGTCTTCGCTGTCCCCTCCAATCCCCGCCCCCCCCCCCCCCCCTCTCACAAACCCACAACACAAAACCCACCAGCCAGGAGCGAACAGCTTTCACCCACTTGTCTTGTCCCGTGCCGAGGTAAGCGGGCCTATTGAATTCTAACTGCAAAATCCGAGACACACACACCACATACGTCACGCTCTCCTCTCTCCTTCGTTCGTTCGTTCGTTCGTTCGTTGTTCGTACTTGACTTTGCCTTTCTCTGCCTGCTTTGCCTGCTGCTTGCTTGTCTGCAAAGAGACGGACTGCATGCCGCACTCACTCACTCATGATCACTTACTCACTTACTCACCATTCGATGAATATTACCCACCATTATTAGCAGTAGCGCGGGGGAACAAAAAAAAAAAGCCTTTCCCGAAAGAACCAGAGACATTAAAAAAATAAAATAAAAAAAGATCCTACCCAAAGAAAAAAATCTCCAGAGTACATAGATACCCTCCGCCCCCCCATCACCCCATCTCCCCTCTTTTTCCTCTTTTCCCTTTCTTCTAGCCAGCTAGGTAGCAGTAGCCGCACACTCCCCCCAAAGCAAGTGTTTCGTTTCACCCACCCACTACCATCACCCACCATGGCAGACATCGCAGACAGGCCCGTCAGCCCGCTCTACGAGGCAATCCGCGACATCATGGCCGGCACTTGGCCCGAAGACGAATACGATGTCGCTGATTCACCTCTCGGTCACGCTGATTTCAAGTCCCAAGTCTCTCTCACCGGCGAGGTCGAGGTATCGCCCATAGTGCGCAACAGCACCAGCACAGGCGGAGCAACAGACACGGATTTCGAGAGCCTCAAGTCGGACGACGAGTCCGAGTCCGAGTGGGAGGCTGAGGCTGAAGGGGACGACACAATGAGCACGGATATCGACGTGGAACTAAAGAATAACAGTGCAGCGGCCGTGGAGAGGAGGCGGTCGATTGCGGAGGATGGGACAGGGGCGGATATTGCGGCGAGGATCGATGAGGTCCTGGAGGATGAGGCTAAGATACGGCCGAGGAGGAACACAATTGCGGATGAGTTTGCGGAAGGGTTCAGGCTGGAGATTGCGGAGGAGCTGAATAACTTGGTGCAGGAAGAGCCCGAGCTTGAAGCTGCTGCCGCTGCCGCTACTACGACCGGGGGGAACACAGGCTACAACGCTGACATCCTCCCGCCGGTGCCCGAAGCAGACATCGCAGCAGCAGAACACATGGCGCTCACTGCCAATAGACCCGCACCCCCAGTAGTAGCACCCGAGTCGGAGAGGCATCTCCCACGTCTCACCATCCCGTCTCCTCCCGCGCCTGCCGCACCAATTCAGGAGCAGCAACAAACCCCGCCGCCCATCCCCTCGCGGAGTCCCTCGCGGCCCAACACTGCGCTGGCGAACTACAGCATCTTCCCCGCGCCGTCCGCCAGCACGGCCAGCCTCCACCCGCTAAAACCGACAGTGTCGGCGTTGTCGTCCTCGCGGGGTTCGCGGTTCTTTGAGGATCTGGATACGGCGGCGGCGACGAGTATGGAGGAAACGTCGTCGACACAGAGGTTGGGGAGCGGGGTGAGGTACGAGGAGTTGAAGGCGGCGACGCCTCCGGTGGACTCGGTAAAATTGAAGAAGAGGAGGGCGAGCTTTTCGTGTGGACTGAGGCTGTGGGGGAAAGGAAAGGAGAAGAAGCCAGCAGCCTCAGGGAACGATAATGCGAGGCCGGCCTCCGGTAGAACGAGTTTGGGAGAGAAACGATAAGTCCTGAGAAACAGGCACTTTTGAGCGGAAGTGCCGGAGCTCGACACACACCATTCTTAGCAAAGGCCCATGAATTAATGAATGGGCTCTTTTTACACTCATTTAACACCCACATTTTCCTTTGTCCACTTTTTTTTGTACTTTTTTTTTATCATCATCTGGGAGCGGGATCGGAAGGACTGGGGGAGTTCTTTTTTAACAAAAAGTCTAGAGCGACGGTGCAGGTCACCAGCAGCTGTCTTTTTTTTTCTCATTGTGTTTTCATAAGGGCGCGCGCACCTGTTTACGAGCGATGCCATGATGTGTATGATGTAGGATAGTTAGTTAATATGTCTAATATAATAGTTTATGAAAAAGTAATGGACTGACCTGATTGATGCATGGTATTGTGGTGGAGTTGGAGAGGCAAGACGTTAATTGGCTAGAGAGTTTTCCACAAATGCATGTAGGTATAGACATTGATGGCTAGAGTAGCTATCCCGCACCTTGTGCTTGGGCTGAGAACAAACAATTATTGGTTTGATTGACAATGCTAACATTGTCAGATGTTGGAAAGGCTATGGAATGTGTGGTATATCACCATTGGTTTCCCGATACATGTATAACCACCGTGGTGTACTAACACGGCTGAACGTACTTCAGTCATTGTAACTATTTACATAGCTGGGGCCGTGAATATTACATATTGGCACTCACTTACTTGGTCGTCCGAATAACATCTATTTTAAGTCATTCTCCCAAGCGTCCGAATCAATAGTCCCTGCAGCACTAGCCAGAGATCATGCATTGAGTTGATGTCTAGGTGGCCCGTGTGGAGATTTTGATATTGTCCAGATAGTGCCAGCTGAGGAATGCTTGGCTAGTAGAGCGAACCAACAGGGTCGCGTATCTACGCAGTAAGTAAGCACTTGAAGCCTTTCACACTGATAGAGTAGCTATGTAGTAGAGGTACAACTATATGATATCGATCTCTTGCGTGAGGCTCAGCTCTCATGATCGGTACATTACGTCCCCAAGGCATAATAGACTAGCTACCTGCATGGCATAAAAAGGATATTTCGAGGGCTCGGTAAGGCTCTCCTACCCCCCGGTGATTCTCTCGCTTGTCCGCCAATGCAGTCGGGGATTCTCCGTGGACTATTGGTCCACCAAGAGTACGTACCCGGGTAGAGTAGGTACGCCGAGTGGCCCGGCCGGGCCAAGCTACAGCTAGCTAGTTAGTTAGAAACTCATAAGTAGACTAGACGTCCCATGTACTCTACCTACTCTACATAACTCGGTGTTGGTGGCCGGACCAGTGTGGAATTTTAAAGCCATCTCCGTGGGCTTCAATTTGTGGACACGCTCTTCTGCCGAGTGGCTGGTTATATCACGGACGTCAGGCGAGACCATTGCAAGTTGTCCCAACGACTCATCAGCTGACGAAAGGACAAGTCGATTGCATCTAGATAAAGACAGTACTGGCCAGTACTAGATAGGAAGAAAAGCGAGGATTCAGATCAAGTGATTGTATAAATATCCTCGCGTTCCTCTGAGAGGTTCAATCGCTCGGGGGAGGTGAAAGTCACGCTTAATATAATGCAAATGACTTGATTAGTGATAGAGGAGATGGTGAAGATATACTAGCTAGTCTGGTATATCTGTTCTATTTGCACAGTGCTGAGTGTTCTCTCTAGCTATGAATACTGTGTTGTCAACTACTCATACTAACAGCTAACCCTTCTCGGTATAAGTCCAGTAATCTATCCTTATGGGATCGATCTATAGCTAGAGGAGCTAGCTAGGTTATATAAGTGCATCACCGACGCCGATTCTATACTCTCTAACTTGCCAGTATGGTAGGCTACTAGATAAGCCCCTTCTCAACCAATATCTTTAAAAGCCGCGATCAAAGGAAGCTTCATGATCATATATAAATATTGCGCCGATCGCGAGCCACGAGGAAATTTATTCACTGTACATCTTTAGCAACCACAAACGATAAAGCATTCATTGACCATTACTACGACATGCTGTATTATCTATCTATCGATTTCCTTCCAGCTACTTAAGTACGTATAGCTTCCCTTCTACGTGCACAACCGTAGTTCCGAATCGATGAATTAACAAACACACCCACTACCAATCCAGTCAGCCACCTCAAACCGCAAAAGGAAGCCAAAAATGTTCGAACTACAAGCCACCACAGCTCTGTTTCTCGCCATATACGAAACACCGGTCCACGTTTTCCTTGGTTAGCTTAATCAGCCAATCATGAAGCCTCACTCGAATCTTAGCGTTGCCAGCCCAAAGTGGTTAGCGCCCACCTTCCAGAGCGGGTGCACCAAATCCGGGAAACCGATTGCATGCTGGAAGTCAGTAAGTATCCTATGCGATGAACGGGGTTTCACGTAAGTACTAAGCAAGCAATAGATCCTCAAGTTCAACGCTCTCGACGCTGATCCCCAAGGTATCTCGACTCATAAACTACGTAGCTCTCTATGCTCTTCGGGGTGATTGCCAGTCGATTCTGTATCCAGAGCTCGAGGGGGCAGATTGTCAGAGCATTTATCGACATCTACATATATGCTCGTGGTACGAGTCGCTGGAAGTTCCCGGTCGACAATCTTACTGGCCAATCCCAGAAGCCATGCGACAAGGGTAGCTCCACATCCTCTTGGCGCTCTGACTCTACTCTACGTACCAGTGCTCTCTGCCTCCAGCTCCTTTACATGACTCATCATCTACTCAGAACTATATGTATATAAAGGACCCCCCGATCGCGAGCTCCTTCTCAAGCTCTAGAACCATCTTCCTTCATCAATTCCACCTCCCACCATGGCCTCCGACCTCCACGACACGATAAACAAGCAGGTGTTCAAACTCAGCAAGCTCAAGACCCACAGCGTTACGCTCTACCCTTCCCGCGCAGCGGTGGTCCGCGACATTGAGAATGTCAAAATCAAGGTCTGTTTGCTCCCACAGCCCCCTTTCATTCCCCCCCATCGATCGGCCGATCGAGCGTGAAGCAGAATTGAGCTAACAGAGAGGAAAACAAAAAACCCGCCAAACCAATAGCCTGGCCGCAATGAAATCTCAATCATAGGCATCAGCAGCAAGGTGGACGAAAACACCATCAAAGTCGAAGGGCACGGCACCCGCGGGCTGATCACCGACATTGTGGTGGAAAAAGTTGCCTATTCGATCTACGCCGAGTTCGACGAGGAGCAGTTTGAGGAGGAGAAGGACCCGGTGTCTGAGCAGCTGAAGGAGGAGATTGCCGAGCTGGACGGAAAGCTCGAGGATGTGCAGGAGAAGCTAAAGTCGTGCACGAGCCGGCTTGCCTTCATGGACCAGCACGCGACGAACATGAGCACGCTGAGCCAGCTGACCAGCTCGATGGCGGACAACCTGAAGGTGTACGCCGAGTTCCGTGAGAACATCTACTTAGAATACAAGGCTGCGCAGGCTATGAGCAAGGAGTTGAAGAAGCAGCACGACCGGAAGACTCTCGATCACAAGATAGCATGTGCAAGGTGGCTGGACAAGACGAAAGAAATGAGAGCCCAAGAGCAGGAAGAGAAAGGAAATCGACCATATAATGTCACAAAGGTCACCGTCACAGTTGAGCTAGACAGCCTCCCCCAAAAAACTGAATCCATCGAGTCGTACGTCTCCACCGGTAAACCTGCGAGGGCCAGCGATGACGAGCCGCCAAAGTCGAAAGGTCCAAGTTTGAGGATCTCATATGTTACCGGCGAGGCAGGTTGGAAGCCTCGCTACGATATAAGATTGGATTCAACTTCGGAGACCGCCCTCCTGACGTACCGTGCCGAATTCACAAACAACACCGGAGAGACATGGACCGATGCGGCGGTCACGCTGTCAACCAGCCAGACCTCATTCACGGGGCTGGAGGACAAGGTTCCCTGGCTGGATTCCTGGAGAATGAATCTCCGAAAAGATGCGGGTGCTGGTGGGGGATCTCTTGCGCATGAATTATATTCCACAAAGGAAAAACAGATGAAACGAAATCTAAAGCGAAAGAGAGGTAAATATGATTCCGACAGCCTCCCTTTCCTACGTGCGACGTCGGATGCATTAAAGAAAAGAAGAAGAAGAGAAAGCGAGGAGGAGGAGGAGGAGGAGGAGGAGGGCTTAGATGAGGAGGACGTAGAATACTTAGCACAACCCGCTGCTCCTCAGGCAGCGTATCTCTTCGGATCAGGGGCTGCTTCATTTGGAACTCCAATTAACGTTCCTACAGGACCCAACCCGCCACCGCCGCATCAGAGTCAATTCAAGAGGCTCAACACGGGTGAACGGTGCCGCAGGGTGTTCCTCGATATCGAAGCCGAAGTAGACAGCGAAGAAGATGAAGACAACGATGACGACGACGACGACGACGACGACGACGACACAATCGACATCCCCCGCAAGATGGGTCTCGCCCTCAGCAAATCCGAGTCCTACGGCCTCACCACCACCTACGATCTCCCCGGCGCGCGCACCATCCCCCACTCACGCCGGGCACGCCGCCACGTCATCAAGGAGCTCACCCTCCCCAACGTCAAGTTCTCGCACGTCTCCGTGCCCAAGCTCCAGGCCGCCGCATTTCTCAAGGCCAAGATCACAAACTCGTCCAGCATCTCGCTGCTGCAGGGCCCCTGCGGACTCACAGTCGATGGGTCGTTCTTGGGCAACACAACCGTGGGGAGATGTGCGCCTGATAGCACGTTTGAGCTTAGTCTGGGTATTGATGAGGAGGTGCTGATCTCGTACCGGACGCCGGTCAGGAAGATGGCTAGCCAGGGGATGCTCTCGAGAGAGCAGGTGGCCACTTATGAGCGCTCGGTCAGAGTGCACAATTCCAAGAGGAAGAAGATTGAGGTTCTCCTGTTTGACCAGGTGCCTGTGAGTGAAGATGAGAGACTCAAGATTGCGCTTCTCGCCCCGAAGGTGCGCGAGGTGGGGCTCATGTCGGCTGTGAGCGTTAGGAGCACAGGAGGGAAGGAGCTCACGGTGGATAGGCTATTGAAGAAAGGTGGAGAGATTAGGTTTGTTGTGTCGTTGGATAAAGGGGATAGTGTTGTATTGCCTGTGGAGTATGAGGCGAGATTTCCAATCGGCGAACACATCACAGAGGTGGACTATGCGGATGATGGGGGCTACATTTCTATGTAGCTGGTTGGTGTATGGTTGTTTATTCGTTTAACAATTTGCCTTTTGAAAAGTGTTAGTTAGTACTTAGTTAGCGTGCTTGAAATGAAATTGAAACTTGAAAGATTTTTCATTGGAATAAACCCGCCCCCGAGCGCAAGAGTTTTCTAAGTCAGTGCCAGCTTGACCGGCCACTCGGGCCCTAGATTAGCTTATACATCGGAACCTTGCAAAGATATATGCACGCAATTTAAGGTTATTCCCAGACCCGGAAACCGGGGACCAGTACTACTGCCTCCAGGGATCGAATATCAATTCTAATCAGTCAGGGCCCGGGGCGAACATAAACCTCATTAAGTTACTATACTAATTAATAAAATCGTTTATATAAACCAGAGTTACGCAGACCAACTTAATCTACCTCTACCACTCATTGCTATATAGAAGTACCTAGGTAATATATTAAGTTCTAGGGCGCTCTTCATTTACGAGTTTCCCCTCCTCCACCAACCCGCGCAAAGCACGATGGTGCCGGTGGTTGCAGTTAATACGTGCGGTTAGCGTTAGCGTGTGGTTACAGACTCATGACCTCTCACTCGATGCACGTGACTACATAATTTACCTCTAACCACTAGCCAATCTTTTTTTCCTATCGACGCATGAATCGGTCTACAAGCTGTAGTTATACGGATTGAGTATAGGTACGTGTATGTACATAACGATCTCCGAGTTATGATGGGATATGGGTCAGCTGGGGGTTATGTAGTGAGGGGTGAGGAAGTCATATTAAACCCTCTGGGCTCCGCTATCGCGAGTTTACACCCACGCCTCAAAACCTCCACAGACACAATTATACATGTGAAATTCTCCGCATTTCGTGCAAGCACCCGCCAATAGTAGTTCTGCACTGTAGAAGACCACATACGTACCCCACATGGCCTCGTCCCGCACCTTCCTTCACCTGCAGTTCGTGTGAATCCGATATATCCAGCCAAAAAGCTCCTCTGTTAGCTGTAATTAGCGCCTGCATCTTGCCTTCTTCTCAGCCGTATTTCTTAGTGTTATGAGCTTTGGTGTAGTGTGGCTCTTCTCTTTGTTTCTTGCTCTACATGACCTACCATCTTCTTCACTGGGTGAGCTGCCACCACCACCACCACCACCACCACCACCACCACCACATCATTAACAACACAGTTTCACCAGGGTCTTCAACTCCGGCCATCAGCACCATGGGAAAAAGATAAAATGGGGAAATCCTCGGTTGCAATGGCCAAGGGGATGGGATTGAGAAGTTTCTGGGGGGCAATGCACATTCTGGGAACGTCTGGTTACTGGGGAGTGTACGCACTGGTTGTTCTCACTCATGGACATCAACAAAGCTCTGAATGAAGTTAGGTTTGCCCCCGATGCGATTTTATTGTTCCTTAATCTTGCGGTACTTAATGCTACAGTTAAAACCCAGTTCCAAAAAACCAGATGCTCAATATTTTCTTCTTCTGAACGAGAGGGTCATCGCGCGATGAATGCTTGCGGTATCCTTGCACTGCCTTCGGTTGAGGTTTCAGGCCAGTCCAGACAGAGGTATGTTAGACCCGAAGTAATGAGTGACCTTATTCCTTTTTTTTTAGTAGTTGATATTGATTGTTCCTCCTATCGCATGTAGTTTTCCCCGAAAATGGTTGAAGGATCATCCGTCCCGGCGAGATTTGACTTTTGTTGGTAATTTCTTCTCATTTTTTCCTTTATTTATTTGTTTTTCGCTTTCCCTCCTGTTATGCAGATGCTTCTGGGTAACGTATGCTGACTGAAAAAAAAATTTGGTGGAAGCATTCAGGTGGTACCGATTAACGGCGCCGACGCTTGGTTGGGCTTTGCGAGAGGACTTCGGGTCCTGGACGACGATACTTATCGTCCTGGCTGGCTAATTCGTCACTTTCCTCCTCCTCTTCGTACTCTTCGTCATCCTCACCCTGGGCCTCCACCATTTCAACCTCCTGCCCCTCTTTAACCTCCTCTTTCTTCGCCTCCATCTCCTTCGTAGGACTAACTCCCGGTGTGGCAGGTGGGATCCTCAAGTTGACGCTTTTGAAGGTTCTTTCCGGGGTCACCTGATCTCTAGTGGGGGTGTCTTCAGCATCATCCAGTGTTAGCCTTCCAGGTTGGATTTTTACTTCGACATCAGTCTCAAGGTCAACACCGTTGAGGGAATGCAAGCCAAGGCCCTCCTTTCGATTCTTGACAATTCTTGTCAAGACAGTACGCTGCAATCCCTTTCCTGGTGCTCGGTTTCCTCCGGAAAACCCAGTTGATCCAGTCCAAGCATGGACTGCTTGTGGCTCGTACCAGCGTCCCAGGACGCTCCCGACAGAACATTCGACGCGTTCACCGAGGGCATTACGTCTAAACCACTTTATAACCTCCCCGGACCCACTGCCGCGTCTCATACGAAATGGAAGATTTGCAAACTCCTCGAAAGTGATCGCAGTACACTCCTTTGACGGATAGGCAGTGTATTGGATGCCTTTCAACATAAAAAATTTATCATCTTTGAATACTTTTTCGATGACCAAGACGTCCTCGAAATGATCAGCGTCGTTTGTTATTCGGACCGGCTCATTAAGAAAAATCTTTTCGGCGCCAATGAATGCGCCTTGAAAGGCCACATCTTCCGACTGGCGGTCGAACAAGCAAATCGTTTCCGCCATTTTACGGGCGATGGGAATTGTAGGGTGTTCGGCGCGGTTGCGTACCTCGCAACACTCTAGACGTGCTAGCCATGGTCGGACATGGCATTGTTTGATGTTTTCCAAGATCTGACCAGGTTCTGTATCGGAGCAGAGCTGAATAGTATAACACCCATCACCAACCTCCTGCCAAGGCGAAGTATCATCCAGCTCGATATCAGAGAAAAGACCCCGGCCCCCGACTGTCTTGCTTTTTTCCAGCGGAGGGGAATAGTTTGGACGTTCCGCAACAATTCCAGCCATCCAGATTCCGCCATCATGATCAATCAAGGGATCATTTTCATCTTGTTCGGCTTCGGGATTGTCGGATACCCAAACCCAGACGATTTCACCTTTCCTCATTACCCACCCGGCTGTCTCCTGCTCTTTCTGCCTTTCTTCGACGGCTACAGTTCTCCGCGCTTCCGAAACCTCAACCTCTCGTTTTGTTCTTCTCCTGATAGTAGTACTGCCGGTTTTGGAGGCAGTACTGGAGCAGTACACACATCTGCACGTCTTATCTTTGCCAGCGAGGTATAGGAGATGGGGAATGAACTCATTGACTGAGCGGAATCTTTTACTCGCGGGATGGCCAAACAGATAAGTATCACGTCGAGGGGTGGCTCCGCCGTGGCACTTGACATGCTCATAGAGACGATAGTTGTCTGGCAGAGTCTTGAAGATGTACTGCACACCTGCACCAATAACAACAAGAAGTCAGCTCTGCGCATCAACCGCTGCCCAACGGGATCGAAAAGCGCGTTAATTTACCTTTCTCGATCATTCCGTATTCTTCCATCAAAGCATTGGCACCCTTGGTCAAGTACAGCATGGCCTTTGGTTCATCATCGGCAACCAGCCGGAAATACTCGTAGGATCCATCTGGCTCGACGAGCTTTTCTGTCCTCTCGGGGTAGACGGTATCGACTCCATCGGAGGTATTGATTTCCAAGGTCGTGTAGGTGGTCGGACCCATAATGGTGTTGTGGCTCTATCCGGGGGATGACTTGGATAGATGGATGGGAAAGCTGATGGTATTTCGTTTGTTTGGGAAGACGTGCGTGAGAGGACGTGCGTGGGAAGACGTGGGCGGGCTTTGTTGTGGTGGGGCGGTGGCTACCCTGACTAGAGCTGGCGATAAGCGAACACGCTAGTTGCCACACTCTATCGAGTCACGGTGGCTAGAAGAGCCCATAAACATTCTAAACATTCTTCCCCAGGTTTGGAACACTACAAGTTAGACCGTGCAAGGGGTACAGTCGCAACAAACAAAGCATTTCTCTTAGAAGTGGGTTATACAAGGCGGAAATATCTAAAGATAAATTTCTCTTTGTATAGTTCATATCCCGCTGTTGATATCGACCTCGAGAATCAACTGACGGCTGGAATAATTAAGTTATTGATTGCATGGGTGGTGGCTTGTTGTTCACGTGTGGGGTCAAGCGCGAGTGACAACCCATGATACACAACGGCAGGGGGCGCATGGGGAGGTGAGAAGCAAACATTTCTGGTCCACACGGGAAAAAACAGAGCCTGATCATGAAGTTCTATATCAGCTACATGTATGTAACGTGTTTCACCGGGAACGCAATCGTCACCGGGAAAGCAATCAAGCATGACATGAACGGGATCGCAAATTGCTGTGAAAGTTCAAGGTCACCCAGAATTACAGAACTAAATACACTAAAGTCATCCTGATGATCGTTACTAATAGGTAGCGAGTATATAGCTGTGGGAGGGTGATCTGGCCTTGGTGGCCCTCCCACAGCTATACTCGCTATGATCATAAGCAATAGTCAAAAACACGGAAAGAACTCTCCTATATATGTATGACTTCATAGGTATTGCTTTGGTGCTCATATGCCCTTCTGTGAGGTGAGGTTGCTTTCCCGGTGAAACACGTTATATACATAGCTAAGTTTCGTGAGTTTTAGCCTTGAGTGTTGTGGTGCGTTCGGGATTTCGGGTAGGAAGAAGGGGGGCTTCTGTCCAGCAGTCGTGCTGGAGTTTGGGTTGTAAGGGAGTCAAAAGGGTTCCCACACTGGTTAGATATCGATCTTTACCTGCGAGTTTGCTCTCTTTCTTCTTCTTTCACTCTTTCTCTTCTGCTTCCTCTTTCTACTTCTCTTTGTCTTTCTCCCTCACCACTGACATTTTTGAAAATTTGTTGGGTATGCACTCTGTGCTTATTATTAATACAAAGGTCATTGAGGCGAGCAAACCATGGCCAGTAACTGACGCGCAGTAGGTAGGTTAGTTATGCTTATATATCGGGAATGCATCTCTAGTTAGGCACCCCCTAATTTTCTGCTACATTTCTGCTGTACCTTTGGTTACGGGGGTGAGTTTAAGGCCTTTTAGTGACTGCGCGCAATCAACCCGTACGTATATACACATATACCCGCCAATGCTTAGTTTGTGTCTATTTACACGTATTGATCTTCCAGACATAAAGGAGAGCCAAGCTCATTGATTATATCATTTGTCCAGCTTCAAGCTCTAAACTATGACCCCGGTTAAACCTATCTTGTCTTTAACCAATTTCTCTAGATCACCAGATGAAAACCTCACCTCACCGCGCTCACACTCTACATTCGTTGCAGAGGATGTCTGGGATTCTGGGGAAATTGTAAGAGCTGTATGTGCTGAAGAGTGTCCATCGATAGCTTATCTTGGTCGCGTGTTTGGGGGTTTCCGTCAGTATATCCAGATCAAGAACCATTAATTGCGAAGGCGGGGGTGGTTGAGAAACGAAATATGGCTGGGCTAGTCAGCGTGGAGTCTGTATTGATATAGTTTCGGGGCCCAGACTCTACGTCTCTGGCATGGACTAATTTCAGCTCACTGTTTAGCTAGACCTCTCAGTCATGGCCCGGCATCCCTCTCCCCAGCTTCTGAATTTTTATGGGCCTCGTTGCTGGCGAACAGACAAATAATTTGCGGTTCAGCGGTGTTTGGCGTGGTGCATGTTGGTTAAGCTACCTAAGCGAGAGTAAAAAGAGCTGTATAGGACGGCGGGGCCCAGGGATTAGGTACTAGGCCTGGATCATCTATCTCACGGTCAATTGCGTGGCCAGATGGTCTCATATGTGATCACGCTGATTTGAACTTCACTTCGAATTCATACCTACGAGTTATATGGTAGTAAGTTGCCTGGCCGGGAACTAACCTAAGGAAGCCCTGATTAAAATGGGAGTATCCTTACTGCGAGGATCGCCATATTAGGATGGTAATTAATTCTGGTTGGAATAAAGTAGCATGATTGATCACCATTTTCCTCTAGATGTATTGGAACCTTCGATAGATTAAAGAAGCTGGGTCGATGCATGCGATTGAATAGTGAGTAGAGCTTGGGCAGCATCGATTGACACCTATCCACGTCATCATCAGCGTCAAACCCTGAGGTGTTTTCTTTCTACATTCTTTGTCATTGATTGCAATATGTACTAAGGCTATTCTAATTCATATCAGCTTGGGGCTATTATTTACGCAAATCGCATCAAGTCTTGCATCTCACATCTCAGATTGGCCAAAGCTATCTTCTAGACCGACTCGCCTGCTATTTCCGCAATATAAGCTACTGATAACGCATTAACCCTCATGTGACCGCCCTTATTGATTGGAATAGGCCGGAGAGAATTCAGAAAACAGATCTTTTATTGAGTCCATCAACAAACACCTCGGATCTGTTATTGCTGCGTTACTAATGAATAACGTAGTCGGTGAAGATACGAATCATGTGCCAGTGTCGATAGAGAACCTATACATATATACTAAGGGGAAATGGAACTGTGGAAACGTCTCAGTACAGGAGTAACATGGCTGTATCAATCTTTCCTCGCCTCCGCCTCCGCTCCCGATCACCCGCCGCACGCACACACGGTTTATACTTGTTATAGGTTGTACCAAGCGCAAACCTCCTAACGCTCAGCTCGCTACCCTCATACTAGTTGTATTGAGCTCCTTAGATAATTTCTTCAACATAGCTCATAATCAAGAGCATTCATGTTGATTTAAATGGGTTCGACTCGTGAAAGGGCTGGAACAGGCGAGTGATACTGTATGATCTAGACCACCAATACCTGCATATTTATTCTGGCTAACTGAAACCTACATAATACTAGTAACATCTAGCTACGCTACTACTTTCCGAGACATCAAATCATCTGCCGGTGCCATAAACACTTAAGCGAGCTGAATGGTTATCCCACTCTGCATGCGAATTTGCTTGAGAACTACTATCTATATGGAATTTTCAAGATTGCAAGTTTGACAGAAGTGGTGGGACAAATAAGATCCCGCATTATCTAGTGCTACTTTCCCTCGGGAACGAAGGGGCCAGGCTCTCCATAAGTATTTGAGAAGCGGGGTGATTTATGGCACTTTTGACGCCACCGGTACTTTTTACCATTGAACCCCTTCCACATGGCTAAATTACCAGAATCCTGTTTACTGTGCCGTCGGAGCTTTGAATAATGCAAAAGTACCCGATGGCAACTGCATATTCACAGTCTCACAAGCCCCTTCCTTTGGACTAGCTACCTGCGCTTTTGACAAATCCGGCCATTTATCTCAACAGGTTAAGCTCGTAAAATCAAGAGATTAACTAAATGCTTAGGTGTACCACATAGGTGTAGTTACACCATCTCGGCTGTCAAAAATATAAGCATCGTTCGAATATGTCCGATCCTTCGATTCTAACGTCGAACAGAGCTTGAGTTGTGCACAGCTGAGGCTAATGCAATTTCAGAGAAAAAATACATAGACTGTCCAGGATCGTCTTATTATCGAGGGAATATATTTACGCGAATGGATAATGTACCCGCCATAACCGGGTACCTCCTTTCCTCTTAAAAGCAGGTGCTCAAGTGGCTGCGAAAAATCTTGGGGGGTGTGCCTGGGAGCTAGTCGGAATGATGAAGAGAAGTTTGATTCTTAGATACCACTACAAGTTTGATTGGCAGCTCTTGGGGTTGATACACAAAATAAACTGTCATAAACATGATTTATATATGTTTAAAAAAAAGCCTTCATCAGACATCACTCGATTTCTCCCTCGTCCAAAAATCTGCAGAACGTCATCTCGCACGTGGGGAAACATCGAATGAAACTGTGCTATTCAAAGACCTCCCTACGATCTTATGCACATAACATGTGCGAAAATCAACCCCTTACTCTCCTCTTCCACGTTGTGTCAATTCTCATTTGAAAACCGGTTATCCGGCTTCCATCCAGGTGCCTCTCCGGCGGAACAACCGCGGGGGGGGGGGGGATCTTAATTCATCTCATTAAGGGCAAAGCAATTGCAAGCTTATTGCCCCGAATTTCAATCGACATAACACAAATGAGAATTCACTACACCATTCCCTTTGCGGCTCAGGAAAATCAGGCCACTCAGCTACGATTGAAAAAGACCTTACAAATCTATACACATTTAGATTGGGAATTAATGTCCTTTTGCAGACTCACTTTACCATAATCATACCCACCTGCGTGATCAATTGAAGCGGCTGTAGAATCAGAGAAAATAGGGCGCGATCCTGGCATCAAAAATGTGTCACAAAATACCTACCAGATATGCATATGCACACATATCAAAGTCCAAAAAAGATTCAGCCTGTCAAGATTCATGGCCGCTCCTACTATTTGCGTAGTCGCATAGGTATTGGTAGTCCAATTGCTTTGATCCAGTCTAAGGATTATTGCTTGCAGGTGATTCTACCCAAGCGTCCCCGGGTGCTATTGCATGTGTGCAAGAGCGACGCTTCCCCAATTTTTTTTTCACGAAACAGTTTATTTTTAATGGGCAATCTTCCGCTAAACGAGAAAATAGTTGCCACTAAATAATACACACTGGCTACAACACCAAGGGTGTCGATAGGAGGGGCCGGTATTGGGGTTTCAATCATATGTTTCTGCACAAGGCTGGATTGATCATGAGGGAACGTTAAAAACTGCAAATGTTCGGCGAGAAAACCGACCATGTATTGTATTATCTCGGTAACAGTTTCTTCCATACGGCGCAGCTGGCATCTCCAGGCTGTCGGTTTCTTCCCAGGTAGAAACATCCATGGCCGCATGTCATGTCAATGGATTAACTAGAAAATGTGTTACTAGAACGTTTTGTACGTCCTACTGTGACATTGACTAGCTCACTATTCCGTCTGATGTTTGCGAAAAAGGAAGTAGAGATCTTTATATGCAGATCCAGCATTGATGATCGAATTTACTTATTTTTTTTGGAAAAGAAAAAGAAAAAAAAAACCGCACGGAGGGGGACGGAATATTTTCGGTGAACTACGTGCTCCGTTACCCCTATCAATGGTTTCTTATTTGTACTACTGTATCCTCCAGCCTGCTAACCCGAAACACGGTTAAGGTCATCGTCCCCTGCAGCTCTCGCTAGGATGTTGAGCCTGTTCAGCACGCGAAAGCTTTTGCATACACACCCTAGCGGGACGGGTCTCCGGGAAGATGGCGCGGGGAGTGGGGTAATTGCTGGTATCAGCTCCCAAAAGAAGATTCCAAGATTCCAAGACGTCTGATCAAGGTGTGGCTGGATGACTTTGGCACCTTTGTTAAATAATTGTTTCTTTTGCAATGGTCGTGCGGAGTTTAAATTTGTGTACTGACCACCTCTTATCTTCGCTGATACATACCTTTAAATTTATGTAGGCTGCTACCTGTCACAGAGAAGTACGCGCAAGTAGATAGAGCAGAAAATGCAAGTGACGGAAACAGGGATTATTTGTATAAGAGAACGGCGCCACTCCATACAAACTATCCTTGCCCTGAGCAACCGCATTTTCTGGTTCTTTTGCTGGTAAGCAAGTAGAATCGAAATGACCGACTGTTCACATAATAAAAGTGCTGATATCCCCCAGGTTGAGTATGTACAGCCGCATTTGAAAAGTATTGGCACCTTCGAGCCAAACTCACGAGGCAGTCCTTTCTGCTTTTCAGCCCCCATATTCAAGACAATTGCCAGAGAGAGCTGCCATGTCTCTATTGCGGTCATACCTATCAATAAGTTGAGTATGCGCGAGTGCCATGGATTTTGGTGGGCTACAATCCATGAACGACTCAATGTAGTAGGGTGCCAGTACTTTTCGAATGCGGCTGTACATCCTCCGACACGCTACAATAGTTAGTAGCAACGGCGGAGTGAGTGACAATATGTGCCTATATGTATTTCCATGATCCTCCTCCGGATCCCCGTAATATAAGACATAAACAAATAAACAAGCGAAAGGTATCATTTGTGATCCTTGTTGACACTCATCTGATTTACTGATTAAATTTCTAGACTCCGCACAAGAAAAACCCGCCGGTACCTCTCTAGCTCTACATGTAGTCACCTCGCTACCATGCTAGTTAACTCCAAAATTCTTGGGTTGGAACTGGAGGAAAGGAAAGAGAAAAAAGGCCCTGGTCCACCATGTAGAGTACCCAAGCAATGCACGGGGCAATATATTGGACACATCTACTCTAAAGTGCTACCTACTATACTCTACACCCATACCATTCCCACGGAGGTCCCCGATGGCTGCATGCATTCACATTTTAGAATACTCTAGGTACTCTATATGGAGAGTGTGGTGCCCCTGCCGCAACCACCGTCCATCCCATGAGACATTTTGTCATGTAAGAAATGCAATGACGGAGATGGAGCTGGATGCTGATGAGGAGGGAGGCAATCCAACGGTCTCGATCGCTAATATATAGATCTACGTACCTTTCCATAAGATCTTCGAAAAGGCCCTGTACCTACTGTATCAAAGGAAAGAGACTTAAGCAAGTAATCATCCTCCATACTGTACCGTACCATAGCCCCCACAGCCGCCCCCCCCCCCCCCCAAGCTGCAGTAGCAGCTAGCTTATAGCTGGGCCAATCTGCCTAACTCGACGATAGAGCCTTATATATACATACATATATATACTATCGCCGGCTAGCTAGGGATAGGTGAACTCTTTCCTCCGCGATCGATCTGCTATATACTAGTTACAAGTACTACTAGTACTAGCACTGGCCGCCGGTGGGAGAACAGATTCGATTCTTTCTTTCTATTATATTTTTTACTTTCTTTTTTAATTTCACAATGGTTTTGGGGCCGCTGTTGTTCGCGGTGGAGTTCCCGCTGCTGGCACTGTCGACGGTGTTTGTGGCGTTTAGGTGAGAATTTTTTTTTATACATATGCTGCTAATGGCCTGCTTCTTTTTGTTGCGTGCATTTGCTGCATAGCATCCTGATATTGTTATTTGCGTGTATATGTGCTAACTGGCCGCGCTGAGTGGGTGGTAGATTCTACTGTCGACATTTTATTGTGCGGAATCTGGGGCCCGATGATTGGATCATGTTGGTGGCGCTGGTAAGTTTTCACATGGCGGGCTGCATGAACTCGTACTGGAGGGACTGAGACTGATACGATACTGTGACATATAGCTCAACGCGTGGGGTATCGGCGTGCTTAATACTTTTCAAGTCAAATATGGATCTGGGTAAGCAGCTACATGACCAATTATATTACCGCTCTCTTGTACTGCAAGCTAGAGAATGCTCTATTATAGATCTAGACATATATACATTTACTAATTCTACTACTGGATTAATAGTACCCATATGATGGACCTGGTATATACACACTCAACTCCTGGAATATTCGAGCTAAACTAAAATAATGGTTGATGATAGCCGTCCACGCCCGGCCTTTTTGTGGGGACGTTAAAGGTGTGGTATATCTACCAGATGCTTTACCTCATCACGCTCTTCTTCGTCAAGATGAGCATTCTGGCGTTCTATCGCCGGCTGTCGCCAGCGCAGGGGTACCATTTGGCGATCAAGATTACGGCGGGTGCGGTGACGGTGTTTACGATTGCTATGGTGTTTGTTAATGTGAGTCTATTGATTTCTCTTTCTTTTATATGGTTGGTCGGTTTGCTGATATATGGGCTTTTGTGGGATATATAGGCCTTCGAGTGTCCGAAGAAACCGAGCCTGGCGTGGGCCCCGACGTTCCCGATGGGCTGCAATAACCTTGTGCCGGTGTACTATGCACAGGCGGGGTTCAACATTCTTTCTGATATTGTGATTCTGCTGTTACCTCTGCCGTCGTTGTTGCGGTTGCAAGTTAACAAGAGGAAAAGAGGTATGTATCTCTCCATATGACGCCGCGATATATCTGTAATGCTGCCCGGGTGCTAATCCATGACTCCCCAGTGGCTCTCATACTCGTCTTCTCCATCGGCGGCGTCGCAGTAATCGCCTCCATAGTGCGTATCAACGCACTCTACATCTTCCAGCACTCGACCGACATCCCATGTAAGCACCCCCCGGGCCCCAGTCGGGCAGCGCAGCGCAGCTACTAACCTCCCGCCCATATACAGACGACGGCATCTTCATCCTAATCTGGTCGCAAGTCGAGATCAACGTCGCCATCATCTCCGCCTCCGCGCCCTCCCTGCGGCCGCTCGTCAAGTCGCTCCTCGGCGGCACCACCACCACAAGCTCCAGCAACCCGAAGTCAACCTCCTACTACAATCGCAAGAACCGCATCCCACTGCAGTCGTTCAGCGGGCCCGGCCGCGACGCCGAGATCATCACGAACGTGAGCGGGCGCGGCGCGGGGCTGGGGAACGAGAGCGAGGAGCATATCGTCGCGAAGGCGGGCGGGATTGTGAGGACGACGGATGTGACGGTGGAGGTGGTGGATGAGGAGAGGGGGAGGAGGGGGCCGTGGGGGAAACTTTAGCGGGCTTATGAAATCGCTTTTTTTTGTAATGCCCTTTTTTTGTGCCTATTTTTTGTGCCTTTGTCTTTGATTTTGGGCCGGGGGAGTGGGCGCGGGTGGGCGGGGCGAGTGGGCGGGCAAGCGGGCGTTGTATGATACTATGAATTTAGGATTTATTGGGCTATCAGTAACGTGTACGTGGAGTGCGTAGGTACATCCTTTTTTTTTGAATTCTACTACCTTCCCATTCCACGATGCATTGAAAACGTCCAGCCCGCCCGACTGTCTGTCTAGGGGAGAAGCTTCACGAATCATGTATAATAATAATAATTGTCAAACTGGCCAATCTATCTCTAGCTTTCCGCTCACAAAGGTTTCAGCAGCGTCGTCGTGAGGGAGGCACAAAACTTCATAAAACAGTAATCTGTCCATGGATCGATACTGGCCAGGTCTACCCTAGGTTTACTTGACCTCCTTCCCCCCCCCCCCCCCCCCCCCCCCGTAACATAAAGGAGCTGCAACAATCAGTTGATTTGGTTTGGAATGACAATACCTGCTCTATCGTAGGGGGCTCGCCTAGGTTTATCTGCAGTCATTGGCAACCTATCTATCTCTCCTCGTCTTTCCCGTCGTCGTCGTCTAAGACTAATTTGATGTATCCCTTTACAAGCTGAAGCATGTGAATTCGGCTAGGTATAGGTTCTATGTAAGCCCTAGGAAAAGGAGGATTATCATAGGGGACTAATTACCAGTGATTGTTTCTTTCTTTTTTAGTCGTAGTTCAATATTGTCGTCGGCTACAATAAAAAAAAAAAAAAAAAGAAAGAAAGGAAGGAAGCCAATATAACCGCATTTACCAGTACGGCCGGGTATATAAAGTGCTCCAGTTTGGAACAAGCCTCATGTTCAGGTGTCGGGGTCTCATCGTGACGCGCGCCTGAGACCCTTTCTGATAGCTGTGGATGTGGGGAATAAAAGTAAGAATAATCAGAAAGAGTCAGTCAGCTAGTCAGACAGTCAGACAGTCAGACAGTCAAGCCTTCTTTGACAGTGGCAGCCTATTCGCTAAGTGGTTACTAGCTGTGTCTAAGAGTCTAAGAGTCGGTTGATAGACTGCCGGTACTGCTAGTGCGCAGGCAGCACTCACGGCCCACGAGCTACCGAGAGCTAACTCTACGAGCCTACCAGCTAAGCTAATGCAGGTCGCTTAACAAACCTTCTCGTTCTAATCAAAGAATGCAGTCCGTATTAGTAACTATCAACTAGTTAACGTTAGGGCGCAATTGTTAACAATTTACTACTCATGTAGGACATACTATACGCTTTGACACTGACAAGCAGTACGACGACGAAAGATTTAACCGCGGTGTGGATTTGTGGGGCCTGTGCAGTAGTATTTAATCGCCCGAGGCGCTCGCTGTGTTCAGGCAGGCCTATCTTTGTCTACATACGTGTAAGTGGATCAATTGTGGTTCGAGGATCGATGGAGAAGAAATGTAAAGCACTATATGCCACTATGCACCCACTCAGTCTGTCTTCTGCCGAGTTCCCGCTGTACATCTGTGAAGAGATGTTTCTATAAGTGAATCTGCTCTACGCTACGGTAGATGGGATATGGAGGAAGAACGAGGACGCGTTTCTTCCGTTCCGATATATGGGGTGGACAGTTGACAGGCGAACGACAAGGGTCTGTCTGTCCGCTCATGTGTGTATTCTTAGTGCCATGTATGTAGCCATGTGGAGAACTGTGGAGATGCTTGGGTACATACATATGTACATTGGTCTAGGCAGATGTATAGGCAGGCAGGCAGGGAGTTTCTTTCCAGCCAGGCAGGTAGATAGATAGGTCAGTCATTACACGTACCCCTCTAGCTATGTAGCTAGGCCATGTATGTACTCTAGATTACATCGGGCAGGGTTCTTGAAATTTCTCGACCACGAGGGATGAGGGCTGTGCGCTGGTAAGTGTAAGTGAGACGAACCCACATACCGTAAATAAAACAGTACTTATAAACTGCGAGAGACTCTCCCATCCTCTCGGTACGTACTACATTGCATTGTCAATAGAACATCTCGGCGGTCTCATTGCTTCTTCGTCCCCCTCACATACATATATATATACTCCCAAAAATATGCGTTATTCTATCAGCTCTGTTGTTTCTGCGCTCTCATTGGCCTCTGTCCTTGGGGGCGTGGGTGCCGTTCCTGTGGCGGATACATGTCGGAACCCAATTGTGCGCAAGGAATGGTATGGATACTTTCTCCCCTTAGACTCTTGACCTCCGAGCACACACACTGACTGATTGGCTGACTGGCATACAGGAGAACACTAAAGAACTCCGAAAAGGCGAGCTACATCACCGCCGTAAAGTGCCTACAAACAACCCCCTCCATTGCCACCGCAACAATCCCAAACGCAATCAGCCGGTTCGACGACTTCCAGGGCGTGCACATCCAGCGGACCTTCCAGATCCACTTCGTCGTAAGTATCCGCACCTCTCTCCCAGTCCCCATATATCAGCTCTAACCTCACTTCGCTCCACAGGGCCACTTCCTAGCCTGGCACCGCTACTACGTCGCTGCCTACGAAAAGGCCCTCCGCGAAGAATGCGGCTATACCGGCGCACAGCCATACTGGGACTGGACACTGGACTCCGCCGACTTCCTCTCCTCGCCACTCTGGGACCCAACCACGGGCTTCGGCGGCAACGGGGCGCCCATCCCCGCTACTAACAACAGCTTTGCCGTTCCTGGCGCAACAGGCGGCGGATGTGTCACTGACGGGCCATTCGTGGACTTCCGCCTCCACCTCGGACCTGGGGACTCGCTGAACGCGACGAGCAGATGCCTCACGAGGGGGTTCAGCCCCGTCATTGCGGCGAACTTCTCGAATACGGCGAAGGTGGACCGCGCGCTGGCGCAGGTGGATTTTGGCTGGTTTGATAAGATAGTAGAAGGAGAAACGAACTTTGTGAATGTGGGGATTCATGGCGGAGGGCATTACTCGATTGGTGGGGAGGCGGGGGATCTGTATGCTAGCCCGGGAGGTAAGATGGATATCCCTTTCCTACGTAAAAGATATCATTTGCTGACATAGATAGACCCGGTCTTCTACCTCCACCACGCAAACCTCGACCGCGTCTACTGGCTGTGGCAGTCGCAAAACCTCGCTACGAGACTCCTCGATATCTCGGGGTCCGTCGAGCTGCTTGGGCCTATAACGGGCCCGAATGTGACGCTGAGTTTCCCGATTGAGATGGGCCCGTTGGCGAAGAACATCACCGTGAGGAACCTGATGGACATCCAGGGATTGGCGGCGGGGACGGGACCGCTGTGTTATGAGTATGCGGATAGCCCGGCTGTGGATGATGATGAGGATGAGGATGAGAATGATAAGTGTTGATCAATGTACTGTAGGTGAGGGGGTTTGTGTAGGCTTGGGGTAATTTTTAATTTTGAATGTGTTGTAGCATGGTGTGGGGGGTACATGTTGTAAGTGGGGATTCTTAGATAGTGATAGTAATTTGACGATTTGTGATGATGATGAGAGAGTTGGAGTGTGTCAGTACTGATTGTACAAGTCTGTGCGTACATGTGGTGAAGGCTGGACGAGTGATTTTGAGTGAAGCGTAACTACATGTAGTTACATAAGTCCTACTTAACAGACCTACCCGTATGTGCTTACTAAATTGTAGATATGTGGACCCCACCGTGCACATCTGGGTAATTTTTTATGAGTCTACATTGACAAAATAAAGTCCTTAAAGCTATTAATATTAGGACTCGTAGTTGAGGTTGATGTTCTGACTGAACTACGTGTATGGTAGTGCGTATTATCTGTCACGAAAGCGCACTTTCCATACCGCCATACCAATACCCCTCGTTCGGATATAGCGCAGCGACTACTCTCGCTGTTTGAACATAACAGTACACCCAATGCAACGCCCACTAGCATATCGTTTTCAAAAAGCCCTATCAAAGAGATATACTCAGCATGGAACTCGTCACATAAGCATTCTCTCCTTGCTACCTGCGGTGCTGGTCCCGCCGGTTGTCTTCGGGGGTCTTGTCATCTCGCTATGGATGTACAAGGTACGGAGTATCATGTCATCTATATTGGATGTTCCAGGGCATTGGACTGACACGAGGCGAAAACTCCAGTGTGCGATGATGGTTTTGTTTCAGAACAAGATTATATACATGCCCGGTTCGTTAATCAATCCCAAACACGTGCACCAGTTTGCAAACAACCTGCTAACGCTAAATTCAAACACTTCACAGGCGTCCCACTGGGTGCCAAACGAGAGACGCTACAGGACTATAAGCACCTATTCAAAGGGATACAATGGCACGAGCACCACAACCACATCGCCACATCCGACGGAAAACGCCTCTCCTCCGTCACGGCAACAACCGGCGGCAGCCAGGCAGGTAAGAAGCACATCCTCGTTCTATACCTCCAAGGGTACCTCCTCCATGCCATCCATTCCTTAAGCCTCAAGTACTTCTCGCAACCCGCCAACACCCTGCCCGCCACAGCAATGCCTCTTCCACCCCTCCGCGGCTCCCATACCTCTCCACGATCCTGTCAACACTAGCCAAGGACAAGACCACAAAGTATACGTTTCTCGTCCCCTCCTACCGCGGCTACTGGACCTCTACGGGCACGCCCTCACAGGCCGGCATAGAGCGGGACCTATCTGCCATCTTCAACCACCTCGAGACAGCGCCCCAATACGCCGACACGGAGGTCATTCTCTGGGGGCAGAGCATTGGATGCGGCATCGCGCTCAAGGGCTGGGCGGACTATCTTCGCTCCTTCTCCTCTTCCTCCGGGGGGCTGGGCGTCAGGGTGACGGGGCTGATACTCGAAACGCCGTTTGTGAGTGTGCCGAATATGCTGCGTGCGCTGTATCCGCAGCGGTGGCTGCCATACCGTTATCTGTCCGTGTTCCTGTGGAGCACGTGGGATATGGCGGCGTGCGCGGAGGTGCTGGGGAGAGGTGGGGGGGTGCGGGTCTTGGTTGTGAGCGCTGGGATGGATGAGGTTGTGCCGGCTGGTGAGACTGATGAGGTGGTGCAAGTGGTGGGGGGCGCGGTGGGGAGGGAAAGGGTCAGGTCGGTTGTTGTGAAGGGTGCTTTGCATGTTGAGTGTGCCATAAGGCCCCAGGGGAGGGAGGAGATTGTGCGGTTTATTGAGGGGTTGAGTGATGTGGGAGAAAATAGCTGTCAGAAGAAAACCCCGTTTCAATGATCTATTTGTTAGGCATTGACCCTTGAAAACTCCGTTTTGTCTTGTTGCCGAACGGGCCCTAAAAAGTTCATTATGCTGACTAGTATGGCAATAATAATTATATAAAAAACTATTTCCAGGACCTGGCGAAATCGATACTTAATCCTAACCAACGAACCCTCGCTACAGCTAACTGGTATGTATATGTATGCTATTGGGGATAATATCCTCGCACATAAAGGAGTACGCAAACTCGATGAAGGAATCCGGGAAGATCTCGGCATTAAATTATAAGCCGTAAATGTTCCCCAAGTCTTCTGGCCTCGGCCAAATCAGACGGGTATGGGATTATGAGAAAGATGAGATTTGTTGGCGCGAGTGAATCCACAGTTGAGGGGGCAAAAAGATCGCTTATAGATGTTCGGAACGTTCCCAGGAGTATATTGATGGTAGAATCTTGAGATTTTCACGAGAAGCTATATAGAACAGTTCATCGCTCAGTATTCAATTTTGGGGCTTAGTTGATTGGGCTACAATCGAGAAGAGGATTGGTTGATCATTTCCTGCGCATATTCGATTAATCCGGTATGTGCTTGCGTGTTGCTCTTACCTCGCCAGCGCACTTCGTCCATCTCCCAAATATTCGCGACCACCAAGGCTGCTAAAGCTATAAAACAACAGTTGAACATTGTGAGCTCTCTTGATTCTTCTTTGCGTTGTCGGTAATAATATGAACTAATCATTTAATAATAAAGACACGGCTGAGATCTAGGAACCAAACGCATTGCTCATTTATCATTATACGGCCTCGAAGATCTTGAGTTAGAACATATATTTCTATTGAACGTATCTAGCCCGAGAATGCCGACTCCATTCGAGTTCCGTAAACGGTACCGAAATTTCGTCGGTACTCAGGTTAGCAAAAGGCCTAGTAGCTCTGCTAGCCCGATCCCTCCGCCGACAGGGATACAGGCTTCAACATCAAACTCGTAAGGACCTATATAAATTTAGGCTAGGATCCGGAGAGTTGAATTGATAAATTGTAGTACATTGGCAGTCAACAATCCGCCTTCGCCGAGTCCATTGCCCCCACCGGTTCCGTTGCCTGTGCAAAGAGAAAATCCCGCCTTTGCCCTGGCTCTGAAAAAACACATAGACGGTCTTTCCCCCGAGGAGCGACGAGTATTCAACAACAGCAATATTACTATCACATCGGATAGCCTCATAGAAAGAATTAAGGACTACGATGAAACCCACAAAGGCTCGAGTAATGCTCGCAGATGGGCATCTCGAATCCAGGGATTTTTAACCGCTGTTGACGGATATCTAAAACCATTATCGATCATGATCGCACACAGTCCAGAGATTTCTTCACTTGTTGTAGGGGGCGCGAAGCTCATTATCCAACTCGGACTGAGATTTATAAACTTCTTCAATAAGCTGGCTGAGATGATGGAGCACTTGACCGGCCACTTAGGATACCTATCTCGATATGCCGACTACTTTAACGGATCTAAGCTAATACAAGAGGCACTTTCTGCTGCATATGGTGATCTACTCAAGTTCTTCACAGGCGCAAGGGGGGTTTTCGTAGATGATAAGGGGAACCCCAGACGCTGGGTATCATTCCGAGTATTCTTGCAGATTACATGGGAACCATTCGAGGATAATTTCAATTGTTTGCTCTCCGAATTCAGGAATCATGTTGAAATCGTGGTTCGGACAGCTTCTATCGAAGAATATGAATACCTACGCTCCGAAAAGCGATTGGAGGAGGAGGAAAAAGAGGATGATATCCGACATAAAGTGCTATCATGGCTCTCAGAATTGGACTTTGACCATGATCATAACCGGATATTTTTGAAAAGGTATCAGGATACTGGGGACTGGCTTGTTGGGTCTCCGAAGTTTAAACAATGGGATGATTGCAAAGAGTCTTCTTTATTATGGTGCCACGGAAGTCGTAAGATACCCCAACCCCGAAGTAGAATAGGATTGATTTGTTTTCAAACTAACATTTAAAAGCTGGCGTTGGAAAGTCAGTTTTAGCGTTAGTACCTACAATTTTTTCGGACCTTAAAATTGAAAGTGACAGTTCTAATGATTATATCTTGATAGATCTCTTGTCCTAGAAACAATTTCGACTAAATATTCTTTGGATAGCCGGACTGGTCTCGCATTTATATATTTCAATTTCCAGGATCAAGGATCTCAAAAATACCTCAAAATCATTTCCACAATCATCAAACAGCTTGCTCGCAAAAAGAAAGTTCTACCAAGCGGCCTCAGACAATTATATAAAACGTACCATCGCGATGCAAGATTTCCAACCGAAGAGAAGCTCGAATCTCAGTTTTTGGATATATCGAAAACCTTCGATCAAGTATTTATTATCATGGATGCAATGGACGAATTCGAGGAACGAAAGGAATTTCTCGCCATGATTGAAAAGTTTACTAAGGACTCTTCTATGAGATTCAAGGTCTTTGTGACGAGTCGCAGGGAGGGGGACATTGAAGACGCTTTCACTCGGTGTGGATTCTCCGTAATCCAGATTGAGGTAACAAAGGCCGACGCCGATATCGCCACCTTTGTTAATTATGAGGTCGAAAGGCGAACAAAAGAAATGAGAGGGGTTACCATTAGTCAAGAACTCAAGGAAAGAATCATAGGCACCCTAACATCTAAATCGGGTGGGATGTAAGTTGTCTCTATTATTGTTTTACAGGTTGTGACCCCAAATGCGGGTCACATGACCCACAACGCCTCGCTCTATAACTTGAACTTGATTTAACAATGAATAGGTTTTTATGGGTTAAATACCAATTGGATTATATTTACGAGCAACCATCGGCCAAAGATATTTCCATAGCTCTGGACACACTTCCGGTAGACATGAATGCAACGTACACCCGAATTTTAAGAAGAATCGACAAACAGGTTCCGGCCAAACGCGAGATGGCCCGACAGGCTTTGATGTGGGTCATTTGCGCTAAAAGGCCGCTCAGCCATAAAGAACTAGCAACCGCGGTTTCTATCAAACCCGAAACAACAAAACACAGAGACTTGAATCGGGTAGACGGCGCAGAAATACTTCTCGAAGCCTGCTGTAATCTGATTATTTTTGAGGGTGGTTATTTTCGGCCTTTTCATTACACGGTCCAAGAATTCCTCACTTCCATCGATTCAAAGTTAATTGATAGCGTTGATATGACCTTTCTCCAAAAATACGAAATTACCATAAATAACCACGCAGAACTGGCAAAAATCTGCCTCCAATATCTGTTATTACCGGAATTGGGCCGTGGAGATAATTGGTACATGCTCGAGGGATATTTCCCACTGATAAAATATGCAGCAGGTTTTTGGCATAAGCATGTCCACGACCTTCCTGAATTACCAGAGCCCTTGGCTGGTTTAGTTGACAAGTTTTTCGATAATAACCATGGAAATAATCTTCTAGCGGCTTTTCAGATGGCTAGAATGGAATTTCGGGGGGCGGTGTCTATCAACTCGTTGAATTATTGCTTATCATTCAATATTCTTCACCTCTTCGAAAGATCTCATCAATTAGAGACTTCGATCGCCAACCATGAGAGTTACAAAGAAGCCCTACACCACGCTGCCTACGGAGGATCAACACCAACCGTCGAACGCCTTGTGGAGAGAGGATTCTCGATCAATTCTTACGACCATAGAAAACATACTCCACTGTGTCTTGCTGCTTCAGCTGGGAACACGGAGACATCAATGTTTCTAATAGAGAAGGGGGCAGATCTTTCTATAGAGTGTGGGGATTATGGCAATGCCCTGCAAGCAGCTGCATTTGGAGGGCACCTAGAGACCGTACAGATGTTCCTGGATCGAGGGGCTGATGTCAACGCTCAGGGTGGAGAGTACGGCAATGCCCTGCAAGCAGCTGTACAAGGAGGGCACCTAGAGACCGTACAGATGCTCCTGGATCGAGGGGCTGACGTCAACGCTCAGGGTGGACGCTACGGCAATGCCCTGCAAGCAGCTGCACAAGGAGGGCACCTAGAGACCGTACAGATGTTCCTGGATCGAGGGGCTGATGTCAACGCTCAGGGTGGATTCCACAGCAATGCCCTGTATGCAGCTGCAGAAGGAGGGCACCTGGAGACCGTACAGATGCTCCTGGATCGAGGGGCTGATGTCAACGCTCAGGGTGGACGCTACGGCAATGCCCTGCAAGCAGCTGCATTTGGAGGGCACCTAGAGACCGTACAGATGCTCCTGGATCGAGGGACTGATGCTCAGGGTGGAAAGTACGGCAATGCCCTGCAAGCAGCTGCATTTGGAGGGCACCTAGAGACCGTACAGATGCTCCTGGATCGAGGGACTGATGCTCAGGGTGGAGAGTACGACAATGCCCTGTATGCAGCTGCACAAGGAGGGCAATTGGAGACCGTACAGATGTTCCTGGATCGAGGGGCTGACGTCAACGCTCAGGATGGAGAGTACGGCGATGCCCTGTATGCAGCTGCAGAAGAAGGGCACCTGGAGACCGTACAGATGCTCCTGGATCGAGGGGCTGATGTCAACGCTCAGGGTGGATTCTACGGCAATGCCCTACAAGTAGCTGCACCAGGAGGGCACCTGGAGACCGTACAGATGCTCCTGGATCGAGGGGCTGATGTCAACGCTCAGGGTGGATTCTACGGCAATGCCCTGCAAGCAGCTGCACAAGGAGGGCGCCTAGAGACCGTACAGATGCTCCTGGATCGAGGGGCTGATGTCAACGCTCAGGGTGGATTCTACGGCAATGCCCTGCAAGCAGCTGCACAAGGAGGGCGCCTAGAGACCGTACAGATGCTCCTGGATCGAGGGGCTGATGTCAACGCTCAGGGTGGATTCTACGGCAATGCCCTGCAAGTAGCTGCACAAGGAGGGCACCTGGAGACCGTACAGATGTTCCTGGATCGAGGGGCTGATGTCAACGCTCAGGGTGGAGAGTACGGCAATGCCCTGCAAGCAGCGCGTTACTCGAACTGTCAAGATGTTCTTGAGTTGCTTGTGAAAGCCGGGGCCCGCGAAGATATCTCAAATGAGGGACGCTCGAACTCTTAAATTATCATCACCACTCTTCTATCAATCTTTTTATGTCCAATCAACGTCTCATGATCAAACTACAACAACCGACCGACCATCCCTCAGAACCAGATACGAAGACAATAAAAGCTACTAGCCATCCACCTATTCTCTCTCTTTTCAATTTAATGTTTCGTAAGCCTTCGTCTTGGTTCACCTTCTCATTCTACTTAATCTCTGTCTCTTTATTTCCACAACTATTATTTCCTTGCACGGTATCGTTACATTACGACTCGTACACCTACATTTAGCTTGTTGTTTATTTGTTTCTATAACAGACTGCAAATTTCTATTTACAATTTCATTTATCTAAGAGTGCGAAAGTTAGGGTTCCGGGGCAATGTCATACTGATGACTCTTTATTTCTTACCTTATATCAGTACTACTGGCCGTGTGGTTAGTGTGGAATGAATACGAATGTAAGAACCGAACTTATCTGAATCGCCAAATATCACTCGACCGACCTGACGTCAAGGTGTTTATAGAATAGAAGGGTGTGTGCGGAGGATTCCGGCTCTCGTGCATGGTAGACTCACTTTACTTATCATACGGAAAGGCATAACTCTACCTTGATCTTCACCATTATAACTCAATGTAGCCTTCCACAAGCACACCCAAAGCACAACCCCCAACTCTGGTAGGGCATATAAGCTCTAGATGCATAAGAGCCCAAGATCCCCACCAGGATATCTACCACCTGCACCCAGTTCCCGCCCAATAGCTAGTACTATGCACATGCACGCTGCATGTTTTTTTAGTACCTGAGACCCTCTACCTGATAAGCCCTATATTTTTTTCCAATAATAAGATGTAGAGCCATGTTCCTGCAGATCCCAGACAGAGCAATACCCTACACACTAACCAACACATCCCAAACTCCCGGTCACAAAGTGACGTGATCGAGCTCCGGCCCTGTGGATCCGCGTGCATATGCATGCATGTAGATGTTGATCTGTGTATGTAGGGCTGCAAGCTGTGGGGTAGGGTAAACACCGTTTATTATAACTTGTAAGACACCAGTGCATGACCCCACGTGCATTTCTCCTCCGGCCCGGCTCCTTAATCCCGGGTGTGAAAAACGTGCTCGATATGTAGGTACACGTTTAATTCCCAACTTATGCATAGACTTAGCTATATGTATGTATGTAGGTATTATACATATACCGAGTAACTATAGCTAGTACTCTAGTCCTAAAGGTAAGCTATGAAACACAGATCGCCGAAGAGCTGGAAATAACGGTTCTGAGACATCATAGGGTTGTAGCTTAAGTATAATTATAATAGTATTTCTCCCACGTGTATGTGTGTATGTGTGTATGTGGGGCGTTATTGTGCCGCTTTGGCTGGTGGCGGGGGTCTTAGGGGTTGTGTAGTAAGTGTACCTACATTTAGAGGTGGTAAATGGTGGGTGGGAGCGACTGGTACCACCTCACTGTCGGTGCGGGAGGGGTGGTGCAGATCTTGAATAGGCAGATACCCGTATATCTGTGTCAACCACGAGGCCCGACCCAATGGATCCAACACTACCATCCCATTTAGATCTAGCCATAACGTGGTACATGTGATGTGTTGTTGGATTCGATCACGAACAGCCAGCCTGGAAGGACATGGTAAAATATGTAGTATTCATACATCCACTCGTCTGAGCATTATATATATACATCACCCACCCACCTATTCCTCACCACTAATAGATTCTCTCTCTCTAGATTCTCTCCGAGGCTACAAAATAAAAATACACGTTAAAAGGGTTCTTTCATAGCCGAGTGATATATCATGACTCACTCACCAGAACCAAACAAAAACAAAAACAAAAACAAAACAAAGGTTTTTATACCCCAACCAAACGCCACGCACCCACACACGCAGACAAAAACTCACACCCTCTCCTCCACCTTGACCCCCACCCCCATCTTATTCACCGCCTCCCCGTCCGCCTCGCCATCCACCTCCCCGTCCCCCTCCTTCCCCGCTTCACTCTCCACATCCCCGCCGCGGATCCTGGTGCGGATGCCAAACTCCTCCGTCGAGTCGTGCTGCGAGAAGGACTGCATGATGTACGTGTCGCTCTGGTTCTGCTTACTGCGCGAGCGGGGGGCAGCACCGATGTTGCGCGGGGCGTTGGGAGAGAAGGCGTGCGGCTCGTCGGATCCGGCGCTGGCGTTGGGCGTGCCGCCGAGGAAGTTGGGGAGGTAGCGGGAGAAGAAGGGGCGGGCGGCGGGGGCGGAGCCGCACGTGATGCTAACGAGTACTTCGACGCTAGGGTTGGGTTAGCATGTGACATGGTCGGGTGGTGGGGTGGGGTGGGGTGGGGTGTGGTGGGGGAGTTTACTTTGACCAGACGGAGAGGTCGATGTAATCCCCTATACGTAGTGGTGGTTAGTGACTGGACTTGAGAGAAGGAATTGACAAAGATGGAGCTTACAGGACGGATCTTGCCCCTTCACGGCCATTCCGACACTCCAAAGTCTCAATATACCCGCAAGCACACCCCTAAATATTCCACGCCCATGTCAGACCACACAACTCCGCACTCGCATCACGTCGGAAAGCACTCAGCACTCACAGCCCACCCAGCGAAAACACCATAACCAGTCCCCACTTCTGCCTCTTTGGCAGCTGCACCTTCCAGATCAGCTTAATCGGCAGCAACCAGACCAGAAAGTCCGTCGCAATGTTGATCGACGGCAGCGCATATTGCAGCGCCTTCTGGTCGACGCAGTGGTGCTCGATCGTGCCCGCCAGGAACGGGTTGACCTGGTCCCACAGGTACGAGAGCGGGACGCACTGCAGGCATGACGACACAAAGGCGGAGATGGTGAAGGCGGTGCAGAGGGTGAGGAGGGCCCAGCAGGTGCGGATCATGCGTTCGGAGGGCTGCAGGCGGATTATGAAGAGGAGGAGGGAGGCCTTGGTCAGGCCCAGGGAGATGAAGTAGAATATTTGGGCGGCGAGACCAATCTGTATTACTCATGAGGGTTTTTAGTGGTGCGGATTGCGGGTTGGGGAGGGTGGATAGCTGGAGGAGGGTATTTACCTTTTGACTAGCTACGCCGTCTTGCCAGGTTATGTCCCAGCGATGCTTTCCGGCTCCGGTCATATAAACACCTGTGAACAATTCCGAATTAACAACTTTCCACCTTTTTTTTTCTCCACACAAACACCACCATCACCACACCACACCCAGTTCAACATACATACCACAAAGAGCACACGCAATCAACCCTAGTCCAACAATCTATATTCCGCACCCTCTCAGCAATCATTACCCCCAACTCAACAACCAGAATTTCCAAAAAAGCAATTCCTCACCGCAGCAAAAACCATGCACCAATCATCCGCACCCATCTTCTTCAGCAGCACCGCACGGCAGTAGATGCGCGCACTTAGAACAATCAACATCACTATCCCAAACGACAAGCACGTAGCCACGAGCGCCGGCCCCCGGTTGTCGTGGTTCAGCCCTGCGGCGGCTGCTGCTGCCTCGGCCGCTCTGTCATATCGAGATAGTAGAATCGCAGCATGCTGTATATCCATTGCCATCACCGGCGATCAGCGAGGGTGGTGAGGTGAGCTAGCTAGCTAGGGGTCAAAGTGTGCAAGCAAAGCAAGCAAGCAAGCAAGCAGTCTGGAGGAGAGGGGGGTTATGAAAACGGCACAACTTTAGATGTGAAATCTGGGTGCCCCCCCCCCCCCCCCCGGTTATGTACATATATATATGTAGAGTGGAATCATATAACCCCCAGGGGTGCGGGAGAAGGACCAAGAAAAAATAACCTAGCAAATAAATGATGCTTAAATGTATATAGCCACGAGTGAGCGAGTGCGTGTGTGTGTGTGTGTGTGTGTGCCAGACACTACCGGCACACCGGATCTACGTGTATGTATGGGAGCGATGAAGATCAGACGAACGGGGTCCCTGCGGGCCTGCGCTGCGCTGAATCGGCATAGTCGGAGGTTTGTGATTCCCGCGCATCGACATTACGTGTTGTACAGGTTGAGGGGTTGGGAGAGACAAGCTAGGTGTGCATGGAGATATGTAGATATATTCAAACATCTAGATTATCTACTATGATACACTGAGATAGAGCCTCTATTAATTGCTTGCAGCTTGCTCATTGAAATCTCCAACTGTGTGTGTGTATGTATGGATATATGGGTGTGTGGACGTTGTATGTATCTTGTATATTGTATGTTGTATCGCATTCCCGGAAGATATTGCAGGCCACGCAAGACGAAGACCGAGGGAATCTATTTAGATTGGGGTTAGCATCCCCCGTGCCTCTCCCCCACAGATCGCTTCTCGGCTCGGCAGCTGCACTGCGACATTATCCCGGCGTGCCCGGGAGAGCAGAGCAGAGAAGAGAAGAGCAGAGCAGCAGGGAGGGATGTGCTCTGTTCTCCTCTAGAGAGAGTAGAGCTAGCACTAGTAACTACATGTAAGGCAGAGTAGAACAGCGCCCTTCTCGAACGTAGTACTGTAGTAAGTGTAGAGTAGTAGCCCCTGCTCATCACTAGCGAACTAGAACATTGCGTTTAAATGAGGCTCTTTTTTTTTGTCTTGGCCTTCTTCCCTTCCTTTATTCGGTTGTGGTTGGATGGGATGAAGAAATGAGGTATGTAATATCTCGGAGCCTCGTGAAGTAAAAATATATATATATATATATATATATATATTAGGTGCACACGTCGTTGTGTGTGGAGGAGAGGAATCATCCAGTGATCTTTGGAGTAGAAGATTTCCCATATGCACAGCCTTGTTCTTTCCTACATACATACATAACGGGTTCGGTGACCAACATATCCCCCCCGTACGTCCACATCTCCCTTGAGGTTTACGCAATACGTTACCGAGACAGTACGTACGTACGTACCATCGCGATATTAACGCAGAAATATAGCCCTCAATAGTACAGGCGCAACAAACCACATATGGAGATCCCGAAACCTGATCCGTTCACAACATGTCACCCCGACACGGTCCGGGCCTTACTTGGACTGAGTGAGCGGGAAGAGCTGGAGCTGAGAGGAGGTGAGTCTGGTAGCTAACCTGGCGGGCGGGGGTTTGTGGGGCTGACGTACGGTGCGTTAGTCGTGAGGGGCGTGTATAGACGCGAGATGGCGGATAAGGGTGCGGATGCGGCGTATGATGTGCGGTGGGGGAATCTCCAGAAGAAAAAGCCGGCATTTGTGGCGAATATGATAGCCGAAGCCTCCACCCAGATCAAAAATAACACCGGCCTGGAACAGCAAACCAAAGATATCATCGGTCGCGCCAAATGGTATATTGAGTGGGCACTCGGTTTGTATCATAAGGGACGCCAGTCACCAAAAAAGGCTATAATTGGGGGATCTGAGGGAGAGGCTGGGGCAGAGGCTGGGGCAGAGGCTGGGACAGAGGCTGGGGTAGAGGCTGGGGATGGGGGAGGGGGAGGGGGAGGGGGTAGGGTAGTGTATAGACCTTGGGAGTGGCCCAGTGGACGTTAGATTATAGTATCAAATACATGATTTTAAAGCCCGAGTATGAGTATTAAATAAATATGAATATTAAAAGCATTTGATGGAGGGAACACCTTCCAAACACCCCCCCCCACCTCCCCCGGCCCCTCCCAACTGGATACCTCCCGCTCCCGCTCCGCCGCCCTCCACCTGCCACCCCTTCCACTCCCTCCGCCTCCCCGTTGACCTCCACCCCATCGATCTACAGGTCTACTGCCTCCACCACCTCCACCTCTTCCTCTGCCTTCCACCTCCTCGGTCTCCCAGTTCTCTCAGTCGTATAATACCATATCATTAAATTAGTTATGTACAGAGACCACTTTCCAATAATATCAGGGCGTGAACCGTAGTGCTTCCGTTGCAGCAGCGGTGGGGTGGACTGGTTGCCATGCAGGAGTCAGTCAGGGTTAGGGGTCATGGCCCTTGACCAATCAGACTGTAAGCCCTTCGAAAAATGGTTAATCCAGTACCGGTATAAATAATCCCTTGCATGTTCTGGTTCTTTTTCCCTGACGCGAGTACCACATGGCGTGCGACCTCTGCGACATGATTGGGCCCGTCGTCTCAGCGCAACCGACCAACCAACTAGTGACGATCCCCTAACTACTAGTACTCTACAGAGTCTGGTAGAATTATTGCGAAAGTCAGAACTAAAAGAGTGGGCTTCTTGGTCCGTGCTCACTGCAGAAATTCCTTTAAGGGCCAATAGGACTATCGAGTCACGGAAAACCCACTTTCGCAATAATTCTACCAGACTCTGTACTCTATATCCCTTCGTGCGTCAGAGCAAAATTGGAGACATATTAGGCCCGCGACGGCGTGGTGATATTCAAAAACTCTAGCTACATACAGACAGTGGAGACACCTGAAAAAGGTATAGGAGGGTCACAGAAGGTGACTTTACAGCAAAAGGCTCACGGAATGAGGGTTAGGTTTATTACCGAGTAAAAGCTGCCCATTAGCGCCAGGTCGTGAAAACACACGAAGGGATACATACAATACATCACGCCCCTGTGACCCGAAACATCGGATAAGGTAACGAACCTTGAACATATCCTCCAAGCTCGAAGTCACCATAGTCCCCCCTCCCTCCCCCACTGAATATTTTACTCCTCTCCTCTTTATACAGGCACTTTGCTGTGTGGAATAGAGTACTCTAACAATATGCCGATCAGAGCATATGATGTGCATATATAAACTACCTATGTCTAGAGTAGGTACTCTACAGCAGAGTGCCTTCCATCCATCCATCCGTGCGATACACAGCAAAAATTCGCGCATTATGCAAGGGACAAGGCTCGAAATCGAATCAGGGGTACCTTGGAACGGGGTGTTGGGGGCCGGCCAGCGTCCGGGCAAGCAGCGTCATGAAGATGCGTTCCCGTTTCCAGGACTGTGGCGCACTAGGGACATCTATTGACCGAGATCAAGTCTCATTAGTGTTGGACTACACGGTTTCTCCAGTTGGCAGAGGGTGGGCTGAATACTTATCTTCTTTTCTTCAGAGAAGTACTTGCATGCATCAACTAGAGTACCAAGCGTATGTGGGGAGCAGGCATACCTATTTTACCCCCCTTCAGCCTTATTGCGGAATTCAGCGTCCGGTGGTCTCCTACACGCATGGTTTCTTGCGAATAGCCATGTGATAGAGTGCTCAACCGACACAAGTAGGTGATTTTCCTCGCCTGTCATTGAAGGATCGCCACATAGGTACGTACGGTACTGGAGTGCCCAAAGACCTTCCTTCAATTAGATCCATTCTGATAAATTAATTGCAAACAGCTAGTAGCCGTTGCGGTCGATACCTCGACTAGATCTAATATATCGCTGTCGGCTCCTAGTTATTATTGGCTTAAATGGAATACATGCAGATTGAAATTCGATAGCAAACGGCATATACATAGGTGATGTCGCCGTCGATGATTTAAAAGCCTCTGTTGCACCTAACTGATTAAATCTGGGGTTCGAGCCAACCAGGGATGGCTTTTTTTCTTCTTCCTTTTTCCTTTCTTTTTTTTTTCTCCCCAACGTCGCAATGGAAGGGCTGGGGGATCTAGAACCGCCAATTCTCCGCTTCTGGCGAGCATAGAACCCTAAACCTTAATTTGACAGTTCCTTGGGAGCGCGTTTAGCCGGCGCAGGATACCGAGGTTTGTATCACTCGATGAGTGGTGAAGGATGGCAGAGTACGCACCCGCGCGGCCGGTCTAAAGCCGCACAAAGAACTGAAGCGAGTGATCTGACAGCCAACAAGAGCTCGCCTTTTTGCAGTCTCTAGATCACTTGCCTTTTTTGTATGGGCGGCTTCAATCCGGCAGCGCGAGTATGTACCTACATGTAGTATAGTAAATTCTTGTGTCGCATATGTGTGGGGAGACAGATGTACCTACTGTGGAACTTATTTAGTGGGTGGAGGAAAAACTGTGATTTCTCGTATGCCGAGTGGAATATCCCGTAATGCCCTAACTTCGACTGCAAGACAGTGGAATATGCCTGGAAGTATGGCGAGTCAAAATGAGTCTCAGTATGTCCTGGAGATTTCAAATTCCGTATGTCGTATTCGTTCATGTTGAGGGCTTGAGAGTTTTGCCATCACGTTATCTCATCCGAGAGACAGAGTAGCTGAGGGGCTGGGGTTGAGACATAGTCTTAGACTTGAAAGATGGCGTAAAGATGATGAATGAGACCAGAGGCGTCGGTACGTTCCTTAATAACTCAGTATATATATGTTCTGACTTTCGAGACTTAGCATCAAGACACACGTGGCAATTGCTAAGTAATACTTACTAATTTGAGTGGTGCCTTTTGGTGCGAAACCAGATTGCAGTAAGAACTAATATAATTCCATTTTTCACGGTGTCCATATCTTGCGGGAAGCATCGTAGGTATGGCATTTGAAGAGAGAAGTGTTTGTTGATAAACTGTTAGAACATGATTTATTGTAAGGGACGGAGTTTAGTTAGCTGCATTTTAGCTAGCTAATTCACGATAAAGACAAGTATCGTTTCACTACTCTACATGAATAGACCACGTACCTGCTCCCGGACTGGCCAAGCACCTGCTCTCTCAACTGACCAAATAGCCGCTCCTCCAACTGACCGACTGCCATTGTTGTCCTTTATCGACATTTGTTAGCAAAACACAGGTTTTGTTTCCTTTGAACGTCGGAAGTTTCGTAGGGATGGAATTTCAATAAGGTGGAATTACATCTAGGTACAAGTAATTTACCCCAGCTTCACTAGCTTGCGTTTAGATTGTTTTATGTTGATTGAAGTTTCGGCAGAAGTTCAAACATAAGCTTAAGGTAGAGTACCTACATGTACCTACATGTACATACGAGTACTCTAGTGGGAATCCAACTACTCGCGACCAGCAACAAGAACCCGAATATGCAGCTGCAAGTCTTTGGTGTATTTTTGACTTCTACTCCAATGGAAGTTGCAGGTTAGGACGTGCATTTTCGGGTTCTTGTTGCTGGTCGCGAGTACATGCATTAGTGTACCTACTCTCGATCCCCGCCCTGCCCCCCACTCTTGGCTGCGCACTAAAGCCACTAAAAAAATAAAACGGAAGGGATCTAGAGATTCCCTTTACCAGCAGCTAACGATAGTAATGCCGGGGACACTAGCTACATGTACTCTATGTCCTAGAGTTAAGGAGATGCCTTCCAGAAACCCACAGGTACCTAAAGTGCATGTAGCCACCTAGGACCTGCTACGCTACACTGTGAGGTTTTAAATACGAACATTCTTACCAGAATTTATAAGCATATGATACTTAGGGCACTATTACCCGTATCCTTACCTTTCTGCGCTAGAGGAGAATTGTCATCATACAATATCACTCACACATATTTCATGTGGGGGCCGCGTAAATACAGCTTTGAAAGAGTCCACGAGCTATCAGTGCCTATCACACAAGAGTATGGTGAAACTATGCACCCCAACTAAAGTACTTCATCGTCTCGAGGCAGATCGAGATCATGGCGTAAAAAAGCTATATTTCTGGGAGAGTTTCACCTCCAGGATTGGAGCGCATTAAAAGGGGAAATTGGCTTTTTTCCTTATCTGAATTTTGTTTTCTATACCTTTTTTGGCAGGCGAGGCATGGAAGGAAATCGAAACGAGATATTGAGGCATACTTGTATTTGGCTTGAGGTGCTCCGAGACAAAACCCTATGGAGGCAGAACCCGTTGACGATTTGATATACTCTGTCCTCCCGCCCCGGGGTTCCCCGTATAACACTGGCTGGCCGTCGCCGTCACTGCTGGTACAGAGTTACTTTGATATCCGGCCATTGTTGGTGGTGGCAAGGTGGTTCTAAAATTGAGGATATCCGTCAATAAAATGCCATACTCCACTTGATCCCCTTGTTTATCGGATTTCTTCATACACGCCGTCTGTAATAAATATTGCATAGAGCTATATACAAAATTTTATACACAATTGCCAACGCACACAGAGAGCGAGCGGTAGGTATCAAGTCAGCAATCCCATCTTCATGCAAAGATCAGTCTAGTTCTATTTATTCGCCTCTGCTCTCACCACCTTGTCGCAGTTCAGCAGCCACAGTGGGTCGAATGATTGTTTCAACTGCGTTCTACCATGTCAGTAATCAATCCATCTAAGACGAAAATAGGAGAAGATGACTGACCCTCCTCATCGCATTCACTGTGTCCTCGCCCAGCTCTTCCTGCAAATAATCTCTCTTTACAAGCCCAATTCCGTGCTCTCCCGTTACAGTACCTTCCATCTCAATTGCACGTTTGATCATCCTGTGAACAACATCCTCTGCAGTCCTTCGCTCACGATCATTATAGAGGAGGATCGCATGAAAGTTTCCATCCCCGACGTGGCCAACAATGCTACCAAGGATGTTATTCTTGAGCATGTCGGCCTTTGTTTCTTCGATTATCTCGGCGAGCCGTGACATGGGACCGCAACGTCGGTCGTCCATACACTGTCCAAGAGATATTAGCCGGGATATGCTGGGGGTGGGAGGATGGGTAATGGGTTACTGGTCATCATCGGCACGCTTGAGTGCCATCATACTCCACAATGCCTCCTTTCGTGCCGACCAGAGGTCATGCTCTTCCTCCTTGGTTCGCGCGAACTCGAAGCTCTTAGACCCATGGGTCTTTCCAATGGCCTTGATGAGGGCGATCTGCTCCTTAACGCCTGCAGCGGTGCCTACATAATACTCAATACCGCTACCTCCGATCATTTCTATAATAGAGGGACATACCGGCAAACTTGAAGAAGAGCGTAGGCTCCTCCTTCCAGTTCCTTGCACTAGTGCCGGAATCATTGATGCACTTCATCATTACATCGTCCAGAATCTCGATTGCGGCAATGGGAATTCCCTTGCCAATCACCTCCGCGACCATTTCCGCTGCAGCCTTGATGCTTGGGAAGGACGACACAGCCACGCTTTCTGATGCCGGCGTCACGGCCAGTTTCAAGGTGGCCTCTGTTACCAGCCCAAGCGTGCCTTCGGAGCCTATGAACATCCTCGTCAAGTCGTATCCTGCACTTGACTTTCGGGGACGCCGGCGCGTTTTGATCACTGTTCCGTCGGCGAGCACTACAGTAAGGGATAGGACCCACTCCCTCATCGTCCCGTATTTCGCCGCGTTAGTGCCGCTACAGCCGGTGCCTACCATACCGCCGATCTGCGCGCCCGGGCCAGGATCCGGCGGGAAGAAAAGGCCGTCGGCAGCGAGTATCTCGTTGAGGTATTCCCAGCCTACGGCGGGCTGCACAACAACGTCAAGGTCATCCTTGTGGATGCTAAGGATCTTGTCCATGCGCGAGAAATCGATACACACGCCGCCCCTGGTCGGCGCAAAGTGGCCCTCTAGAGACGTGCCCCCGGAGAAGGCGGTCATGGGGATGCGCCGCTCGTGGCAGATCTTTGCGATGGCCGAGACCTCTTCGGTGGTGCTGGGATAGACGACGAGGAACGGGATGGTGTCGGGCGGATTCTGGTGCGTTGACCAGGAGGAGGTCGAGTGGGTTGCTAGATCGTCGGTACGCGTAGAGACATGGTCGGCACCAAGGAGGCGGACAAATTCTGTCCATGAGGACTGGAGGTTGGATTTTGAGAGGTTGTGCGCCGGGGGTGTGACGGAGGAGAGCGGAGAGGTGGAGGTTGTGGGGAGACCGGGTTGTGAGAGGGTTCCCAGGTAGTAGAATCCACCGGCGACAAATGCCAGAGCTACACTTGCAGATCAGCAGATAGAACTCTGGGAGCTTTCCGCTTCTTCTACAGTGATTGAGGGAGACTCACTGAATATGCGACTGATTGTCCCTCCGCTCGCAACCTTTGCATCATCTCCGCCGGGTATCCTCCTAGACTGCTGCATCCGCTCTGCCTGAACACGTCGCGCGGTAGACTCGTACAATTGACCGTGGAAACTCTTCTTGAACTTGTCGTCTCCTCCCGTTGACTGGAATCGCCTACCCACGAGGCGCGACGCAGGCGCGGGAGCCCGGCGGGCGAGATGCAGTAGACGGGGTGCCGACATTATATTGTATCTATTATGCTGCTACCTACTGACCTCTCAGTTTGCGGATTGCAGGTTACTGGTTACGACTGCCGGACCGGACAGCTTATGTGGGTCGGGCAAATGGGTGGGGTGCAGTACACTCGTGATGGTGGGGTGAACTTCTCCCGACAGTAAGCTCGGGTATGGTGTAAGATGTGGTGAAGAATACAATGCGAAGCTGTAGCCGAAAAGAGACCTTCTTGTTATTGCTTGAGTATGTTTCGGCCAATTGTCGGTCAATTGCCTTGAAGTCTCTCTATGCAGCAGCAGCAGCAGCAGTAGCAGTAGCCAACTTCACTGGTGGAGAGAAGAACGTTGAAAATGGTGGCTGTCTGTGGCTGTTGTGGTGGGGCATGGTCGGCACTAGCCACAGGTAACGAGGTGGGTCTGCACTACAACCACCAACAGTGTTAGCTAGTGTGTAATTGAATTCATCTCATAAAACCACAGGTGTTGAACTCATAGATTTCGTAGTTCACGTACTCTATGTATCATAGGTCAATCTACCAAGCATAGATATACCTAAGTTCCACAACTACTTGACTAGTTAAGCAACATAACTGTTGAGCGGATTTTAGCCTTTTAACTACGATAAGTCAGCTAGCTAATATACTCAGTCGTTGAGAAGGTGGAATAATACAGAAAATAGTAATACGTCTAGGTTTCAATCGGAATCATGACTACGAACCAAGAATTTCAACGGTTGTATGTGCGAGGACGCTTGAGGCGAGGCGTGATTCCGGGAGAGCAAGAAGCAGCATCTCTTACAATAGAAAGCATTTTTCTTGGAAGTCTTCGAGGCGAGAATATATAGTATCCTTGCAATCCCAGCTGTGTATAGTTCTGAGGGAAGTGGTTATATGTATTTCGAATTTCTTCTCTTTCTCATGTACATTTCGGACGGCGGGAAGAGACTGACCGATTCACCTGTATATACATGCTATCTCAGATAAGAAAGGAACGCAGAAATTGCACACATATAAGGTGATAATATGGAGGCAGGAAAGTAAATTAGAAGATTACACTTTATATACTGGTGCGCTGTGCGTAGTTGCGCAAGTACCTCGTAGGGAGTCAAGTACATATGTATACCGAGTGATAAGCGATGACTGAAATTTCAACGCCAAGAGCGATGTTCCGAACATAGGGTTCGAGCGGTAAATTTCATCAATGCGCCGTATTTTGACCCGATCATACATGGGATATCCGTTTGCTCCGAATCAGAAGTCGGCCCTGCCCGGGCCCGCGTATGTATGTACACACCACCGCCGCACCTAGCTGTAATCACACCATTTTCTTGGTGGTGAGGTGCAATTAAGCTTTTCGCAAGCGATGGTGTCTCACTAGTGCATCTGCACTTGCATACATATCTTCGAACGTTCATCTACCTAGAATGGCGGCGGGTTAATCGAAAATCCATTTCCTCCCAGAGGAAAAGTGTGGGCGTAATTTGATCTGGTATTTCTCTCTCCTACTAGCCCGTCGGTTGGGGCGCCGCGAAGACAAACGACGAAGCGTGGCTGACTGGGAGTCTCAGAGCCAGGTTGCAATATGCAATATGATGGAAGCTCTAACTGGTTGGATGGGCCAAAAATCTTCCTTATTTTGAAAAGAGCCATAAGGGGATTGTGCCGCCACTCAAGATTATTGAGTACTGGCCCTCGGATATATGAATAAAGTGACTCATATAGACAGGGTCAGAAATCGTGGACAAGAGGCTAGAGTTGCGTGTGTGTGGGTAGGAACATATCTCAAGACATGTTACATTGACGATGATCTTTTGCTAACGCGACTGACCCGTTCGGCAACAAAACAAAACGGCGTTTTCAAGGGTCCATGCCTAATAAAAAGTCGTTGAAACGGAGTTTTCACCCTTGTAAACGCCGTTACGGACTGTTGCCGAACGGGCCATAAATCAGACTCCCAGACTTCTGAAGTACTTTAACCGACCTGTAGTATTTATATCAAAGGAAGAAAAATCCTCGACATCTTAATTGTAGGTGTAGGGGAATGATGGAAGCCTACTGATAAGGATATCCATATTATCTGGCCTTCACGGATGCAAATTTAGAGATACTGCTATGCCAAGGCATACTACAATCATCTTTCTATATTTATGCTCTGAATCAATATCTACTTTCAGAGAAAGTGGTTCTGGTGGCACTCCTCGGCCTGTTCATCCTTAAAGTGTTAACTTAAGGCCCGGGAAGTGAGAAGAGCGCGAGAGTTTTTTTGACTCACCGACAAAAGTTACTAGTCACGACCTATAATACTGATCAGGTATTTTATGTACGACTCCTTTAGCTTGGCTGGATTTTCGAAAGCGACCCTTTGCACTCTAATTTGGAAGGCGGCAATCCGGCTCATCGTACACGAGACGAGTAGAAGCATTACGAGGTCCCATTACCTCAATATTTTCACTCTACATACTTCAGCTGCCCAGCTTACAAGGAATCAGGTGACCCGTCGGTGTGAAATAAAGAAACTTTACTGCACGCATGCATGAATCTTCCGCGGCGAAATTCAATTACGTACATCTGTGTCGTGTTGGTCATATCATCGCTTATCACTCGATACCACATCATGCCAGGACAGGTTTCTTGTAGGTGATTGTGGTGATTGTGCTTATTCGAGGGCATATGAGATGTCTTATTAATGATATATTACAAATATATAGTGAAAAAACAATTCAGCCCTGATCTCTCATTTCAGGTTGTTAAACCCCCACGAATACCCAGCATTTTCCGCCTCGCTTTACACTTAGTCTCGACCGCGGGCAACTGGAAAAGCGTTGCCGATACTTGGAGATAATTGCTGTCTGCAAGCGTAAGCCCTGAAATGATAACCAATCAAAGGAATAGATAGCGCCAATGATGACGCAGTTCCTAGGGTTCTGGAATTCAGGAGTTATTCTAGAAATAGAAAAAAAGGGAACTTCCGGAGCGGGACCTCATCTTCCCCTCATTTCAGACCCTTTGATGCAGCGACTGAGGCTGAGTGCATATTCGGTCTGGTTAGGATTTAAGACTGCACCAAGTAGTACTGTAGCTGTTGGATCTTGAACTACTGGGGTAGTAGTTCAATCCTATCTATATATCGGGATTTCCAACCATGGGCTATCCAACCGTTGATGGGCACTGAGAACCATTCTTTATATTTTCATGAAGAATTATTAGAGGGTTTAGTCGGTTACAAAAATGTGCCAAGATGCTAAATTTGTATGGGAAGAAAAGTTGCAACCGACTAAAGGCCTCTAGCTAAGAAATACTGCATACATATTGGAGCTTGAACTGTAAGGCGTGCAGATGCCTTTGACACCGGCCTACGGGTGTATGCACTTCTGGGGGTACACATAAGCCAATGGGGTTCGAGAAAATGCGATTTGGTGGCTTGGATACTGAATCAACGGTTCCCATCATCCAGGAATTGAATAAGTATCTTGGCCTGTCAAGCCGTTTTTGGGAAGCTTGACTTGGCTGACTCGTGGCCACTCTAGGGTACTAGCTCTAAGTGCCTACTTTACACATACATGTATGCATGCGTGCGACTGGAATACATAATCTAGGCCTTTTTTGAACATTTACTAACTCAAATCGGTCCGATTGTCTTGAATAGTCCAGCCAACCCCGGGCGTACTTTTTTATTTGGATTCGTATGTGCGCCTTGTTACCTACAGCGTGAGGTAGAGTTGTTGTAGTATTACAGGGGTCTGGTTGGACCATAGGACTCCTCCAATATTTCTACAATAATTTTATCACAAGCTGTAGATCAATAACTGGGATAACTGGATCTCAAGTGATATCGAAATCATTTTGCCATAAACACACTTCGACCAGCAACCAGTTCGAGGTTCCCCACCAGTGACCAGATCGAAGGAGCGCCTTTATCGAGCTTTACTGGCTGATACTCACGATCTCCACACTAATGGATACTATGGAAGTTCCGTCTGGGGTTGCGGGACCACGGATGTTGCCATGCCATCCGTGAACAGGTTGGCTAAATCCATCCGCCCTATGTATCCGGTAGTTACCATCCCGCACTCCACACACTCCGTTAATCAACCCATAAAAATAATGCAAATCTTTTCATTGGTATTGGTATATCAAGTTTCTTCTATTGCCCTCATAGATCACGGAATACAGCATAGAATCTCAACTAATTAACTGACCAATATAACTAGATTATTTGGACATCACCTCTGGAAAATAAAGGTCATGGGGAATCACCTATGGCTGACTGGATGAAAGCTTCGATGGATGCGGCATCAGGCCTGCTGATTCTTATCTTTTTAGGCGAGTAATCACTATAACTATTGGGGCTTAGGCTTGTCACACCTTTGAGCGATGTGAGATGTGAGATATGATGTGAAACCATCACGGAGTCCGACTAGGATAACGTATGTCGTCGTACAGGCGTACAATAGCGTTTCAAGCCTATCCCCCAAAGCTTGGACTTTTATCACTCACACAAGTACAAAATCTTGTGTACCTGCACATAAAATACCCTACCGGACTATGAGCTAGCCGATGCGACTACTTTATATAACAGCACTGGCATCTTGCTACCGCAGAAGAAGAAGGGTGTATATCCGGCCTTATTCGAAGTCAACAACATAGTCTCTTGACGACCATTGCAATAAAGACATACATCGACACTTATATTATACATGGTTATCAATATCCTATATACAAACCAGAACCATGTCCGGAACAACCGATTTTAAAGGTCTTGTTACAGCTAGTGGCAAGTGTCCTCTAAATAGTTCCAATCAAATACCTATAAATTTCCTTGGCTAACTGATGCTGTAGTAACGGAATACCCCAGTTTATCTGATGATACATACATGACACAGCTGTCTAAAGTTCAACTAGCAGCTGTTGGGGGGCTCGAGGACATTGGATTCCTGTCACGACTTGCCTCACGCACAACTAGGTTCCAGCATCCAGCTGTCCGTCAATTCATGGAAGAAGACACCGATGAACCGACAGAGTACGTGGTCATACCGTAGCCTCTCAAGATCAGGATCTTACTAACATCTCAAAGAACTGTGGGTGCCGCCTACAGAGACGCTATGGAGGCATTAGAGGCGCGCTTATCCGACGATGAAAAAAAGCGCATCGGGCCTTCCTGTGGCCTCAGAGATGTACTTGGTGTAGTGAATGATGCCCGCGGGCTCTACTATAAATCGAGTAAAAAACGAGACAAAGTCGAAAAAATGGCAAAAGTGTTGAACTGTTACTCCGGAGCTATCGATGCAGCAACCCAGCACCATCCGGAATATACAAGTTTAGTATGGGGTAGCATGAAATTTATCCTCCAGGTAGTGCTTTTTTCATTCATCTAGAGAAGTTATCATGCTTCCAGAGGCTCAGTTTAACTAATAGATATAAAGGTTTCCCTGAACTATTTCGAGATTCTCAGCGGACTCTCAACCATGTTGATAGAAATCGGAGACAACCTTGGCCGTTTCGACTTGTACTTACAGATATACCCTTCAAAACGAATGAAATCAATATGTTCAAAGCTGTACGCTGCTATCGTTGGATTCTTCAAAGACGCCATAATTTTCTTTAAGAAGAGCCGTTTGAGTATGTCATACAGCTTCTAAAGTTGAGCTTGCAATCTCATTTATTTCTGTAGGGAGATACTTTTCGGCATTTTGGTCACCCTTCGAAATCAAATTCAGGGATGCTGTGGAAGAGATCAAGCGACTTCAACGACTTGTGGAAACCGACGCAATCGCAATGGGACTGATGCAGCTGCAGCTAGAAAATACAGGTACATTAAACTATCTGTATCAAAACTTTCCAAGGTCACAGAGCGTTGACACCACGCACAGCGCTGGCAGAGAGATCTCTTGCTTTGAACCGTAGGTTCTCTGTTTTCATTTTTAAATTTATCCATCAAAATTCGTGCTAACCTATCTCAGACCAGGTTCGGATTATCATCGGTATTCCCCCCCCTTTTTCTACGTGTCAGTATATAAATACGCATCTTGCTCACCCAAATACAGATTTTAAGAACAATGAAGCTAGGATTTTATTATTAGATCTCCAGAAAGAATTGTTTCATAGACATGAGATAGACACAACATACCACGAGGACTTAGTAAATTTATATAGGACAACATCGACTTCGGATTGGGATTATTGGTTCACAGAAGAGCGAAAGCACGTTTCCTGGTCACATCGACCAAATTCAACTTTAACATATATGCAAACTGATTTAATAGAACCTCAAGTATACTGCAAATGGGTTGCTCTTGGGCACTCCCTTGCAGGGAGGGTCCCATTTGCGCACCTGGTATGGAGTCCATCAATGACAGCTTATTCCGCCATGGCCTCGATCATCATCCAGATTTTACAACAAAGACCCGACCTTTTACATCGAGAATCACGCGATTACTACCACCAAAAGTTTAGGCGCTCTGCAACCTTTGATGGCCTATGGGCCGTCTTTCAAGAAGTTCTTTCTGCTCTCCCTGGGTTCCTCTGTTATATAACAATCTCATCAATCGGGGATCAAGAGGCAGCCTTTGCAAAGAGGATAATCGATCTTTTTGAGACCAAGCATGGATGCCCCGTCAACCTACAACTAGTTACACCTATTCATTCATCATTCCCAAAGCCAAAAGGCTTTATCGACATTGATGCTATGTACGACGTAAGCCCAGAGATGGATACACCGAATGCTTTACATCATGTTGTTTTGGCGGAGTTGGGTGTCCCTGATACGTTGGCTGAGGATTTTAAAGCCACATTATGGCAGTCATTGTGGAGAACTGTTTGCTATTCTGTCAACGCAATAGCCCTGAACCAGTTACGAAGTGCCATAATAACTACGATTAATGATAAATGGGGAGAGGGTGTAAAATTGGACTGGTTATGGACGAGAAACGCAGAACAGCAGCTTCAGACTTACTTGCGACCTTGTCTGGAAAAATTGGAGTTCTCAATACCACCTGTTGTTAAAACGCACCTTGAAAAGAGATTACAGGACCTGATTCAGGAGCACATTTATCTAAAAGAAGAAGCTTCAAACACCAATACACGAACTTATAATCTACCGACTGATATCGACTCGCGAAAGAACAAACCAAACGATGCACAATGCCGAGTAGCAACCTGGGGCTCAGTGAAAAACACTCTCGAATGCGCACCTACGCACCTATTCAGTTCTTTTCTGCAACGCTACCTACATTTACTCCCTCATGAACAGTTACTCGATGATATATTTTCGCAGGATGAGTGGCATCAAGTTTCTACTCAGGCTGGTAGAAGGTTTAGTGAAGAGATAGTGGTGGCTATCGAGCGGGGGCTGTTAAGAACAGCTCATATAATTCTATACACTGACGACTGTCGATGTGTTGCATAGACCAGTTTTGTAATTCTGCCTCAATTCTCCCTTCATGCTTTCCTGCTTTGTATATACTTTACATATGACATTTTATTTTGGAACATGGGGCTTGTTCTTACTACCTGACCTGCTGTAAGTACTTGTTATTTTCTTGTAGATAGTTAGCTATACGCATCTTTTATTCTTATTTTTTTTAAAGAGCTTATTTTGGTGCTAAATCCTTTTGGAAGACCCGTGCTGCGAGGCTGTGCTGCGATCATCAGATAGATGTGCATAATATATTGGGGCCACTCATTGCATGTAAATTAATCGTACAAGGGCCAAGTTCTAGTACTCTACTATCTAGTACATAGTAGATGTACCCCGGTACAACATAATGACATGGTTTGCCCGTGTAACACGGACAAAGCAAGGAGTTAAGATATCTACGGGCTAGGTACCGTAAGCAAATAAATGCACATTTACGGGTATGCGTGTAACTATACCTAAAAGACCAAATCTGACCACGGCGTCTGCTCCGTCGAAGAGTGCCCCCAAGAAGATTTCCTGTTTTATTTTTCCGATGGCATCTGCGGTAAGGTATAAATACTCGCTAAGGCCATAGATAATACTACCATTAGGCATAACTACAAGGCTATTTCTAAGCGGTCCCCGTTACGTAGACATACATAAATGGTAATGGCGTAAGATGCTAGAACCCCAGGAAACATGTCGTCCTACACACACGAAACCAACATGTACCTTTGTAATAATAATGACTCTCTAGCACCAAGCATATTTTTCGTTTGGATCCCACAATGTGAGGCCCTTCACCTCTGCACTGTGCCATCTTAGGCTTGGGATACTGTCGTTCTCTCTGTCCGCCACATCCACTGCGATTCCTCTCTCCTCCTTTTCCAGCAGCTCTGCTGCTTCAACTAGCTCACGGATCGGGCTCCATGCAACAATCTTGCCAAACTCCCATTCTCTTGCCTCCTTTTCTGCGGCGCTGAGTAGTCCTTTCAAGCGTGCGACCAGTCCCTCCTTATCACCCGACGCGACAACTCTCAGGACGACAAGTTTTTTTTCGGCGAAATCATGAGTCCAGTATAACCAGGTATTGTTGTCAACTAGGGCGCCCTTGACCATGGGGGACTTTCCGAGTACTTTCTCGCAGATATATTCCTCCGTCCCGAAATGCCAACAGGCTTGTGCGAATGTGGGGAGGAAGGTAAACCGGGCGTGGGTGTCGGGTGGGAGGGCAAGAGATTGAAACTGAGACTTGAGAGTATCTTGATCAGTTTTGCAGAGGTGTTTCAGGTCGGCTCGTTGTAAAGGCTTCGTTTTAACCTCGGTGTGAGCCGTATATTTAGTTTCGGATGGGGATATAGATACTGTGAGTTGATTGGATGAGTATGGCATCCAACCCCCATGCACTGCATAAAAGTCCTACTCATTACCACCCAGTCAGTTCAAAATCATAAAGTACTCTTTCTCGAGGGATCCCCTCACCTTGCCAACATCTGAGTAAAGTGCGCTGACTCTACAGTTACCTTCCGTATCCAACCACTTCGCTAGTCTCGCCAACAATACACTTGCCACTCCCTTCCGTCTACACTTAGGATTCGTGTACACGCTCGCAATACCATAGCTTATCTCTTCAGTACAATCTCCATCCTTAGTTTTCACAATCACCGGCTTCTGAAGAGTTTCACAAGCTGCATAAATTGTATCCGGTTCTTCCTCACCCTCGGCTGGTGGTTTGTCTAGCGAACTCAGGACCCAATACTTGATTTGCCCATCACGAGTCATGAGCTGTGAGCCGTTGAGAGTTTCACGGCCAAGATAGTCGGGCAGGTTTAGGAGGCCGCCCCAGGATGCACTGTTTCGGTTCCAGCAGATGAGTTTTTCTCTCACGCTGGCCTGACGGAAGTAGAGGAATTCCGGTGATGGGACTGAGATTGTGTCGGCAGGAGACATTGTGATAACAAAGGAGGAGAGAAAGCTCGGTTCTTTCTTAATAAGAGTGTATTCTGGCTGTCTCTGAGTTAATACAGCACGTAGAAGCCTGATGGATTTATAGAGATTCGTGAGAGATTATAAGGGACAAAGGCCGCCTCGTAAGGTTGAAGGATCAAGACCATCGTTTAGGATTCAGGAGAAGCCCGTTTTTCCTGTTACATCAGAACAAACTTTTGTAAACCCTTTCCGGGGTCTGGAGGCTATGTATTGAAGAACACGAGCGCGTTCCTATCATGTGAGTGAATAAATGTCAATGGTTTAGGCGGGGTAGTACCAATATCGCCTAATAATCTATGTTACGTGCAGGGTACAGAGGCACTTGGTTATGCTAAAACAGGGGTTTTGTAGGGCAGATAAGAGCACCTACCCTGTTTGAAAACTCAGCCCCGAAGCCACATTCTCCCCCGGAGATAGACGAAGAGCTTGATTTGGGAGGTTGTACGTGTGTAGTAACAAAGTTCTTCTATGGACCGGAATACCGGCATTGAATTTCGTGAAGAGTCCTTGAGATATTTGACAATAGCCTTGTTTTATGGCAACTAGGTAGATGAATGTCAGTGGGACGAATATCTTTGGATTCTTGACCCAAATACATAGATATAGATACCATATATGCATATCCTACTGATATCAATATCACAAGCTTGTCCATTGATATTTTTGAACCGGAAAAAGGGGTGAATCTATCTGTTTTGGGGATATCTGCGATCAATACTTTGAGCATGAGGATATACGCCCAGAACCTTTAATCACTCACATTGGGAACTTTCCCCACCGGTTGGCCTTCCAGAGGTTCTGGTTTTTCGGTTGTAGATACATGACCGATAAGTGCATATGTATACATGTAGGTTGTACTCATATGCCTGCAAGAGAGTGTGTGAAGAGGGTTGTGGACAGTAAGTATTTGTGTCTAGAGTGTGCAGTAAGACATATGTATACATGTATTCGCATATCGATGTTTTCTGAGGTTAGGTTTGATCCTCTAATTCAAGCTAGGTTGTACAATTGTGTAACCAATTTCATAACTGCACTTACGTACTTAGGCCTACTACATGTAGGTTTAGTAATGTAAGGCGTTTCTTCATACTCCCGAGGCGTCTTCCATACAAAACAATGCGGACCTCTGCAGTTGGTTCTTCCATTTGATATTATCATCCAATCTACTTTAATATGTTCGGTTCACGCACAATCAAGGCAATCAATCCCGCTCTCAACTCGTGAGTCGAAGTAAACCAATTCTCCGCTCCCCACCACTTCCGGGCATTTACAAATATTCTCAATTAAATACATCGGCTGGTACCATAAACGGTACTGTTAAAGTGCATAAACCCGGTCTTCTGCCCAAACGAAAAGCGTATAAAAGGGTGGCTTTAGAGTAGATAGCACTTTAATTTTCTAGTGCCACTGATATGGGGCTTGATGGTATTTACCAGTCAATATCCCAAGGAGATGAGGGCGAGATACTACCTTTTGCGAGCATTCTTTATCGTTTCTACTTTAGCTATATATAGGGTCGACCGATCAATACGTCCTTGCATCTTTGCGTTCGAGGTAGTCATAATATATCACTCGGATTTCGAGTAGTATGGCAAGTCTTTTCAATCTAGTTCTCTACAAGGCCAGAAGTATAATTCTACTCTTAGATAGGGCGATATACAGTGGCTAAGTAATATCCGCCTAGAAGAACAAGCGAACAGAAAACAATGGAGGACCTCCCGTAAGGGATAGAAGGCATTCCATTTCTATTTGAGGTTCTGTAATGTAAAAAATACCAGTATCGGCGCCCCAACGCTAGGCTCAGTACACCCAGTGGATACACAGAGCTTCTGTAGGATTTTTTTTTTTTTTTTTTTTTTGGGGGGGGGGGGGGCGAACAAATTTAGGTGTGTGCTAGGTGATGCCCGCCGGTGCTGGAGATTTATGCTGATACAATATAGAAATATTTTGCAATACGTATTAGAAGTAGAGCTGAGCTTGTTTCAGCACCCCCGATATAAAATCTGTAGTATTCGATCTGTACTTTATTCACAGTACTAGAGGAGACTTACAAGTTCATAATATTGAGAATCACTGCCAGTAAGAGGTCTTGAAGCGAGACGTGAGCGGGGATAATTTTATCATGTGAAATAAACAGGGGGTAATATTATCTCATGTCCGTACAAAAGTACCACATATATCATTTCTCATCCAAAGTCCACAACCGAGTACATACTAAACACCTATAAACACCATCTCGAACAGGTCCCAACGACGCCATATGTAGAATAAACCCAACAGAAAATCGCCAACGTAGTAAATAAAAGAGGATATGAAGATCACCAAAGAAATTATAATGACAAGAAAACACATAAAACGTCCTCACACACCTCTCCAAAAAGACTCAATAACTAGTGTTGAGCACGAGCCTGTTCAAGCCGAGCCTGACATGCGAGCTGGCTCGGGATGTTCGAGCTCGGGAGTATAACTCGAGCTTAGCCTCGCGCCCATGTAACACTAACCCTAACTATTTCGCCCTATCCTTTAACGCCTGCTGTAGTATAGTTTCTATCTCTTTATAGCCATCCCTAACAGCAATTTGTAGCGCCGACAATCCTTCATTATTAGGTCGCTCAATATCTGCCCCGTATTGACATAGATACTCCACAATCTTCGCGCTGGCCTCTTTTCCAAAGATGATCGCATTTTGCAATGCTGAATTGCCCTCCTTATCCGCCGTATGAACATCTGCACCGTTCTTTAGAAGAAATTCAACCATATCCTCCTTCACGGCGAACGCTGCTAGACTTAGAGCTGTATCACCGAGGTTGTCAATCTTCTTCATATCTGCCCCGTGTTTCAGAAGGGCTTCTGCCTGTACTACGTGTCCTGATTGTGCGGCTACAAGCAATGGTGTACGCCCAGGGCCATTTGATGTCTCAAGATTTACTCCGTGCTGAAGAAGGATCTCAATAATCTTTGTGCAGTCGCCTTTGTCTGAGAGGGCCGAGTGGTGTATTGGTGTATTGCCATAATTATCAGGCCTGTGAATGTCTGCGCCATTATTGATAAGAAACTCAACCATCTCAGTCTGGGCGGCGGCAACCGCGAGTGTCATAGCCGTATCACCGAGGTTGTCCGTCTTCTTTATATCTGCCCCGTGCTTTAGAAGGGCTTCTGCCTGAGGAATGTGCCCGTTCTGTGCAGCGACGAGGAATGGTGTACCTCCAGGGACGTTTGCCCTTTCGATATCTGCACCGTTTGCGAGAAGTAGTTCAATAATCTCCACACGGTCATCTTTGTCTGAAATTGATGCGTGGTGCAGGACCGAACCCCCGTAGTCATCAACTTTATGAATGTCGGCACCCCTCTTCAGAAGGTACTCGACCACGTCCTTGTCGGCATATTGGGATGCAAGAGTCAGAGCTGTATCTCCAAGGTTGTCGGCCCTCTCGATCTCTGCCCCATTATCAAGAAGTATTTCTATAACCTTTTGGCTGGATTCCTTTCCTAGCCTCACTGCATTTTGTAGTGCCGTATTCCCATAGTTGTCGGCCTTGTGAATGTCTGCGCCTAGCTTCAAAAGAAAACCGACCATCTCGGGGTGGGAAAAGTAAGCCGCAAGAGTCAGAGGCGTATCTCCGAGATTGTCCCCCTTTTCCAGATCTGAACCGCCCTTCAGAAGGGCTTCCACCTGTTTCAAATCGCCTTGTAATGCAGCTATGTGTAACGCTGTACGTCCATCACCATTTATATTTTCGATATTTAACCCGTTCTCCTTGAGTATCTTAATGATGGCCGACCTGCCGTGATTAGCTGCCGTATCTAGGAGGGTTTGCGCATCCTCCCCATTGACATTCGGTTTGACACCTGCATGGGAAAACAGATGTCGGACCACATCGTTATACCCCCGTTCTATCGCTCTCACCAATGTTTTCTGACGGTTGAAGTTGCACCTGAGAAGCGATTTGATTGTCCCAATGTGACCATTAGAAACAGCGGCCTCAAGAGCTGTCTTCCCCGTGGAGGATTCTAGACTTTCGTCTATGTCGGCACCGGATTTTATGAGCGCCATAACGATGGCCTCGTGGCCACCGCTTGCTGCTGCCTCTAATGCTGTTACACCCGGGTCGCTGGTTGTTTCGTTTGTAACCTCAACAATATCCAAAAGGTACTCCACAATTGCAATGTGGCCTTCCTCTGCTGCTGCCTGCAATGCTGTACGTCCATGATGCGGTCCTGGCGCGCTACTGACGAATGCAATATCATCAAGAGAATAGTTTTTTCCATCACCCGCATCCTTCGTTGCGTCCGCTTTCTGTGTCACTGTTTCAAAAAAAATCTTTAGCCACGCCCTTGAGATTGTCCCCAAAATCGCCCACCATGTTTAGTTTTTCTTACCTTTTGTTATGGGCATTGATACTACCCCCCCAGCGCCCTGCGGTTTGATATCCTTCAAGTCATTGCAGAGAAACTTGACAACCTTCAGGTGCCCAGCTCCTGCAGCGGCTTGTAATGCCCTGCGACCATAGTAAGGTGCCGGCTCTTCATCTTTTTTTGCACCCTTGTCGATAAGTAGAGAAACAATGTTCAAATGCCCAGCTCCTGCTGCTGCCTGTAGCGCTGTTCTGCCGTAATGTGATGCGGGTTTTTCATTGATTATATCGGCACCGGCATCCAAGAGAGCTTTTAAAATCTGTAAATTACCAACTTCCGCTGCCATCTGAACAGGGGACCGATATTTCCTGATCAATAATAGATCAATAGGGAAAAGGGGATCTTTGGATTCCTCAATAGAAATACCATGATCAGCGGTGACCGCTGCGGCGGACTTCAGACATAGTGGTGTTGTGAAGTATCTCTGAAGTTCGACATTGAATAGAACACCGCCAATGTCCCGTAGAACATCGATCAACACCCTTGATATTAAAGGACATTGTTCTTGATCGCTCTGAAGCCACGCATCGACTGCGTTCTCCCACAGAAATCTTGCTGTGAATCTAAAATCCGAAAACGCTTCGTTGTCCCATAACATCTGGACCTTTGCCTTGAAATCTTGATTATTGTGCATTTTCTCGCCACCAAAACACTGGATCGTATCACAGAGAAGGCCAGTCATCGCCCCGTGACCAAACTCGAAATTAGCCCTTGTGCAGGTTAGACATAAGGTTACAAGCCCTAGGGCTCGCTTCTCCTCTGATTTCTCTGCTCGAAGTAACTTGCAGTATGAATAAGTCGCTTCCCACATTTCCTGGACCTGATCCCGCCTGTCGAAACGCGTGATATTTTTCGCCAACTTCCGAGCTTGTTCCAAGAGTGGCTTCGTAATGACATCGGTGAGGTTCATCGGTGCATTTTCTGACTTTGAGTTTTTATACAACCACGAATCGTTCTCAAGACCATCTCTCCATTTTCCAGACCTTGCCAACTCTTGCGAATTATTCATGACTTCAAGGCAGGTCTCGTACGGGTAAGGGAGCTTTCCTGCAGACCCAAAGGCTGAAATAATGGAGAAATACGCATCTTCAGTGCTTCCTAGTCCATGTCCATTATATATATCCGCGAGGTGTTCAAGGTTCGAATTGTGAAGACGAAAGGCTTTGGTGTTGGGACCGTCTAGTGTACCGGCAGCCCTGGTGACCGCATCTTTATTATGGGGCGTGGTGACTCCCCCAATGTCTTGTACCATCCCAGCAAGCTCGAAAATGAACAAACTATAGAGCTCCTGCGCACATAAAGTGCTCGAATCTCCTTCGGCGTCGACATAAAGATACCCACTTGAGCTGACTTGATCCCTGGAGGGAGCTCTTGTGTATCCGTAATATCTGGTATCATCATCATACACCCTCTCCAATCTGGGGTTTCTTGCACGAGGTACCCAAACATTGTAGTGTGTGCTTGTTAATTCGGTAGCACACGCTAAGATTCTAACCCGCTTGAAACGGGGCAACCTATCCCTTGCGCGTTGTCTATCAGCCCTAACGATCGAAGATGTCCAGAGGCACAAAACGGCTTCCAATTCACTTTTTTCAATAGTCCAGGCGCCAAAGCTCTGGTTTTCGTTGAGCTTTCTGCTGAAAATGAGGTTTATCTGTTCGGCGTTCGTGGCTGAATCTTTAAACGAAGCCTCGACTGGGATGGTCCAGGAGATTTCCCTTTCAGTTTTCAGGTCCTCACGGATGGTCATGTTGTCAAAAATCTCGTTCATCGTTTCTTCAATGAGATTATGCAGCACCTCTGCCTTTTTCCTACCACCAAACATCCAATCATGCGAAAGTCTCGCTAGACGAGCTCGAGTCCTCATCACCGCAGCATTGACATCGTTTTGAAGTGGAAACCCTTGTTCGGATGTATCAATCTCCTCCTCTTCATCGGACGAAGGAGCTACCGATAGCACGTCTGAATGCTTATCTTCAGAAATCCGAGGCGGGCTGGGTTGAGACCAAATCCTCTCTATTAATGTAGAGGTCGATCTGGTAATTTCCTTTGCATTTGCCGAGGACACCTCGAACGAAGTCGGCGACACCGGAACTTTACAAGATGTTTCACGACCAGTGTTGATCTCCCAAGATTGACAACCTTTCAAATCCTTCGCCAACCAATCCAACTCATACCCTTCTATCTCATCAGGATCTTCAATATCATTGCGGCCTTCCCGTTGTATACGAGCACAAGATCGCAGAATAGTCATTATCAGCACTGCCCCCAGTTGTGCAATGGTGACTGATGGATGCATTGCGCGCAATCCGACAAACTGAGCAACGAAGCCGAAGAAGGCAGTGCTGATGGCAGCCGTAACAAGAACCGGTTTGCCTTTTCCGGCCTTTTCCGAAGTTAGAACACGGTTTTCAGGAAAGTTCACTCCAGATCGTCGTGCGAATGATCCAAATCGCTGATCACCAACAGTTTGCCCTCCTTGTTGTAGCCATACAACGGATTTGGAATCTCCCCTTTCCGTCGGCTCCCAGGTCTCCTCTTTTGTGCTGGTCTCCACGGCCTGTGCACATAGAAACATACCAATCGCGAGACTAAGCGTTCCTGTGAGGAGGATAGGAAAGCCGTAGGCTGGAACGTCGATGCCGCTTTTGGAAAGTTTCAAGTGGTATTGAGATATTGCAGCATATACAAGAACTCCAGTTTGCATAAAGAATCCGATGCATGCAAAGGTAATGAGCACCTTAGGGTCGAGGGGCCTGATACTGACGTTCAAAGAGAGGTTTGGAGGATTCTGTCGGGTAAGGAAATCATCTATGTCGTTATTCGCTTCCATATCTACACTCTCTTGTATATCTGGTGATGGACCTGCGTCCCCCTTTCTTCGGTAGATATCCAACCTAATCGCTTCATGAAATAGGTAAACTCCCTCGGAGTTCTTGACAGTAGGCGGTTTTTCATCCTCCGACTTTTCAACATCCCCGGATCCTACATAAACCAACTGCAGAAGGACTGGAGATCCAAGCACCCGAGAAACACCCTCGCCTCCCCAAAGCTCGCAAACATCGGATGATGTTGAAGACATCAACTCGGCTTCGACGGTCCCACGACTTTCCTTTGCCCTGCCAATTAGGGACCAAAGTAATGGCCTACCCGCAACCCGAATCGCGGCAACCATTGCTGAAATGATACCTAAAGGTGCAAACGCGAACAATAGACTATCAATCCAGCTCAGCGACTCGTTCAAATATTGCGTTGTCACTTGTTCACCCAGAAGAGTGAGTAGTGGTGCTAAGTCAGAAGCAAGATTGTTCACGAAGTTATCCCATCCCTCGGGGGGAGCACAATTATCACCAGAGCATGCAGCGTTAACAGATCTGATCAAAAATGGCATTAACAGTACCATGTGGAATGTGTGGAACGCTGTGACCCGGAAGCGCCTCGCACTACCAGAGTCCGACCGAACTGTGGTGCTATCGCGTGGCGAAGCATATTTTGGATGGCCGGTGTCGTCTTCGCGAACCATTTTTGATAACGAAGTCTTAGAAAACTTATATTTCTTGGTGGATGCTGGGATGAGCTCCCACTAAAAGAAAGTTAGTACCATAGATGGGATTTCCTTGATAACTACTGTACAGTAGCAGCTACATGTACATACCTCTGACATGATGATGGTCAAAACTTTCTCCCCCGATTAAACCTATTCTAACAGCTGCTAAAAAAACTTTAGTTCACACCTCGCGCTCAAAACGGGGTTCGGAACGTTACATATATCTATATAACTGGTACCGTAGGCGTGGGTAAGATAAGAAAGAATAGGGGCAACCTCCCGTGAGTGAGAAAATAAAGTTGATAAGATCCCTGGGGGTTCCTTAAAACGTCAGGATTGACTTTGTCAGGATTCTACAGTCTTGAAACAGCTGTGAAAAATTTATGGGGCACTGCACCAGAAGAGGGTGCGTTATTAACTACATATGTATGTGTATGTTCGGTTGGAGGTCCGTCCATCTGAGCCCCTGTCGACGACGGCTTTCATATTGGTGCGGGGAGCTAAATTCGCAATATGGGCTTAATACCTATGTACGCGATCTACAAGGAAGAAAAAAAAACTACATAAGCCGAAAAACCCGTGAGGTTCAACACTGCGTAAGTACTTTAGAGTTTGCGCCAGTCTCAGTCTACTATGCCACCAGTTGTGCACGAACCAAGCGCCAAGGAGCGCTAACACAAGCAAGCAAGAAGGAAAATGAGATGAAACCACTACCTATCGCCGCGCGGTACCAGCTGCTGCCTAGTTCGTGGAAATCTGAATTGGGCACTTCTGTGCTACAAGGGAAACAAGTTACATAATATTGAGTCCCAGCTTGGCCAATTGTATGCCTTACAATCTACATCTGTACCACCCAAACACATGTTGGCTTAAACAGGTTAAGAATTCCGTTTATGTAAATATCATGCAGTGTCATCGGTCGGCATGCATGACACGAACTGTGCTCCTGGAGTAACGGTATTTATAGATCGAGATAAAACCCTTGTCGGTCGGCAACTTTGCTTGTGCGGGTAAAAGCTAGACCGACCAATTGAAGTTTAAGCGGGATCAGCGTTCTCAGTGAAAAGATGTACCGGGTGTTGAGGATAAGTGATCAGAACGTGATAAGTGAATGTTACAGTGAATAGGTGTATTTGTCATCAGATTCTGATCACTTTTCGCTACACACTAGTACATATGTAGGCATGTAGGGACATACTGTACTCTAGAGTACCATGTTTAATTATAAAGACGAAGAGTGTACATGTAGGTACTCTACAGACCGCTTTATGATCATGGGGAGCTATCCCTTAAGCTGTCGATGCTGACCCCCAGGCCTATAACAGAGGAATTAGATTTGTATGAGAGATCTATTATTTGATAAGAGAGATAACGGGATCTGTCCTCCGTCCGCGAACCTCTTTAGGCTTCAAGGCACAGATCTTTCTTCTCCGGAGGGTATCCACTACCTGTTACAGCTACGGTTTTGGGTATCACCACGCCGTCTCTTGGTTAACTAATGTGAGAGCCGGGGACGAACGAAGGGATAGATCGGCACTCAACCACCGGTGTAGATGGGGCGGTGCAAGCCCAGGTACCCGAGTCTAGTAGGCATCGAAAGATATACATGTACCAGTACATGTATGTATAGAGTATACTCTACCTACTAAACACCTTGGCACCAGTGACACCATAACCTGGGTATTTACAACAAGGATGAGTAGGTGCGACATGTACGCAGGTGTACTGTACTGACTTCCACGAAGAATCACTCGAGTCTTGGCGCTCAAGGGAAGTTAACCTATTCATAAATTCATCACACAAAACCCTGTCCGCTGCTAACTACTAGAAAATATAGAAAGAGAAAAAGAAACCTGCTCAAAAATCCCAGCGCACGTATCATTCAATCTACCCCTTGTTCACCTTCTTAGCTATATCCATAGCTTGATGCATCCTTCGAATACGGCTGTTGATTTCCGCCCTGCGATTCCTCAGCGCCAAATCATCGCCAGCAATATCCGCAACCTCACTGTCCAGGAGACCGCCAACATGCTCGACGGAAAACCTTTTGACAGGCCCAGAAGAGCCGAGAAGATGCCGCTCGATAACTTGGACCACAACATTGTCAGTGAATCTTTCAACTGCAATCTTGTAGAACGTCTTGAGAATATCATGAATATCATAAACAGCCTGATCCTCAAGGCTGAGATGAGCGTAGCCTGCAATCGTGCTGGCATATCCGTTTATGAGGTTGCTGGGTGCTCCAGCGTGAGTTGACATGCGCGCGATGATCCGATCAAGGCGTGCAGTGTTGAGAGTCGTCTCAAAGATTTTGTTGAATGTCAGAAGAGTGCCCTCGCGTTCATCCCGGAGGATCCTCGCCAATTCCTCTTCGGCAGCTTCCATACCAGCCATGATTAAAGGTTGCATGTGTGAGACGATATTTTGCCGAATACGATCATCGACAACCGTCTCTCTGAATAATGAATCATTGAACTGTGTAACAATACGTTCCATGTTCATGAGATGGTTATTCGCAATCTGGACCCATCCGGCTGACTGTTGCCTAAACAAACTCTCGACCACAGCTGGATTGACGGTACCAGGAAGCTCGGCGCCACGTGACTCTTTATACCACGCTCTAATCCATTCATAAACCCCACCAGAAGTCCTGGGTTTATAGTTCGGGTCGAGAACATTGTTTGCGTTCATGAACTGGTAGGTGTGGCCTTCATTGGCGATGCGTTCTACAAACGTGGTGTTTGCTGCATGGGCATGCATTCGTAGCTTTAGAGGATGTGTTGAAGATAGACCGCTCGGGTAGGTCCCAGCAAGCGCTTTATTCACTGCGAGCTGGTACTCATTGACCACTTTCGTGAGATAAACTCTCTGTTCCGATGCGGATTGCCTAGGTGTTCCCATATCCTCAAGCTCCTGAATACTCTCCGCATGTCTCGCTTCGATATCCCTCACAAGTGCTGGAAATTCGTTTCTGATGTGCTCGTACAAGAGTTTTCCCAGGAATGCCTTCAGCGGCTTGATACCCACTCGGTCTTTGGGAAGTGTACTCCAGGGATAGGTTGTGAAGAAATTCTCTTCATTCACGTGCCGTTCTTCTATGGTGACTTTGTTCTTGATGTCCTTCGCCGACCGGTTTTTGACTCCGAACCAGCCATGCTTAAGGTGTTCGACAGAGTTTTCAAGAATACGGATTACCTATATAATTGCAACGGTGTTAATCGACCTGCAGGATAAACGTGGAGAGAAATTGTGAATACTCACACCAAGCTCTTCTCCAGGCTGGAGGGCGTCACATTTGGTCACGACACCAACGGTTCGGCTACCATTCGGATCAGCTGCCTTTGCCATCCGAAATACCTCCTGGTTCGCAAGGTTGTTTCTTCCATCCATAATAGCCCTACCTGATTGTCAGTGATTACTGCATGATTGAGCTCGACATGAATCACTGGAAACTGTACATAATTATAGTACGTCTATCCGTGATGTAACTAAGGATCAAGTTTCTTATAATAATTGCATCTTCTTTCGTTTGATATTTTGTCGGATCTTGCAATTATTCAAGTCAACCAAAGATTTACCAATATCCGAGAACTGTTGACTGCATACGTACTGTGAAAGAGACCCGGGACATCTACCACACTTAGATGCGGATGTTCGGGCCCGGATAGTTCAACCTTCAATACATGTTCTGAAAACCTATGATCAAGATCCTCGACATCCTCTGCTCCAGGCTTGGGAAGTCCCATTCGCTCCGCAGCCTTCCCGGTAGGTTAGTCTTGCTTGTGTTAAAGCATAAAAAGTAGCTATCGAGATTAATTTGGGATAAACTTACACTGCCCAGCAACCCCGCAAACTCGTCGGCGCCGAATTCAGAATTTGCTGAAGTATGTTTAAATCCTGACAGATAGGCTCTCAAATGCTCGTTTGTCTGAGCTTCTGGGCCAGGAATGATAGTGACCTTCACAGTGGCCTCCTCCGCAGGCGTACGGCGAAGCACAATCTGTGTCGCAAAACGAGTACATAGGTCCGATGCAATAGGAAACGCAAGACCTGTGAGGCCTTCAAGAAGGGAGGACTTTCCACTTGATTGGTCGCCGACAACGACAAGCTGATTGGAACACTTTAGTATGAATTAAAATGATATATAGGTGAAAACAGAACTGACCTGCGGGAGAGGGATATCATCGCTGATTCCGAGCTCGCGGAGATGGTCAATTACCCCAAGGAGCTTTACACGGTCCGCGTTGTCGAAGTTACTGACGGTTTCCTTCCAGCCTTTGGCCATCGTTAATATAAATTGATATAGATAGTCTGAAGATGAGGGGAAAAATGTAGTATAGTAGTGGCTAGATCTGTTGGCTTTGGTCTCGAAAAGTTGGCCTGAAACTATCTGTTGATTGAGGGACAAGGTTATGGGCAATTATCTACTCTCATTCCGTAAATAGTCATTCATCACGCTTCATTTTAAACTGGAGTCAAATGTGTATGAACCTACTCGGTTTGCAACTTGAATCCTCCAATAAAAGCCGCTGTTGACTTTAGACCAAGAACAAAACAGATGTCGGGGAAAGCGAAGGTTGGAGGTTTTCGAGCCTTCTATGGGTGGCCTTAACTATCTAACAGAACGTAACATACTAGAACACGCATATTGCTGATAAGAGACCTTGCTTACAAGATATGCATGGTTAAGGCATCCAACTTGTATATGTTTGCTTCAACAAGGCAATCAACCGAAGATAGGGCGGAGTACTAACCTTAATTAGGTAGAGTTATATTTCACCTCGCATTCTGATTGGTTCTGATTGATCCAATTTGAACTTGAATTATGTATATATCGAATTGATAGGTGCAGAGCAACAACATAGATATCGAAACAGGATGCAAACACTTATTAATTATGCCAGTGCCGCGCACATTTACTGCAGGCAAATAGTCTCGGAAAAGATTGAGGATCAAAAAAAACCTTTCTCGGGCCTAACTGCCGAGCTATACCGATTTCATACGATTAATTCGCGCAGCCTATTGTGCATTTTGCACAGTATAGAAATAAGTACATGTATGAAGCTCAAGATATCTTTTTATTCGTTGTCATATACATACATGTAGTATTTTATGGTACTAATTACTAGCCATGTATGGTTCTGGCCGTCTGCATCCAAGTAGGCTACAGACGGAGTACATACACGACCAGTACGACCAGTACACCTATTGCTTACCTAATAAGCTATGGTGTTTACAAGAGAGCGTGCTGCTCTCTCCACGGCCCATAGCGACGCTTAAATCAATACAATACATGTAGCCACGCTTATAAAACAAATGTATCAATAGAGCCTTCCCATGTACCCACCTAAGCCGGTCCTCCCACACTTTATCAAGAATTCTTTCTCCCCCATTTAAAGTACTTTCCGTCTCGGATCTGCTAATAAATGTATACAAGAAACCGAATCCCCGCCCGGCCATCAACCACAGACCGCCCCGGGGCCACACGAGGGGAGAATCTGGGAATGATGGAATCGATGCCTATATGGTTTTCCAAACGTGCACAGCCTGTCTGTAGTACTGTGTGTTCCTTATGGTTTAAAATCAGGTCTCCTGGATGTATGAGATAGTGGGAAATCTCTCTTATGCATGAACGTGGTTTTGAATTTGGGTGAGAAAACGTCCGGGTAAGCAGCTTGCTGCCTTTGCCAGTCTTGGGAATACTTAACGGTGCCATAAAGTTCGCGGTTTACTGCCTTACTTCAGTCAATCATTGCCTAGGTAAGCCACGCTAATGCATGAGAGAGATTTTCATACATCCAGGGGAAAGGTTAAATTTAAGGCAGCCAAGTTATCAGACCGAGCAGTCAGAGGTTATACAGATTCCGGTACGGTAGATAGAATTATTGCACAGCTGGGCGAGTACTGCGATTGGGTGAGGAGTAACCTCAGGCGGGCTTCAGCGGTTCACGGCTTCAACAGCGCCACTCCATACAAACTACCCTTGCCCTGAGCAACCGCATTTTCATACTCGCCAGGCGTTTTTAGCACGCTCGCCAACCCCTGTTTTCGCAATAATTCTACCACTGTATCATATATGTATACATGTACAGTCGACTCTCGCTATAAGGGTACCTTCTATAGGAATACTCGCCCTATAAGAATACGACTTCTCGGTCCTTATTGGGCATTTTGAGTACAAATTGACCCTTACTATCCCTTGGACGGATGAAAGTTGTCAAGTTCGCGACCGCACTCTTTCAGCTATCACTAGCCTAATATAGGAATTGTTGGAAATTCTTGATTGGTTCTGTTGTTGTTTCCAACCGTAAAAAAGCAAGATAATTCCCTTACTAAGTGGTGCGGTCCAGGTCGCGAATTTGACAACTTTCATCCGTCCAAGGGATAAGGGTACACGCCCTATAAGGGTACCGATTACCGGCCTAGAGCGTACCCTTATGGGGACCTTCGGTCCCGCTCATGATCAGTCGTGCGCGGGTGCTCAGTACATGTATTTACAAAGGACCCCTGCACCTCGCAGCCAATCAGATGCGCAAGCGTTTACCTTCCAGTTACATGTATATAATTAAGGTTGCGGCTCTGCGGGTAATTATCAGGCTCGGCTCGGCTACCACCGGCCTTAGAGTCTTAGACTGTGTGGCGCCGACGACGGACGTTGGGACTCGTGTTGACTGCAGCCAGTGTCAATGCCGAGTGAACGGTCTTCAGGAGTACAAAGCCTCCGCAGCCAGGTGTCTTCTCACTTTATACAATTAGAGTACATGGAGGTACAAGTACATGTACTTACTCTTGCGCCTGAACTACATGTAGCTAGTACTCTACATCTTGCTGCTAGGCGCCATAGAGACACGATAAATTTACATGCACCTAATTAAGCTGTATTGCACTAGGTGCGATACTTTACTTTCTTAATAGATCCCGTTAATTCTCAAGAAATCCACTATCCCGCTTCGCTAAATCTTAATTCCGGGTGAGAAAAAGTAATGTACCTGCACAAATAAATACAAGGATAGTGAATTATTCGAGAATTAACGGTACATGTATTTAGGTGAGGCCAGGTAGACTACTACTACTACAATCCCCAGGTGACGTAGTGCGTGTATGTAGGTAGACATTTACCACCCTGTAGAGCTTGTATTTATCATCAGGCCGCATTGTAATCAGAATATTATGTTAGGCTACTAGAGATGATTTAATTCTGAAAACATCAACTAACTATAGTTACTAGCTAGTATAAAGGATCCATACGATAAAGGAAATCAAAGGAGTCATCGAAATATACATGTCCTCAAAAAAACGTCGAAAACACCTTGTGAAAACCAATGTTGAAGATGGTACGCAACACAAACCCATGTAATCCTCTGTCTCGATAAGAACTGCCATACAGAAGCTTAATAGGCCAGAGAAGAGATTACATTGATTGAATTTGCTCTAGGAAACATTTCACGACTCCTTTCCGTATAAGTACTCGATGGTCCCAGTCAAGATTTCCGGCCGCGTTGAACCCTACCCGGTAAACTGGCGGGAAAAGAACTGTTTGAACGTGGTACCGAGCGTTTGTCTCATCGGTGTCTGGTAGGTTCAACTCTTCCATGAATGAAGGATCGTACGGTTCTCCTGGTTTGATTCCATAAAGGACAAATGGGGATACCTGCTGGAAGGTTTCCTTATGGAGTTGAGTAGCCTTCGAAATGATACTGGCTAACCTTTTTATACTCTTATCTAGTTTCGCGCCCTCCAAGGATAAAAGACTATTCGACAGTTCTAGAAGGATCCTCTGCGCGGTTTGAATATTGGAGTCAAGGAACTCTTCGTAGTCATGGTGTGCGAAGAGCATACCGATGGTTTGAGCAAACAATTCTCGTTTCTTGAGATCTGATATTATCATTATCGCGCCTCACATAAGCTTTCTATACTTTGACATTAATTTAAGTGTTTTTGTGAACTCACCGGTTCCCCCAAGGTAATGTTGTAAAGTACCCATCATGTCGGGCCTCTGGTAGCCCCCACTTTGTTCTGGGTTGTACAATTCCTTCAGACTCGGCGCCATACTCTCCCAAGGTAGAAGAAACCTCGGTTCAAAGACCGTGTCGAATAACATCGTGTAGACCATTATCGCCTCAAATTCGGTGGAGCCAATTCTAGAGTCATGAGTGATTTTAAATCCGGGGATACTAACTCCTAAAAGGTTGGATAACCTGGTCGGAAGTTGATCATATGTAATTGCATCAATTTGACGAAATGATTGACGAGCCCACTGATGTATCGAATTTTTTAGGCTAGCAAACTCCGCTTCGAAATAGTCGTCATCTCTGGTAGTGATTCCGTTTGCATTCACTGTCCTTGAGACGGATACTGTAAGATCGTTGATGTTGGACTTTAGCTTCGATATGACGTCTTGTGTCTCCTGCTCCTTTTTTGCAAATGCCGAACGACTCTCTTCTAATGTAACCAGACTATTTTTGTAGGCATTTTCTAATTCTCTTAGCTGAATCTTATTCTTTTCCAACGACTTTTGATCCTGATTAATTTTTCTTAACATCGCTTCACATTTCTCGCGGTGCTTTTTTTCCAGCTGCGCCTCAACCCTCTGCCTAATGTCATCTTCTAGCCGTTTGTTGCTGTATCTGATGTTGCTATCGGTACAACGCTTGTCGTGAGGAGTTCTCTGGGATCGTTCCACGCGGGCCCCTGCACCTTTGATGTGGATATCGGGATATTCTTGTCGGGTATCATGCATGTACGGCGCTTCGTTTGGTCTCTTAGATGTATCTTTCTTTGGGATGCCGAAGTTATTATAAGTTTGCAATTGGCCCTGAAACTCTTGGACTGGCGCACTAGAGATTGTTTGTTGCTCATGATCATTCGACGGTATTTTTGATTTGTCTTCCCATGAATGAGACAAATAACTGGACTTCTTTATGTTATTTAAAGTTTAAGATACCACCTAGGATAATCTCCTAGTACGTACATCGACTTCAATCTTATCAGAGCTCGAATCCTGATTACCATCCGGTAAGTTTGGGCGGCCCTTGTCGTATACGCCCCATGCTGAAGCTGAAGAGGGACCACGATCATTGTTACTCTTTTTTGGGGGTCGCGAGCTCGAACCTCCGGATACCCCAATCCAGGATGCGAGATCGAAACGGCCTGTGAGACTCTGCATGAGAATAGTTTGAAGTTTGTACGTATAAGAGAGGTTTAGATAAACTTTCTGGTGTTGGGAGCTGGGACTAGAGCTTTGCGTGTAAGGGAAGGACTGATAATGTATGTATTTAATTCCGAACGGATGGATCGATATCAATTCAGGCAACCCAACATGCAGTATACGTACTGCGGGGTGTGGTTTGTTGGCACCAGCACCTAGCGCCCTACTAGGCTACTACTGCTCTATCCTTAGAGTTTCCGAACACGACTGATATTGCATATTATATAAAAGGAAAGCTTGACGCTAGCTACATGTAGTTCTGTATGGAATGTAATAGCGTTGGGTGCCTAGTTTGATGTATGTGCATGTAGGTACTACTCCCATGCGTATCTTTAAAACCAGTGTCTGCCTTAAAATTAATCAATGAAGTGGCTGTCTAGCTCCCATCTGCTTCTGATCTTTCCACAGTCAAACTCTACACAAAGCTCTAAGTTGCTGCGAGCTGCTAAAATCACCCTATTCGCACACGCTCTTAGAAATGTCTCATAGATTGAAAGTTGGGGTAGATTTTGGAACTACGTTCTCAGGAGTCGCTTGGGTAAGCGTTTGAATGGATTATATATATATATTGTGGACGTTTCTGAACGTCTAGCTAGCCAGTTACAGCGCTAATAATATACTCTATAGAACTTCACAGGAGCTCAAGAGGACGTTATCATCATCCGAGAGTGGCCAGGGGTAAAAATAACGAAGCCCTTTGTTATACGCTTCAAAGCTAGATACTATAGTACTAACATGATAGCATCGGTGGCTTCAGGCACTTCGCTCATCAGATAAAGTACCCAGTGAGATTGTGTATGACAGCTTAGGAGAGGTATCCAAATGGGGATTCCAAATCAAGACCGGAGAAGAGAGACTTGCATGGATCAAGCTTCTCCTTGAGCCGACTAAATACATTTCGAACAATAGGACAATCAATTCTACCAGGAGCTTAATTTTCGATCAAAATACAAAAGAGCCAGTGGATGTAGTAGCGGATTATTTAACATGTTTGAGAAAACATGCTATTCATTGTATCCAGAACACTTATGGGAAAGCATTCGTTGATGCGACACCCATCGATTATATCTTGACTGTTCCAGCTGTAAGTATCGATGGATTCAAGATTCTCCTGCTCAAGCGCAACTACTAACCTGCCATTTAAGATTTGGTCTGATAATGCAAAGGAATTGACTCTACAAGCAGCGGAGACTGCGGGATTTGGAGATAGGACTACACTCCAACTCGTGTCAGAACCTGATGCCGCTGCTGCGTGGACTCTTCTGAGAGACCTGAAAAGTAATTTTCTTCAGGTAAAGATACCTCCTTTAAAACCATACCTAGCGAATTGTCATTTATCATGTCTAACGTCGATTGATAGATCAATGACGCATTCGTCATTGTGGACTGTGGTGGTGGCACCGTTGTACGTTCTTCCAACCTTATATGCGTATATATATTGCAGTCTAATAAACTACTCTAGGACCTTATTTCATATCAGGTCACAGAAACGAGTCCAAATATCACAGTCAAAGAGTGTGCCGCAGGTACTGGAGGTTTATGTGGCTCAACCTTTCTCAATGGAAACTTCGAGAATATGGTCCGGTCCCGCCTAGGAAGAAGGTTCAGAAATGCACTTTGTTGACTGCCTTTAAATAATTTAACGTTCCTGTTGAGTATCATTTTCTGACGCTGGTCGGTGCAGATTCGAGGCATTAAGTCCTCGCAAACGGAATGACATAATGAAGAAGTTTGAGGAAGAGCTGAAGCGGAATTTCACGGACTCAGATGACGACGATGAGATATACTGCCCTGTTGGTGGAATTCCGGATGATCCTATCGCTGGAATTGATGGTGGTGATCTTATTATTACTAGGGAAGAGATGAAAGAAATCTTTGACCCTGTTATTGATAAGATTATTCCCCTCGTCGAAAACCAGGTTAGGAATGTTGAAGCAAAATCATCTCAAGGGTTAAGGCTCACGGTAAGTGAACATAAATCCTACCCAGATAGCTAAACGTTATTAATATATTAAAATGTAGTCTATACTCCTTGTCGGGGGCTTCGGGAGCTCTAAATATCTATTAAAACGGATTGAAAAGGAAGTGAGAAGGGCTGACATGTCACCAATAGAGATCATTCAGCCGGCCAACGCGTTTGTTCTCTACATTCGGTACTTTGGTTATATACTGACAGTCAACAGATGGAGCGCCGTCGCTCGGGGCGCCGCAATTGGTCTCCGCATATCGACTCGTACATCGCGTCGACATTACGGTACCGTTTGCGATGTACCGTTCATACATGGAAAACACCCCGTAGGAAATTTATATAAGTGTCCTTTCACAGGAATTATGTACTGTGCGAATACGATGGCATGGTTTATCAATGAGGTAAAAGCACAGGAAACCCAGGCTACAAATAAGTATATATTGATAGGCTAATTTTGTGTACTATATCTCAAGGGCAACGAAGTCTCAGAAGAGAAACCCATCTCCCTCCGATTTTTTCATACAGCGCGAACAGACATGCCTATGATGTTTACCACTGAACTCTACGCTGCTGAGATGGGACCGGCTCCTTCATACTTGAATTCACCAATCAATCGTAGGCTTCCTTCCCTCTTAGAGCTTAATCAGTGGAGATTAAAATAAAAATAAAATATGCTGATATGGACACAAGCTGCGAGAATCTTGTGCCACTTAGAATCAGACTTGAGCATGCTCCCAACGAGCGAGTTCACTAAAAGAATGGGGTTGGATTCGCAGGAATACTACGAAATCAACTTGGAGTTCGTCTTGACGATGAAGTCAGCAATGATCTTGACTTTTGAGCAGATGTTTAAAGGGAAGCGTTATGGGTGTGTTACAGCGAAGTATTCACTTGTTTAACTCTAGCTTTGGGATTGTAGCGCATGTTTTACAATTTGACGGCTCTTGCTGTGCGGTTACGCACAGATACATGTATGAATCTCAAAATACCTTTTATTAAATTCTATCTTGCGGTCTCTTCTCTAAGGCCGTAGTTGGTCTAGGTGGCAAAAGGGCAGCCTGCCATGGCAGATGGCCAAAGCTATGCCGCCTAACCCGCCCATCACATGCCCTTCTCAACTGATCACTAAATACACTTTGACCTTGATCTCGCATTTTTAGGAACGTAGGTACCTACATGTAGTACATGTTTGTTTGTTTTACATGCTGCCATTAGGGCTCTGGCTATAAATCACGTATGCGATCTAGCCTGTTTTTCTTTTACTAGTCACTCATTTCTTTCTTTTCCTTTCTACTCTACTTTTATCCGTACTATTTTCTTGGCCTGTAGTATTTAAGGGACCGAATACGGCTCCCAGAATAAATCAAGTAACTCTACGCCCAACTATACAGCACGTAGCTCGACATGGAATACCGCCATAACTCGAAAAATTGGCTAGCTTCCAGAGATCAAAATTACTTGTGTGGGAAACTTCTGATGCAGGTCGATGCCATTCAACCAATCACTCGAGCGATAATCCCTGGCCGGAGATAGCCAATTTTTCGAGTTTTGGCGGTAGATGCAATTATGCACCTGGTAAATATAGCTAGCGCTGCAGCGCTCACAATGGGTGAGTTCAAAAAGCCTATGTATAATCTGCCTAGGTGATAAACTGAGATCGCCTTTCGCTACTGGCTTAAGTAGCGGCACCGTGTAACCATCTGAATATACAAGAAGTAGAGTTTCTCTTATATTATTAATAGCCCCTTATCCCTTCGTCTTTCCTAACAGATCTTATTATCTCCCCTTATCAAATAACAGGTCTCCCATACAAATTTAATCCCTCTATTATAGTGTGGCAGCTTTAACAGACGAAGGGATCAGGGATCATGTAAAGGACCTACATAAGCTTTCATTTATAGGCTGAAGATGAGTAAACCTATAACTTATATAATTAAGAACTGCATGTAGGTACTCTATTACTACGGGGACTAATAATAACCGAACTTCGCCCAGAGAATCTAGCTTGCGGCTGAACTTTCGGCAAACTACTAAAACCCCCGACTGACCCACAGAGCAGCTTACGACCCACGTAGTCATCTTGAAAAATGGCAGAACCCATCACAATAATAAGTGCTCTAGCGACCATCATCGGCGTGACCATTACCACCTCTATCCAACTCACCAACCTCTTCTCTTCCATCCGCGATGCGCCAAAAGAGATTCTTGGACTGTACCTCGAGCTACAGTCGATACAGTCTGTAATCTTAGACATTCAGAGGTCCTTTGAGAGTGGGGGTGTATCTGATTCTGTTCCCAATGAATGGATTGAGGATCTGGACTTGACATTGCGCGGTTGCGCTGATGTTCTTGCTGAGCTTACGACTTTAATCAATAAATTAAAGAGTAACATGCAAACTGGCTGGTATAAAAGAACGTGGAAAGGCGTCAAGTGGACGTTTCTAGAGAGGGATGTCAAGGTTTTAACGACAAGACTAGAGAGCTTCAAAAGTACATTAGGTTTGAAAATGCAAGCATTGTCCACGTAAGTCCTCACAAAAAAAAATGCGATCGGTGATTCTTTTGATCTCTCTAAAGGTCCATGCTTAATTTTTCTATTAGCTGACCTCAATTGAGTTTTAGTATAATTAATGTCCGTGTTGAAGGACGCGTTGATCAGCTTCATGATGGCGTGGGTGAGATACGTGACATGCTTGATCGCTTGGTATCATCAGAGCCAACCGTGGAAGATTCAGGAAGAATTTCCTTGGAGAGTAACATTAATGGAGCTCCTGGCTATGTTCCTACTTCTCCCGCTCAAAGCTCAGGTTTTCGCTCAGCCTCTTCTCTACAAAATTCTCCTCCAACCTATTGGAGCCTCTTTTCCACTTTGTGGAAGAGTGGGGCAAGCAAAAATATGCCAAATCAATACTCATTTGGTAAGTGAGCTTGTGATCTTTATATTTATGTACATACAATAGCGTCTGATTCTAACTTATTGCAATATAGAGGACCCCTCGAGTTCATATATCCAATTACAACGGAAGACGATTATTGATCCCCACCAGAACCTATACCCTGTGGTTTCATCGCAACAGTCTCCAAAACAAGAGGATAGACACACAAGTGGGTATCATCAGTTTAAGATATATATTCTCAGCTCTTACTAATCTTTTTTGCAGGACGTCTATCTGAAGCGTTCCTACCACGCTTGGGTACCAATAATGATGAGGATTACTTGGTCTCTGTCGGTATTAGATTTGTGAGTCATCCTCGTAACACTTTACGAATCACATTTTAACTAATCATTACAGGGCTCAAACTCTAGCAGCGCAGTTTATCTGGTTAGCTGCCTAAATGAGAATTTCGCTAGTGATGCGATAGATGAGCGGCCAAGCTTGAGCGATCGATTGGTCAGTAAGGTAAACCTATGAATCACATGAATTACAAAAGAGACACATGGAATATCAGTTTCTGACAAAACTGCAAAGACCCCAATCGTGCTTTCTTACAATCATGGCGGGCAACTGGCGGGCTGGGTTCATGATACGGCAAATTCCTTAGACTCGGATGGAGTACCAAGATCAGGGATGCAACGGGTACATATATTTATCTCCCTTATATACAGGTTGACATCAAGGTCTCTACATTCTGACTTCCCTCTACAGGTATCTACATTATATTCAAATGTAACAAGCTGGAAGCCATGGACTACTCCCGCCACTCTCCCGCACGGAAAGCAGCAAACTGATCTTGCTATTGGATACCTTCTGAAACTCCGCGAAGCGATATATTTAGACCTATACAGAGATTTTGGCTATGGATTTCGTCCTAAGATGACTTACCACCTTATCGCTCATGTAGCTCTCAATGATGCCGAAAAAGAAAGTATAAGATCTGCAATGATGCAATTAGGGTTTCTAGAAGACACAAAGAATTTACGGCTAACAATGGTTACTGAGCCCGAGGCCGCAATCACAAATCTCCTCAACGCAAGATCAATGGGCCTTGAGATCCACCATGCTGTGCTTACAATTAGCTTTGGAGGTGATAGGGTCGATCTTATCGCCTACCAAGTGACCGAAGGGATTATAGTACCGTGTACTTATAGATCTGGCGACACTTCTGGATCTAAATCACCACGGAATAGATTCACAACCCTCGTCCAAGATAAGATTACATCAATGAGAATCCATGAGCAATCGGCAGAAAGGGTTTTCTCAAAATGCATGTTGCACTTTGAGAATGAGATCAATGAGAATTTCAGTAACTGTGGACGGAGCTGGCGTGTGAATCTTTCAACAGAGGGCAAATTCTTCAGGGCAGGGGTAATTGATCAAGACGGGTTTATGACATTCACAAATGCAGAGATTTTACAGTGCTTCGACCCGCTTTGCGAGCGAACGATGGACCTAGCGAGGGCTCAGATAACAAGCATCGAACACCAAGGCTTGAAGCTGGAGGGTGTTCTGTTCATGGGTGAATTAGCAAAACCCGGTTATCTTGAGAAGACCGTTGAGTCCAACTTAAAAAAGGAATATCCGCACTGTTTTTTTTCACCTGTAGATTCATGTGCGGCCATCGCAGATGGAGCGGCAAGGGCAGGCCTGATGTCAGAGGTTAGGAGACCACGTTACAAAGTAATAACGCAGAAGTCAAAGTTTCTTTCTGACGCAAATGAACTTATAGATGCGCCGATAGCCTATCGAATCCCTGATACCACCTCCTGTTGAACGATTTACGATGCGACTACATTGAAATGTTTGAGATTAAACCCCTCTTCATTCTCTGGAGCGACATACTTTGAAGACGTTTATGTTATCCTTTATATAATTATAATACGTTTCTACAAAGAGGCTAGTGGGTGAAATTAGCTTATATAGATATATGTATACATTTATAGCAAATTGCAAGTTGGTATGCAGTAGTCGAGCCTATAAGACGCGAGTGGATGAAGTTATTAGGCCGAGAAACTTCAGGAGAAACCAATTTACTACAAGACCCATCAATTCGTTTGACCGTATTCCGAACAATTATCCGAGCAAGACACGTCATAGACTTGATCTTGAAACCTTTGCGGGATCTGTGCAGTTGTAGTCATAAAAAATCACTCGCAATTACCAATTAATCAGCGCTTTTAAGAAAATCGAAGTCCAGATATCATCGCAAGACACTACGATTTTATTCCGTAGTATACATATACCAAAGAATAAGGCTTTTGATATCCTTCCGGTAGTTAACTTTCAAGACGCAGTAGATTGCAATGAATGTACAGGTTTCTTAACAGACGGAAACCACGGGAAGGTATTTACATTTGGTAGGTGTTCTTTACCAGATCAATCTGTGTACTAATTTATGGTGTGACTGAAGTATATGTACTTATCAAGACGATGCCATGAAATAAATAAGCTCCAAAAGTCTTGTTACTAATAAGATGAAGCCTCTTCATATCTACGCGTATAAGGATATACCAAGCCATATCTCTTCGTCTGAAGGATACTTATAGTCAGCTATTATCAATAGCGCCTATGGGTCGGTCTTATACTAGGCCTGGCTGTAGCGGTCTCGCTCTATACGCTTGTATAAGTATATGGCGAAGCTTCAAGGCGGTGAGCTTTCTTACCGGCAGATATACACACATGTACTTTATGTATTCATATAATTGAGGTACAGTAAATACATAGGTACATCATGTTTAATCGAATTTAGTATGCTTCTTAGTTTATAATAACTATAAATGTCGCAGGATACTCAAGTAGGCACAATATATGTATGTATATCTAAATGACATATCCGGTAATATAATTAGGTGGCGGGAAACCTTGTGAATTTACAGGTTTTCGCGCTCGTAGATGTCGAACTTTAATAAAGATTTGAGTACTCACAGAGTGTATGTGGACGCATGCCAGCATGGAGGTCTAAATACCACCTCGCCTCGCCCGTCGCGATTTAAGCTTGATCATTTCCCCGCATTAAGGCGTCCAAATCGCAAGAAGGCGCGTACCTATTGCACCCCAACCAAGGACTACTCTAGATGTTCCTGCATGCGTTCCCGTCGTACATATGTACATGTATGTAGGTACCTACTTTTTTGGACTAGACTGGGTCTGCATATGCAGACCGGCCCAGTCCAGTCCGGAAACGCCAATCATGAACTATATAATAGAGACTTTGCGCTGGCTGCAGCCCGTCACAGAAATGCCAAGAATTTTGGAGCTGGAGCCGGATCTCTATTTCACTTTGCGCTGTGAATGCAGCTGTTGCCACTGGTTGCGCAGCCTGGAAGTGTTCCTCGCCAAGCATTCCCTCCTACTCAAGACAAGTCTTGCAAATCACAACATTTGTTTAAATACTTTTAAAACATGTCAGTGATAGATATGCTTCCAGGCTATCTTGAGAATCAAAAATCTTTTAAATTAGACAAGTATTGGTCGAGCTGTGAGGAAAATACGGAGCGGAGGTCTAATTTGGGGATTTGGTTATTGCTCTGGCTTCAAAACAAGAGCTGGCTCTGCTGAATAATTTGGTCACAATGCCAAGTGCTACTAAAATGGAGCTGGCTCTCCCAACGCAAAGTCTCTAATTATTAGAACGATTTGGCAACACCCACTTTTTCAAATTTTGGGGTCTTGGCGGGCTTTCCACACCAAAAACCACCGCCAAGATCGAACTAAATATTTAGACTCAGAAGACGTTGGCCAAACCGCTCTAATATCGGGCTCGAGAATAGTATATATATTCCTACTAGATCTCTATCTTGGAGAACGTCATCGGGTTGATCGCCAAAAGGATGCTAATGTACTCTACATTTCGATCTAGGATTAAACAACCACCAATCTGTCTTGGCTCAACAGCGTCCCTGCATCCGGATTCCATTTAAATGTCACCCCCAAGGTTCTCATTCAAGCGTTCAACAGCCAGGCGATCACCGGGTGGATGTTAATCATTCACTGTCACACACGCGCCAAAAAACAACGCTGGACCAGAAACAATTATACAAAGAGATAAAGGTCATCAGTAGGATGATAGCCGAGCTTATCAGTTGAGGTAAATACTATCATGAGCACTGCGCAGCCTTCAAGGCATAATATATCAATTTTCTGTCGCGTCTAGATACCGGACGAAGTGCGGGTTGACGAGGACGCGGCGTGCGCATATGATGAGTTAAACTATATATCGATCATGAACTACCGCGTAGTAGGTTCTTAAAAGCGTTCCCAAGGCTTGCATTTAAACAACATGTCAGAGTAGTATCTTTCTCATTTCGTTTCTTCCCTACTTCCCTCCGGTCTCAAGACCGGCAACTACTAGATAGAACAACCTGACACCTCCTACAGACCCCAGGCACCCCTTCTTGACAATTACAAACGTTGTCCACACGTACCTGAAGGTCCACACACGCCCTTTCCCCCCAATGGTCTTTTACTCTTCAGTAGCCCGCGCACTAGTAGTAGTCTCCGCAATCATCCTCTCAGGCGCAAACTGCCAGGAATCAATCGTAAAGCCCGACCATATCTCCCTCGTCACCAAAGGAGAGGACTTCTCAATCATGTGGAGAGTGATCGATCCTCCGGAAACCTCGCATGTGTACATCACACTCGAGAATCCAAGCATGGATCTTGGTAGTCTGGGCATCATCACGAACGCATTCCATGTGGGGATCGACGATCGCGAAGAGGTGGCTGGCTTCTTCCTCTACCGTTATGCATGGTTTCCGAGCGATCTGCTGCAGACTAGCGATACGTATCAGATCCGCGTGGTGGACGGCAATGTCACGCTCGTGTCGCAAAGCTTCTATATCGGCTCAATAGCGGATATAGAAAAGAAGGCTCCGGTCCGGAAAAAGGCTTCAGGACTGTCGACCGCCGTGATTGGGGGTGTGGTTGGGGTGTAGTGGGTGGCGCAACGGTTATCTTGATTCTTATTGTGCTTGTGGTCTACATAGGGGAGCGAGGGGGTTGGATTATTATAAACAAGGCTGAGCCGCAGAGCGTGAGCTCGAGACGCATAGAAATAAACCTTGGAGGACCCAAGGAAAGGAGGTATCGCGATAACCTTGCAGAGTTAGATACAGAGACCTACGTGAAATTCAAAGAGCTAGAGGGAAGCTTCACATACGCGGAGCTACCTGAAGTCTGGGTCGTGGAAAAGGAAGCCACGACAGATCTACTGCAAGGAGGAGAAGCGGCACTTCCGTTGAACAGGAAACCGAGTGCACGTGAGTCCAAACTTTGAGTTGAAGAAGTACGTGTAGGCTTTATATGCCAAACGATCTAATGATAATATATACACTTCTGTTTCTTTTGCTCCGTGCGGGACTGCGGGTGCACTAGCTGGTTGGTATGGGGTGTGCTTTGCATTGGTTCTCGCGACTTAAGCCCATGCATGGCCGATCAGAAAGCATCATGCCTATCCTTTTCTACCAGCACTGCTTTGCGGCAAGCCCATGGGAATCGATTACTTGCTAGAGGGGTACATAAACTACTAGTGATGGGCACAAGACGAGACGAGACGAGACCTGGCCTAATCTCGTCTCGTCTTGCGGCTAGTCGAGACAAAGTCTCGAGACGTCTTGCACTTTTACTAGACAAAGTTCAAGACGAGACGAGGCTTGACTTGGTCTCGTCTCGTCTTGCGCTTAGTCTCGAGACAAAGTCCCGAGACGTCTCGTCTCGTGCCCATCACTATAAACTACATGTATGTAGACCTCTCTCTCCCCACCACCCCGAGCACCAGCCCACCTGCCGCAGTAATTTGTCTCAGCGGACGGTCACACGGGCGTCGCGTCGAAGCTAAATGCCTTTTACAGCATTTGAGGGAATAGTTGATTGGTTGGTTGATTGATGCCTCAAGGCAAATGACCAGATCAAGGAATTCAATTCCAATGACAATGTGAGCGTCCGCTGAGACGAATTACTGCGGAAGTACAGTACTGTAGTGCCCCATATTACCTAGCTATATAGTGCTACACACGAGTACGCATCATCGGTCATGATACCAGCTCAGTCGGGAGTAAGCGGCCGGAAGCTCTGTCTGGTACAAGAGCTCGAGTATGTAGCTGTCAAGTCTTCGACATCATGCAGCTCTTTCATATATTCCTCTGTGCCTGTATAATTACATAGTCTTACTGAAATATAACGTGCCAGTATGTCCTGCCGTCATACCCTTCCTCATCACCAACTGCAGCCCCACCTACAACCCCTCAATCTCTCATTTTGCACTGCCCACCAGTGTAACACCAGGACTAAACATACCGCCACCCCCCACGTCAGGCTCGTGCGTAAATCCATCCATCCAACCAGAAAGGATTCATGAATTAAACCCCCCCAAAAAAGAGGGAACCCTAACCCTATGAACGAGTGATATTATGTGATCCAAACGGGGAGCGGCCGCGGTTGGGGCTGTCCCTTGCCAAGTCGAGATTTCGTGGCTGGGCGAGGTGCGGTCTGATAACGGTAGTTGTGGGCTGTTGTGGGCTGCTGCGGGCTGGTTGGCACCGCGGGCGTGTGGAGGTGTACGTGGGGGTTATCAAAATTATCCGGACGCTGCATTACACAAAGTTTCATAATACTAGGCTTAGAAAGCGTTTTCAACTCATAGTACAATTATCGATCTGGGCAGTTGAAATTACCTTTTCGGGAGAATATCGGGCAGTAGGCTATTATTTAAAGCATCACACTCCGTGTGTGAAAGTAATTTGAGCCTAGTATTATGGAACTTGCTGTAAATTACAACCAAAGAAAATTTTGTAATGGGAAAGCAACTTTAGAATCGCCTTACTTCACGCGGGAGGGGGGGGGGGGGGGGATAAGAGGTTTACTATGGTTCCTTAATTATCTATGCCCTGTTATCTCAGGCTTCATTGAGGTGGTTTGGGGGTTTGGTTATTATAGCCAGTTTGTGTGGTTGCGACGCGAGTACGTGTCCAGATAACCTTGATAACACATGGATAATAACTCAATGACGATGATAGGGTTAAGTCAGGCCATATATATTATCACGTTCGTCCGCGGGTTGCGGTATTCGCACTGACGTAGCGCGTAAGGGTAGTCATGAAGAGTGCGTCAATTAACGTCATGGCAGTGTCGATATATATGGGTGCTATATATGGACCGCGGCCGCGCGAGTGATGGTAAGGGTTAGGTTGGTTTCTGGGGCTGGTGTATATCGATCTTAGTATTTTGGATATTGGGGGTTTGGTGTTTGGAGGGAGTGTGTTGGGAGGTGTGATCTTTGAGTATGTGGGGCTTTGTTGTTTTACGGGGACGAAAGAGGTTATGGGTACTAAAAAGCTACGTACGCAAGAATAGTAAATAAAATAAAAAAAGACATGCCGTGTCAATCCATCCGCCCTCAATACAATGATAAACTATCAATCAATCAAACCACTTCCCCCCCGTCTCCTCCATCTCTGCCAACCCCCCCCCCCCGGGCCCCACAGCGCCCACTCCAGCGTGCCGCGATAGTAGCCTTCTCTGGGCCTCTGGCGCGTCGAAGGCACTGCGCGCGCCACCACGTCTTGGGGCGGTCTTTGTTTACTAGTCGGGATGGCGGCGTCCCGAGGATATGGGTGTGGAGGTTTGCTGGCGGCTCACAGCAGTGGAGGAGAAAAGGGGGGGGGGGGTAGACGATTGCTGGTAAGGTTAGTGGGTTGAATTGGGGGGGGGGGGGGTAGGGGACGTACGGTCGAGTTCGGGGGCGGGTGTGCGTTCTGGCTCTGGATGAGGATGGGGAGACGTGGAGGGCACGGACTCTCTTGTGGTGGACTGTGGCGGGCGGTGTTGGGCGTTATGGACGTTGTGAGGTTATTTGGGCCGCCGCTAGCTCGAGAAGCTGCGGCGAGCGCGTTCCACCCTGGGATATACCGGCGTCTTGGGCTATGATAGTTAGCTTTTGCACTAGACCTGGGTAAATGGCGGGCCGGTGGTGAGCCTAGGACTAGCGGTGGGGGAGAAATATAACGAGCTGTGGAGGTCGAAGGGGGATTAAACGTATGCTGTCATTACACATTATATTCGATCACAGGGGGGTCCAAGTCAGTGGCCGGGTTAGTTTTGTAACGTGTTACTATTCCTAGTAACATCCGCCACTGCTCTACTACTTGTATGTAGCTAGCTAGTACGGATTTGGCCACAATTAGTAGACCCATGCCGCATTCCACCTAGCTAGCAGCACAACCAACAACCATCGAATCATTAGCCCAGCCGAGTGAGATCCCGTGAATGATGATCGATCGGATGGTCTGTCGGATGAAGGAATGTAAGAGGCGATGGTCTTTGGATGAAGGAATGTAAGAGACGATGGTCGCTGGATCAACTGGGTTAATTAACTTGTCCTCATAGGCTCAGATATTGAAACTAATCAACAACACATATGCTTAACCGAGCCAAATTAACCACGTGACGTTGTCAGGTCAGTCACGCAACCTGTCCCGTCCACTGGAGAGGTTTCTAGGTTGACAATGGTCGGTGGTGGAACTGTAGTGCATTGTTAAATGTTTCATGACAAAGTACCTACTGTATGTATTTCCCAAACTATGTGTACTTTTGTACGCAGTAGTTAGAGGCAGTTTGGCCGTTAGGGCGCTGCAAGGATAAAGAGAGAGTGTTTACTCTCTCTCTCTCTCTCTTTTTGTTGCTATTCATCAGGTCATACAATACATCCTCTACGTTATCAGTTCCCCCCCCCCCCCCCCCCCTTTTTTTTTATTACTTCATCAGCTCTGGGGGCGTTTACACACGAGCGGAGCTTGAAAATTTTGAAGTTATTGAATGTGCTCCGGCCCATTCACAAAGTCTGCTCACCCACCAAGTTTCGTGGGTGGACCAGTTCGTTCACGAAGTATGATTATTCGGGATGGAGATATTATTGTCCTTCTGAACTGTACATGTACCGAGTATTACCTCCGGCCCCACGCAGCACCATTGGGGTGGGGCAATACAGCCTCCTGCTATCGTTATCCGTGCCGTTGTTAGGTTTGAAGTCCTTCATATGATTATGCAGCACTACCGTGGGGGTCCATGTAGGATCAAATATATTACAGCGTGTCCCTGCGGCTTGATCTTTTCCTTTTTTTTCCCTCTGGCCTGTGTATGTAGTCGATCAAAGTCGGATGTGGTAGTTCCTTTTTACGTTTACTGCTGACTGAACTCTTCCTGAGTGAGCCGGCTAATTCCTGGATAAACTATATGTAGTTTACTCACGGAACTTTGTGGATAACTGACTTTGTAGATGAGGTAGGATAATTGTATGGATGTACTCTGGCCTTCTTGCCTGGAAGTGGCGAGGCTTTCATCTTGGGCAGTTATTCCGCTTGTTTAAATCGCCTGGGCACGGGTTGGTAAATACATGCCAACTACTTCACAGAGCTTTTAGTATACTCGATGTCTCGCATCACTTTGGGCCCCTGGGGATACAAGTACACACGGCGCGGGCGAGGTCAACCAGGAATTAGAAGCCCCAGTTACCAACGATGCAGCCAAAATGAACATACGTGTGTTTCTACCATTACACCTAACCTACTCTAGACGCTATGATCTTGTCTGTCACCTATACCATACACTTTCCAAAATCAAAGTCCGACTCGACATACCCACATGCGTGCTGCCGCTCTCCAAGCCGTGTTGCGTTTTGGACAAGCATTGCACTGCTGGATCTAGGTATCAATAAGGCTCGACCCACCTGGGACTATAGCCCTCGTGGTCCTCATACTCGTCATGGTCGTGATAGTCATCGTGGCCCTGATACCTCTCGTGGTGCTCATAGTCCTCGTTATCCTCATGGTCCGAGTACCCCCACGCAGCCTGCCCTGATCTCACGCCAGCTTCCCAGGTCTCGCGGTCAACCCCACCCACCTCATCACCATCCCCACCCTGCTCGCTGAACCGGCGAGCCTCGTAGTATTCACGGTCGTCATAGTCGCTACCGCCGCTGTAATGAACCTCGTCCTCATTCTTCACTGCCACCTGGTGATCACTCACCCGTGATGCCCGTGCCGGGGCCCCAGCACCACCGCGGCCCCGTCTCGCCGTCTGTTTCGGCCTGGTGGCAGGCTCTTTCGGTGCAGCGGGTCCCTTTGACCGTGCAGTCTTCGGCGCTGCTCCTCCCCGTTTCGCCATCGGTTTCGCTCTGGGGGCTGGCTCTTTCGGTGCAGCGGGTCCCTTTGACCGTGCGGTCTTTGGCGCGGCTCCTCCCCTCTTTGCGGTCTGCTTCGCTCTGGGGGCTGGCTCTGTCTTCCTTGCTCGCGCTTTCGGGCCCTGCGGGTTCTGCATGTTTATTGTGACGTTGACAGTCACACCACCGTCCTTCGCAGCCGACTTGTTCTTCCCCGTCTTGGCCACATTGCCATCCTTCGCAGCCGGCTTCTTCCCCGTCTTGGTCACCTTTGCACCGGCGCCGCGGACCCCCCTCAGCGGGTCCTTCGGCGGGGCTCCCCTCCCTTTGGCCGCCGCGCCCGTCGCCTCCCGCATCTGTGCATTCAACTTACGAAACCTCCCGTTCTCCCGCTTCTCCATCTCTTGCATGGCGTCTGGCACCTTCAGCCCGCCCATGACCATTGCGTTCACAAGCGCGGCTCGGAGCTCTGGGATGGTGCGTTTCTCGGGTGCGTTGAGGCCGTAGAGGAGGCATTGGGCGCGCCACCAGGGCTTTGGGCGGTCGTTGTTGGCTAGTGGGGGTACGAGAGGAGGAGGGTGTGGAGTGTTGTTGGCAGTTCGCGGGGGTGAGTGGCGTGCAGGAGGCCGGACCCGAGGGTGGTGAAGTATGGGGGGACGGGAACGGGGGGGAGGACGATTGCTGGGGGGGGTGGTTAGTGGGATCTATGAGGAATTGTGGGAGGGAGGAGAGCTTACGGTGGAGCGCAGAGGTAGTGGAGGGGGGCATTGTTGTGCCTGTGAGGAGATGTTTGGGTGTTGATGCGTGGTGGAGGAGCTGGACGTTGGTGTGGTGTCACGTTTCACGTTCCACGTTACCCTTCGCGGTAACCTGCTAGGACAGATTAGTAGGGCTGGTACTTCTACAGCTAACAATGTATGCCCGCCTGAAATTTCGGTCACGTGAAGACTAAACAATGCGTAGGTAGAGCCTGTTACCACCAGGACGGCCGACCGTTCAACTTTGCCAAGAATTGAGTTGATTTGGTAGGGTTTGAGGTAAGGTTTGAGTTGAGTTGGCAATTCTCCGACATTTGATAAACCAGTTGCAGGGGTTACCCTGTGCCAAGCCCAACCAATCATAGTCCAGTGTCACCACACTTTCACCACACCATCCATGATCCACCCACACCTTTGACAATTACCACTTACACCACTGGCAACGCAACCAATGTCCGAATCAGTAACCGAAAATACCATCCTTGATCTGAGTGCAGATTCAGCCGTCATCCAAGCCTGGCTGGCATTGAAGAACTCTAAAAAAATCAATGGCTGGTACATTCACCCCAGAATCGTTTCCTACACCAGTCTTAAACGCAAACGGAACGAGATTGCAGCAATCAAACGGAACAGCACTCTCAGTGACGAATATCTTGAGCATCAAATTGCAGACTTCGAAAGGCCATGCACCATCCAAACTGCATTCACCAAAATAATCAAAAAAGGCACTATCTACTTCATGTCAGGCCCAATTCACGATGCCCATCAAATCAGGAGTGAGAAATTAGACCCGGATTTTCATTCATTTGTCCTCATTTACTACAATAACATCGTCGTTCTTATGGATCCAGAATACAGCAATGCAGACAGGGTGGAGAAGTTGGACAAGAATGGCGAAAAAATCCTGATGAGGTTTACAAAGATTGGTGGTGGGCTAGGAGTTGCAATTCCGTTGATGAGAATGATAAAGAATAAGTACAAGGTTGAGCAATGGTGGATGGGGAAGGGTACAGATCTGGCTGCAAGTGACAGTACCAATTGCAATGGCCTCACACAAGATATCATTCTCAATGTACTCAAAATCGACGAAAAAAGAGAGGTAGATTGGGCTGCATTGGGCTTTGAGGAGCTTACCTGTTAGTTACTTGTAATCAATGTAAAACATTCAAGAATAAAAGAAATTAAACTTAAATAAATGATATGTTCCAAGTTTCGTAATTGCTATACAGTGACGTGCAGCACCATGTTCCGGAGTCGAAGCTAAACCCTGGGAATTAAAGTAGAGCTATTATATTTAGCGTAGAATATATATATTGAATAAAATACCAGCTAGGTATTCTTGTGGCCGCGTGGTTAAGTGGGAAGCGGTACCTGTTACTATTGTAGTGGTTAGCATACAGCAGGTTCAACACTATGTTCCGGAGTCGAATCTAAACTCTGGGAATTATAATAGAGTTAGATTAACATGCATTGAATGTATATATTGAATAAAATACCAGCTAGGTATTCTTGTGGCCGCGTGGTTAAGTGGGAAGCGGTACCTGTTACTATTGTAGTGGTTAGCATACAGCAGGTTCAACACTATGTTCCGGAGTCGAATCTAAACTCTGGGAATTATAATAGAGTTAGATTAACATGCATTGAATGTATATATTGAATAAAATACCAGCTAGGCGCTCGTTAGGCCGAGTGGGTTCGCGGGAAGCGGTACATGTTTTCATGAAATAATTGAATTATACGCTAATAAATGTTATTCCATGCATGAATTTTGGCAATTCTTGGCAATTCTTGGCAATTCTTGGCAACTTGAATCGCAATTCTTGGTAGTTTCAATTTCATAACAGCGCGAATTGTTTGATATAATACTCCATCGTACTAGTAACATGAGTTGGAGTCAAATCTAAGGCCTGGAAATTTTAATAGAGATAGTATAGCCTACGTCTGAAGTATATATAGAAGAATAAAAACGCTAGCTAGGCCTGTTGTCATATAGTTGAGCGGCGATTTGAATTTTAGTATAATGGTGATAGTTACTATATATTGAGATTTACTCCTCGGGTACCATGTTCCGGAGTCAAATCTAAACTCTGGGAATTATAATAGAGCTAGATTAACATGCATTGAATGTATATATTGAATAAAATACCAGCTAGGTACCCTTTTGGCCGCGTGGTTAAGCGGAAAGCGGTACCTGTTACTATGTATTGAAGTTTACTCCCCGGTACCATCTTTCGGAGTCGAATCTAAACTCTGGGAATTATAATATAGATAATAGACTAAGTGTTAAATGTATATATCTAATAAAATACGGGCTAAGTGCTCTTATACCCGAGCGAGTAAGCAGGGTAGCTGTAACTGTTACAATGATGGTAGTCACTATACAGCATGTTCGACACCATATTTCGGAGTCGAGTCTAAACCCTGAAAATTATAATATAGATAGCATACTATGTGTTAACCATATACATTGAATAAAATAGCAGCTAAGTATCCTTGTTGCCGCTTGTTTAAGCGCGAAGCGGTACCTGTTAGAATGGTGGTGTTTACCAATAGTAGGCTTAACAACATATTTCGGAGTCGAATCTAAACCCTGAGAATCATAATATAGATTCTTTTCGAAGAGATGAATGTAAATTGAAAAGAAAATACCCGCCAGCTATAATCATTGTAGTATTATCTAGCGCTAAATTTACGACAATTTCTGGTATTGGGTGGATCCATAAAATTATACATAAATAATAATTATAAAGAATCTTGCAACAACTACATTTGGAGTCAATATAATCTGTTTATATATACAAATCAGAATATGTAATGTCTTCAATCGTTATACATTATGGAATTATGCCGCTAGCTATAAGCGCTACCGTGCTTTAGTGGTATGTAATAAGAGTGGAATTAATGCTCTTGGCTCAACAGTTGTCAAAGCAAACGTGATCTCCAGTTCAATCTCACACAACCCCCTTTGCACAAAGCCTACAATAATCATCAAATTTGCCGTTTCCAGATAGAAATCATGTCCAAATCTGACACTGAATCAATTTCTCAGTACCCTCCTTCTATTTCTATGCAGGATCCAGATAGTCATTCTCAAATGAATGATTTGGATGAAATACCTCCTGCTAGAACCTCTTCTGTGCCCGAAGCCTTTAGACCTAAGCGACCAGAAACAAATTCTTGGATATGGGAGCATGGAGAAAGATATATGGGGTGTGACAGATATGGGAAGCAAAGTACTAGGTGGAAATGTTGTTTATGTGAGTACTTTTAGTTACCTGAATTTTATTAGAATAATATTAGTGGATTGGGATTAACATTTGTTTTGATCAGGCCCTGATCCTGAAACCGCGAAAAATTATTCAATAACATCAACAACCAATTGCTTGGATCATTTAGTAACAAAGTATGGGTTCTTTCGAAATGGCAGCAGACTCCCAGATCAATCATCAGAGTATGGGAATCATATAGCACAAAATCTCCGAAATTCTATACCAAATTTGGTATTTAATTCCGAGGTTTTCAAGAAGCTGCTACTAAGATATATTATAATGTTTAATATACCATTTGCACAGGCAACTTCTGTGATGTTGAGAGCAATATTTGCATATTGCTGTGCAGTTGTAAGTGGTCACCACTGATGTCACATACTTAACATACCAGGTCCTAATAGATGATATTAGAAAGCCACATTTACAGAAATCGGCAGAGCTCTCCCCAAATCCGGATCCACTATATCACGTTGGATCTTTGATTCATTTCAAGCAAACAAAGAAGCTGTTAAGCTAAAATTGAGTGAAGCGGTTTCCTCAATACATTTGAGTTTTGATCTTTGGACCTCTCCAAACAATATGTCCATGATTGCTGTTGTTGGATTTTGGCTGGATCAAAATGCTACTCTACGACATGGGCTACTAGCTCTGAGGAAAATGCTGGGAGCACATACTGGTGATAACCAGGGGTCTCTAGTCTGCGGAGTTATTACCGAGTATAAAATTGAAAAAATACTCGGATATTTTACTCTAGATAATGCTAGTAATAATGTTACAGCATTGGACTATATTGGAGTGCAAATCAATTCCAGTTATGAGATCCAACTCAATAACCCTGTCTTCAATACTCAAAGCCGGTTCAACAGATACTATGGTCATATTTTGAACCTAGTAGTCAAGGTGTTTCTCTATGGCAAAAAATCCTCCAGGCTGGCCAACAATCGAGTGGAAAAAGACAGTATTGAGCAAGAGAACCGTGAAGTGGAAGAGTGGAGGAAGGTTGTACCTTTAGGGAAATTAAGGAATATTACTGTTTGGATTCAGAGATCCCCACAGCGACGGGCCGCTTTTGCGGAATTGGTGGAGAAAATGATGGCTGGTTCTGGGAAACAGGTCAGGCAATTGATATTGGGCAATGTTACAAGATGGACGGGTGATTATGACGCACTTTCTCGAGCTCTTGAATTCCGGCAAGCAATTGATTTGCACTTTCAAATGCTCATCATGGATGATCCTAAAATAACAATCTCTAATGATCGCCTAACTTCAGATGACTGGTCAGTACTGCAAACAATTTCCGGAATTTTAGAGCCATTCAGGGAAGAGACTCTTGCTCTGGAGGGAAATAAAGCTCAGGGTTCGCTTTATGAAGTTTACCCATCACTCCAGGCATTAACAAATCATCTTGCACAAACAAAATCCAACCTTGCCCTTCAACATTCCCCTCTACAAAGATCACTGTATCTAGCAATCGAAAAGTTCAATAAGTATTATTCCCTTGAGACACTCTCATCTATTCTTTGTGCTGCCATCATTTTGAATCCAAACATGGACAACTTCTTTGCCAGTGAATCCGGTTGGGGTGGGCGTCCAGATTGGGTATCTCATGCGAAGTATCTTGTTCGTCAGCTCTGGATTACCAATTACAAGTCATTATCATTACACCAACAAGAGATTTCTACTCCAGATTCACCAAGAAGAAATCAAAACCCGGCAGCCATGGGCCCACCAAAATCAGTACGCAGCTTCAAAAAGCCAAAAGTTTCTCCAAGAATAGACATGGATGAAATGGACCATTATTTGCGATGGTGTGAGCATAATGAGGACGAATTAGAGAATCCTATTCAGTGGTGGATTAGCAAAAAGCCAACATATCCCAAGCTATCTATTTTTGCTCTGGATACTTTTTCTGTACCAGCAATGGCAGCGGAGTGTGAGAGAGTTTTTAGCAGGTAAGTTAGATATATTCCTTCAAACAATATAGATAACTAACACTCAAAACAGTGCAAAGCATCAAATTACCGACTGCCGTAATAGATTATCTGAAGATATAATTGAAGCAGGAGAGTGTCAGAAATCATGGGCAAGGTCAAGCCTGATAGCTTTCAAGGTAGCTGATGAAATGAGTAAAACATTGGAAAAAGCGGAGCAAGATGCTTTGGTATTGGAAACAATATCCAATTAGAGTATTTGTACAACTTATTGGGAATTATTTGTACTATCATTATAATAAGTGTTATTTCGCCGCAATACAAGGCCCAGAAAAATATCTAGCGGGTAATTTATTTAATATGTACATATAAAACATAATATTCTATCTATATTATAAACCTCGGGGTTTGAATTCGACTCCGAAAGATGATGTTGAACCTGCTGTATGCTAATCACTACAATAGTAACAGGTACCGCTTCACACTTAACCACGCGGCCACAAGAATACCTAGCTGGTATTTTATTCAATATATATATTCTACACTAAGTATAATAGCTCTACTTTAATTCCCAGGGTTTAGATTCGACTCCGGAACATGGTGTTGAAATTGCTATATGCTAACCACCACAATAGTAACAGGTAGCGCTTCCCACTTAACCACGCGGCCACAAGAATACCTAGCTGGTATTTTATTCAATATATACATTCAATGCATGTTAATCTAATTCTATTATAATTCCCAGAGTTTAGATTCGACTCCGGAACATGGTGTTGAAATTGCTATATGCTAACCACCATAATAGTAACAGGTAGCGCTTCCCACTTAACCACGCGGCCACAAGAATACCTAGCTGGTATTTTATTCAATATATACATTCAATGCATGTTAATCTAACTCTATTATAATTCCCAGAGTTTAGATTCGACTCCGGAACATGGTGTTGAACCTGCTGTATGCTAACCACTACAATAGTAACAGGTACCGCTTACTGCTTAACCAAGCAGCTACAAGGATACCTAGCTGGTGTTTTATTCAATATATACATTCAACGCATGTTACTCTATCTCTATTATAATTCCAAGGGTTTAGATTCGACTCCGAAAGATGGTATCGAGGAGTAAATCTCAATGTAAAGTAACCCTCACCATTATACCAAGTATCAAATCGCCGCTCAACTACACGGCAACATGCATATCTAGCGGCTATTTTCTTCTATATATACTTTGCACGTATGCTACACTATCCCTATTAAAATTTCTAAGCCTTAGATTCGACTCCGACTCATGTCACTACTATGGACCATCATATTACACAATGCGGGCTGTTATCAAATTGAAACTGCCAAGAATTGCGATTCAAGTTGCCAAGAATTGCCAAGAATTGCCGAGATTCATGCATGGTATTTTATGCAATCCGGCACAACAATTACAATTACATTTGTCAAATCACAAACCAAACCTTGGCATCAATTGATACAGATGTCCACAAACGCCCGGCTGCCCGGCTCAGTTGCTGGCGCCGCTGGTTACCACTCTCTAGGTGTGTGTGTGTGTGTGTGTGTGTGAGTGAGAGTCCATGACGCGATGGCTCCTCTCGTTAAAGCCGATGCCAAGCTTAAGCACCTGGCCTCCACGGCGCATTCCCGGCCGGTAGAGCCGTTACTACGCGAGACCGCCGTTGACATTGCTGTGTGTGTGGGGTGTGCGTGGGTGTGCGTGCGTGTCTCAGCCAGGCAGGCAGGCAGGCAGCCAGCCAGTCCAATCCTCCAGTCGGCGCGGTGCTGCAGCGACGAGTGGGAGAGCAGCACGGGAGAGTAGCACCACGGGAGGGAGAGAAAACTTACGTACGCGCGCGCATGCGGGGTTACTTGGTTGGAAGAAGAGGGAGATCGCGAGGGAGCTTTTTCTTCTTTCTCTCTCACCTGGAGCAATTGCTGTCTGTCTGTTGTCTGTAGCTACGACTGAAGAGAAGTGCGTACGCGTTGCACCGGCCGCGAATCTGTGCAAGAGCTCCATCCCTCCATCCCTCCATCCCTCCATCCCTCCATCCATCTCTACGATCCCTCCATCTACAATACATACATATACATATACATTTACTTAATTGCACCACTACACACAATTATAAAAGCTAACGAACCTTCCCACAACAGCTAGAAACTAAAACTCACAGAACGACAACAGACAGCACAATGAGCTACCGAGATCCAAATCCTCTCCAGTCTCGATTCGACGGCGGCGTGCCCTTCAGAGGTATTCCCCCCCTGCCCTGCCCTGCCCTGCCCTGCCCCACCTCACCCCACCCCCACCTCGCCCCGCTGGCTACATTATCTATACTGACACGACCCCGCCAGACGTCGAACTCCTCCGCGACGATTACTGGCCCCGCCGCTACAGGAATGGCCGCTACCGAGAAGACGGCGAAGAGTGGGACGGCCGGTCCGTCTCGCCAATGAGGGAGATATATCACGCGGAATGGACGAGCGGCATCTTCCACCCAACGGTCGCCCCACGGCCACCGCCAACGCCAGAGCTGGAACTGGAGCCAGAGCCAGAGCCAGCACCGCAGAAACGCCGCCTCCTCCGCTCAGCATTCGTCGCGCTCCTCACAGCCTCTGCATACCTCGTTCTCTTCCTCCTCACGACGCAATGCCTCGGCACGCTGTACACGCTGCTGCTATCGGAATGGCACGACTCGCTGCAACAGCTCAACACCTGGGCAGCCGCCAAATTCGAGGCCTCACAGACAGGCGGCAAACTCCTCCCCTTCCTCCAACGCACATGGTCGTTCCTGTCCCACACCCTCCCCCCACTCCTCCGTAAAACCTACGCTGTAACATTCCACCTCGCCGCCATCCTCCACCAGTTCACCACCACGCTCCCCCGGACCCATCAGCTCCCAGAGCTCCTGCACGGCATCTACAATGCCGCCATAGCCCGCGCCACGCAGCTCCACCACCACATCCGCTCCGCGAGCGGAACACCTGCATGCCCGTCCGCTGAATGCCTTCGGATTGCCGAACGCACAACCCGTTTTATAGCATCGACGCGCGAGCTCGTTATCACCGCCACCGTCGTGCTCAGTGTGCTGGCGGTGCTTGCGGCGGCGAATTATGCGCAGCGGGTGCTATCGAAGCTGGTACACGGGGTGCTGCGTCTGGTGCTGCTGGGAAAGAAGTGGTCGAGCAGCACCAGCGGCATGACGGAGGTGAGTGCTATCACTGTGGGTGAGGGTGTGCGCCAGGCCGTCAAGAACATGGAGAGCCTGCGGAAGCGCGCGGAGAGCGCGTCGCTGGTGCTGGAGGTGTTTAGTCGGACTGTGGGTGACTACTGCGGGGTGGTGAACGAGGACCTGCGGGAGTTGGTGGTGCAGGCGCTGGAGGATGTTGTGGGCATTGGGAAAGAGTTGGGTATTGAGGAGGTGGGGGTGAAGATGACAGCGGGGGCGGGGACGGCGGGTGGGACGGCGGCCGGGACAGCGGGAGAGGGAGTGTGCGTGGTGTGTTATGATGGCGTGGCGGATATGGTGGTGTTGCCGTGTAGGCATTTGGCGCTGTGTGTGGTACGTGTCATATTGCTTTTTCTTCCCTCCTGATGCGGGCGTGGTGCTGATGAGACGGGGGACGTAGACCTGCTGCGACGGAATGAGTATCCGCGAGTGCGGTGGCGCGGGCTACGGGAATGCGAAATGCCCGATTTGTAGAACAACCGTTATGGACCGAGTATGTATTCCCGCGCCAAAGAAGAAGGAGAAACACAAAGAGGGGGTGGGTGTGTAGAGATATGCTAACACACGTTGTCCCGACCAGATGAAAATATTTCGAAGCTAGCTAGCCAGCGGCACGAGTTTCCTATGTCTGTACTATAGCAAAAAAAAAAAATTCTTCAATGTCTGTATATGTATACGTACGGGGTGTATATATCTATATCTGTGCGTGTGTACGGCACATTTGCGGCTTTGGATGGCCTGACAATAAATGTCTGTTTTCTCTTGTAACTTTGTTCTGGTTGGTTAGCTGGCTATGTAGTTGGTTGAATGCAATGTACCTGGGTTCACCTTAAATACCGAGACGCCTCGGATTTTGTATGGGAGCCGCCCATGGCAACCAAAAAGCAGCCAATGAATTTTGGTCTTGGCCCTGAAATTTGTATGGGGGAAAAAAGTACAAAGAAACTTCATATATACTCACTCAAAAATCTAAATATTTCCCTAAAAATACAAAAAGAATAACCCTTGCTCTGGCCATCACCTTAATAGCAATCCTAAACTTTCAAATATGGAGGTTGTGTTGCAAAAGCTGCAACACACAATTCAAATAACCTCTTGGCCGCCAAGTGTCCTTTTTTTCTGAATCGACCAATAGCAGACGCCCGCTGGCCCTTACAGCCCAAAATGGGGTTCTCAGTACTTATCCTTAACCCCCGGTACGTACACTTATGTAAAAGGGAGTATGGTATACCTGTTGGTGAATAGGTGGTAAGTGATGAGTGCCAGCGGCCCAAGATGTGGAGTAGGGGAGGTATGGGAGGGCCGGAATGACGGAAGCAGTTTTGTAAAGGAACATACATACCAGATATCCACACTGTATGAGGCCTTCAGGGCTGCCGCAGTGTCTTCTGGAGCTTGGAGCGGGGAACAGTAGAGGGCTGGAGAAGAGAAGCGGTGGGTACGTTTTACGTGTGTGTATAGAAGACGGGAATGAACGTGCGGAGGTGCAGCGGGAGCTTGTGTATGGATGATAATATATGCTGAAAAGTAGGACGATGTCTAGGGCTAACTCAAGTCAACTTATAGGAAACCGGCCAGATAGGCCCGGGACACCATATGTATCCCTTGATCTTGACAGCGGGACGTTTACTCTCTGGCCATCACTCGACTCGTAGAAGGTCAGGCTCGTGCTCGCGGGAAAAAGTTCAAGCAAATGATGAATTTATTTGTGAAAAATAGGCTCGATTATATATATAGGTATTCCTGCACATATATTAAAAACTCTACCTAATTAAAGACCGGACAAAAATAAGGGCCCGTTTGGCAGTTTCGTGGTTATGAAACTCCATTAGACGAGTGCAAATGGTGATTTTTGAAAACGGAGTTTTGGGCTTCCCAAACAGCAGTGTAGTTTGGTTGTCAAGGTGGATGATATATTTGGTGGGTTTTGAGCGTTGCAACGAAAACGGAGCTGAAAAGTAGGTAATATCTACTTTTCAAAATTGGCATGCCAAACACAAATATTTCTTGCAAAACGGAGTTATGGAATAAATGAAACGGGGTTTTCCCGTTGCCATACAAATTTGCCAACAAAACTCCGTTTGGACCTGCTCCCAAACGGGCCCTAAATGATTGAAAATCTACCTAAAAACTGTCCTACTGGGTCTGAATATCTAATAGTAGAAACATATAGATGGCTCGAGCTATCTCAAGTCGAGCTACTGATAGGGCTCGCGCTCGATCTAACTCGGCTCGTGGCCCACCTGAGCTCGTATACGTAAGACTTGGGAGAAAAGTTCAAGTTGGGGACTTGAGACAACTCGACTCGTCGACCACACTAATGCTGTGGCCTTACTGCTCGCCTTGAACGGCATGTATACATTGGGAGAGATACGTAGTAGTACTGGCCGTATTTATGGGATATCGCTGTCTCTGGAGATATATATAGCTTTGGAGTCTTGTAGTGATCGGTATATATCGCTACAGGCAGCTTACTACTAGTACTTGGCTTATACCGCCTCTTCCCGCTCGGGGGGGTGGGATGTCCCCCGGGTCTATATAGCTATACGAAGAAAAGAAGAATGGTGAAAGGGTCGAATATCTTAATTTGTATGTGAAATCGATTCGCTCAATTTGTGTTAGGAATCGATCACTTTTGTTGGCATAGCAATAAGAATCTATTCCCCATATGATGAAAACTACACACGGGATCCATAAGAACGTATCCATCGAGCTATAGAGTTAGGCAGTCAAAGATACATGTAGATCACTGAGAGGGTGTCTCTATGGTCTGAATATGTTACATGCAGGGTTGAGTTCTCTCTTCACGAGTCGAAGGATGGCCATGTGAGGAGCTAGCTAGTTAGAGTGACATAGAAATCTTCATTAACTAAAAGGGGGTATTTTTCTTTGTATACATCTTTCACCGATACCGAATGGTTCAACTGTCTCCATATCTTCTTCCCGCCATTTCTAATCTAAACAATTTGCAATAGAATGTTCCAAGACAACCATGAGACCGTCAATATATGCGCGCGTGAATTTGTTCTAGTATAAAACCATACATAGGGTGCTATCTTCTATGCCATTAATAGATTTTGAAGTTCCTAACAATGGTCAGTCCTCGTCCGGTGTTTGAATCTAGGGCCCATTGACATACCTTCAAGTGCTGGTTTGATGTGGACTTTTGAGTCTGAGACGTCAAAATGCCTGCAATAGCCAACTTTCTTTTCTGGAAAGACAACATGGACTTTGTCGAGAGTTTAGCTACATATGCAACGCACGAGGGACCCCGGGGGGGGGGGGGAGGGTGGGTATTGCACTGACCTCCTCAATGGAGTTTTTCACGATATAGCGGGTTGTAACAACTTCATTTTTTTGGCCGATCCGGTGTACTCTGTCCAATGCCTGATGTTCAACCATTGGATTCCACTGGGGTTCCATAAGGTGTACTCGAGAGGCGACGGTGAGGTTTAAACTTTTGTCTACTCAGCAATGCTATGCCTCAGATAGCGAGGGAAAGGGGGATATTTACCCAACAGCTCCACTGCCGATCGATATCAGCACGATATTGATCTGCGGATCCGCGCGAAAACAACGAACTGATTCATCTCGTTGTCGCATAGAGTGCCTTCCATCATACCGACAAAACCTCATTTGTTCATTGTTTAATGCAATTGCTACCAGATCTAACATTTTCGTCCAACAAGAAAATACAACACTAGAAAAGAGGTTTAGTATTAACGTATGCTATTTAGATAGGTTTAGTTTATGGAACACTACCTTTTAATTGGTTTACCCTCGCTGTCCTTTCCAGCATCTAGCTGAAGGTTCCTTATTAATGCCTTGACCTTTGTAGACGGTCCGCCGTAAGGTCTATCCTCCATTCATTGAGGATTGTCCTCATCTTTGAGACTCTCTAGCGAGAACCCAGCAATTTCTGCGCATTTAGGACAAGAAATTTGAGACGAAGTGCCGAGTTGCGTTGTATTTAGCTCATACAGTCTTAAACAGCTGTCACAAATGGTGTGGGGACAAGTTTGCGAAGAGGTTGCTTCGGATTCTGCTTCGGCCGCATCGATTGTTTTGCTGCATAGTGCGCATCTTGGCGCAAAAAATTCGCTTGCAATTTGTTGAGTCGGACTTTCTTCCTGCACGCAGTCTTCCATTTCGATATCCGAGCTGGTTTGTGGGTTTATGTGATCAGCATATGAGTATCCTTCCAGCCTATTTTGTACCATTGAGGGCAATAGGTCTTTTCCATGGTCACACATCAATCTTAGCCTAAGGATAGACTGCAGAATACTAAAATAACTGGAACCACTTCTGCTTTCAGTGAGAGCTTGCTCGATCATATTCGCCGAATCCTTTTTGCAAATTTCATATAGACGTCTTTCTGGAGGTTCAAGGTGGATATATACTTCTTGATCAATCTTCGGTGGTAGCTCAAGAATATCTTTGGTCCTCCTTAAGCAGGTGGAGCCTATGAGTATACAGAGGCATCTCAAACCCTCTGGGTTTGCATCTTTCAGAGGTCGAACAATGTATTTGGAAAATGTACCCTCCTCATCAAATGGCGATAGACGTAGGAATCGGAGAAGTGTTCCAAAATCTTGTAGCTTATTCTGTATTGGAGTGCCGCTAAGACACCAACGGCGTTGCGCTTCAAGCATACAGACTGCTTTCGACTGTTGCGTCGAGTGTTCCCTAATTATATGTGCTGTTGTATCCCCGTTAGCTTGAATCGGGACCGGACTTCCAGTAGGATTCTCCAATACCTTCATCAAGGACCATCCGGAACCATTTGATCTCTTTCAGGGGTGACCGGCGATACTGGTTGACTTGTTTCGAAAAAACTTCGGCTCTTATGGTTGCATAGGTAGTGAGAACGATATCAAAATCCATGAGCTTCTCAATGCTGATATCTTTCTGTGCTCCGTGGTATGTATAAAAACTTACTGCTCCGGGTTTAATGTGACTAATTGCGTTATCTTAGCCACTTAATTCGAGAAAAGGTCTCTAGAAGAGCGTAGTATATATACATATTCACTTACGTGCGTATTTGTTCTTTCCAGCTCTCTAACACTATTGGTAGATATTTGAATAAGTATATGGGTGCTAATTAAACTCTAAACTGAGAAAAAGCCTACGTGATGCGGGTGCAACAATCAGGGTTGCCCTGGCATGTTTTCGGACTCGATTCAACGTAGTGTAATATTGGTAATTTGTACTCTGCGTGAACAAGTGTGCTTGGTCGAGGCTGCCGGTTATTAAAGCAAGAGTCGTGAGCGACTTTCCTAGTCCCATATCGTCGGCAAGTATGCCTCCAGGGACTGCCTGGGGCCTTGCGCAGGTCTTTTCCTTTGTGATTGAATTTAGATAACTATATATTCCCACAACGCTCCCAGTCAATATATAGATGTATACTCTTATATTCAACACAGGGCGCGCGCCCGAAGATTACCTAACAACTCCAAGTTCGTTTTTTATTGGTTTATAGATCGAAGTACTGGTAAGCATATCTTCCTCATGAAAAGCAGGAGCTGTCTCTTTCCAGAGCATAAAATACACAGCCTGTTTTTGATGGCTGATGACCAAAATCAGAATAGTTTTCGCGATTTAAACAATTTGAGACCTCAAACAACGATAATACTGGGGTGATGGTACCTTAATAGCGATGTTTGAAGTTCGTCTCCCATTTTAATTTCTGGTAATTTATCATTGATGTTGATATCAAAGATTGTCTTGACCTTTTCCTCAACGTTTCGGAGACGTGAGGGAGATGCAGTGACTTGGCTCGTCGTAACATGCTCATTTTCGTTAAAATAATGAGGATTTTTGTATTTGGGTTTCTTCTCGTTGTTCACTGGAGACTGAAGATAGATGCGGTTTGTAGAAAGGATCTTTCCTACATCATCTCCGACACTGCTAGCACCGTAAACATTAATGTAGATAAAGATCGAGTTCTGTGGCTCTTTGGTTTTTGTTTTGGGTATCTCTTCCGGGGGTAACTCAGGGGACGGTTGTGGTGAAGGTAGAAAGGCCTGTAATCGAACTGATGGTATCTCTAGGATTTGAGAAATTCCCTTCGCTGAAATATCATCTAAGATTCCAATGTATTCCTTATCTCCAGAAGATAGATGGACTGTTGCGAGTGACTTCAGAAAGTTGATGGTTGTCTCAATTTGGGTATGCGTTTTAAGCTTGCTCCTCTTACTATTCACTACTTGTGGTACACAAAGCTGTCGCAGATAGTCTGCACGTCCAGAGACGATGGTAGAGTATTTGATCTATGATGGGTAAGCTGGGCGTCTATGTATAGCCAAGAGGGTAAGCAGAGAAAGCTTAAGTGACTCAAGTATATACCATTCCAAAACACATCTCTGGCCCATTAATTTCTTGGTGCATAACAATGTCGTCTTCATCGTAATACTCTACTTGTGTTAATGGTCAGAATGATGTGCGCGTGTCTTGCCACTTTATGTTGTGTAAAAGATTCAGACCTTCATTGAAACTTATTGGCGTATCGGTATCATTCAAATGCAGGTTTTTGAAACAATTTTCACGCCCAGCATAGGAATCTGGACTGTTGACTTCGATCCGTGGGGCCCCCAAGCATCTGGGGTTCTTGTAGATATTTTCTTCTGCATGATATCTTAAGACTGCTAAACTATCCGTCTCTGTAGAAGAATGGCCGACAGGACTGACGGAGAGTGGATACACAGCAGGAGTGCTCGGACTGGAACATGGGGTATTTGCACCACTAGGAATACGCAAAGGTGATCTATAACGGGTGAAGCTTTCACTAAAGCTATATCTTTGCCTCTTATCTTGGTTCGTGATTTCCTGGGTAGAATCGTAGTGGCCGCGGGATTCACAAAATTCGATAAAATCGCGTTTAGGCGAGGGTGTAGGATACATGTCATTCGAAGGATCCATGGAGTGAAATATTAGAAGGCTACACAAGTGGGGAAATCAAAAGAATTTTCGGCGTTTCCCCAAGCTACATACATGTACTTACATACCTAGATGATAAAAAACGAGGCTATCAACTTTTATCGCTGACGTATGTATATACATATACATCCCGGGGCTGAGCTGAAGAACAAACCTACAAATATGTGACACGCAGCAGGACCCTAGCTCTTCGATAGCATTAGCAACTACATGTAGCTATAATAGGTTGGCCCATAACACCATGCATGAGTCTCCATCCAAACGAGCAAACTGTGCGGCTAAACACTTGCTAGCCTCGTTTGATTACTACATAAACAGTCCCGGGTACTGGCTTTGCTCTACTATACTATTACCCCTACAACTTATACTACTACTCTTGCTACTACTACCGCTACGCTGCTGCGACTGCTAAAAGATTCTTCGCGACGTTGACGCGAATTGGGTATTCAATCCCACGATCGCATCATGGCGGGAAGCACAGGAACCTCTAGGGCTTTCGAACGCGCACTGCTGAGTTTCAGAAACAAACTGCTACACGAAGAAATTCAGGCCTTTACCGGCACAACATTAGAAGACATTCGCAAACAAGCCAGCGCAATACAGGATTTGCAAGAAAAGAAGGGGATGTTGCGAAATATGCGAAGAATTCAACCGTTGATTAATGGCCTTACGCAATTTTCGGGTGTCATTGAAGTATTTGTACAATCTAAGCCTGAAGTTCTGGCATTCATATGGGTAATTTCTTTCTTATATAGATATATATGAAACCTGCTTATATATTTATATTTTATTCTTAATAGGGCCCGATAAAATTCCTTCTTCAAGTATGCAGCCAAGCCAACCTATTCTATGAAGCTGATACTGGCTTCTCATGCGCATGCGAGGGAAATGGCGGGACTCTTACCTCATTATAAATATCTTTGGAGTTGCTAGTACTTACTAACGATCTTTTAGGTTGTAAGCTCGTATACGGAGGCTTTTGATAAGCTTCTGGACGCTTTCCAAACACTAGGAGAAAACCTTTCTAGATTCCAAGTATACGAAAAGACGTTTCTCGATGTTCCTCGAATGCAAGATGTCATTGTAATGATATACGAGGATATCCTAAGATTCTACCAAGCTACATTGAATTTCTTTCGAGAAAAATGTGCCTACCTACTTCTATGAATTATTTCCCTGAAGTTCAGGCTCTGGTATCCTGTTATAAATATGAATTTAACACTAACTCCGTGTACGCTGTAGGCTGGCGAAGGCTGTTTAGATCCCTGTGGAATACTTTTAATGATAAGTTTGGAAACATACTTTCCGACCTTGATCGGCATAAAGAACTGGTCGACAGGGAAGCCTCAACAACTCACATAGCCGAAGCACGTGCTGCCCGCCAAGCAGCGCAGAAAGCGGAAGAAACAACAAGAGCCTATAGAGAGAAACAAAACCTTCTACAAATTAAGATTTGGTTGGGCCCCGTAGACTACGACGCCTTTCTCGCAAAGTTAAGAAGTCCCTATAGCACAATTACCGGGCTTTGGTTCGTTCAGGAGAATGGTGTACAGGAATGGTTAGATAAGACAGACAATTCAAAGAGATTATTATGGTTAACTGGTATTCCTGGAGCCGGTAAGTGTTGGCTTTCCATTCAATTCTTGATCTCTCTTGTATGTAAAGGTATGCAAGTGCATTGTTCTCATACCAATACGCGCCACTGGAGTCAAAACCATTGACCCAAGAGCCTCCAAACCGGCATGGCAACCCTAGGCTTGCATGGTGGCGTAGGCAGTCATCTTTCTCGCTATATATATATATATACATGTATGTACGTGCATGTACAAATTCACTAATACTAGACACTTGGTAGGCAAGACATTCTTATCAGCTTCGTTCTTAAGACATACGCAATCGATTTACGAGGGTAAAAATGTGCCTATAGCTTACGCGTTTCTCAGACATGATAGTGATAACACCTTCGCAATGATAATGCTGACACTTATCTCTCAACTACTACACCACAATCTCCAGCAATTAGCTTACTTTGATGAAATGCGTGAATCGAAAACCCACCCTCCAAGCTCCCAGGAAGAGGTTCAAGAGATGTTCAAATTTATACTTGGAAATATTGGTGTTTCTTACATCTTTATAGATGGTTTAGACGAAATTGACATCGACAAGAGAAAAATGGTGCTCGATACGCTATGTTATCTCTTAACGGAAGCGGAAAATCTTAAGATATTTCTTAGTAGCAGAGATGAGGTGGATATATCAACATCCTTAACAAACTTTAATAAACACATTCATCGGGTTGATCTAGCGGGGAAAAACCAGCAGGACATCAAAACATATATTGCGGAGGAGGGCAAAGAGGTTTTTAGAAGATTTAGCTTGGACGACGACACGCGACAGCAAATTCAAGATATCCTCGATGAAGTGTGCGACAAGGCTGAAGGTGTGTAATCTCAACATCTACGGTATTACTATTGCTTACTAGGTGTAGGGATGTTTTTATGGGCTCGCTTGGTCATTATCGACCTAAAAGGCCAGGTTAATATTGAGGGACTTGAAGATGCGGCCCGCCATTTACCAGTTGGGCTCGATGAGGCGTTAGTATTAGCATATCTTTGAAAAACCGTTCCATGTGTGGCTAATTCGTGTTCGACCCCCGTTTTTATTTAGGTATGGGCGAATTTTAAACCGCATAAAAGAGAAATTATCTCAGACTGAACGAGATCTTGCGAGAAGAGTCTTAGGATGGGTTGTGTGTAGTACAAGACCTTTAAGTTTGAATGAACTTAAACATGCTATGGCAATCGATATCGATAAAGAGGATAGGTGCATAAACAAGAAGAGAATAATATTGAGACGGTTGGATGAGCTTTGTGGACCCGTCATAGAGTTTGATGCAGAGGATAAAATCCACTTTGTTCATTTCACGGCGAAAGAGTAAGTTTCAGTAATGATCTATTGCTAGCTATAAGTGGCTAATAAGGTGCATGCACCTCAAAGATACCTCACGAGCAAGTATAGTGGAATGTTTATAAGTCACTCGAATGCTCATCAAGATATTGCGATTACCTGCATCAGATACCTGTCATTTTCTTGCTTTGATCTAAATATAACAGATGATAAAGTCAAAGAGAATGTACTATCGGGAGAGTATTGCCTCCATCTATATGCCGAACGAAACTGGATGTATCATGTCAACCATGCAATATTAGAGCTAGACCGCGATAGTGGCTCGACTGAATCGCTTGCTTCTTTATTGGTCAAGTTTGTACAACTTAGGTTAAGCGAAGACCCGCCGCAGGCTGCGAACCAAGCCGTTCCCTCCGAATGGCGCTTCTTGGAAAGTCTTAAGTCTCCGCCAAACGTGCAGAGACATCTCATTGATTACTGTATATTCAATTCCGGAGAGGGTTTATCTAAAGGAATTTTATGTGAGTCAGCCCCGTTCATTCCTATATATATACCTTGTTCTATGTCTTATACTGTTTACCAGCCGACCCCCTTACACTACAAAAATCGACGCAAAAGTTTAGACAGCATCTTGAAGATATCTTCACTTTATCTAAAAAGTCGAATGATCAGGACCAACTTCAAAGTATATATAGAAACTATGGTGGAAACATATTCAAGTGTTCTCGGGTACAATGCTTCCATTACGTCAATGGGTTTGACGCCGAGGACAAGAGAGATAAGCATTTGAATACCCATATTCGACCCTTCCTGTGTCATTTTCAATGGTGTGACTTTGCCTCATTTGGTTTTGGGACTATGGAAGCCTTTAAAGCTCATCTCCAACGGTATCATCAAACTCATGTTTCTAATATCGATACACAGACTGGGGGTCCTTCTAGCCTGAGTACTTCCCCGCCCTTGAGAATACCTGACCTCACGACGCTCCTATTTGACGCAATAAGTACTGGGAATGTGTCAAGGGTCAAGGACGTGTTGGAGCTTGGTGTTGATCTAAATTGTGGTATCTTTAACAACAACGGCGAATCCTTCTTACATTACACGCTCGCGTTAGGACACAACGATATTTTTGAACTACTTTTGGAGAAAGGAGCTTCTGCGGATACTCTGGATAGGGGGCCGTCGACGACTATTCTAAACTCTGCAATCGCTAAAGGATTAAAAGAATATGTTGAATTATTATTGGAATGGGGAGCCGGCGTTGATAGATTAAAGGAGGGGGTAAGTGCGGGTGCAATAAATGTGAGCACCATTCCTCCGCCTTTGATAGTAGCAGTTCAAAACAACCAGTCGGAATCAGCTCAGCTCCTCCTCGAAAATGGAGCGGCTGTGGACTTACCAGATGGGAATGGCAATGTAGCTCTCATCTACGCCGTCAAGATATCCCCAGATATCGTCGAGCTACTGCTAGAGAAGGGGGCAAGTGCGAATCCGATATCCTCTGCCGGCAATCCGGCTTTGATAATAGCACTTCGAAACAACCAGTCGGAATCAGCTCGGCTCCTTCTCGGAAAGGGAGCGGATGTGGACTTACCAGATGGGAATGGCGATGTAGCTCTCATATACGCCATCAGATGGTGCCCAGATACCGTCGAGCTACTGCTAGAGAAGGGGGCAAGCGCGAATACAATATCCTCTGCCGGCAATCCGGCTTTGATAGTAGCACTTCGAAACAACCAGTCGGAATTAGCTCGACTGCTCCTCGAACAAGGAGCGGATGTGGACTTACCAGATCGGAAGGGTGATGCAGCTCTCATACACGCCGTCAGCAACTCCCCAGAAACTCCAGATATCATCAAGATACTGCTAGAACAGGGGGTAAGTGTAGATACCGTATCATCGGACGGTACTCCGGCTTTGATACTGGCTATTAAATACGGCCAAATGCAATCACTTCGATTCCTCCTCGAAGAAGGAGCGGATGTGGACTTACCAGATCGGAAGGGTGATGCAGCTCTCATACACGCCGTCAGCAACTCCCCAGACACTCCAGATATCATCAAGATACTGCTAGAACAGGGGGTAAGTGTAGATACCGTATCATCGGACGGTACTCCGGCTTTGATACTGGCTATTAAATACGGCCAAATGCAATCACTTCGACTCCTCCTCGAAGAAGGAGCGGATGTGGACTTACCAGATCGGAAGGGTGATGCAGCTCTCATACACGCCGTCAGCAACTCCTCAGAAACTCCAGATATCATCAAGGTACTGCTAGAGCAGGGGGCAATTGTAGATACCGTATCATCGGACGGTACTCCGGCTTTGATACTGGCTATTAAATACGGCCAAATGCAATCATTTCGACTCCTCCTCGAACAAGGAGCGGATGTCGACTCAAAAGATCGGTATGGCAACGCAGCTCTCATACACGCCGTCAGCACCCTCTCATCTCCTACAGATATCGTCAAGGTACTGCTAGAGCAGGGGGCAAATGTAAACATTGTATCGCCGGACGGTACTCCGGCTTTGATATTGGCTATTCAAAACCGGTGGGAGGAGTCAGCTCAACTCCTCATCGAACTAGGAGCGAATGTCGACTCAACAGATCGGTATGGCAATGCAGCTCTCATACACGCCGTCAAACAATCTTCACTAGCCACTGTCAAGTCCTTACTAGAGAAGGGGGCAAGCGCGGATACAATATCCCCGGAGCGCAACCCGGCTGCTCTAGTAGCACTTCTTGAAAGGGGCTCCTCATGCTCACCAATAGTTCAACGCCTCCTCGAAAAAGGAGAGTATATCGATGCCCACTGGAAAGATAAGGGTAGCGAAGCCGCGGTTAGGGCTGCGCAGCTATATACCGATGAAAAGTTGGAGATAATGAAGCTTCTAATATTGAAGTATCACGTCAGTCCGAATGCAAAAGATTATAATGGAACTCCAATCCTGGTTATCATGACCTTGCAAGGACAGAGTTCATGCTTAGGAATAGCCGAGTTTCTTATGTCAGAGGGAGCGGAGAGGGACCCGGACTTCAATGGTAGAGTGCCTAAGAAACCCTATAAATTCTAATCGAGATACATACATATATCTCTATTCAAACCCTTTTACACTAGGGAAAGTACCGCTAACCCACAAGATAGTAGATTTAATTGGACCCGGGATAAGAGAAAAAGTCGGTACGTAGTACACCCTAGCTGGCCCTTAAACGTACATGTACATGTGTATTTAAGCGTTGAGAAATCAGTACTAATCAAATATCTAACGGATATAGATGCACTGTTCGGAGCGATATATACTGGAATGATAAAAATGGTTAAAATTCTTATAGAAAAAAATGTACGTGTCAACGCGAAAGATCACAGGACAGAAGCGACACCTCTTATTGCGGCCTTACTCAGCCCCTATTATGAATATGAGATTCTTGAAATGCTTCTGAACGCCGGAGCAGCGGTCGATTACGTAAACAAGAGAACTGATGATTCGGCGCTCTTACTTGCAGCGCAAAGGATTACGGCAGATTCGGGGGCCGATGCGCTGAAGCTTCTTTTGAGGCATGATGCAAACATCAACATGACAGACAGAAAGGGACAGACAGCATTACACAAAATGGCGGAAAAGAAATATATATTCGCCGCTAGGACTCTGCTGGAGCATGGAGCTCGTGCTGATATACCTAATAAGCAGGGAAAAACTGCACTGACAATTTGGCCAGAGCTTAATCAAACAATACTTTCAACAACACAATCTTCACTCCAGTCGAGTGTACCGTTGTCCATGGATGAAACATAAGTATCAATCGACGACATGTGTATCTCGCGCTATTGGATTTGTTTGGGTAAAGGGAGTGTGCCAGGTTACCGTTCTTTTTATTTATTTATTTATATTTGGGCTTGATGGGGATGATGGGTTATTTTCTTTTTGACCTCTTTACCGTTCTTTCGATTTCTTTTCGTTCATCTTGACGATGGGGGCTCTTTCCAAGTCAGTTTGTTGGGGACCTGGGAACTTTCGTCCCCTATGTGAACCATTTATATCTCGCAATTATTAGTAAGTCGATCCAATCTACTAACCACTTCCTCCGACCATCCAAGATATATTCCCATTGTCATATTAACAGAGGATCTGGCTAATAATCTGCTAGTCGATCGATTCGTCACAATTCTTTTCATTTCTTTATGTTTATCTATAATTCCTGTTTCCTTAAAGTAAGTGACATCCGTCCCCACAAGACATCCCGTATCTGAGCTTTGTATCTAACGATTAGAACTAGAACCGATTACGAGACGACGGCGCAGATTTAGAGTGATGGTGTTTGGTGGTATTCCAGAGAGTTCTTTCATTTTGCAATGTTTTTTTCTATATAGCGGGGGTGGTGGTGGGACCCTAGGTTTTTCCTTTTCTCAAATTAAGTCATGTTTTATTTCCAGATCGTCCTATATCATCTCTTTTATTTGTGCTAACCCATCTTTGATTTGACTCCATATGAACTAAACCATATCGGTATAAGAAAGATGAAGTATCTGTGGGGTACTGTAAAAAGGAAGACGTCACTCAACTTGACGAGGGCACTGCAGTTAGACTGGGCTTTGGAGACACGAGTATGGTGTTCTCCGAAGTGTCGTGTAAATCTATCACGCCTTCACCAAGTAGCCAATAGCTCCCAGTATTCTAGGGAACTCTATTGCTCCCACCAATAGCTTTAAAGGCAATGAGTGGCTATTCCTACCGCAGGTCGGTATGCTATGTTCGATCGTATCCGTGCCTATCGGGGATAGGAGATTGGGAGCAATTGAGTGTGTTAAAGATAGAAAACGCTTTCCGGAATCGATATATATCGCCATCCCCCTGCTCTCTTTCATTTACCTTAGGGAGGCTGAAGAACGAGGAAGGATGTGACCCCAACGACCAATTTCTGGACTAGTTTGGAAGGTATAACTTGGCAACAGCACCCATGTCGCTGCAGCCAGTAGTAAAGCGGGATCTATCTTCTCGTACTACGTAAAAGATTCATAGATCACCATAGAATATGTGACAGGGGTATCCGTTCCTCGAAAAATCAAGCTTTGTGGGCGGCAACATTAGACCTAGAGATAACCATAGCCCCCGTATCGGGTGAGCCAGCTAATGAATGGCCTCTCCAGCGGGGGACCCGGTGGGCTGCGGAGGGATTTAGTGTAGAGTGGATACAAGGACACTCGCAAACCTAGCCTCATCAATTAGGACATCCCCTCTCATACCACCAATTTGATAAAACTACGAACCGGTATTGTTTATTGCGCGCGCGGTATACCGTCCGGTGCCTGTAGATCGAACTTCACCCAGAGTAATGGCCTGTCCGTCGGATCGGTGAGCCGCAGGTAGTGGGACTCGTGTCACAGAGAGGAATACCTGCTCGCACCAGCTAGAAGGAAAAGAGGAGTCTACAACGGCAGACAAGGCTTATGGTTTAAAGTCGCCTTGTCAGACTCACTGTTGAGGCAGATCACAGACTCAGATCAGGTTCACGATTCTTGGCGTGCAGGGTCAGATACTGAATGATGGGACTCGCTTAATTGGTAGGTTTCCGCAGAGCCTCAGCCTTACCCCGCTATTCAACCCCACACTTGGGGGCCAAAGCTTGGCTTCCGGGTAAATGCGCGACGCTGCGCACCCCATTGATTCTAAGGTTCTTTCGATCCGCCCCGATATTTAATCACAGCCCCGACCCCGCACACGAGCAGGGTGCAGCAACTCCTCGGCTTCGAGGTAACAGCCATCGCCCCAATGCAATGACCTTCGGCGTTTTGCTCCGGCCACAACTAGCACAGCACACTCGTCGCCGAGAGCGGATGGGCGACCGGGATAACTTGTACACCCCGATTGCAGCTTGATTGTCCCCCTACACGTATTTCTCCACTGATTATTGATTTAAGGCAGGAATTAGCTTCGGAATTAGTTTTGGTCAGGTCCGCTACGAGAGTTCGCGAATTTTTGCGGTACTACCTGGCGTGTCACAGTAACTGACGTTGAACTCTTAGTGCATGCGCCGACTCTCTCTCTTCGCTGTTTGTACGGGAAGGGAAACAACCTGCTCCTAGATATTAAACAGATTGTTATACCTTACTTCAAGAAAGGCTCGCCCGGGCCCGCCTTCTCGGAGGGATGCATATACCTACCGGTTACAGATAGAGAATATCTTTAATAGCCTACAAATCACCAATCATAACCAAGCAGCTTCTACCGAGCCTAGCCCGACCTTACCTAACAATTCCGGGGGTACCTGAGGAAGAGCAGCTGGTCTGTCCCGTGCTTGAAAGAGCACGAGCACGGGGGTTGTGTACTGTTAATATGCATGAATGTGTATATAGTCGTCTTGGGTAGACGAGCCGTCAACATGAAGGTGTTTGTTCTAGTTGACAATTACATCTACGCATCGTTTTGCATTCTATCCTATCCTATGGCTTGATGTCGTATAGTCTTATGATGGTGCTTAGGGAGGTGCGCTACGTTGTACATCATGAAACAAACGGCCAGTGATAACCACGGTTGAGACGGAGCTACATAGCAATGAAACTATCTTAATGTTTCAATATGGAAATAGTTCTCAGGGTCATGCTGAAATACGACATATGATGTGGAGGTATATACCTATAGTTGCTGAGGCATAGTATCTATAAAAGTTTTTTTAAATAAATGGCGGTTTAGAGTATCAAATAGGGACCAGCATAACTGGAGCATCCCGTTAAAAGAACTTCCATGACCGTTCCACTGTTGTCTCCTTAGATTTCGGTATATTGGCTCGTTGATGAAACACGAGTGATATACCATGATCCATATACTGGGCCGGGCATTTCGAGTATTTACCACAGTGTAATTCACGATCAACACCCATATCATCCAAAGCTCCATATTATCCCGTCCCTTGTTGATTAGGCACCTTATTCTCATTGGCTCTCATACGATACAACACAGTAGGAGCAGAGGAAATACGAGTGATATTTCAAAATTACTAAAAGCCGAAAATGGAGACGTTATTAATATAATTCAAGAGAACGTCTGCTATCACTCCCATTTGATAGTGGGTTGAAGTACAAAAATGCATAACGGAATAAAATAGTTGGACTTATCACACTTGAGCGGGCTTCAAAAGTGAAACCAATATAGGGAGTCTAGAGCTTGAAGGTTCGTTGGAACTTCGGAGAAGGCCGTGCGTACATAGGAGATAGTATAAATTAAAACCAACAAAGATAACAAGGAATTGAACATGAGCAAAGTGATGAAATTCCCCCAAACGTATCTTAACCCTGCAGAACGTTCTATGACAAGTCGACTTATATTTAAGCTCGAAGGTATAGGGGCCTCGCGTTTCATCAATCCTTTAATACTAAATGTTATCTTTTGCATATCCGGAAAATGTAGGAGTAGGAAGGTTTGCAGTGCATACTCTAACTATAGGATCATGTCACCATCAGTAGCTTGTACATCACGGATCATGCACTCACTACAGCGGCGATGCAGACACTCTGAGCATTGGTCAAGTAGAGCAACTAGGTAGGTTCCGTTCTCAGGACAACTCATTCCGCCGCAGCAGACCCAACTACACCATCTTCATGGGAATTAGTCAATATTTCAAAGGCATTATTATAAGCCATCAACTTGCATTCGGTTAATGTTGCCAAAGAGATCTATGAATCAGCCTACGCCGGTAGACGCGAAGCCGGTTTAATTATAGGATAGAAGATATATCACTGGAAGCCTGCCGAAGGCTGCATGGTGGAATAGAATACAAGAGAAAAAGTCACTCACCAAACTAATGTTAAATCAAAGCTACCCTCATGCAGGTTATCTACATGTATCTAATAATGAATGCATTTTAATGCGGGAATGAAGGCACTTACAATGGTTCTCCATCATTACTATAACCACCACCACCACCACCACCACCACCACCACGACTATAGGTGTTTGAGTTGTAAGCGGTTTGCAGCTCTAAAGCGGCACCTTGTTTGGATCCTAAATCGTTACTTGACTCCGGTTTCGAATCGTCATCTGGTCCAGGCTTTGGCCAGCGAGACATGTCATCTTGGGTATTGAATTGCTCCTGGGTTTCTGGGAAGCGGGCATCTCTAGGTTCTTTTGGTTCCTCCAGCACCAGATGGACTCTGCGGAAGAATGGCTTATCATCAGGATCCACAAAGGGCACTTGATACGGTCCGAACGGTTCGGGAACTTTTGTAGAGACTCCAGGAGAAATTGTGTTTGTAAGGCTACTATGTATGCTTGTGGATTGGGGCTTTGATGATACTTGAAAGTATGTTGCACATTGTTTACTTTGGGACGCGGTAGAAGTTAGTATAGCTCTTGTTACCAGGTGACTATCTCTCGCAAGGAATTATAACAGCGGCTATATCCCTACCATCGTACTGGCTCGAGATCTTCAGAAGCTGCCCCTATATATATAGAGTAGCATTGAGGGCATTTATGTTCTTTATCAGTCATCTTTCTTTGCTTCTTAATAAGCGTTGCCATCGAGAGTGTCATCCCTGGCTTAACGAAATTGGTCCAGGTTTCCCTGGTCAGTGCCAATTTCGAAGATTCTTCTGTTATCAAATAACGCCCGGCTTCTACCCAACTCGAACCTTTTCGATTTTCAAATCTGACGCGAAGAAGATTGTGAAGACCCTATGAGGTCAGAATTATGCTTTTATATTACTTAAGAATGATGATGGAATACATACCTCCCACGCCCTAAACAACTCGGCAGAAAATTGAACCCTCTCATCTAGTGCATCTATTAAGTAGATAGGCTCATCGAGTAAGCCGTTTAGAGATCGTGGAATTCTATCCCATATGCCCAGTATTTCTCTATACTAGTAAGTAATTATTGATAAACCTTGAGGAGCAGAGTATGGGTACACACGTTTGAATAATACTCTCGAGATCCCGGATTGATGTTTTTGAATCGCTCTTATACTCCAGAAGCTTCCTTTTATCGCGAAGCACCCACCAAACGAGCTTTGTCCTCTTTTACGATCTCTTGGAAAGGCGCTTGCCAAACTTATTTATAGATTTTGAACACATCGAAAGTTGAAGCATGGCTGGTTCCAAGGCTGTGGGCGGGATTTCCGTCTCTTGGATTTTCCTTTCTAGTTGTTCTAACCGATATCTTAGCAGCTTAAATTAATTCCTAAATGCCTCTGAATCTTCGGAGTAGGATTGTGTATCTCCCCAGGAGATGGAGATGGCGCGTGCCACTAGGTATATATCGCTAATACTAAACCCGAAGGACATGACAAGACTATGTTGGAGGTTGGAAAGGTCCCAAGGACGCGAGTATGGTATGATGAGTGGTGTAGTTGATAAAGTTGAATGCCCAAATGGAGTTCCTACGTAGAGGAACGTCAGCTGGAAGAACAAGGCTGAAAGGATATACCTCCCTACCCCTCGAAAACCCATTGATCAATGGATTCATGTTTTACCAGCTCAGTCATACCCGTGACCAATCAGAGCTCTTTAAATCTATCCAATGAATCATAACTATTATCTGCCTTTCACTACTTACGTCTGTCTCGTGCCCAGCCAAACTCCTCTGCGCCAAGGTTCGTACCTCACGCAGCTTCTGCGTAGTTAGATTATTGACCAATCAGAAGAAGGCTGGGCACGAGACAGTACCTACATGTAAGTACGTAGCGCTAGCTACTTTGCTCGCATGGCTAAGTTTCGACATAATCACATGACCTATAAGCAGCGCAAAAAACAGGAATAAAGTTATCCTCATGTCTGCAAGGGAATAGTACTGAAGGTAACGGCAAAATATCAAAAACAACTTGTGGAGGTATACTCTGCCCATGCCCATTGTTATTTGGTGAGGGGTTGTAGCATGGAATGTAGAGCATTTTGTATAGGGTCTTGACAAGACTTGCAAATTCAAGCCACATAACTTCCCACATATTTAAAATTATAGCTTAGCATATATGTTCTTCTAAGGTGTATCCTACTATCCTGGGAGTTTCATGGTGTTTGATAAGATAACAATTGAAACTTAGGGAGATGGCCAATTTTGGCGCAATAATGGTAAACACCTTCAAACGATGATTAGAAGTACCAAAAAGGAACTAGAATAACGGCCATCTTAGAGGTGTTTTCAGGTGGTAAAAGGACCCCGCACTTGTTTCAACTGTTGTCTCCTTAGATTTCGAAATATTGGCTTGTTGATGAAACACGAGTGATATACTATGATTCATGTGGTTGGTATTATCCCGTTCTTTGTGGATTAGGCGCCTTATCCTTATCGGGTTTCACCGGTATTGAACGCAGTGGGAAGCAGAGTGATTATTCACAATGACTGAAGCTGGAAATGTAAATATTGGACATGCAATGTTAACGTAGTTCCTGAGAGTCTCTACTGTTGTCTGTGTTTGATAGTGAGCTGGATTATAAGCAGGTATGATGGAATAAAATTATTAGACCTATCACACATCAGTGGATTTCAAATAGGGAGTCTATTTAAGATTCGTTGGGACTTTGCCGACGGCCGTGCGTACGAGATAAGACGGGACCGTTGGTGTAGTGAGTCTCGTATTGTCTTGGGAACTTTTGCGAAGTCTCGACACTTTGGAAAAGAGGTAAAATATAGGTCAAGTAATGATATTTCTCCAACTATACGTATATGCTAATATTCATCTCGTGGAAGAATTATCTCTTTCGAAAAAATAAGAGTCCCTGCAAGACGTTCCTAAAAATTCCCAGAGTAATGTCACCAAACATCCCAAAAACCCACAGTAGTCTCGGGAGATGCGCCCACCTCCATTGGTCTTGTCTAGTTTGTCTTGCTTCGAAAGTTCAAGACTTGGCCTTAAGGCCTCAAACCATTATCAACAAGGAACTGGACAGGAGCAAAGTGATGATGAGATTTTTCCCAACATAGCTAAATCCTACGTATCCCCTCACAATTCGAAAATATGGGGGGCTCGAGTTTCATCCCTTTTATACATGCATCAAACGTTATCTTTTGATCCAAAAAAGATTTCAAGTAGAAAGATTCGGAATACATACTTCAAATATAGCTAACTAGGCAAGACGAGCTACTCGCTTGGGCACTTGCGGCAGCGACGATGTTCACAGATTAGGCATGAATGTGTGTAGGCTGTGGTGTAGGGGGCCATCCCTTCTCCCGGTAGACAGTTACAATAGTACCATCTGCATTATCTTCATTGAAATCAGTCAGTGTTTCCGGGGTATAAGCCATGAACCTGCACCCCATTGTTGCCGAGGAGATCTATAACACGCGACTTGAGGGTCAGGCCCATTATTATATGCATCACTACATGTAATCACTTAGAGCACCTTGCTAGTGTTCCATATAATGAGATAGTAAAAACGGGAGCTTGCTTACCGATCGAATAATCAGACTAAATCGTACTCATCCTCATCCTCATCCATGGAGATTACTTAAAGAATGTCTCACAGGATCCTAGGAATAAAGTCACTTACATAGTCAGTCTCGTTTTAAAATTGTCATTGGATTCGGGCATTGAACAGTCGCCTGGTTCAGGCTTCGGCCCGCGCGGCACCTCATTTTTAGGGTTAGGCTGCGAATGCTCTTGGGTCGCGGAGTAAGATTGTGTGTCGCGCCGAAGGATGGATATGGCGTGCCTCACTAGGTCGCGAATATTGAACCCGCAAGGCATTGCAAAGAGGGTTATAGGTACACAGAATACGATATGATGAGTGGTGTTGTTGATCGACTCAGAGTTGAATTCCCAAGGCTGAACACAGTATCTAGCTTAGTCATAGTTATGTTCCCATAGCTAACCAGAACTGCGTTGCGCTTAGTAACGGCCTGAAGTAAACTTCATAATTCACGGAATCAACTTGTGCTTGTATCCAATAGCCATTCAGGATTGTGGTGATACCACATATGAACAGACCAAGCTAGTCTTCAATCGACCGATGATATTGTAGGACATATCAGCGCTCAGAGGTATTCTTACCTTGTTGGTTGATACCAGGCCAGAACATTTATAATTCATGTTACCTTCAGTACCTATATGTACTTTGAAGCCACAACTTCAATTCCAGGTTGGTCACAACAAGTCCGAGTGATATCCTGCGATTCCATATCATTCCCTTTTTGTAGCAGCGGTGTTCCTTCCATGTTTCGGTGGTAAAGTAGTGATGTCGATGTCTGGTTGTGATAGTACCGATATTTATCGATATGCTACCCTACGCATCTCCTCTAGTTGAAAGATAAATATTCCACTGAAAACAGATCGCCAAGAGATGTCCGAAACCAGACAATACCACGGGCTTAATTCTATTCCGTTAAAAGCGATAGAGGCTGTCCCTAAAGCTGCCGTTTTTTTGGCATATCCATTATTAAATTAACATTACTATTGGCTCTTGACGTACATACTGACATCAAACGGAAGATATCCAGTTAGTGTTCTGCAGACACGGCTAGGATAAACAATCAAAACAATCTTAACCAAAACTAACTAAACGGCCTCAATACAACACCCAATATATCGTATCCTATGCATCCATCAATTATAATCATTTCATATCTGATTCCCCGCACAAGGACCCGGCCCACCAACTTCATTAGCCGGATCGCCGCCTGTGATAAGGAAATAATCGCCCAACCCATTCGGGCAAGTAGCGCTTGGGTTCGGCCCCGCCGCATTATATACGAGAGCACAAAAGCCAGGCGCACTAAAAACCCACCCTGAGCAGCGTTGGGTCCGGGCAGGATCATAGCACCGTAAGCAGCACTCCTCGGCCGTGGCGGAGCCAGGTACGTCGATGACGCCGCTGCCGGCGTTGACGCCTATTCCAAAGGCGCCGGGCACGCGGTTCTGTCCGGGGCAGACGGTGTAGGTTGCGACTGGGGCGGTGGAGGTAGTGGAAGTGGTCACGGTGGTTGTGGTGAGGAGCGTGCTTGTGGAGAGGACGGTGCTGGTGAAGGTGGTGGAGAGGGTTTCGGTGAGTGTTGATGGGACGAGCGTAATGCTTGTAGTGGAGACGGTTCCAAATACTGTGGAAGTCGTTCTAATGATGGTGGTCACCGTGGGGTTGGCATTGGTGATGGTAGTGGTGGATGTAGCTGTCTGTATGTTCCCAGGAACTGTCGTCGTCGAGATGTAGGCCGTTGTGGTGTGCGCAGCTTTGGTTGAAGTAGTGCAGACGGTGACGGTTTCGACGATAGTCTTGACTGGGCCATAGGCAAGTGAGCATCCGGCGGAGATAAGGTTGTCTGGGGCGTATTCGAGGCAATCAGGAACCCTGCCGCGACGCTCTCGCTTCGCTGGGCCGCTGTCACGCCGGGCAACGGTTACTGTAGGCGTCCCGAAGGTTGCGGTGATTGTCGTGGTGGATGTTGTGGTACTGCATGAGATTAGCAAGTTTAGCCCAGAGTTCAAAACAAACTTATATGCTTTCAACATACCTCACAATAACGGATGTCGCGGTTTGGATTGCTACGGATGTCAGATCTTAACTCCACGAGCATGAGGGGTACCACAGCGCCATACATGTTACAATACCAGCATCACTCGTGACCGTGCTAGTCGCGACCGTCGTAGTAACGGTCTCCGTCCCCGCCGGTATGTGGCTGGTAACCACAGCAAAGTCCGTAGAGAGGTTGGTCACGGTGTCTGTGACATAACTTGTCTCAACGACTGCCGTTCCCGGCCCCTGCGTAGCGGTGACACCGGTGGTAACCGTGGTCGCCCCTTTTGTGACTGTCAAGACTTGCTCAACAGTCACCGTTGCGTGCTGCTTCTTGGTGTCTATTTCAGTCTTGGTGATGGTTGTGGCTGGCGCATTGGCTCCAAGCCATGATGAACAGAATTTATCGAGGTGGTTGGACTTGATTATGTTTGCGACCTCTTTCGGGTTACTTCGCCCTATAGAGTTGTGAGAATGATGAAATTAAAGGCTTATACTTCGCCCCCTAGGTTTATGCCAGAGGAGTTGACAGCTCGGATCCAGGTGAAGGGCACTTGAGGTACTAACCATCTCTAGCATGGACAATGTTTCCAACAGGATTTGTACCAATTACGGAGTTAATGCAGGTGAGGAAGACGGCTGTCCTAAAGATACTGCCAATGGTCTTGGAGATCAGCATAGTGTGAGGGCGATTGAGAGTCCTAGTGCAAACCCTGATGGTGGAGACTTGACCTGGTTTTCTCAAGACTCCAAGCGTCCTTATATATACACCCGTATATAAAGAATCGGTATTGTCGACCCGAAGACTCTGGTTTCGGTAATATGGACTTTGTGCAAGGTATATTGTATGGTTTTAGAACCATTAAGCTTGACCTTCAAAAGCAGGCACGGGAACGGCAATTGCCAGCGCCACAGTTGAGTAAAACATCGAAAATCCATGTTCGATTCCGTGTAATCTGTGTATGTACGTGCATGTAGGTAAAGCTTGATTAGGCCTCATGAAAGCTTTTTCAGGGGCAGTTAGTAGCTACCAGTACGTAGCTGACCTTAGACTGTGGGGGGTAAAGCTAAATTATGTGTAACGTGTTCCTCTTTCCCTCATTTCCACCATATCAGCCCGCAGCCGTAGGACCAACATCCCGTTTTGGACCGGTGACTTCACTGGAGTCTCAGCCTATGTCCACAGATAAATTAGTGCTTGATCTAATGGAAAGACACGGAGGTACACGCGTCTAGATCAGTAGGTGCATACATGGTACATGGGAAATACCGGTACCAGTACTAGGGGGAAACACTTTATTCTAGGGGATATCCATTAATCGATTGAGGTGTTGTGTTGAGTTAAGGCACCCTAGTGCGCCCCCAAGCCAAACGCTACATGATGATCATCTTTTCGCCGTAAAACATGTGAGTCTGCACGGTCGCATTCGAAATTCAGCAAGTTGGGCCAGAGCGCGGTTTCTGGCTTATGGCCAACTGACGGAGCGAGATGGGATAAAATCAAGTTCTTCGGTTCGGACTAGCTATCGCAGAAAGTGATTCGGGCGGGAAACGGTATACAATACCGAGCTAGGTGGTTGGTGCGCAGTGTGCCGAGCCCGCGAAAGTTAATTAAGCTTTTTGTACCCCCGACTAATTAATCTTGGCTACATGTAAGTACTGTCGTTCACGGGGTATTGGTGGACACTGGGTATTGGCGAATTCCAGGTAAAAGTTGGCTTGGCTATCTCTTTTTTGCCCTGTCCGCCATCACCCAGTATCCGCTAATACCCCGTGAACGACTGTACTTGTATGCACTTAAGCTTATTTCAACATCATTTCAATCTTGAGAGCAACCACAATTTCAATGTGTGTAGGTAAAATGTAAGCAACCCAATTTAATTTCGCATATAGTGTCCGGATCTTCGAAAACAGATGCGCAACTAGCTAGTACCGAAGAACGGGGGTAAAACCGATACATTCTTATATTGTCAGGGGATATAGAATATGCGAGTGTCTTCAATGGTTTTGTATGGCCAGTATTAATTGTCTGATGGGCTGGACAGTATTGACAAGATTGTCGGGATCACCAAAATTTGAACCGGCTGCTTTTCTTACCAGAGAAATCTTCAGCGACTGTATATCCGAGCAAGGGTGTCCGGGACTACCAGTGACCCATAAAACATGTATGTACACTGGGCAGGCGAGAAGCACCGGACCATATACGTTTTGTCTGATCTGGGTCTTTTTTTTACACTATTAGTTGATGCCTAGCGCTAGCACGCGCACCAAATTTTTGGATCGAAAACCTGCACCGCCGGGTACCACCACCTACCCACGGCCCGTCCCAAGCATAAAAGTAAAGTCCCACTCTAACAAAATAGGAATGTGATAAATAAAATTGACCGCGAGTGTTTCGTGCTTCACAGATTATCACTCGAAGGCGAACTGCTGATCATGATCGTCCAAACGCTTCAGCCGATTAATTGAAATTTTTCTCTTTTAGGCGTGCCATCTCGCAAGTATCTTTAAATCAAATCACTAGCTTGTAGGTAAATTTTATTTGATTATTCTTTACTCGCCATACAAACCGAGGCTTTGCCATTCAACGCCGGCCTTCGACGGGCAAAAGGCGTCCTTGTTTCAATAAAAAAAATAGGAAAATAGCCGTGAATGGGAGCTTAATAAATGGGCATTGCTTCTGAATATAACAAATGTGCTGCGATATATCTAACTAAAGAATAGTACTTTTGAATATTCGCATGGGAGAACCCCACCAACATGAGCCAAACAATATAAAATGAGAAAAACATCTTCGATCCTGTTCATTCGAAAGTCAGCAGTGCCGCCTGAGAACAGGAGTCCATGAACTAACAAGGAGTTTTAGATCCCCATGTGAATATAGGCAGCCCAGTAACGTGGGTCCTTCAATTGGAGGACTTTTCCCTTCGTCACCCCTACCAGCCTTGCCTTTCGAACCTCTCCGACCTGTTCAATCCGGGTCGATCCTCCACGCAGAGCTCTTATAGCGTTATGTAATCCCAGAGAAACGGACTTGGAGCTCATCCTGCCGTCCAATATCGTGATGTACACGCTTTTGGCGACCTCAACGCAATGGATATCGGACACTTCCCATAGAGAACCAATAACATTTTGAAACCCGGCCAACTGACAAGCCCCCATGAGGTGAATACTTTCATCGATCAAACTATCAACGTTACTATTTCCAGTTGAACAAGCGGAAAGATAGGCGAGAAGAGGTGGATTTTGGTGTAGTTTTTGGTCGATCAAGTCCTCAACCGTCAGCGGCTCATCAGCCACGGCCAAACAACTCTTTGATGGATCAGAAGGATCAGAAATGCCGTGACCAGCAAAGTGAAGAATATTGCAGCCGATGAGCTCATTTAGCACCTCCGTTCTTTTGGGAGTGTTTAGACGAATGCAGGGAATTGATTTGGGCAATAATTCTTGAAGTTGATCGATCTCCATTGTAACGTATGGAAGCTTATTCATCCCTGGAGTATTATCCATGGAAGCGAAAACGACCTTTTCTGGAGAAGATACTTGACGCCTGAGAGATTTGTTTTGAAAAGCGAATACTAGCGACCGGATTGACGGGCTATATGACGATATAACTCGGTCAAGAACAGACCGGCCAGAGTTATCGAGATGGTGTCCAGCGGCATGAATTGGTAGGTTGCTAAACGAACCGGTGGGGATCCACCAGATGTGTGGCCAATTGTTGTTCTCTGGTGCTCTGGTAATCCTTAGATGTTCCAACACGGGGCCTGCAACAACATCCCAAAGCCATTTCAACATGTCTAACATGTCCTCCATGGGTAATTTTCCAGACTTTAGTAGTTTGGACCTCTCATGGACTTCTGATTGATGTAAATTGGGTAGCGGCAGTGACACAGTGTGGTCCTTCTGAACAAGGAATGCATCACATCGAAACGCAACATTGATAACCACAATTGTACCTAAAGGCTCGGTAGCCAAGAGCCTGCTTGGGTCGAGTGTAAGTAAAAAGTTTTTAAAGTTTGGTTCCTGTCGTATTTCTTCCAAAACTTTGTCCAGCTTCACTTCTGCTGCTTGGCGTCTAGAGAAGACTGACGCAGTGGTTGATTCTGAATGTTCTCCAAGAGTGCTTTTGGGCGAATCAAGCTCGCTGCAGAGGCGATGGTATTCCTGTGCCAGCTTTGGGTGTTCTCGCTCTAACTCGCTAATGTCACTCCTGGTTTCAAACCGATGGTTGGTAATGATACCACGGCCAAGTTCTAGCAGTTTCAAGGCATCCGCCGCTGATTTGTTGGCCTGAAGCGCAGCAGCAGTAGCTTTAGAAGCTAGACCGGCATATAATATCAATGATTGCTGCTGATCCTTTTGTACTAAAGAGCGAGAGCTGAGTCGAGGAAGGAGATTAATGGCGTATTCTGTAACTCGGCTTACGTCTGCCCAACGTTCATATTGCATGTGAATATTCCCAAGTGTCAAAGCACAATCGATGCGCTTAGCTACAGGTGAAGAGACGAGCTCCATGGATTCAGAGAGGTACCGTACTGCAAGGTCATGGTCCTTTGGGTTCTTTGTCAACCTGTGTCGCATCCATAGTTTGGACGCCAGGCATTGCATGACATTGGCACGATCAGGACTTTCCGGCGTTTTTTCGAGAATCTTACATGCTTCTTCAGCGCAAAAAATAGCCTTTTCCAGGTCTCCTTTATCTCGCCTAGCTTCAAATCGAGTTGACAGCCAGTTTCCCAGGTTTGTCGAGTAAACGACTCGACTCAAATCCAAAGAAGGGGCGGTATCCAGCGCTCTTTGGCTGTAAAAGATAGCTTCATCGAGATCTTGAGTCGCTTTCGAGTGCAAATATCTATCGCCAAACATGATTCCAAGGCTGGATAAGAATCCTGTTCTGTCAGGATGATTTTCCGGGGTTTCATCTACTGCCTTTTGTGCATACACAATTGCTTGTTCCAAGTCGTCCAAGGTCTTCATCCGATAGTACCTTAAAGATAGAACTCCAGATCGAAGATGTAGCATACGACATCTTAGTAAGTGTCCTGGTTGAAGAACCTCCTCTACCGCCTGTTTGGAGTACAACGCCGCCAGGTTAAGGTCACTCATCGCTCCGGAACACCGATAACGCGACATTAGGGCGATGGTCAAGTTGTTTAGGATTCTAGCTCGATCAACTTCGTTACTATCTTTTGGTGTCGCGGCAAGCGCATTTTCTGCTAGTGAAATTGCGCTTTGAAGATCATCCAAGGATCCGGTATGCTCGTATCTTTCCGACAGCCTATTGCATAGATTGCACACGCGGATCGACCAGTCTGGGTGGTTTGGGGAGGTTTTGTCTACAGCTTCTTGACTGAATAAGATTGCTTGCTCGAGATCGGAAAGGTCACCGCTCCGTGAGTATCTCTTGCTTAAGCTAATCCCGAGGCCATTGAGTATGTTGAATCGGTCAATATGCCCCATGGGTACTTCCCTCAGGGCCTGTTTATACCAAAGAATTGCTTCTTGTAGATGTTCCAGATCCCCCGTTCGTCCGTACATCGCATGTAGTCGGCTACCTAAGTTGCATAGACGACCAGCTCGGTAATGGGTTGGGGGCGTTTGATACACCGCTTGCCTGGATAAATCGACTGCTTCGTCGAGATAGCGCAGGTCCTGGGTAAACTCGTACATAAACCCTAACCTGCACGCAAGGTTTCCTTGACGGCATGCTAGATGGTCTCCAGAATTCTTTGGGGTTAATTCTACAGCCTCTCTAGCCAATGAGATTGAATCTTCGAGGTCTTTTAGGTCCGAGTTTGCCTGGAACCTTATTTCGATCCTAGAGCTCAAGCCATTGAGTAATGTTGGCCTATAAGGGTGGTTTTTCGGAGTTGTGTCGAGGGCTTCCCGGCCTAAATTAATTGCCCGTTCAAGGTCCTCCATTTTGTCTACTCGGTTGATTGCCTGGAACCTGGAAAGGAGGCGACGAGCGAGACTATCGAGGATAATCGGCCGGTTGGGATTGTCTAAAGAAACTCTCCTCATTGCTTCCTCGCAATACGATACGGCTTGCTCGATGTCTTTAGTTTCCCCGGTCTTATTATACTTGAGATTAAGCTCGCGGCCTAAGTCGCTCAAATAGCTTGCGGGATCGTGTCCCTTCGGAATTTCAGTCTGATTGGTTCGGTCGGTGGTTATTGCTTCTGAAATTTCTTCTAGGTCGTTTGCTCGGGGTGTATCGACAGCAGAGACATGTTTGGGCCTTTCCAGGAGTATTTTGGCCTGGTACACAGGGTAGTTAGGGTCGTGAAAGGTTAAGTTGCGGTTGACAATACTGTCTCCCGTGGAGGACGACATGGCGACCGAGGCCTTACAGGCTTAGCTTTACTATTGTAGCGCGGAGATTCCTCTTTGGTATCCTCTTGAATAGGCCGTTGGATTAGGTGATTTGTAGATTGAGTTAGAAACAGTAGTAATAGAGGCTAGTTGAACTTGAAGAAATACAATAAGGGAGGTGCAAAGGTGAAGCTTTCTAGACTTGGACCAACAACAGAATCCTGAGATGGCCGTACATGCAAAATGAAGAATTCTTTTAGTTCTGAGAAAGTGTATGATAAGAACGGATGTGTAATGGTCAAATTACCAGTAATGATATGTCAACAGATCGCTCTTTTTAACCAAGGCATTGGATCTTCCCCGTTTGGGAATTTTGAGGGGTAGAATTTCGAGGCTGTGAAGAGGGGCTATCACTTACTAAATTTTGGTTAGAAAGCCGCCAATCAAAAGAATGCATCACGCTTGTGTAATTTTTCTGTCGCTTAGCCTGATGCCTTGTTTCCAGCCTGGTTGCATTGTAGAGATAGGTTGATTAGATTATTGATTTGGCTCTCAGTAGAAGATTAAATCGCTCAATCTGTACTTGCAACCAAACTTTGTACGGGAGCAGCAGGAAGAGTCAAGTGTTATTTCTGTGATTCTCTCTGGCTGGACTATCTTAGGTTTTAATAGGGCTTAGTTGTAGATACTTGAGTTTAGTTATTGTGGCCGCCTAACTATTTGGTTTGTGTGGTTGTGGTAGAGCGTCCGATTGAAAACTCGTCATACCTAGGGGACTGCCAATCACGGATGAAACCACTAGTTTCTCGGTAAGATAACTTGTAGACCCTGCTAGAGGTCAACATATATACTACATGAGCTTCTTATATATACCGTAATTAATTAACTCTATCTTACAAATCTGGGTTCGTATATGCATTTAGATCTGTCGCTTAGAGGATGTATATACAGCGAAAGCTTGCTATAACGGTACGCTCGGGACCGGAATTTGGCACCGTTATAGAGAGATTACCCTTATAGAGGAGGTGCTGGTGCTGAAGGGCAGGCGAAAAGGACCGAGAAGTGCTACCGTTATGGAGAGATTACCCTTATAGAAAGTACCGTTATAGCAAGCTTTCGCTGTATGTACCTATATTTTTTTTTTGTTTAATTCATACTCGCATGCAACCTTTCAGTTATGGCGGAGCACTCAATCTACAGTACAAGTACAGGGTTTCACCCTTTATGCCTACTAGTCGCTCCTTTCAGCAGGATGTGGAATTATGTACCTATATGTTTGTATACCTAATGAGTGCTTGTATGTGTTCTACTCTAGATCTTCATGTAAATACATACATGTAGGTATACGTATGGATATATTTGTATTGTATTGTATGCTTCGTAAGTTTCGTCTCGCTACTAATACTACTAGTATTTGTTCAAATATCAGTGTTGTCAGTTTAAGGTTTTTAGCGCCCACTAGCGCCCACTAGCGCCCACTAGACCCATCAACCGCTCAGGGTACACGTTGCTGGCTGGTTTCTGTATTCTCTAGAGTCCTGTTCCGACTGATCACAAAAATGACGATCAACCAAAATCAACATAGGCCGAAGACAAGACAGACAATGTATTTGTGATGATGACCTATGAGTACAAGAAGACTAATCTAGTGTGTGGTTCTCTCTTACGTCGCTACTCGTCTAGACACATCTTCCTTAGCCACTTGTTTAGCTACATGTTTAGCAGCCTCATCATACGCCACGTACTACAACGTGCTCTTGCATAATTGCAAAACAACCTCGATTCCGGTCTGAGAAGTATAGAAGTTACCTAACCTTCAATAATGATATCATATAATAGATAATAAATTATAAAACAACTTATTCCACCAGGCTATAAAAGGAGACTAGGTACCCGAAGTTAATGTGAATATCGATATCACATTAGCCTTCTTAACAATTACCTCGATCCATGCATGCGCATGTCTTCGGTAACACTGCGCACTATTTCTCAAGACTACATACATGTATGTAGTGATTCGAGCCACGCTTCAAAGCTGACAGTTCATCGAGCCACACCCGGCAACAGTAAGTAGTATTACATCCATGTGCCTATGCATGAGAGTGAAAAGATAGAGGGCGTGTATCCCACTCCATTTCCTAGGCGGTCTATGGGAAGCCGATCGAATCTCAGAGAACCCCACTGGGTGCGGGAATATCTCAATTTAGGTCACATGGCTCTGGTATGTATGTTCGTTCCCCCGCCCTAAAATTCCATATGGTTGTGGTCTCTAGCTCTATTGTGTCCATCAAGCTCATCTGATTGTCCGATTTTGCCTAGTATTACTATAAGCTTCATTAACGACTTAAAGTTGTTTTTATTTCTCAAAACGTGTTAAACATTCCGAACAATCGAAGCCATGCCAAATACGTGGATTGCCAATTACCTTATCCCCGAAGACTCTGTCAAGATCGGTCGCTTCGTCCTCGATGTCGAAAATCCACAGCAAGATTTCCGGGGTCCAGATAAGGACTGCTCTCTCGAGAAAGATGTGACTGCTTTGCGAGTAGAAGATTTTCGCGATACAGTGGGGCAGTCCAAAAGTTCCGGGTTCAAGATGTTTCTATCGAAACTCCTTACTACGTCTTACAGCATTCGCGAGGATCTAACAACCGAGATAAAGTCGGCGGTTTGCATGACATACCAGTTGAACAACTCTGGAGACTATTTTAACAACGCCTGCAAGTCTGATTCTACTCGTGAGTGGTTGGAGAAGGCTATCAGGAGAGGGAGGAAAGTTTATCTAGTCGTCGGTATCAAAACCTTGGCAGACGCGCATATCACTGTTGGAGAGAAAATATCGAGAGGGACCTCAACCAGTTCCGAACTTTCGGGACGTTCGCTTTCAGGAACTACTCTTCCCGTCGGATCCAGCCTTGACCTTGGGGCCTCAGGGTTACATATCACAGAATACAGCAAAGCTGGGGAATACGTGGTCCCTGGGGTGCAAATCTTCGCAGTTCAATACCGAAGAGTAGGCTTTCCGTTGTTTTCCAGACATAATCTTGAAAAAGCAGAACTGCAAGATGGCAACCGATGGGAGGTATACCTGGGTGGAAGAGGAGAGGCGGATGGTGTGCAGATTGTTGAACCGCAAATGCAAGCTGATGCTGGAGAGGAGGACTTGGAAGGTTATTGCGATTGCGAGGCCTTCTTGTTTGGAGAAGATGAGATTCTTTATCTGTCTTGAATGTTGTCTTTCACGGAGACCGTAGAGAATTCTATCCATGTGATCAAGTACGGGGCTCGGTTTAGAATATGCAATTGTATTAAAATTTGTAATTTAAAAAAAATATATGGCTTGATGAAGTTGATCAAAGTTGCTCTTTGTGTCTGTTTGATTGAGGCTGAACAACTATTTGACCAATCTGAAGTCTAAGATTGCTGAGGAAAGTTTATCTGTAAGGAGTGATAGCTAATTGGAGGTTGAATCATATCTTTGACCTGGAAGTGACCTGGAAGTGACATGTTCTGAGTTGGAACATCTTAAGCTTGCGTTTCGTGAAAGTCAGAACCTCTAATTATTATCATTAATACTCTAGTCATATCTGATAGAGCAAAGTCGTAAGCAGCGAGTGATAGATTTCAAAATATGGAACAATCTGATTTAACCCGACTAGCGTAGCCATCTAGATATAGAAACACTTATTTTAAACCCCGGTTTAAATTTCTATAGGAATTACTCAGTCGTTAATTAAAAAGTTGGAATTTTTAGTAAGCATTTGGCCATGGTTAATTGCAACGATATCCGACTATATGTACTTAATTAATGCGCGAGTATATATAATATTATATCTAGAACTACGTCACACAGACAATGGAACTTTCGTAAATATGAGTTTCTCACCCAACCGTTTATTTTATTTTTAAAGCTTGAGATGATAAAAATGGGGGATAGAGTCCACGAAATGCTCTATCCGTACGTTCTTTGCTACTGTAGGTAGGAAATGCAAGATAAGAATAAAGTGTTGCTAATTAACCTGAATTAAAGCCACAAAAAAGCAAACAGAAAGATAAAAATAGAAAAAATAAAGGAAAGACTACGTGGGGCCATGGGTTAAATGATTTCTGTGGGTTGTTGCCTCTGGCATTATGGGACCTAATACAAGGGGTTATCAGCATTGTTCTTACGCTTGTGGGTATTTGAGACTATTACTCTTCATTGCGGCTATTAAAATTCTCCCCAGGAGTAGCTTTATTATCATAGTCCGTAACATGGTTCTCGCTACTAATTTCCCTATGGTCCTCGTCCGTAAAGTGCCCCTCACTGAGCGTGATATGAGACTCGTCTGGAACGGTGCGCACTTCAACTTCAGATGTCGCCCACAATCTTCGCGCTTGCGAGCTGCGCGCAAGTCTTGCTTTACGGTCACCGACATCCAACTCCGCTAATAAGGCATCGAGGTCGTTTTCACCCCTGGTGGAACCAGGCTCCAATCTTGCGCCGTTAGGACCAAGTTCTGGTAGCTCTAGAGCACTGAATGACGTTGGATCCTGGGTAATGAAAACTTTGAAGCAATCAATTTGATCGGGAGACAGCGGGCTCCAGTTCTCGGACAGTAGCATCTCAAATTCGCACTCTTTATAGTCGTTGTTGAGAACGGTTTCGTATTCCAGACCAGGGGGAGGGAAAACTTTTTCGATACACCATAATGATGACTGAAAATTGAAAATCGTGATGTTTAATGGTACCCCGGTCTTATTCGTGAACTTGATCGCTATGCTAGACTTATCCCTTACACTGTGTGTCGCCCCACAAGTAGCCGGGTCTGCCCTCACAAGAATAGATTAACAAAGTACATAAATTCCAGTGATTATAGAATCCATACCGAATCCTTCTATCTCGAAAAAATACTTCTCCTTCAGGCTGTCTGGCTCTGAAAGATTTTTCAATTCCCGAAACATCTCGTACCTTGCCAAATGTCTCAGATTGTGAAGGAATTGTTTCGGGTTGGTGGATTGTGGAAAGTTGCTGATGGGCTCATTGGAGGTATCGAGGAGTGTGAAGTTATTGGAAAAATCTACACCGATATGGTACTTCGCGGTAGATTCCGAATCAGAAATCAGTTGCACTGGGGAATCCTGGGCATTTCGTCTGAGTTCTTCCTCTAGCTTATTGAACAGCCCTTTCCCAGTGGGCGTAGATGTTCCTGGGAAAAGCTTAACTGCCAGTTTCAGTACCAGAGATTTCAACGGCAGTGCCTGGAAGCCAGGCTCAATTTTCACGTCAGGGGCTGGGAATTCTAATTTAGCTGTTGAATCCAGTTCAAATACTTTAGTAACACGAGCTTTTGGTCGCTTGCTGGAATCACTGAAGTGAAGTTCGTTCCAAGGATAAATTGCATATTCCGAGTTGACCATTACTCCATGCGCTTTGCCCGCGTCTAATATGAGGGTGTTTCCCTCGACCTTTTTGACGGTATGGGTGTGAAAAGACCCCGCCTCTTCGCTCCCGAAAAAGTATCGGTTACTTTTTCCTGAAAAAACAGGTGTTTGCTGCCCGTTCCAATCTTGCGTTATCTGTACCTGAAGTCTTCGATGTAGCATGCCGTGCGTGAGGTTGAGACCACCAGACTTGAGGAATAACAACAAATGATATGTCAGGACCCCGTGCCATTGCCCCTCAATCAAGTCTTCATTGGCTTTCTCGTGAAGACGACAAGCGGCGATCAATTCGTACCCTTGTGGGTCCCACCACAGTTCTCGGTCGATGCTCCGATAACTCTTCTTGAGCGACTCAGTGAGACCTGGGGGTACTGGTATGGGCTGTCGCCTCTGGTCATGGCTCACCGTCTCATCGACTCCGTCAATACCCCGCGCGACGGCCGTGTTACCATCTCGCGTGGCTCCCCCAGAGTGGCAACAGTCGAGCACAACGGTTAGGATTAATCCCTTCTTGACCATGGCATCAAGAAGGATTGCGAGCTCAACATCGCGTAGGTATTGTCCACCACATCCAATATTATGAGGAGCTATGGCTTCATCATAACCGCCAACACCTTTCAGATTCGGATAGGACGTCTTCACTCGCGCACCGTGGCCAGAATAATGGATGTAGACCAGATCGCCCGTTTTCGCCTCTTTGGTTACTTTCTTGAGAAGATTGACTATATTTTCATACGTTGGCCAATATCTCGGTTCCTCCTGTACTGGTAATTTACTTCCAGGTTTGGATTTAGTGGAGGTAAGTGCCACAATGTGAGATGGGTCGACTTTCAGTTGCGTTTTGAAATACTCCTCGACTGAACGAACATCCTGCACACAACCATTCAAGCTTCCAAAGCTGAGGGAGTTACCAGCTGCGTCGTGTCTGTCGCCCCCCGGCATGTAGAAGTCTATACCAATTAAGACCAACCACTTTTGAGGTTGCGCAGCGTTTGATTCTAGGTTTTCCATGCTGATTTTCGAGAAAGTTCTTTGATGTGTAGAGAGTGCTAGGGCTGTATTCTTCAGGAAATGATGTGGTGGAGAGCTAGAGTTTACCCAAATGTGGCCGGGATCCTAATGACAATTTATATTATATGTAGTATAATAGTCAACGTTATAACGATTCGTATTAACATTATCCGCGAGATTCTTTGAAACTGCTGACCACTCCTCTCCGCTAATAAGATAAATCAATTAGAGTTGACTGTCATTGGATAGTCCAGGTGGAAGACGACCGATTAAGAGAAATAAATGCACTTAGATGCGCTGGTTAGGTATCAGGCGCTCGAAGGTTTTCGATGTTAGAAATCCTTCTGTAAGGACTGTCCACTGTCACATACGCCATACAACGCCATACAGAGATAATACATGCAGCACATATATTTCTCGGAGTCTCTGCTCCTTTCATGCATATAGCTCCCCTGCGCGTTGTGTTCATAAAAATCACTCTGAGCTTGCAGTTGGGGCAGTGTTCGATTGACTGCGTTGTGAGTTGACGGCCTTGGAGCCGCCAACCACAGCCTTGCTATGTGTTCATGACCAAATTAAACTGATAAGATATACTTCACCAATATATAGTAATATTTGGAAGTATAGGCCGAAGAGGTGTGGATCGATCACGGATCCAAACAAAGGGGGGAAAGCAATGCAGCGCGAACGTCAGTCAACACCCTATGAATGGCACAGCCGTCTGATCACTCCGATTCAAATTCAACTTCAACTTATTTATCGTTCCAATATTGTCATGGTGACAGCCATAAATGCGGGTAATAGAAGGGAGGGTGCATGTACTGAGACAGACCGCCAAGGCTGTCCTGCCAACCGCAAGCTGATTACAAGTAAAACAAGAAAAATGGGATTAATAAGGATAATAGAGTTAAAGGCAAAGCTAGATGAGATTCTTTCCGATCTCTTACGGTATTTGTCTTCACCAGCTAAGTATAAGTATGTACAAGAATAAAAACGGAGGCGGGTGCGGAAGCCACGGCCGGAAGCCACAAGTACATGTCTGTATATATTTATTATCATGGAGCCAAACAACTACACGATAAAACACAGGTATCCCTCTAGGTGTCTGAACTAACCTCTCCCACAGCTACCTTACACTCATTAACTTGCCATGGAACGGGATAATACCTCCCCCTCATTAGCAATGAATTGCGTACTCACGGTCCTGCATAGATTGAAGACTGGTGATATCTGCTCTTGAAGCTAAACAGTATATAGGTATGGCACGTGTAGGCATTAACTAGTAGAAACTGTAGTCGAATTATGAGGGAGTGGGCGGGTAAGAAATTCCCTGATTCATTGACTTCGAAAACTACATGTAATGTTGCCTATTTTCCCGTTCAACCGGAAGGAATGCACAGTACACATCTTGGCGTTTCACCCTCTCGCCTAGTCCCATTAATATATTGGGGACATGCATCTCCTTGCTTTGTTCGCTTCTCAACCGAACAGCTTCAGGGTTATATCAGGTTGTCACTTATATATAGTCATGGTTGATATGGTGAAGTTACTTGTAGGTTCTTATAAGTATATTATATTTTTCATATGCATTTCAACGGTTATGTATCTAGGGGGAATGGAAATGTGGACCTAGAATATTTAGTAAAGCCGCTGGGAGGGTCGTTTTTTCGGGCCTGAATTTCCGTGGAAAATGTCAATATTTTAGTAGAAGGAAAGTCATTTTAAAAGAGATCAGACGACTTTATAGATAAAGTTACCCACGATTTTCTGGTGCCTTTACCTGTCACGCTTCTGTCACCCGTTTTTGGGCGTATACACGGGTGATAAGCTTTGGCCATCGGTGATGCTTCACGTGATTGGGCAAGGTCACCGCGAATGAAACGAATCATCACAGAGCATCGGATCCTACTATTACACCAAAAGCATCAAGCAAAAATTGCCTGCAATATATGCCAGGAAATGGACCCACCAAAATGGGATTATCCTCCAATTAACTGCTACAAGCCCATTGATGCCAGATATCATTTGATGACCCCATCGAGATATTCTCTTTGGGGGCTCAACTATCTCGAGATCTAGAGGAGGGACTTCATCGGAAAACATTGATTTTCTGGCGGAAAACGGGGAACACCAGAAATAATGATTTTTTTCTTATTTAACATGCCTTAATACACACTAGTCGGTCGGTTATTGCATCAAATAATGTGTATCTCGCAACTTTTTGTGTGGGAAACGTCAAAATTGATGCATTTCCATTCCTAATATGTACTAGGGTGTTGGTATTGTTTGGGGAAATAGCCAGTGCTAAGCGATAATTCTGTAGCGTTTAAACTGATGATATTGTAAACCGGATTCCCTTGACTTGGTGGTTGATGATACCCTCAAGTCTTCGCAGAATCCTGCCCTATTTATACATGTTGGAACCTATGCCAAGGCCCGCTTTCTAATACTAACTGATACACGATAATAGAATAAGATAATGCTCCCGAAGATAACCCAGATAGAAAAGCGCCCCCGCACAGTTCCGTCCTCCATTCTAATTCCGACACGTAACCATGAACCTTGCAATTGCCAGTCATCGGGCTATGCCATACTATTATCCTAGACCTACTTCCCTAAGTAGAACAGCCTACAGCTGTAAGCCCCGCTTCCTATTCTATTCCGGGTGAGACACCCAATAGTAAGCGTGCCGTCATAATAGTATAGTACTAGTGTGGTAACACCGCGCGCCCCCACACTACCCGATACCTTTCTATGCTTGTCCTTTCGTTACCCGACCGTCCTCGCATCACAACCCGTCACTCATATTCCTCACTGTCCTAGGCCTCTAGAACAGTGTTCCGTAGTTCCTGTAACAGGTATATATACGGCCACCCTCATGAGCTCCACCATACATGCAGTCTTCATAAAAAGAAATCAAACAGGATATAGAAGAGTCACAAAATCTTGAGTGAGAGTTTATGACTATCGAAGAACATTGGTTTTTATGTGTGGGTTTGCTGTGTGGATCGACTTTGAATTCGACCCGGCAAATACATTGTCAATAAGATACTTGGTATATAATAGGGTATATAAAGATTGAAATAAGGAGAGATTTTTTACCGGACAAGTTTGATGTATGCATATATGGTTGAGGGCCGGCCCGCCACGCGTATGTACCTACATACGTGGTGACTACATGGCTTAGTATACATATATGATTCTGGAATCGAATCTCGAAGTCGGTCTTGGGCCTGGTACGTCCTCTGGGGCACATGTACAGAGATCCGAGGACTTGTAAGTTAGCTTAACAAAACAGAAAACTTAGTTCTACATGTAGATATCTCCTCCTCCTGGGGGATCCAGGTTTATAATTTGAGATTTCGCGCTAAATTAACCGATTAGGCGCCTCCTACTGGTCTTGGCGTCCAAATGCGCCAGCTTGTTCTGTCCAATTACAAGAACCGTTCCGTTGCACTGCCCCCTGCCTTGCTGTCGGGGTAAAAGCTATACCAGACCTCACGATCTAATCGGCGGTCTCCTATGTTTTCTGCTCCTATCTAATACACACACCCCATACTTGATCGCTCGTGTTAAAGATGTCCGTTGGTATAGGCCTTGGAGATGTTTGTATCATGCTACGCGGAGCGTTCACTATGTGGGCTAGAGTCCGTGGCTATTCGGAAGACACCAGGACTGTCCGGGAAGAGATATCCCTTTGGAAACTCAGATTAGAAGAGCTTGACCAGCGAGTCAGAGACGCTAACCTCTCGCCCGGAGCGGCAGGAATGGCCAAGCACGACCTTCTAGAGTCATTCAAAACGCTCGAAAAAATCGAAAAGCACCTTTGCGTGCCAACTACGAAGGGCTCTGGACACTTAAAATGGGCTGTATATCAAAGGAATAAAGTCATGGGATACAAGGAAAGCCTGAATGCTCTTATGAGTGGGATCGCGGAAATGATGATCACGTATGTAGACCGGGCGCTATAGATACATGTACTTACATCTAGTTCCTGGCTGACAAAACTGCGCGCAGAGAGAACGTTCACCACCAGGCTATTATAGTACCGACAAACAATCTTACTACTATATCGCCTACACAGTATAAAGAGGAGCCAGTCTTTTTGGTGGATGCGATGGATGAAATGGTTGTTTTTTCAGCCGCTTTTTGCCAGGACTTGGAGGTATGAACCAGTACTAAGTCATATTTCTATACAGTCCCGCCAGCTAATAGCTTTCGAATATTTATTGAAAAGTCGCTCCATACGTTGATTGGCCTCAGATTCAAACAGTCAAAGGTCGCATCATGGATGGAACAAAGGAGATACGAAATTACTAATGGGGCCACTGGGGCCAGTTTGAGCAGTGATGTTCATGGAAATATTGTCACGCCCGGTATGAGGCTATCGATGGCTATAGTCTTGAGGAAGAGATTTACGCGGCAAAGCCAACACGAGTGCCCGAGATGTGGAAAGTGGTATGAGGGGGCCACAAGTCGGGTTCTAGAGCGGGTTCAATGGTAAGACCGCTCGTTTGATTTCCCAACGTTTATTATATTAACGTTGTCTGTATATTCTCGGCGACTTGTACTGACTGTATGGTTCATTTAAAGTAAAATATGTCGGATAACCTTTCAAGTATCACTTGAGCCACGAATTACAGAACCAGAGCCAGAGATAGATGATGTCGACACGAACATGCCCCTCTGCGGCATCTCAGCTGGGGATGAAAGCATAATTAAAGAGCCGACTGCTGGGGCTACTGCTTTGGATGATGGGGATATACAGTTCTTTCGTCGGTTGCACGTTTTACTACCTGAAGTACATGAGAAGGCAAATCAAGCCCTCTCAATTGAAGGTATATTTCTCCGTAGTCAATTGACAATGCCTACTGCTATGATTAACCATGGTGAATATTCTCCAGAAACCTTACAGACATCTTTGACTGCCCTCCATTCCTGTGAATTCTGCCAAAAGACCTTTCCCCGTCCTTGCGACCGGACGAAACATCGCAAAACACATGAACGTCCTTTCAAATGCGACGTGGCAAGTTGCAAATACCACACTGAAGGATTTCCTACCATCAAAGAGAAGGAACGTCACCAAAATGACATTCATGCTTTCAATTCAAGGGAGTGGAGATGCCAATTCGCCCCTTGCACATACAAATCAAAGCGTGAGAGTAACTGCAAACAACACATGGAGAAAGCGCACCAATACGTCTACAAGCGAACGAAGATGAATCCGCGGAGGAGAGACCATCTCCTATGACTAATACCACCGATTATGATCAAATACCAGATCGAAGGATCTCTGGGAAACGTCAAAATTGATGCATTCCCACCGCTACTAGAGTAGAATTACAACCCTTCTAGCTCCAGCTTTACTTTAATATTTTCCTTTTGTACAATCCTTTCCGTGGGACAAAATTCCTCAAAATATTTTGTTTTTGAAATTTCACTACACATAGACCTCTCCTGGAGGTTACATGTATATATATCTGCCGCCCTCTCAATATATGCTACAACTTAGGTTAAAAGATCACATCAAAATGGCTTTAGTGAGGTTTCATGTCTTCTCGGCTCTGAAGCGAGTTGGCCGTTTGAAGTATTATATTACACAACGCTCTTTTGTTCAGCCTCCCCACCTTATAATTTCGCGCCAAAGCTAACATATTTTACGGATAACTTCTAGTTCATTTACACGGCTACCAGAGCAATGCAGATTGAGAACATGATCAACGTCTCCATCTGCTGATGGACCGCAAATTTTTACAAAACTCTTCGCACAGTTACACACGAACAACAATGAGTGTACCGAGGTATCTAACCCTGCTGATCTCTTGGTCTATCAGACATTCCCCCAGGCGCGGGGCTTTCAATTACATGACTCTTCTTCGAGTGATATTTTGCGATGACATCCTCGCACATCTGCCTTTGACATCTGTTACCGTTAGCTTTGTGGCTCTAGAAAGAAATCCAATAGGCTGTACGACATCTTCTTACGTGGGAAACACATGCAGAACTCTTGATTGCGCAAGGAGTTCCTGACAACGGGGGTATGTTATATATCACGCATATAAGGATAACATAACCTAATGATGAAAGTTACAGCAGTCAGATACCTCAAATCGTTATTGATTATGTTTTCCTGACAGCATTCGCGGAGATGACTCAAACTTCATTCGATTTCCCCCATATCAGCCACAAACCAACCTAAGGTTCCCCGCAACCATACCTGAACACAAAACAAAGAGCGGTATACGTATCTAGAAGCAGTCAGCATCCCTAAACTACCAGAGAGACACTTTCCCTCGATCTATTCTCAGAGCGCTGTATCGAGTGATACTTTATGATGGTGTCTTGGCACATCTGCCCGGGCAATGCGGGTGTATACATATCTATCGCCCCTGTCGCTGTAGTACTGGAAGCAGATTAGCATCGCCATATCTCCTCTCTCGCTCATAAAGACCCTTTAAAGTTTCTATACTCCAGGCGGTATCGCTCAACATCTTTCAAACCAACGCACGCATATATAACTAGGAGAAAAACACAGCGCAAAACCTAACCTTAACCAACCCTGAATATTGCCGAAATTTCAGTCTTTGATGAAACGTGGGCTTATAATTATCTATACAGGCCCACATCGATCGTGGCCGAGATGTGTATTCAGATATTGTAATGGGTTCTGGCTGCAATATACCACTTCCATGATGAATTCCCGCATGTATACAATTAATGAATTGTTATCCAATCAACCGAGGAGTACACCCCGACCGTGGCCCTTGTCTGAAGAGCCACGGGTGATTGCATGATCCTTTTAGTCCGGAAGGCGGCGTGCGTATATTGGAAGCCTTCCCGTAAGCTATAGCGGGCGTTCTATCGCCGGATAGATCAATTTTTGGTGTTCTAACGAATAGAACAGCGTGTCTATGTGTTTCTTATAGACCCCCCCCCCCCCCCACGAGGGGGGTCTATTTGATTATGAACTCTATCCATTTTCTATCCATTGCAATAGGGAGGACACCTTACTAGCGCGAGAAATAGTCCCAAAAAATGGCCTCGCGATACTCAATTGGTATTAGGCGGCGATTAGGTTTTTAGAAATCTATATCAAACACCGTATGCTTACGTCGGGAACCTGGTCTATTCGAAAACCATCCTCTATTGCAATAGAACACGTTCAATAGCTTACGGGGAGGCGCCCATTAGTTCGGGGGAATATTCTAGTTAGTACTGCATTATATAGAGTCGAATTATGGAGTGTCGTTCCACGCAGCTGTGCAAGAGAGATAACATTGTGCAGAAGGTATATATATATATATATTCCATAATAACGTCTAGTTGAGCATAGAGCTCATCGTGCGTGTTTCCTGCCATACGGGCGACATGGTGCATGGAGGTAAAGCGCATGGTGGTCAGAAAGCTTAGGAAAATTAAACGTGCGTCTTCTCAAGGCTGAAAAGGCTCGAGCTACAAGCACTACATGAATATAGAGCATATATATAACGGAGACTGCAGAATCTCTTGTCCGCCTTATTTCCATTTCCAGATCCTGGGGTGTCTACAGATTATGCTAATTGATCGTCTAGCTAGCTAGAGTAGATTATAAACACCAGATCAACCGAACGAGCTGAAACCGACTGAATGCGTTGCGGGTTAAACATCTGGGGGAGTACGTACGTACGTACCGACGTCAGTTAGGAATGACTGCGCGTTCCGGGAGTTAAAGGGCAACTCTATCGACCGGGATTTGAACACCCTTACTAGAAGTAAGACACAATGGACGTCGCCTAAACACAACGCTGAAGAAGAAAACGCCGAACCCAACGCAAGGACGAACATGGACCACGCATATCACGGATATATTCTCTCCACACTATCCCATGAACCGTAGAAGCCTGAGGTTCCAATTGGGTACTTTGCAACTCTAACCTCGATAAAAACACAAAAACGATATAATCCAGCCCTGTTCACTAATAACAAAGAAGCGGGAAAGTTTATCAACCGATCCCAATAAGAGCTCCTAATATAGTACTCACGAAGCTGGTGTTGCTGTGAATTTAAGAAAGGTCACTTTATTTCAAGTGGGACCCAATCGGGTCCTTAACTCGGTTGCTACGGTTGATGGGATACGTATACTCGGGTAGACTACTACCCCCCCGGTCCAAGATTCGCTAATACAAAGACCTCGATCGCTCTCTCCCTGCCTCGCGCAATGAGGGGCTGACCCTCGGAGAAACTCTGCCATCACGCATGATGCATGCCAGCATCTCACGGATCACCCAGGGCCCCTATGTACCGGGTGTTGAGGGTAAGTGGTCAGAATCTGATAAGTGAATGTTACGGTGAATAGGTGTATTTGTCTTATCAGATTCTGATCACTTTTCGCTACACCCTAGTACTCTAGAGTAGAGTACATACTCTATAGACGATCATGATAGAGTATGTATCCCCGCCTGCTGACTGCATGCATACCTCGCTCCCCTCGCGTGTAACCCCAGACTATCGACGGCAGATCACACTCTATTACAAAGCCCATGGCCTGGATATTTGCGGGGGAGAGGCCAGCACGTCGTGTGCTGACAGACAGACAGCCTGGTGCGTGGTTCAAATGGTGTTGTGATCAATCTAAATACATCAGACCTGCAGATCTTCCCGTTGACTCTTTGGTGGAGGTTACATGTGTGTACCTACTCTACTCGTATCCCCGTCATGTAACCAGCTTGTCCGTGCCAAGGCTCGTGTCTACTAATTGTCCCCAACGCGGCCAAGTCCTCCGATTAGTCGGTTAAGCAGTCAGCCAATCAGCGCTGTACTTTCTTGCAATTCCCTGTCAATGATCTGCCGGTAGTTTGACCAGATCTCTACTCTCTACTCTAAGCAACCTCTTCTCCGCCGAGTGCAGTAGTGAGACCTGGGTGCGACAATCCACGTAGGTATAGGTATAGGTAGAGTAGTACTCTAGAGTAGATCGAGCACTGTGTCTCAGGCACATCTCGGAGCATAGTGCGAATATATATATATGGAGGGTCCAGTGCTATATATTCTCGCACCCCCCCTTTTTTTTTCGAATTGACCGTCCATCAGTCGCCCACAATGAAGTTTTTCGCTGCTCTTGCTAGTACAGTTGCTGTAGCCCTCGTCACTAGTGCCCATGCATACTCAACTCAGGACTCCGATCCCATAGCCACCGACTTGGCCCCGCTTCTCTCCCCGAATGCACGCATTTATGTCCGCGGCGATAACAGCACTCTCTTTGACGAGGTGACGCTCCGATACGCGCTCGTCAAGCCTGATATCAGCGTCGCAATCAGCGTTGGCGCCGCCGAAGATGTCCCCGTTATCGTAGGACACTCCCTGATACCCCTTCATGGGTAATAATATTGCTGACACCCTCGACAGGTAAAATACGCATACACCCACTCCCGCGAGATCCTTGCCGCAAACCGCCGCCATGGCTGGTCCAAAAGCCTAGACTATGTCAAAGATGCAATCATGATTGACATCTCCACTCTCACGAATATCACCGTTGACGCTGCCGCCAACACTGTGACTGTCGGAGGCGGGGTCCGTGTCGGCGATGTCATGCCCGTACTGCAGGCCGTCGGAAAGGAGACATGTTAGTCTGCCCAAGTATATAATATCACATGCCTGCTAACCCTTGTAGCCACCGGAATCTGTGACTGTGCTGGCTTCCTGGGTGTCACACTCGGCGGCGGGCATGGACGCCTCCAAGGCCGCCATGGCCTGGTGGTGGATAACATCCTATCTGCCCACCTGACAATTGCCACAGGAGAGACAATCACCGTCTCCAACACGTCAAATCCAGACCTATTCTGGGCACTGCGCGGTGCAGGCCACAACTTTGGCATCGTCACGGAGGCAACATACCGCATCTACGACGCCGTAAACGGGGGGATGCAGTACACCACCAACGCAATGTACGATCCTGTGTATATCCCTGAGATTTTCAAGGCCATGAACGACTTTGACGTACCAGCCGAGAGCAACGCACTCCTAGCCTTCTTCGTCAACCCTGTTCTGGGCACAGTTTGTCTCCCCCCTGACCTCACTAAAAATGCCCATACAAACTAACACGTGCAGCCACAAATGGTCATGAACTTTGTCTCCTCCGCCCCCGAAGCGGACGCAAGGGACCAGTTCAAGTCTGCCTTTGGCCACATCCCCTACCTCTCCCGCAATGAGACCATGGTCCTTTGGGCCTCCGTCAACGGGCAAGGGCTCGACGGCACGGGCGACTATGCATGCCGCAGCCGCGCGAGGAAGCGCATAGGCGGGGTGTCGACGGTGCGGTATGACATCCAGTCGGTGCTGGACGCGTACGAGAAGTATAAGGAATTTACGGCGAAACCGGGCGCGGAGGGCTCGATTATGCTTTTTGAGTCGTACTCGGTGAAGGCGGTGCAGGCTGTGGAGAGGGCGAGTACGGCGTATCCGTGGCGGGATGAGACGGGTGTTATGTATGCTCCCCTCTGGATCTATTGCTTTCTCTTTTTCCATATGAATTCCCTTCTCTTCCCTTCTCTTCCCGCGCTCTGCACCACAGTACAGTAGGTGAGAGTTCTAACTAGCTTGCAGCCTCCTCGACGCCGTCTACACCGACGCCTCCCTCGACGACGCAGCAAACCACTGGCTGGCCGGGACGATGGCGATCCTGCACGCCGACAGTGGCTTCCCAAGGCCTGCTGTGTACATGAACTATGCCAGCGGACTGGAGGGCTTTGGCGCTGCGTATGGGTATGAGAAGTGGCGGCAGAGGAAGCTGAAGGACCTGAAGAGGGAGTGGGACCCAAGGTGTGTGTTTAGTGGGTATAATCCGATTCCGATTGACTGTGAGCGGTGAGGTTGTGCTTTGGGAGGGGGTGGGGGGCGGGGGCAATGATTTTAATGCGAGATTTCGGGGGTGTGGGGTGGTGGTGTTACCGTAGATATATGTGCTTGGAACGATAATGTGGAATGAATAAATACTTTTTCAGTTGGTCAAGCCTGTGTCTTTGTATGGAGGTAAGGACTCCACTCCGAGTATGTGGACGGAGATGAAAGATGTTTACGAAGCAGGAATTGTCGTAGAAAGCCATATCTATATATACCGCAAGCTTATACAATTAATTAACCCCTTTAGTATGATCATCTAACTGGACATGCATGGGCATCCCATATCAAATTCACCCCTACCCGCGATGAACATACTCTCTACATAACCGCAATACAAACCTATCCCCACACCGGCTTTGTCCGACCAACACCTACATCACTTTCGTCTGCAGCTGGTGTGCCCCAGTTATGTAGCTACATGTTGTAGAATACCGCAAAATCTGAGAAAATCCGCTGAGACATAGCAGGGGTATAGGCAACTTTTGGTGTACTCTCGAGTTTTGCGGTGGCGCCTTCCGCATACATACCGCCTGTGGAGGGATGCAAGATGATGCATTGGAGATCCTCCTCATTGCATAGATTGGTGCAGGTATGATGTAGCCCTGCGTAGGTGGGGGTGGGCGTTTTGTGTGTTTTGGGAAATGATCGTGCGGTGGGAATACGAGCTGTGTTAGACGGAGATCTACTCTAGAGCCCTACTGATAAGATTGAGGTTGTGTAAAAGACACGTGAAATGTACTTCTGGCTATGACTATGGCAATGGATACGTTCCTTCCCGCACGCAGCTGGCTAACATCGTTACATCTGCCCACGACTTCTGGCTAACGTTGTTGTCTGCCCTAATCTTACCGCTTCTCTTTCTCACACCGTCTTCCACTGCCAGAAACACCAAGCATCTTTCTTTACAGCGATATACCCCGCTTCGGACCTCAGCTGGCGAATGAAATGGACGCAAACGAAACCACCGGCATCCCCGAGGATGACAAGATACGTATACTCAACGACAGTACTCCCGACGATTCGCCGACGACCCCCGCCTCCCCCGGCAGGGAAACCATCACACCACCGGGCACCGTCGATCCAGTGTATGAGGCAAAGGCCCAGGTGCTCAACGACGCCATGCTTGAGATTGGTTTCGGCCGTTACCATAAGGCGTTGTTCCTGGTTGCAGGGTTTGGGTGGATGGCTGATAACGTACCTCTCCTCCTCTCGCCCTTGTTCCTCTTCACTGTGCAAATGGACTAATTGGTGTTCTTTGTGGGGTGGTGTAGCTGTGGCCGCAAGTAACGGCAATCATCCTACCGGCGGTGGTGAACGAGTTGAGGCCGGAGAAGGTGGTGTATTTGTCGCTTGCGCAGACGTTGGGGCTGGCGGTGGGGGCCGCCGGGTGGGGTGTGGGGTCGGATATTATTGGCAGAAGATGGGCGTTCAATATGACTGTGAGTATTGTATATAGCTGTGATGGCTCTTTAGTATTGGGGGCTGGCTGACGTCTTGACTAGTTGTTGATTACGGGGGGTTTTGGGCTTGTGGCGGGCGCGGCGCCGAATTTTGGGGCGTTGGCGGCGTTTGATGCACTCTGGTCTTTGGGTGTGGGAGGTATGTTCTTAGAGGGGGAGGGTGAGTTTGTGGGTAGGGGGTGGTTTGCTGATTGGTGCGATAGGGAATTTGCCGGTTGATTCGGCGGTCTTTTTGGAGTTTATTCCTGGGACCCATCAGTACCTTCTCACGGTCATGAGTGTCTGGTGGGCATTTGGGCAGTTACGTGTGTAGGATTATCTGATTTCTTCATTGCCGTAGCTGACAGTGGGGAATAGTTGCAAGTGCTGTTGCCTGGCCTCTGATGGCGAATTTTGCGTGCGAGTCGGCGGAGGGATGTACAAGGTCTGCAAATATGGGGTGGCGATATTTTGTTTTCACGTATGTGTATAGACTGCTAAGGATTATGACACATTTTGCTAATCTTTGTGGGAGTTAGAATGGGCGGCTTCACACTTGTCATGTTTCTTATACGATTCTTCGTTTTTGAGCTCCACGAGTCACCCAAGTTCCTCATGAGCAGGGGAAAGGACGCAGAGGCAGTCAAGTCCATCCATGCGGTTGCCAAATACAACAAGGTGGTGAGTACATTGACAGTCGAGCACCTAGCAAGGATAGATGCAAAGGCAGAGAACTCGGCCAACAGGAGAGGGCCGAGATATGCAATTATTGGCGCAGCAGTGGAGCGTAATCTGCAGCGCTTCAACCTCGAACATATACGCTCCCTATTCACAACGCCTAGATTGGCCTTCTCAACCAGCTTGGTAATTGTACTTTGGGGCATTATCGGACTAGCATGTAAGGACTACTTTGTTGGAGCCATGTATTAGACTAACGACATAAAGATCCGCTATATAACTCCTTTCTCCCATACTTTCTTGCGTCGCGCGGCGCCCAGATCGATGACGGATCACCATCCACCACATTCCGCAACTACCTCATCATCGCCGTCTGCGGCATCCCGGGCTCCATCATCGCCGGCCTCGCCGTCGAGCTTCCCCTCCTCGGCCGCAAAGGAGCCATGAGCATCTCCACCATCCTTTCAGGCATCTTCCTCTTCGCCACTACCACCGCTCGCACCTCCAACGCCCTCCTCGGCTGGAACTGCGGCTACGCGCTCTCCAGCGCCGCCATGTACGGGATCCTGTACTCGTACACGCCAGAGATATTTCCTACCAGGAGCAGGGGCACGGGGAATGGGCTTGCGGCAACGGCGAATAGGGTGTGTGGGATATTTGCGCCAGTGGTGGCCATGTATGCGGATTTGGAGACGCCAGTGCCGGTGTATGTTAGTGGGGTGCTCTTTTTGGTCGCAGGGGTGCTGATGTTGGCGTTGCCGTATGAGACGTTGGGGAGGGTGAGTATTTGAGTTGCGAGTCTGGGGGTAGGGATGGCGGGGGGTAGAAAAAGGGAATGGTTGGGAGTGAGTGGTAAAATGGGTGTAGATCATTGGTAGAGTAGAGCAGAGTAGATTAGGTTGGTAGTACTAGTGGAGAGGCTTAATATACCCAGAACTTCACGGAGATTGCGCTTTTTCACTTGGGCTCGTCGTCTTCTTCCTTGGAATCTTGGGATTGGAAAGCGCCCTGGGCAGGGAGTAGGCATGCCGCGTGAAAAGACTGGCCTACTATAACTATACTACTATTCGCACTCGTATAATAGTAGACACTAGATGTGTCTCTATACTCTTGCCGATATATGCCACCCGGGGCGTAACTTATCAATGTGCATTACACCGATAACGTGAGCCCAACACCTCTTATACAACACTAGTCTACCTGGATTAGACAAAACATAACGGCACATGGGTATTGAGACAAGTACAGGCAGCATAAACCCTTATCCCGCCGTCCTACGTACGGCCACTGCCGTGTCGGGAGTGCATCATACGGTATCACTCGGTCTTACAGCTACAGCTTATTGTTTCCTTATCAGTTATGTACCTACAGTGTGGTGTGTGGGATAACGGTGGGTAGGATCCGGGATCACTCCTATCCACATTTTCTGGATAGTATGGTCTTCCTCCTTGTGGTCAGAACTTACTCGAAAGTGTTATGTATGTGCGAGTGATTGAGCGTGATGCACATAACTCCATCCTCCCATCATGATTTCTGGGCAGTCTTCATCAAGTCAAAATGAATACGGGATTAACGTGGCCTTTTGGAACCTGTTAGATAACTAGAACTATTTACTAGATTATTGTATTGAATAAGGCTTATCGCATTCGTGAATGGGCCGAACAGCCCCAACCAGATTACCTAGAGCTCCCCACCCCCTCCTTAGGTGGGAGGATGCTCTGGGTAGGCTAGAGCAGTCATGTGTACAACCAGAGTCAAGACTAATCCTCTGCCACTTTTGCGTTGGGCGGTATATAACCGGGTGGATATCGATGGGTTAATGATCAACCGAGGATATATATCATAAGAATCCTCGAGATGTTTATGTGGGGTGCTGCATGGAATGTAATCATAACCTATCACTCGGGGCTTGGCGGCCAGGTATGGTAGGATCTACACTGACCGGCGAACTGGAGGGAAATTCACAGAGATAAGAATAAGACTGTTTTAGCCAAAACACTTACAATATCTGATATGTAATCACCACAGTTGGCCTTAATTGCCGTTATCCTCAAAAAAAATAATATCAAGTCGGTGGATCATGGTCGGATTAAGGCGCGTAGAGTACATATTTTGATTCGATCTGACACACTCCATTGGGTCACTCGCTGCGCACATGTCCAATGAAATGATCGGTTGAGAGACTCTAGGCCCCCAGCCTTGGCACGGCATCCAGACAGCAAGAATCTCATATATCTCCTCCACGGCCAGGTTGCGCCAGCTTTAAACCTGCAACACCCACACCAGTCGGCCCCGCACGGCTCTAGCTCTATCAGTTGCGCAAAGATGGAATCCCCCGTGGGCAGCAGACCGCCCTCCCCAGACCTCACCGTGCCACCCCCTGGCATAGGCACCGGCGTATACGGAGCCGTGCGAACAGGCGTTGCGACAGCCTTCAATAGCCTGGTTTCGGGTATTTCGCAAAGGTCGACGACACGGGGGGATGATATAATTCCGCCGATCCAGGCGCGGGTAAGGCCACAGGACTCGATGGCTCAGTATACGAGGGCGTTTGATCAGAGAAGAACAATAGCGGAGGCGGCCAAGAAGTTGGCAGAGTGGTCGGCAGCGGGGGAGCAGAGGGGGGAGGGAGGGGAGCAGGGGCAAGAGGATGAAGAGGATGATGCGCGAGGGGCTCAGCCTATCCACGCGCACGGGGGGCGCCATGGATCGGGAAACGTAAGGAGCGCAGCCCGTAATAGGGCGACGCGCGAGCGGGAGGAGATAGTAATGCTCGGGACACTAGGGGCCCGGCATAGAGCGGGCCAGGAGCGACAGGAGCTTCCAGAGGGCCAGCAGCCAGGCCTTGCAGAAAGCCTAGCTGTAGCAGCTGCCACCAATTCTCGAATCCACTCCGCCGCCGAGGGTATCACCGAGGAGCAGTTGCACGTTACCAGGGAGAAGATACAATACGATCGCCGTAAATTCCACTTTGCCATCGTTGGAAGGGCCGGATCCGGGAAATCCTCGCTAATCAACGCCTTCCTCAACCGAAAACCAGGTGAACCGGGCGCTGCGAGAACGGGGCCGACAGGGACAACGGCTGAGATTTGCCGCTTTCAGGATCCGGGACCTCGGCCCCCGCGGCAATGGGCAGTTTGGTTCGATGTGCCTGGTGTTGAGACATTGGGTATACCCCACCTGGAGTACTTTAAAAACCAGGGATTATACGCTTTCAATGCCATCATCTTGGTAATCGGAGACCGCTTCGAAGAGTTTGACTGCAGCATCATGGCTTCATGCCAAAAGCATGAGATCCCGTGCATCATTGTAAGGTCAAAGTTGGATCAACACATCGACAACATGCTCAAGGAAAGAGACGAAGACTACCAATATACGTGGCGTGAATCAATGGTTAAGGCGGCTCGAGACGAGTGTCGGACTATATTCAGAGAGCAGACACGAGCGATGGTAGAGGAAGCGCTACACAAGGCCGATCTAGAGTGCCAGAAAGTCTTCTGTGTTTCTAGGTTTGCTCTCAAAAGTGCGTATAATGGTACGCCCATACACGGAAGTGTTCCTGAAGACCGACTAGACGAGCAGGAGCTTGTGGATATTTTGGAGTCGTTTGCTATAACTAGGCGGTACTTATATTAATGTCTAGTAAATAATACTTTGTTTCTTTCGAGTCATGTACAGGTAAGCTTCTCCAATTCTGTGCGTTGACTTTGGCAGCTCAATAATTTTGGGATTAGCACCCGCCTGCATAGGCGATGAGGGATTACGATATAGCCGTGGTAAGAATGGCTGGTGGACCACGGATATGAAAACTAGTCAGACAGAAGATAATTTGAGATGGGAGAGGCGTATCCTACGTTTCCTTCATAGAACGACTCAGGATAGAGCTTAAATCAACGCTAGCCACATCTCTCTTTCTGCTTTAACGTCGCCTGGCAAACATTACAGAACAACGTTGTATTCTGAGCTTCGGGCTGGCGCAGATATCTTTCACGAAGTCGAGTTTTTGGACTAAGGTTGCTGGTTAAAATATCCGCATGTTCCGAGAGGTCCCGAACAGCTAGTTCTCATAAGACGTACGCCCCGGACTATGCAGGTTATGGCTGAGGAGGCGGTGGATGTAGTAGAGAAGTACGCGGTCATCCTGATCGTGGCGGTCGTGGTAGTTGTGTTGAGCGGGGCGATATGGTAGAGGTGCGCAATTAAGGTGAAGGCGATGAATATGGTGTGTGAGAACTGGATGAAGTGAATAGAGTCGGAAAGGAGGCGAAAACCGTTGGGTGAACGTGAAGGTGTATTCTTGCCACGATATATTTAATGCACTCCGCTAGATGATAACACTTTGAGTTAAATATTGCGTGTTGGGATGTTTCCCGAATATTCCCGATTAGGTTTGATTTTGCTGGGTCTGTTTTAACGCACTGTGTACGATACATTTCTTTGATTCTTTTTGTGTACTGAGCTTGAGGTTGGGTTCGTGATAAACTGTGAAATGTATACTACATATATTCTGTGATGGTTCTTGTGTATACATGTATTCTGCTATTACATGTAGTTACTGCGTCCTCTAGTGTCCTCTGCTCATCTAGCAGACAACGCTTCACATGGGTATGTAGTTTCCAAGTTTACTCTAATCCTCCCATCTCCTAACAGGGAACTCTAGTACTACTAACCGGCTTTGCCAATAGTGCTCTTTGCTTATTCATCAACTTCAACCACTCCATGATGAAACCTGCAAATTCGCGACTTCCCTCTTTCAGCTATCACTAACCTTACATGGTAACTATAGCTGGTTTTTGATTGGTTCAATTATTGTTATCACCTGCCTTACCAAGTGCGTGCACGGTCCAAGTCGCGAGTTTCATCCGTCTAAGAGATATAAGTCTTGGCTTGTGTCGCCGAGCGCCTGTATGAAAGCCGCACTAAGACCGATAAGGTTAGGTTTTGTATATAAACTCTCTTGGTACGATCTGGCGCATTAACGACACTGCGAGCCAAGGATACAATGTGAGATCGAACGATGTTCCCTATAAGTTACGTCCTAACACGCTGGAACATTAGAAAATTCTTAGCACCTATACGAGAGAGGGTACCAGTGGAGGGATAAGATTATTCTAGATTCTTAGGATGGTATTTTCGGTAGCCTGCCTGCTATGAGTTAATCTTTACTTCTCACTAGAGTCCTCGGACTGGATCGAGAAGATTGGTTGCATGGTCGCTCAGCGGGTCACAGGTCAAGGCAAAGGAACACCAGTGTTTTCTCCCCAAATAATTTCATTTGCTAAACTTAAGGTTTCCTATCTCTTACGAGATAACAAGCTCCATCGGGCAGCTGGAGAGATGGTTCCTCCACATAAAAAGAAAGAGACATGCTCCATTTGGCAGCAAGAACAGATAATTCCTCCAAAGAACGAAAGGCAGACATGATCAATAGGCATTTGTGGGAGCTTGAACGAACGATTCAAGTGTTAGGGAAAGAGTAGTTGAAGTCCTCAGGGATAACCACTCCACCAACCCATACATCGCCTCGTGATTAGACCTTCCTAAAGTGCCATCTGGCCCTTGGAGAGGTGGTCCTCTCCCCACCGATGACGTTAATGATATAATGGGAATTATCGGTGATAGCAGTCATGTAGAGATTTGGTCTCTGAACACTCTGGACTGAAAGGGATCTAACAACGGAAAAAGACTAGTTATTAAATAGATCGGGTGTGTGATTTATAAATTAAAAAGCTACATACCCTTGGTCGAGTTGTTCAATCTTCCATCTCTGGTTTTGCCCACCGTGGGCGGGATAGGTAATGATATTAGTCCCCGGCTCTCCTCTGCCTCCTTCAAGGTCTAGAACGAGCCCTGAATTCAAGTGCGTGCACTCGTAGGCACCGCTGGCGGGGTCAAATTGGAGTCTCCAACGTGAAGAGGCCATCTCCATAGCCATCGCGTTATTATCAAGGGAGGTCAATGCGTGGTTGCGATGCCTGTCGTTTGTAATGAAATAAACGCCGTCTTCGAGTGGTCGAGAACCCATCTGAGAAAAGAGTAAGTAGGGTATCTTTATCGGATATTCTACGAGCCCGTACCTTTGAAGTTTGAAGTTACTGTTGAGCGAGGATATTGAGGAATAGATAAAGTCAATTGAGAGTGTGAGTCGAGAGTGTGAGTGATGATGAGAGGGAGAAGCTGCGGCTATGGGCTCTCTTATATAGCCATTTTGTCCTCTGGTTTGACCAATTAACCAAATTTGCAATATTAGAAGGGCTAGAAGGAAAATGTGAACATAGTGCACCATATGCGATGCGCCTAGTGACGGATTTCTATTACGATCTCCGGGCAAATATCCGTATCAGAATAGCGGATAAAGCTCAACTTACAGTGCTAGGCAGATGAGTTGTAAATTGGCTAAGATAATACTACACTTCCCTTTAGTCCTGCATTATTGTCCAAATGGGGAATATAATCTTCAGTTTTCAGCTGAGATCAGACATTATCACCACAGCTGAGAGTGAACATGATCACTGATGCATGTGGAAAAAGAAATTCAAAGTCTATGTAGCTAGTTGGCTGTGTCGCCCTACTGCAACAGAAGAACACCAAGTTATCAGCTTTGTTATTTTTCAAACGTCCCTCAGCTGAGATTCGGCACAAAGACTGCAGGATGAGAACTGTAGTGAATTTGATGCTGATCTGATTATCTGTGTATGATCGAACCTCAGCTGGTTATGACCATACCTCCTTGATCTATTCATTCCTCAACATGTACTCTAGAGTGATATCACATGAAGGCGGGGTGTTTACGGGCCTCGCACATGCGCACCTCTACAACTAGCCGCTAGACATGGCGAAGAAAAAATATCACAGGCCTTGCACATATCACCGTTCCGTTCAGCCAGTATGAATACGCCATGAGCCAATCTACACTTGAAGCAGATAATTGGGTGGGTTAAGACGAGCTCTTTTTTTTCTTTCAGTCTACAGAAACCTGATATGAAGAAGAGTTTTGACCTCCATGTTGCTATTAGCTCTTTGATAGAATCATACTAACGTCTGCAGCACTAGAATCCGACTTAAATGATGCCTCATGTCTCATAGCGATTGAAATTGACAAACAAATATTAGCACAGCTATTGAAAACCACTAGGTAGCAAACTAAAGTCCCAAGATACGGTGTGAACCATGAGTCAAAAAGAAATCTTGTCATCTGGAAGCCAACTTTTACAAGTCAATATTAAATGAGAATCGTAATCAGAGATACAATACAATTAGGAGATTGAAGTGCATAGGTTAAGTTCGATTGTAGGCAAGAGACGCAATAAACAAGTACACTGTGTTTTCGGTGATCTAGTTCCAAGCCGCGGTGCATATACTCGATACATACACCTTGGGGGCGGTACAAGACCGAATCAAAAACTGTGGCCCTACCAATGTGTTTAGTTAGAGCTGATCAGCGGAGGATGAAAAAATACACTTGGCTACAAGTACGTATTGAATGGTTTTCTTCGGTTGTAACTTTCACACCAAGGCATCAGATTTACGATCGGAGTCGGACATTGTATCGCCAGTCTGCTGAATGTACAGAATTAACCTTTCCTGCATGATCAAGCTTTATCTTATCAGGAAGTGATAGACGAGCAAATACATGTGGGTGGAGGCTGCGGCCGGCCAATAAGATACAGAATTAATCCAGCGCCGTCCTGCAGATTCACAGTCTTGGCGCCAAAGTAAATTCATGGAATGGCAAGGCAAGCCCAGTTTCGTAGCGATTTAGGTACAATATGCATGGAACCAGATTCTAAATATGTATGTTTCGGCCTACATACGTATTAGGCTATAATACTGTTTATTATTCCTTGCAGCTTTAGCTGAAATGACAATTCAATCATTATCTTATTACATAGAGTCGATTTTACAATATGCATCAGCCTCCGACCAAGCTTTAGCTACACCTACTCTATGTAATAAAGCATTGTATCTATCTCATCCAACCACAAATTGCAGCGTTCTCTTGGTGATTCTACACAATGACATTGAGTATATACAAATATTCACTTTGGGCCCTCCGTCTTTATTTCAAGTGGGACCTAATTGGGTCCTTAACCCGGTTGCTACGGTTGATGTGATAGCCTCCTCGAGTTGTGGTAATGCGCGCACGCGCATGCGGAAAAGATCATGAAATGGGCAGGTGGTATATTTGACCAGATTTTATGTCCTGTGGTAGGTCGATCTCAAGACTGGGTAAAAGTCTTTCCAGTCTTGTCTCCCTGCTGTCCTGGTATGTATTGTGTGATCAGCTCGGGATTGAGTCTCAAGACAAATTGCAAAGCTAGTCTCAAGTTATCTCGTCTTGTGCACACCGCTACTTTCTCCCTATTCGTGGTATGGTGCGAATACCCTTGAAGGTGACACAGCGGTGTTTGGAAGTGGAACTATCATGGCTGCAAGATGACTCCTGCCGCAACTCGCTTTTGAAGGGTATAAATGGGTATATTAATACTGCTCCACTATACAAAAAGAGCCGATTTCAAGCTCTAATAACTTTAGAACTAGGATAGATACCAGAAGTCTGTACAATGAAAGTAAACTTCATCACTACTACTACACTTTCATTTACCGATTTGTTTTATGTTTTTTGTGGTAGAGTTATTAGCGATTGGCTTTTTGTTACTTTTTGTTACCTTTAAGACGGGCCGGGTGACACCATATTACTAGCTGACATGGTGCATAGAGCAAGGGGGAAAATTATTATAGAAGTATGGGAAGAGTCCCATTGGCCGAGTCAGCCACTTAAATCTGTTTTTAAACCCCTGTTTCTACTCGCGACCAGCAACAAGAACCCGAAAATGCACGTCCTAATCTGCAATTTCCATTGGAGTAGAAGTCAAAAATACACCAAAGACTTGCAGCTGCATATTCGGGTACTTGTTGCTGGTCGCGAGTACAATAATTTTCCCCCCAGATGTATCTGTAGAACCGCAGCTGGCCGGGCCGCGGGGTGTTTTGAGCGCGGGGTAAGATCAAACTTGAAGCCTTGAAGATAAATTACAGATCTTGCATAGAAACGGCTCACAACAACTCTATACCTAGGGTGATCTACAGACCACATTTGAACGCCTACAAACCTTCAAAAATATCCACGGGAAGGCCTCCATTAGCAGAATAGAAGTACCATGGCCGGATGTAGATTAGGTACATGTGTCAATTAGACTGTAGCGGATAATATTACTTAAACCCTTTTTTCAGATCTAAAGTTTAGATCTAATTGATAATTATTTTATGCCTGTATCACAGGTGTTCAAAAGCACCCAGGTGGTAATAGTTACGGTTCAAGTGTATAGAGCCCTGAGTGTTCACTAATACTCAGGCACCCCATCGGCGATATTCCCTCAATTGCAAGGAGTGGAGACAAGCCAAAAAGAAACAGTCAAGCCCAGTTTTCGATTGTTCGTCAAATGTCGCCTGTGCGTCAAGACGTTCAATAAGGTCCGTGAATGTTGATGTATTGTAGTAATATAATATATATGTGGAGTGCATGCTGAGATCGTTCATCCCCGCACATCGTGTAACGCTACAGAAATTAAATGCAGCCGCAAACTGTAGAGTAGATCATCGAGGATAGAGTTCAGCTGAAATCCCACATATATATCTGCATATTGGCGTAAATCGTGCTTGGCAACCAGATTTTGGTATGCAGACCCCAGTCTAGTTCGGAAACGTTAGAAACAGCTACGAGTAATAGCGTACCTAGTACGCGAATGATAAGCGACGTACTACATACTTATGCTCCCCAAGACAGACACGGTCAAACCTACAGCTTGGTGCGTGCACGCAGATCCTCATTATAAATAATATATAGCCGGTGAGCCTATCAAATTTCTAAATAAGGTTAGGGCGATTAGGTGTGAAATGGTGTCCTATTATTTTGTTGTATATACTGAAGCCACAACTGGGTGTTAACGGACATGGAAATATTAATGCTTGGCTGTCTCCTATGGAATATCCTTAGACTCCGTGTCAGTCTGTCGACGTCTTCACCCATGCATGGACGACTACTCGTTTACCACGAAAAGGACCAGAAAATGCAGTTGCTCAGGGCAAGGATTATTTGTATGGGGTGGCGGTGATCTCTCATACAAATCATTACTGTTTCCCTCACTTGCATTTTTAGGTTCTTACCCTGGTATGAGTACAGTTGGGGGGGGGGGGGGGGGGAATTATTGTACACGGGGCAGCTAAGAAGGGCCTGAAAATAACTTTTGATGGTAACAACCTCTGATTCGCGGCCGGCGAAAAGCTACACCAAATTGAGCACCTGCTTGCAGGTTGCATTTTCAGGTTCTTATTGCCTGCCCCGAGTAGAAACAGGGTACAATAATTTCCCTCCCCCGCTGTATCATCTGCTTGCAATTGACTCTAATTTGGTCTGGTCTTACTATTGGCTTAAGTTGCTCATCGTCTAGGAGGCCTACTTCGATTAACACACGGGAATCACCTTTACATAGCTCTACTCGTGACAAATTCCGGGCTTTCCAATAAATTTAATAAAGTTCTTTAGTTCTCAATTATGAGTCCGGCCGCGGTGGCCGCCTACCTAGTATTACCGATGCCCCTCCATCACTTGAAAGCTCGAGCAACCCGAGAAAACTCGACTGATGAAACCTCGATCCTGCTCGACCCTACTGGAGGTCAGAACTTGAGCTACGAGCTTTAGCGCACTCCACTCTTCAATTAGACTCGATGGACCCTAGTCAACCCATTCATATCCTTATTTACACCTAATGAGCGTCTGTATATATGAATTGATCTAACAAGCATTTTGACGTATGGGCCCATGTGCCAGCTAGCCAGGTACTCTCAAACATGATAGAAAGTGTATGTAGATGTGGAATGAACTCCTAGAATAATGCCTAAAGTTTCCCTGGGGTAAAAAGCTGCCGCTCATTTGTTCTAAATCAGCTTTTTTTGATCCGTTTCAAGACAGTTAGACCAGCTCGGATATTCCTTGGATAAAGTTCATACAGCATCAAGCTTTAGGGAATACCTACTTTCCATCAATGAATCTTCAATTGCGTTATAAACATGTACATTGGTCAAGCTGAATGCTGTTTCGATTAAACTGATACACAGACTTATTTCACAATGAATATACCAAGAATTGCAAGCATTAATATTAGAGATGCTCCTGATTAGAGATGCACATTTTCTCGCTGAGAATCAGCTCAAAAAGTGGTTGCTCGCTGAGAATCAGCTCAAAAAGTGGTTTCTCTTGTGTTGCAGCCGTAAGCCCTTATCCAAGTTTCTGAAATAGGTTCTTGAAACGCCCGCCGGGAATCAACCGCAAGAATAGTACATCCACTTGAAGGACAGTGATTTGAATACAGTGGGCTTAAATTGTGAGGATCACCTTTCGGGGTGGTCGGAAGGTAGGAAGCACTGGGGGGTTGTGGATATATCCATATACAAAAAAGGTCATGAGTAATATAGTGGGAAAATCTTACGCAGTAGATAATTCCACACAGCCTAAAGATAACGAAGTACAGAATAATAAAATGGTAAGGTTCTCCAGGTCGCGCAGTATCGAGTTCACTGGGATAAAAAAGGCTATTTTCAATTGTTTTAAGCCTTATCTGACTAAGACCATATACAAAGTAAATCGTCTCTTTTAATTATCATCGTGGAATAAATGTCCATTGTCTCAATAGGTTATTGGGGTCCTTTTCTTCGCCAGTGACACGCATCATGTACTCCGGTTGTGAGGAGGTAAGAGCGAGCATGAGCTTAGGGCTTGACACATTCTTGACATAGTAATTACTAGATGTATGGCAGTAAGCATATCGTTCATGAGTAGCTACAAGCTATAGCTAATAGGAACCACAAACCCTGATGGCAATCTCTTCAATTTCCATCTTTGGTTTCCAGTGTTGTGATTCGGATAGACGATGACATTTGTGCCGGGTCTATTGCCAGAACCCTCCAAATCCAAGACGAGCTTCGAATTGACGTGGATTATGGTGTAGTTCTTCTCCGCAGGGTTGAACCGGACATCCCAATATGTCATCATCTCTTCAGTGGCGAATACGTCTTGTCCATAAGAGCTGAGCCGATGATTAAAGTGCTCGGTATTTGCGATGGAGTACCGGCCATTCGGCAGAGTGTCTAATTTCTAGATGTTGGTGAGTATAAAGTTCCCTGATAGGTGTTTCTCTTGAACCATCGGGCGCTATACTCCCACACAGCGCAACACTGAATCAAAGCTTGTAGGGTCACTTGCGCATCTCTTTAAAATGCTTAGTACATCTTCTAATACCTAGAATAAGATACTAACCTTCGCTTCTTCACATATTTCGCGAGCGCTGTTGGGGTTCACCCCGAGATCGTTTGATATATCATTCCACATTTTGCTAGTAAACCAGTGAAGCGTTAAAATCGCATGTTTTTTTGCTAGGCTGATCGAGGAATCCTGTTGAGCCATCTTTGAAGAGAACTGAGCCTTTGAATCTTGTGCGGTTTTGAGTAGGTGTTAAGGCTTCGATAGAGCCTCCCAGTCGGTGGCAAGATCCTACAGTTATGAAAAGGATCAAGTAATTATGTAAGCGAGAAACGTGTTCCGACCCACCACAATCACAGCATTGTGACCTTAGCATTAGAGGTGGCTAATACATCCGTGTGGTTACAAGTTGTTTGGCGCCGATGCGGGTCAGGTGACTGTGTGTGTGTGTGTGAAGTCATTTCATTTCTAGTTTCTAGGTACAGAATGGTGGCATGTAGTATAAACTCTGACGGGAAGAAACCTAACCCTGGACAAGTCTTTTTTTTTTTTTTGTTTAATGCATTAATTGCATGCAATCTTACAGTTATGGCAATAGCCCCTGAACTACTGTTACGAACCACTACCGCAACACGGGGGAAGCATGAGTCATCGGAAAGTGCCGGAAGTTTCTGCGAAGGATTAGTAATCGGGTTGTTCTCTTTCTTATATATATAGGGGTGCTGGCCCCCTCACTGTCTACTTCTTTCCTTACGCAACATCTTGTATTTTACTTTGAGTTATTACTTTGGGGGATTTACTTCGCTTCAATACACTTCGTTACTCTCAATCCACGTTACGTCCGCTGCCCATCATGCTCTTCGCATCCGCCGTTATGTTCCTCGTCGTCGCCCTCGTGGCCCTCTGCTCGCCTACCCCGCTGTTCCCCTCGGCCCCCTCGCCGACCGCTGTCTCCTCCGTCCTAGTACGGACCATTGTCCCTGCCCTCGCGCACACCGTTGACTCCACCCTCGTCCTCGTGCGAGCCTATTCTCTCCTTCCCAGGAGCCCCCTAGTGTCCTTCGACCCCATTGCCAAGCCTTCGCACACAGTTCCTTACACTATGTTGCGTATCTTATTGTCGACCGACACCCTCTCTCCGGAGAACAACAACACACTGCTACCATTCGCCTACGCCGCCCTCTTCCTCCTAGCCTGGACAACAGCCTACCTACTCGGTAGACTTCTCCCCCGAGCCAGGGAGGAACCACTCGCCGACCAAACCCCCCCACTATTGACACCCCGACGCACTCGACGACTACAACGCCTCCTCCTCCAACGTGCTACCTCTTTTGGAAACCCTACAGGAAACGACCCGGGTTGGTGTTTCCTAACACTAACCTCCAGGGACTTCCACCCCTACCTCATCGGCATCGGACCATACCCATCGCCTGTCAAGGTCTTGAATACCCTTCATCGGTTAGGAGCACCACTACTCCCTGCCCTGGTCACCCGTCATAGGGGCACAGCACACGTCACCAACACCCCCGGCGCCCACACGGCCACACGACTCTTACGGACGAGAAGGGTAGGAGCCAAACTCAAGATCGGACAACTACACCACCCCGGCGACTGCGAACCCTTTGAAGTACCAATACGGCTATCTCGGAACAAGGACGCGCTCCAGGCGCTGGTGGACACCGGAGCCACCGGATATGGGTTCATCGACGCTTCCTTCGCCAAGGCCCGCGGATATACCCTCGAGGAACTCGCGACCCCAAGACATTTGCAAGTGATCGATGGACGAGCCATCGCCTCCGGAGCCATCACCCACTGTTGCAAACTCCGCCTCGAGATGAATGATCATGTGGAAGGGGCCTCCTTGTTTGTCACCAAGCTCGGCGACGTGAAAGTGGTCCTCGGACTCCCCTGGCTACAACACCACGCTGCCGAAATACGGTTCGCCGACCGATCCATCTCCTTCCACGCCGAACGCTGCCAACAGCACACGGCAACTCTCTGGACCTCCACCCTCACCTGCCCCCCATTGACCGCCTCCGCCGCCACCCTGCCGCCCCCGCCAATACCCCCGAGACCAAACACCGCCATCCCCTCGCGCCCGCCGCCGATACCCCCAAGGCCAGCCACCCCTCGCCGCACGATCACCTTGTCCGCCGCCCGATTCCGCAGAGAAGCACAACAACCGGACAACCAGCTTTTCCTCCTCGCAGCCCGAGCCCCAAGTCCAAACTCATCGCCGTCCCAATCAACCGATGAACTGGTCCCTGTCGCTTACCACCAATACCTCCACCTGTTCCAGGAATCCGAGGCCCAAGCGCTCCCCACCCACCGGTACATCGATCACGAAATCCCGCTGATGGAAGGCAAGCAACCACCCTTTGGCCCCCTGTACGGCATGTCCTCGGAGGAATTAAAAACCCTGCGGGAATACCTGGACGACCAGCTAGCCTGAGGGTACATCCGTTCATCTTCGTCCCCTGCAGGAGCTCCCGTCCTGTTCATCAAAAAGAAGGATGGATCCTTAAGGCTATGTGTGGATTACGGCGCCCTCAACGCAGTCACCATCAAGAACCGCTACCCACTGCCGTTGATCAACGACACCTTGGACCGATTAAAAGACGCCAAGATATACACCAAGTTGGACCTCCGCCAGGGCTACAACCAAATCCGAATCAAGGAAGGGGAAGAATGGAAAACAGCCTTCCGAACCCGGTACGGGCTGTTCGAATACCTGGTCATGCCATTCGGACTCACCAACGCCCCCGCTACCTTCCAAGCCTTCATGAACGATACCCTCCGAACCCACTTGGACGACTTCTGCACGGCGTACCTCGATGATATCCTGATCTACTCCAACACGCCGGAAGAACACCAGCAGCATGTCCGCATTGTCCTGGACAAACTACAAGCCGCGGGCCTCCACTGCAAGCCAGAGAAGTGTGAGTTCCACGTGGATCGTACCGAGTACCTGGGGTACATCATATCCGGCGAAGGGGTCACCATGGCAACCGACAAAACAAAGGCGATCCAGGAGTGGAAGACACCCACCTCGGTCCACGACGTACAGGTCTTTTTGGGGTTCGCCAACTTCTACCGAAGATTCATCCGCGATTACTCCAAGGTAGTATCCCCCATGACGAATCTGTTGAAGAAGGACGCCCCGTTCATATGGACAACCGCAGCGGAACACGCTTTCGCCCAACTAAAGGAAGCTTTCACCACCGCCCCGGTACTAAGGCACTATGACCCCGAACGAGCGTGCATAGTGGAAACCGATGCCTCTGACTTTGTCGCGGCAGCTGTACTCTCCCAGAAGGACGACCAGGGAATCCTACACCCTGTGGCGTTCTACTCCCACAAGATGACGCCAGCCGAGTGCAACTACGACATTTATGACAAAGAATTGCTAGCGATCGTACGCGCGTTTGAAGAATGGCGAAAGTACTTGGAACCCAACAACCAAGAAACCACGGTGTACTGCGATCATAAGAACCTGGAGCACTTCATGTCCACAAAAATCCTTAACCGTCGTCAAGCCCGCTGGTCCTTAACGCTGTCCTCCTTCAACTTTGTAGTCACCTACCGCCCGGGTACGAAGAATGGGAAACCTGATGCCCTCACACGTCGATCTGGAGATCTCCCTAAGGAAGGGGATGAAAGATTGACCCAGCAGCACCAGGTTGTACTAAAACCAAAGAACCTTCGTCTGACGGCCGTACTACAGACCCCCACACCCTCCAAAGTGGCACCATCCCGCCAAAGGGAACTAGAGACCGCACTGGCCAAGGACCCTCTATCCAAACAACTCATGAAGGATATCGCGGCCAAGAAGAAACACTCCCGCTTCTTACCCATAGGTGAATGCACGGTTAAGGAAGGATTACTGTACTATCAGGGCCTACTATACATCCCTGACGACGCCGCTATCAAGTTGGAGATCCTCCACACCCACCATGATGCACCTTCGGCCGGACACCCATGACGGGCACGCACGCTGGAACTACTGTCCCGGAACTTCTACTGGCCCCAAATGCGGAAGTACGTTGCCCGTTATGTGGACCACTGCGATACCTGCTCCCGAATTAAGCCGGCCCGACACACCCCGTATGGTCTCCTCAAACCATTGGCTCCCCCAGTCAAACCTTGGTCTTCGTTATCCATGGACCATGTTACAGGCCTACCCGAGTCCCACGGATCTAACGCCATCTTAGTAGTGGTCGACCGGCTCACCAAAATGGCCCACTACATCCCCACGAGAGACACCGCCGACGCCCCGGAACTGGCCCGACTATTCCTACAATACATCTGGAAAGCACACGGACTGCCGAAAGACATAGTATCAGACAGGGGCACAACCTTTACCTCGCAGTTTTGGAAGTCACTCTGCGGCCAATTGGACATCAAACCCCGATTCAGCACAGCCTTCCACCCACAAACAGACGGACAGACCGAAAGGGTAAACGCCATTATGGAGCAATACTTACGGGGCTACGTCAACTACCAACAGGATAACTGGGCAGAGTATCTTCCCCTGGCAGAATTCGCGCATAACAATGCCTCTACGGAACCGTTGGGAGTCAGCCCGTTCTTTGCCAACTATGGGTATAATCCCCAACTAGACGTCCTCCCTGCTGAAGAAACGCGCAAGGTCACACCGAAGGAGGTACTGGAATTTGCGAACTCAATCTCCACCTTACAGGCTGCCCTGCGATCAGAGATCCTGTATGCACAAGCCGCCGCCGCCGATAGTGCAAACGCCGCCTGACTTCCAGAGCCCCGACTCGAAGTAGGAGATATGGTATGGCTATCGAGAAAACACATACGCACCACTAGGCCATCGGACAAACTGGATCACAAACGGCTAGGGAAGTTCAAAATACTCGAACGCTTCGGATCACAGGCCTACCGCTTGGAACTCCCCGCCTCGATGAAGTCCCACCCCGTATTCCACGTTTCGTTGCTAGAACCTGCTCGGACCCAACCTTTGCCAGGCCATATACAACCACCACCGCCTCCGGTAATCGTTGAAGGGGAGGAGGAGTTCGAAGTACAGGAAGTACTGGACTCCCGAATACGGCATCGGCAATTACAATACCTAGTCAAATGGACCGGCTACGAACAGCCCACCTGGGAACCGGCTCGGAATCTCGATGAGGAATTAGTGGCACTGCAACGCTTCCGCTCCCTATATCCCCACAAGCCCGCGGCAATCCTTAAGAGGACCTTGCGTAGGAAAGTATAGTTTGTTACGGTTTCTTTCGCAAATGAAACCGCTCTATGTTACGTTCCCTGGTGTTTCGCCTACAACCATTTGCTAACTTGCTATGTACTTACTTTTACCCCGCCTCCCGCCTACCTACTCGCAGGAGCTCGCTCTTCGAGAGGAGGGGCTAAACTGTTACGAACCACTACCGCAACACGGGGGAAGCATGAGTCATCGGAAAGTGCCGGAAGTTTCTGCGAAGGATTAGTAATCGGGTTGTTCTCTTTCTTATATATATAGGGGTGCTGGCCCCCTTACTGTCTACTTCTTTCCTTACGCAACATCTTGTATTTTACTTTGAGTTATTACTTTGGGGGATTTACTTCGCTTCAATACACTTCGTTACTCTCAATCTACGTTACGTCCGCTGCCCATCATGCTCTTCGCATCCGCCGTTATGTTCCTCGTCGTCGCCCTCGTGGCCCTCTGCTCGCCTACCCCGCTGTTCCCCTCGGCCCCCTCGCCGACCGCTGTCTCCTCCGTCCTAGTACGGACCATTGTCCCTGCCCTCGCGCACACCGTTGACTCCACCCTCGTCCTCATGCGAGCCTATTCTCTCCTTCCCAGGAGCCCCCTAGTGTCCTTCGACCCCATTGCCAAGCCTTCGCACACGGTTCCTTACAACTACCCAATCTCTTCCACCACCTCTCGCGTGTATCTGACATAGGAAATACAAACAAAAACACTAGTAAATAATCTTTTATCCTATTGCTCGTTTCTAGCAGCTCTCAGCGTTCTCAATCCATACCGTAGTTCTCTTCTCTCATTCTCCGTATCTTCATCCTCTACATTTCTTTCATATCTCCACCTTGTGAAATGCTTCCATATTTTTTTAGCTGCTTCGTGACCGTTGGCCTTCCAAAGAAGCTTGCTGATCGTATTATACTCTTTGTGGTAGGTTGCTCATGTTTCGGCTGTCGCATCACACTCGGTGAGTATGTGGTCTACTAGTATGCTTTGTTCGCCTTTGCCGTATTCAAATCCGGTGCTTTGGATTTTTCATATTCTTTTTAGATATTTGTTGATAGCTATATGTCCTATTCTGAGGCGACTATTAGCAATACAGACTCTGTTGATCCAGTCTGTATCGTCGAATTTGATTATGTTCCATTGCGAAGGTTTATGCATCATCTTTTCTTTGTTCGCTCTTGCTGTAACAGGGACAGTCTTTTCTATATATCGCTAGAATACAATAGAATAGGTGCAGCTGTGCAAGATAGAAATCAGGTGCAGATTATTCAAAGCTACTATTGCTAGAACTCAACAATCTTTAAGGGCTTTGCCACCGAGTAAAATACTTGATATCTTCCGAAGACTGGAGAAATCGGATATTAGAGTGGGAAGGATCCTGAGTACTTATACTCCAAAGAATTTCATTCCCTGCTTCCAGTTCCTCACTGAGTTCCGGTGACGACTTCCTAGGAAGGGAAGCAATACCAGTGCTACCCCACTTTTTTCTAAGCGTTAGCGGGTGTTTCTGGTTCCGAGGGCAACTACCTTTAGTGAAAGCCTTTGTAACACCTGCAGCTTTGATTGTCGCACAACCGGGGCCTGCATTAATGAGCTACCGCTCAGGTGTAAGCTTAATCGTTGCTGTGGAGCTGTTCATTTACTATTGTAGTCTTCCCAGAGGTAGTCCCTGCCATTTAGCGGCGGACTTACAATACTCAGAGAATATAGAGGATCGCCGAGTACTTAGAGCTTCATTCTGGCTGGCCTTCTAATGATTGGCGAGGCATAAATTCGTCAGCCATTCCTTACATGAATAGATCCTCTTCCTATAGCTCAGAATGTAGTTACTCTGACAGCTGGTAGTTAACCACACTGCCGGCAATTGCATGTCACTAGGCAACTGGCTTCTAACAATAACTCTCAGAATGTAGCTGGACCAAGTGTGTACTCATACACCAGACAGTTGAAATGGCTCCATTACAATACTCCACTTACGTCACACCAATCAGAGAGTGATCCTCTACTCAGAAGCAATCGGTACCTCCTGTAACGGACAACGTTCAGGATACCAATATGTATGTAGAGAAATATCAGGTGGAGAAGCCTTTTAGCGATCTCATTAGTTAAGAAGTCCAGCGACAGCGGGCCCCATGGTGCAGCAAATGAGCTGTAGACTCGAGAAATTCAGTATGCATGCACGAGATATTCTCCTAATCAGGGAACTCGCCTGGAAGTAACAAGAGTACACCAACAAGATCGTACAGGACTTCCATCCCAAGTTCGCAAGAGACAGGGAGGAGCAAGCCAACCAACTCAACCAGGTCATAGCACAGCTATGAGCAGAATCCACCACCACTACCAACAACTTTGGGCAATTTCTCAGCCAGATCATAGAAGCTACCAACGAACAACAGGAGAGGCAAGAACAATAGACTCAGTACATAAATCCGCTAACAAACTTCATTCGGTAGCTCCCGAAAGACGACCCAGTTCAGCTGACTGTGGAAGTCACAGGGGCCCTGGAAAGCATGGAACAGGAAACGTATGCCTCGATAGTGGATCAGTTGACAGGTACGAAGAGGACTCTCGAAGAAATCATTGAGCAAATGAGGATAGCAGCCAGCAAGACGGCAGCAAATCATGAAGCCTCAAGAGTAGAAGGAGGCATAATACTTGCTCAAGCTTTAAAAAATCCCTCTGCCAGCGATAACCCTGGTGAAGACCTGGAAGAATCAGGGAGCCAACCACCAGTAACTCCTCAGTCTGCGAAGAATGCAGGAAGCCAACAGAGAAGACAAGGAGAAAAGGGAGGTAATGGCAATAATGGCAATAGAGGAAATCGCATATGACCTCCAAAACCACCCCCATCAAACTCATACAACTCTTTTGACTCAGAAGATGACTACCATTCATGAAGGGAACAACAGAGCAGAAGGAAAGAATGAAGGCGCTATGAGCGGTAGTGAGATATAGACCTCGCGCACATACTTCATACCACCTTGAGAGAGATGCTCAAGCAGACAAAAATCTCCTGCTCCGAAAAGGCCGAAGAACATTTAGGACACTGTATCGACCAAATGGAAGTCTTAATTGAACTCCAAAGGAAGGTTCAGTGGTGTAACGGCAATATTACCAGTTGGCTAAAATGATAGGTCGGATCGTGAAGAGAAGGTATTGCGCAGTGGAGCTAGGATTTGTAATGGGTTTTCTTTTGTGTTCTTTCGGTTTCCGTTATGCGAGGTATGAGTCATCAACAGGCTAGGGGTTGGATATTTAAAGGGGTGTTGTCTCATACCTTTTCATGTTTTCCTTCCTTTCCTCTTCTCTTCACGCAACTTCCTGTACCTACTCCCGCAACACCAAAACTTTCGAACAACAATAACTTTTGGCCTGCATTCCCGATAAAACTTTTACACGAACACGATCCTGTATGTCAATAGACCGCGTAATCTATTGGTATCTTATCGCACATCTGTTCGTACGCGAAGTTATTCACGCTCTAGTACCTGAGTTGTGAACCTTTTAACCCTCAGCCTCGCTTAAGCCTCGCGACCGCAGCGAAATCAACAACCTGGCCTCACCAAACCCACCCAACCCACCAAACATCGCGGGCAGGAAGAGAACCTTATCAGAAGTCTTCCCAAACCCAAGCCGAACTGGAACATCAGTCATGTCCCAACAAGCTTCTCTGAGCTACTGGTTTGCAGGAGCCCCCCCCCCCAGGAACCCCAGCCCCCCCACGCTTCCCCGACACTCAATCCACTCAATCCACTCAACAAACACAGTCTACCACGATCGAACAGACCCAACTCAGCGGCGAACCTTTCTCTATCTTCGCTGAATACACCCAATACAATGAACCATACGCACCAAAATACGACTACATCCACCCTAGCATCGTTCCCGAAGAAACCCACGCCAGAATGGCCTTGAACTATATCTCTTGAGTAGTTAGAAACACCCTCACCGTAGCACTCGAACCCCTCAACCAAACGACCGAACAAATCAACAGGGACCTAAAAGCCACCATTGAAGTCCTATCCACCCAAAACGATTCCCTCAAGCATACCGTCCACGCCCTGGCCAAACAAATGTTTGAAATGACAAAGAACCAGGACAAAACATCGGAAAAACTCCACCGCCTCCAACAACAGCTCACCAACCTCTCTGTCAACAGGCCCAGCAATCAAGCAATCACTGAAGGAAGAACTGGTGCAATTGCCGCTGTCGCTGCTGCCACCATCACCGCCCCTACCACACCCGCCAACCCAAACCATGCCCAACAGCCAAAAGGGAAAGCCAAGGAAACACTGGCTCTACCAGCACCAAAATCCTATGCGTCCGCCGTGGCAGGAAACACAAATTCCGAATTCACGACTGTCACGAACAAGAGGAAAAACAAACCCAAAGCAGACCCCCTGTTCAAACCTGAAATCACCAAACTGAACCGGGAAATTGTAATCGAAACAAACAAAGAACTTACAGCCACCCCATCGGACATCAGAGCCAAGATAAATGCAAAAATTCAGGACCCCGACTGCCAACTTATC